GGTCTCCGGCTTCTTGATCATGCTTCTGGTTCCCCTGCCTTGCTGAACTGGGTTGTTTTCCAGGCCTTGCTTCCAGATCATGTTTTGGACTTGGGCTGATTATCTGTGCTTGATCTCAGCTAGCTAACGTTGCATCTTGTACCCTGCTCTCTTGGGTGTAAAGGGCTTTTATCTCCTAGCCCCTGAATGTAAAGCTATACTAAGTTTCGCGTGCTGCTGAGCTAAACAACTGGATTATGCTAGCTCCTCCTATCATGCCTCGTGTGATGGAGTAACCATTTATGAAGATGACTACGCTCTTGATCTGCTAAGATGCTCATGCAGATCTTGGGATCTCAGGATCCTTGACAGTAAAATGGATGGAGTTGTGTAATTATGCACTGTAAGTGCACATGGACACTGTGCCATTATAACAGCTCTTTTAGCTGTTACTGACTATTTTGCTGATTTCAGGACCATTCCAGACTATTGTTCACCATCATTGTAGCATTTATATAGAACTCCTGAGTATTCAAAGTACATTCTGTCCTCTGTTTCAGCTGTTCTTACAACAGTTCAATAGGCTGGCCAAATGAAAAAGAGTATAGGGTTCCTGTATCTCTGATAGTTCTGCAGAATGACAAGCTCCAACTCCTGTATTTTCCCCTCTCTGCACAACTATTAAAAGAGCTTTGCCCTCTTTTCCATCTGGCCACTCTACAGTGATACTGTAGATTGCAGAGAGGGCAGTGATAGCAATAGTAATAGCTCTCTGGCTTTGATGTAACTCAATTATTTTGGAGAATCCAGAAAGATTTGTTGTCAAACTGCTGCATTCCCTTGACCCCTGCTGTTGGTGACCATTACTGTTTGGAGTGATGTACAATATGGTTAGAAGCTGTGTGAAGCTGACCAAACACGTTAGAGCACATTATTGTACCTCCTGCATGGCAGCAAGGATGGAAAAAGGCTTATTTTGCTTCCTCCAGCACATCTTCAAGTAGCTATCCAGCAGAGCTTTTGAAAGTGGACCATAGCCCACCGCCTGCTGTGAATCTTTTGTTAAACATTTTGAGGATAAAAATGCTCATCTCTACAATGATCTTGGCACCACACTTGTCAGTGTACATGCTGCAGCTGTCAAGACAGGTGCCGAATGCTACATCTGGCCCTGTGTTTTGGGATCAGTTCTGGCTATTGTGGCCTGAGGACATGGTCTAGGTGCTTGCCCTAATATATCTGATCTGTGCTTCCTCAAGCTGTTCTTCTTGGTCAGTTGAAGCTAGCTGGGGACGGCATGGCTGGATGATCCAAGCTGTAAGAGGTGGTAGTGTGCATCCTGAAAAAGTCCAACCTAGACCCCCTTGCCTACAGCTACTAAGGTAAAGGTAAAGGGACCCCTGACCATTAGGTCCAGTCGTGGCCGACTCTAGGGTTGCAGCGCTCATCTCGCTTTATTGGCCTAGGGAGCCGGCATACAGCTTCCAAGTCATGTGGCCAGCATGACTAAGCCGCTTCTGGTGAACCAGAGCAGCACACGGAAACACCGTTTACCTTCCTGCCGGAGCGGTACCTATTTATCTACTTGCACTTTGATGTGCTTTCGAACTGCTAGGTCGGCAGGAGATTCTTGGAGGGGGAGATAACAATATATGGTAAGGAGTACAGCAAGATCTTTGAAGGGATGTTAACAATATATAGCAGTGGAGATGTAGGAAGTTGTGGCAATCAGCTCTAGGAAAACCAGGAGGTTTACCATGCTATTGGGTAATGGTAGCAATTAGGAAAATTATGCAGTGAGGTTATGCAGCATTTGTTAATCTATACATGAAATGTGAGCAGGATAAAGATCTGCTTGGACAGCCCAGTAAGTGATGTGAACTGATGGAACACCAGTTTCAGGTGAGAAGCTACAATTTAGAAATTTCCTCTCAATGTTTGACTTTTTGTGTCCAAAATATTCATTGACCTGAAATAGCCTTAGGAGACAGCTTTGTAAGAAACTGCTGCCATCTATGGGTGGAATGATAGCAAACCATATATATTCCATACTTGGTTCACAAGTGAGTTACTTCATGAAGCATCAGTTTTCTTTATGGAATACCATGTGGAAAACCTGTTTGTTACAACCAGTATAACAGTATGTGTTGAGAAGGGAGAAGCAGCAGAGAGACAGCATATAAACATTCTTTCTGAGGAAGGTGGGAAAGTTTTGAAACAACTGAATGCTTACACAAGACAGATTAGCACCAAATCCACTAGGTTTTGTTCTCTTCACTTGTCTCTTCCCTTGGAAAAACAATTGTATCTGGTACATTTCCACTACAAATATTTCATCTGTGCTATATTCCTGAAAGCTGGGGTGGGCAGAATTCAGGCTTGCAGGATCTCCCTTGTTTTTACTAGAATCCTGATGTCCACCAGCGACAATCAGGGCCAACACAGTGAACCTCTTGGTACTCACCACCAATTTAGTTAAGTCCACTATTCAAGAGAGCAATGTATGTGCTCAAAAGCAGAACCCAAATGCCTCCCTCCTCAAAAAGGTCAATAATCTAAAAAGTCTTAATATACTATTTAGATTCCTGAACAATAGAGAAGTGTTGCCGAAAGCAAACTGTTTCAACTTGCTGCATAGCAGGACTGGCCTTCACATTGTATTTCAATTGATAATATGGATAGTGATCATTATAATGAATCAGAATTTGAAGTTCTCTTTATAATTATTACATTTTACATTGGGGAGGAAGGGTGGGATATAAATTCAATAAACAAAACAGTAAGTTTCCCCTTTTTTCTGCATGATAGAAATTCAGCAGATTGAGCTTTCCCTTCCTGGAAAAGTTTCACCTGTTTAACTTTTGCCTGTCACAAGTCCAAAGAAACATTGGCCGTCTTATGTTGCTGTTGTGTTTGTCATCTCTGTCTTGCATACAATCTGAGAGCATGCAGCGCATTGGTGGTTCAGTGGTAGAATTCGCGCCTGCCAATCTGAGAGCATGCAGATGATGTGAGCTTCAATCTTTGCAAATGTCTTTTTTATAGTCACAAGCAGTGAGTGATTCTTTGAAGACTAAATATCTTTTTTCTTTTTTCTTTTAAGAATATTTTTTTATTAACCGACCAATCACATCAAATCAAACCAAATTACATAAATTCCAAATTACACAGCCGAATTTTAAATTTTTATTGGGGGTACCCATATTTCAAGTTCCGAAGGGATCCAATCAACTTCTTGCTTATTACTGCTGTTTTAATGTCCACAAATCTAACCTTATGATGTTCACAGTACTATCCAGTCCTTTCTTATTATTTTTCCACATCTCTTGTTGTTATTTTAATATATTTTTCCTTTCTCTTTGTGACCTCTGATAGTCTCCGCAAGCTGGTTAGAACAGTTTGTAATCCTGCGTGGATATTATTTTTTTTATCCAGTAGCCATATCCAGACATTTTCCATATAACATCACTTCCATACATCAAAACAGTCTTAAGCGTCATTAATCTTCACCAATCTGCCTCCTTTCTCAAAACCTCTGAGGAGATTCACTAGGAATGCAGTCTGAAAATAAATCCGTTCTTCCTCCCGGCTATAAATCCTTTGGCAAGATGGTGACTCCGAATTAATTGCTGCGCCATTCCCAAAAGCTCTTATTGCTTCTCGGTCTCCATAAAGCATACTTTTGGTTAAAGTTTATCTCCACACAGACCTTAATCATCCTGCTTGGGTCAGTTCAACCGACGGTTCTAATGAGGAGGGGTTCATGTAAATCACATAGAAGGAAAGTAAAAAAGGTCCCCCCCCCCATTCAGCCCCGTTGTCAACATAAGCCTTTGGTGTATCTTCATCGTAAAAATATTCCTGTTTCTCTAGCCTGTCGTCTTCTTTCGCAGAGGTCACTTAAATTAGCAGACTTCACTCCCCTTCTTCACTTGAAATATGTGCATTTGCTTCTTTTGTAATTAATTATTCCAAATTGCTGCAACTAGTGCGTGATCAGAGACAGCGTCCAGGAGAGCCGAGGTCCACACGGGGGCATTCTGCCTAGGGCCCTCACGCCCTTCTTTCGAATTAGGGGGTGATTTATGGGCACAGCAGGCAAGGGCAGTGTTCCCCATTTCCTTGGGGCAACAAGGGAGGCTGCCTACTCCCATAACAGCCTCTTAATTACCCCGTGTGGGTCGGAGAGATGGTATTGTCGGCCATCTTCCAATGCGCCCCCTAGTGGCCCCCTTGAAGACTAAATATCAAAGGAAATCTTCTAACATCTAGTAAAAGGCTCAGACTAAAAAGAAAACTGCATGAAAACTCATACATATCAAAAGTTACTGCCATTACTTAATGGTATTAAGAAATGTTTTAATTGAATATATACAAATAAATTGTAAACAGATAAGGACATTGGCAGGATTACTGCAACAACCTGCTGCTTCATGAGAGTAAATAAAGTAGATGAATAAAAGAATAAGTTAAGTTAATTTAGAATATGCAGGAAATGATAAATATAAATTTAAGGAACTGCAGAAAGAGGAGGAAGGTAGTCGAGTATGGAACTGTTAAAATGACTGTAAAACTATTGAAACGTATATAACTGAAAATCACAATTTTTTTTAAAAAATGTTTTAATTATTTCAATATGCTAAAGAGACAATAAACCGATTCTTCCTCACACCTGTGCATATCTTTTTACCTTTGCAATATACAGGGGTCATGTTTGCAGTATGAAATAAGATTGAGTAAGAAAGATCATAAACTCCCATCCTCGTTGCCACCTTTTGCAGCAATTCACTTCTCCCCAATGTTTAAAACTGAACCCAGAAGTTACTTCTGTAGACTGTGTGTTCTTGTCTGTGTGTCTATAAATATGGACACATATATAACTGAAAATCACACACACAAAAAATTTATATACACACAGAGAGAGTGCATCCCCCCCCTAAAAAAATGTTTAGGGGTACTCTCATTTTCCCTACTCATATGGAAATACTGCCCCTCAATGGGGCCAAACTTAGATTCACAAAATGTTTAGGGGTATGCGTCTCCCTAGAAAAAAAGCACTGTATACGAAAAACCCTGAAAGGGGAGAGCAGACGAAACAAACCGAGAAGACAGTGGCCGTCCGTTTTCCCTTCTGGAAAGGTTTAAGCCTTGCTGTCCCCCCATTAAAGGTCATGGGAAGGGAACACGACTTGCACATATTCCCGCGGACGCCCCGGAACAACCAGCGGGTTAGTTTTCTCCCTGGCAAACGTCAACCTCTGTCCGCGAGGCTGAGGGAGCTGAGCAACCGCCTCCCTCCTCCTCCTCCCAGTCTCCACCCCTGCCAGGAGCGGCGTGTGTCGCAGAAGCAGCACCCTCCGAAAAGAGCCCGTCTCCTCCCGCGGAGCTGCGGCGGGCGAGGAGGGCGGAACATGTTTGTGCCGGAACCACTGCGCCGCTGGGTTGGGCAGCCAGACGGAGGGAATGACGCGGCTACGAAACGGCCAAGGCGAAGCAGCCCTTAGGCCTTGACCTCGAGCGGGAGGCGAAGCGGGGTGATGGTCAGAGGTCAGGCCGCGGCCGCCGCGGCGGTGAAGAGCGGGAGGAAAGGCTTTTTGGCTCCGCGAGGGCCGGGCGGCTTCGTCCTCCTCCCGTTCCTGCCGGGCCCCGCCCGCTCCCGCCGTTGCCTAGGAGACTGGAAGCGCACCGGCTCCCTCGCGCCGGGACTCGGGCGGGGCGGCGGCGCGAGCTCGCCGGCGCGGGGCTCCTTCCCGGGAGGCCGGCGCGGCGCGGGGCTTCGCTTCCTCAGCTTGGGCGCGGGGGGCCGGTGCCCAGCCGCTGGGGCGCGAGGTGAGAGCGGTTGAAAGGCCAGCCCGGAGCGAAGGGGAAGGGGAAGGGGCGAGGCTGGGGCTTCACGGCGGCTTCTGCGACTCGGTTTTCAGGGCTGCTGTCAAACTCGAGAGAAACGTTTGCCTCTTGAGCGCCGCCCCTGCTTACTTTGAGAATAAAATACGTAAATGTTTGTGAAATGTGTTTTGGTTTCAGGGCCCTGTTGCCCATCCAGTGCCGGATTTACGTACTGCATAAGCTAAAGAAGCTATATCTTAGGGCCCCACTCTATTGGGGGATCCCAACAAAATTTAAAGGAAAAAAAATCTGGATGTACATTTCCAAAATATAAGATAAAAAGCAAAAACTACATACAGCAACAGTGTTTTCCCATACAGTGTTTTCTACATACAGAAAACAGTGTTTTCTGGGTTTCCCCAGAGTGGCTGGGGAAACCCAGCCAGATTGGGGGGGGGTATAAATAATAAATTGTTGTTGTTGTTGTTGTGTAGGCTCCTATGATGTAAGTAATTTAAGAAATTCAACACAAAAAACAGCGACAATTTGTTGTTGACAAAGGACAGCTGGACATATAAAGGGCCCCATTACCTTCAGTAGCTTAGGGCCTCATCAAACCTAAATACGGCCCTGCCCATGTTGGGTGTTTGTGGTGGGGTTGGGGTTGGATCCTGTAGAGTTGTTCGGTAAACCAGGGGAGGGATTTATAAATTGCATATATCAGTATGCTATTGTTCTACTGTTGACACTTAACTACTTTTATGCATTTTCTTTTTTTAAAAAATTAGATGTGAATATCCATGCATCATATCCACAACTTGAAAACAAGAGTAGTTTTCCCCCATCAGGAAACAGGAAGCTTTATTTTGACACCCATGCCTTTGTATGCCTTCTAGAAGAAAATGGTAATTCTTTTGCAGTGATTGTTAATATGTAAATTGTAAACATTGATATGAGTAACTGTGGATCCCCCCCCCCCCGCAAAAAAATCTGTTTCTCTTCAATCAAAAGTGCAGTCACTTTCTATGCATGTTCTGATTGTGGGCATTAGCTCTAACTGAATGAAATCTGGTGACTTCACAAAAATATTTCCATGCAAAAACTGTATTTTCCTCTTCTGTCTGTGCCAGTACTTTCATGTAATTTTTGTGAAACTGTTGAATTTTCCTCATGTTCCAATATTGCAAAACTCTTTGGAGGACTAGATTTATTTATACTGCATTCCTAAACCCCTGCTAATGGGGGACTTCTGAGTACATGTCCATGATATTATGCTGTTAGATATGTACACTTGTATAGGACATCAAATCTTCATAGAGGCTCTAAAGAAGCTACAATCTTCCATTTTAAACTTGAGGCTGTTCTGTAAATAATTCCTACAGCAGCCTTTGTTTATGTGAATGTTATGTTATATATGAAATGTATATAGCTAATGTTTAGCGACATATAGAGGTTTCTGAATTTTGCAATATTCTGTATTCTAGGATTCACTACTCAGCAGTCTGAGATTATTGTGTCTGCTTTAATAAACATCATAAATAACAACATGAATGTGATATACAAGGACATGGTCACAAAAGTGCAACAGGTATAAATGAATGTGGAAATTTCTTAAATATTTATTGTTAATTGCTGTTTTAAAAGCTGGAGCAAAAACAAATCCCTTTGTTGTTAGCAATTACGATATGTCCTTTCTAATAGTTTGATATTACTTCATTTTCTGTCCAGTGCTAAACCCCCTTACCTTTGCTGCACTACACCCAGTCAGGCAATAAGATTCTGACAGCAGTAGCCTGCAGTGACCCTTGGAAAGGGGTGGTTTCAGAGTGGGATGCCAGCAGCTGTGGATCCCCTGAGGGGTTTGATCATTGGTCTCCTCAGAAACACCAGTGTATGGTCTGGCTACTGATGTAAAAATTTTAATGCATGAACTGAATAGACTGCTTGAGTGCAAGTAACCTGTAGCTTTCTGGATAGTGTTGGATTCAAGCTCCAATCAGCCTCAGCTAGCATGGACAATGATGAGGAACAATGGACATCTGAAGGGCCACAGGTTCCCCACCCCTGACCTAGTGCATTGTGCATTATGGTCTAGATGCTACTGCACAGTAAAATTTCTACCTTTCCACCCGTATTATCCCCATCCTTCTCTTCCTCTGAACATTAGTTGGGAAGAATGGAAAAAACAGGGCTCTTTTTGAGTTTGGTTGGGTGCTGGATGAACCTTCAGACAGAGCAAAATTTCTGGAGTACTAGTTGAAAGATTTGCTGTAGAGGAAAACATCTTATTGGCATTGGTGATACTAGACTGAATTAACTTTTTTCTTTTAAAGGAAATTGCTCTTCAGCAGATAATGTCTCATATTGGTGGAGTGAAAAAAGACATGATTATTTTGGAAAAGAGTGAATTTTCAGCACTTCGAGCAGAAAATGAGGTAAAGGCAAACATCCTTGGTAAAACATCCAGGTTTATTTATCCAGCATGCATTGGATAAGATTGTGAACCCCCTCAACCCACATCTAGCAGTAAGGGGAAATATTGTAGTTACTGCATTTTAATTAACCTTCGATTTAGTAAAGAATTTGGGATGTTTGGAAGAGGAAATATCACAGTAAAAGCAAGAATAGAAACCAGTTTGTGGAGATGGCTTTTGAATTTAACAGGAACAACTTATTGGGTACAATGTAGAGAAAGTGAGTTGAACCCAATCCTTGCAAATAGGCAAAGTTGTTCACTGATGTTGGAGATATTATCTTTGGAATTCCAAAGTCTCCACTTGCTTAGTCCCTCTGTAACATCAAAACAACCAATATGCATGCATCAATATTTTTGTATCTTGTACTTATGTAGTTTTAACATGTATTCTCTCTCTTTTTAATGCAAAAATAAAAAAGAAAATAAAACTTCAACTTTACCAGCTAAGAAAGCAAGTAATGGTAAGATTTTTTGGACTTGAATAATATAACTACACTGAACATAGTATTCTAGTTAACCATGTCTGATCTTTCTGTAAGAAGATATTTTAAGACTACCACTGCTTTTGAACAAGTGTCAAAGGTGATGTTCTCGACTAGCTACCTGGTAATCCAGGAAGATGCACAATGCTAGATTCAGGATTTTTCTCCTGGGGGACACCTATGTACAGCATTAGTCTAGAAAACTGAACCACATAAAAGACGACTGCAGGGGATGGGCTTATGACCCATCGTAGCTGCTTTCTTTTGAGCCAACATACGAAATGGAAAAAATCTTATCTGGCTTGCCTGTTAATCCAAGCTGGAAAAGTTGGGTTCATAATACGTGTCTCTCCCTTTGAGACTAACCCAAGCTTCTTTCTGGGCCTGAGGCTGGTGAACTTCAGCAGTATCTCTATTTATAGTGTTTTTATACTGATTTTCAGACCAGACCTTTCAGAGCAGTTTACATAAGGTTTTGATTGCTGTTTTTAAAGTATAATACAACAAAAACAGGATAATGGATCATAAAAGAACTAAAAGCCTAATGAAATGGATTTTAAAGCGCAATGAAACAGAGCTAATTCTCTCAATACCTAGACGCATGCAGTCCTGTGGCCTGAGGTTTGGGGTAGTTATTGTTGAGAGGTAGAGCATGGCAATAGCAACCATCTTTCTTGAGACAAGCATGTGCATGAAGGGATGCCCTTTGGATGTGCTCCCTTGCCCTCTTTTAGTTCACTTCTTTGTCTTCCTTGCAGTATTATTGCTCTGCTCTTGTCACACCACTTTCTTCAGTTAAGTTCTCAATGTAGCCTGTATCCCCTTTTGGGGACAAAATGGTTTTTTCTTGGTAATGAAAACACTTTAATTGTATAAAACAGTGGAATTTCATGAACTCCTGTTTATGTGTAGTATGTTGTGCAGCTTTTATGGTGGCATTGTCGGTTCGTTGGAACCATTGTTTAGGTGTTAATCTATAAAATACCATCTCACTGAGCTGAACCATTTATAGCTGCTAAATAAGTAACTCGCTGACTGGTGTTTCTGTAACTGAGGTAACAGGAAGTTGTATAATAGCTGCAGTCACTGTGTTTTGAGCTCAGAATTATGGCAGCTAATTTTTAAAGTTGGATGACTTTTTGTTAGATAGACCCTGACTAGCTGTATTGATACCAGGATCTAGAGTCACCCATAATCTTTATAAACATTTGAGTATAGTTCCCAGTTAGGCACTTTTGCTGTCCTTGGTATTGTGGGAGTTCAGTTGCAGAAAGAGCTTGGTAGGGCTGAATTCCCCCCTGCTCCCAAACGTCTGAAATAAACCAGTGTAGGCAATGATGGACAGCTGAAAGCAGTAGTGCTTTACTTAAGAAATTAAGAATTTGTATGTCTATTTATTGTTTAATCATTCTGTAGGATGAAGTTTCCAAAGTTCGTACAGACAGCAAGCTAGATTTCAACTTGGAAAAGAGCAGAACAAAAGAATTGGTATGTAGTCTTTCTTTAAGATTTATTTATGTATTATATTTATGTCCCATTTTTTCCACCAAGGAGCTCAAAGGAGGTGTACATGGTCACCTCCTTGCACACATTTTATCTTCACAACAACCCTGTGAGGTAGGGTTAGGGTGACAGCAATTGACCCAAGGTCACCCAGTCAGCTTCATGGCTAAGTAGGAATTTGAACCCTGGTCTCCCAGGTCATAGTCCAACACTAACCATTACACCACACTGGTTGTTCAGAAACTGTCATGCTGTATAGTTTAACTTTAGGCAAAGTATTATTTTTAATCTGTTAGCCTTTTTGCCTTAAGAATTACAGCAGTCATCTGTGGGAATGGTGGTGTAGTGTAGAGTGATTAGACATAATGCTGGATTTAAAACAAGATTCGTTTGTAGAATGTCAATCTCTAGCAAAATATTTTAAAAAATTGATGTGTTTACACTTTAGGATCTTGATGAGTGTTTCGTAACACTGAACTCTGTCAGTACTGCATTTTTTTTATAAGAAAACTTGTCTTTTGCCATCCTGTAAATGCTTCATAACAAGCAACGTCCAAAAATAACCTCTGGCACGTATTGAGGAGCATTTGTAATTCATTGTAGGTTTGTAAGCGTTGAATGTTAAATCTCAACAGCTGATATTTTGGGTGATGGTTAACTTGCTATGTTTGCATGGCCATCACATGGGGGTAGAGAAGCACACACAGGGTCAAATGCATCCTTCCAGACCTCTTCATCTGGCCCATTGAACTCTGTCCAGACAATGCCCCTCTTCTCCCCCCGCCCTCCGCCATATCTCTCATCAGCAACCCTCCTCAAGTACTTTTGCCTGGCTAGATTGTGTCCTTTAACTTTAGGTCTTCTTGCTTCTCTGGATGGAGGTGTGTGTAAATATAAACTTCGGATTTTTGTACAGCTGGGAGGTAGCTTACTGTATAAAAAAGCAAAACACCTGTTGCCCTGCCCGCTTTTGCCTTTGGCCATGCCACCTTTGTCATGTGAGTCCTGGAAGGTTTGCAACAAGGGAACATGGTCCTTGCTCTGGAAAAGGTTATCTACCCCGACACAAAAGAATCAGAGAATTGTAGAGTTGGAAGGGACCCTAAGGATCATCTAGTCGAACCCCCTGCAATGCAGGAATATGCAGCTGAGCCATACAGAGATCAAATCTACAACCTTGGCATTATCAGCACCATGCTCTAACCAACTGAGCTATATTGCAATGAGCAGTAGAAGTTGTTTCAGTAATACTGGAAGGTGGGTTAACATTCATAGATGCGCATGAATGAAAGGTGTTGGTTATTTTACACGGAAGGTAATCCATTGTTCTTAAATTTCAGTATTCGCTTAATGAGAGGAAACAGTTGAAAATGAGAACAGAAGTAGTGGAATTGGTAAGAACGATGAACTTAATGCTCGATCCGGGTAATAGTCCTCTTCACATCTGTTGTATAGGCTTACATGCATACCACCATTATGGGAATGGCATTTAAATATCCATGTGGTAGAAGTAGAAATAAGTGCAAAATGGCAGTTAACTGGTGCTTAAAGTTCGATATTGAATCGCTATTAAAACCATGTAAGCACAATGGGTTGAATCAAGCGCTGCTGGTATGTGAGCAGAATGGACTTCTCCTAGGTCTATGCTGGATTCAACTCAATATGAAACATGAAGCTTAGATGGGTTTGAAGCATGCAAAACTGGAAGATTAATTTTATGCACAGTCAGCCTTAATTTTTTTGTATATTTCAGAATTTTGGATTTGGACAAATATCTTAAGTATTTGCTTGTGAATTAAGCCCAGTAAGTTAGTGCAGTACTGTACATGTTCAAGTATATTTTAACTCACCAGATTAATTCATAATACAAACATACTATATTTTTCCTTCTATAAGACGCCCCCATGTATAAGATGCCCCCTATTTTGGGGGACTCCAATTTAAGAAAATGGGGGGAGATGGCCCCCATGTATAAGACGCCCCCAAATTTTGGACATTGTTTTTTAAGAAAAAAAATCTAGTCTTATACACGGAAATACGGCATATCCACTAGCAATATGAATGAAAACCTCACAGATTTTTGAGAGTTTCTAGTAAAAAATATTTGAAGTGAATGTGGCTAGTCCCCTAACTACACACTTACCCTGAATTCTATAAATGATCCCAATGAAATATATAATTATTTGAAGTAGCCATGTTTGAGATATGAATAGAGAAAAAGCATAAGCCATCTGGTGTGCTTCTGTTGTCAGTGGCTTAGCCTCAATGCGCTGTTTACAATTCTAACTTTTTCCTCTTGGGAGCTACCTGTAGCCTGAATAACACCACCATCGTTCCTTTTGCATTTACTGAGCCTTTGGGGGCATATAGAAGGAGGCATAATTGCAGATAGTGTGCTTTACTTGGCACTGTCTCTGTTTGAACATGAGATGCTTTAAGTATGTGGAAAGGGTGCTTTTATGTGTGTGAAAATAAATCAAATTGGGCTTGTTTCTGCTTGTTCAGTATTTGTGTGTAGGAAGCATTTATTGCAATCAAACTAGCCAACAAGGAAAATTAAAAAAAAAACATTTTTTCTTTAAAAATATAAGCATGCAGGTTCAGTTTTAATTACATTTACTCTGAAGTATGTCCCATTTGAGATTAAAAGAGATTACGTCCAAAACAAATGACTTAAAATTGCAGCCATAAATAAATGATCTACTGCATCTGTTTCAGACAGAAGGTGAGATTTGCCTAAGGTGCCCCGCCAGTGGAAGCTGTGCACACAAACTTACACAGCAGGGTTTCCCCACTTCTCCTCCTGCATTCCCTTCCCCCCAAAAAATTGGCTTCCAGGGATTGAGAGAACCCCTAGAACAGTGTAAAAGGAAGGGTGAAAGCACGAATGCTTGTGCAGATGAAACATTCATAAAAGTGTAACCTTTAAACCTGCCCAGAGAATCTTTTTTCAGCTCAGCTTGGAGATAGTGGAGGTTGAAGCGGGGGCATTTCCCCATGTGTAACATGCACCTCCATCCATCAGCTACAGCCCTTCCCCTTAAAAAGTGCTCTTGCTATAACAGCAACATTCACATTGGGGTGGGGGTGTTACTCCATCCATATATAGAAACATTTTAACTGCTTAGGTTCTTATTTTGTTTTTTGGGTATTCTCCGAGAAAGCTAATTGGATGATACTACTAGGTTAGGCACACAAGCTATATAGTGGAGCAGGGGGAGCCTCTGACCCATTGGCTAAAGATACTCTGCCATACTGGACTTTCCCTGGCTCACAGTCCTCAGTGGTCCTGTTCTAACTATCATGCTGGCAAAACAGTGTGTGTTATCCCTGTTTTGTGAGGCCAGTCAGCTTCAGTGTTGAGTGGTAGAAGTGGCTTCACTCCTGCAGTGGCATCTGCAGATCACATTGGTAAAGCAACGGCAGAGTGATTTGCTCTTGCTTTGCTGGCCTGATTGCCTATTGCTTCCATCCCGCAAGGTGAGATATAAATCCTGTTTCTTACTGCACAGCATGGAAGTGAGGTTTGTGTGTGCATTATAGTTTTAGCAGAAGTGACTTTTTAAGCTAATTCCCAAGTGGAATGGAGAGAATCTATCAATAAGTGTCCAACCATAATATAATGTTGGACACAAGCAACTGGCAGAGTATTGCAGAAAATAAAAACCTTGCCTTCATCAGAAAAAAGAGCTTTGGGGAGGGGGAAATTGCAGAAGCAGCCCAAAGACGACTGAGCATGTTTAGTGGGCATTGAATACTGCCTGCATGTTGGGGAGAGGGAACAGAAGATCATGGTGAGAGAGAGTGCAATGGAGGAGCTGGAATGCTGAAGGGGGAGCAACATTTTGTTGGATGGTCTCACTCTGTTTAAAGTTACAGTACTGTATTGCTTTTTAGAGATGTGAATATAGTGTTTAAACTATTGAGATATTGTTCCCTTTTTCCTTTTTCAAAGCATGCACAACAGGATAGAGCTTTAACACAGACGTACAGGAAAATAGACACTGAAGTTGCAGGCCTGAAAACAATGCTTGAATCGCACAAACTTGACACCATTAAATATTTAGCAGGTATGTAGTTCTGTCATGGTGCAGATGCTTAGTAACTGTCTCAGTTGTCTGGTACTCATATGCACGTGTTTCATATTCTTTGTATCAAGTGTGACGGCTTTTGGTGCCTAAGAGTTACTAATTATCTATTGGAGTTGTATCCATTGATTTTAGAACATGGATACCTCTTGTTAGTATCTGGATATTAGCATTTTTTGCTGCTGTTGTGTGCAGCTGGAAAGCTTGGAAAGCCAACACCACGCTGACCCTTTTAATTTTCTTTCCACACTAGTGCAAGGAAAAGTCCAGGGTGGGGGCACACACATAAGAGCAGGCACAGCAAGCCCCGGGACTCTTTTGCCAGGGGCACGTGCCCCATCTCGCCCCTGCCCCCTTGATCCAGCCTGAATCATGCAAATCCTATCGGTTTCCATGTTGTCTAACAGTGCAGGCAAGATCCAAGTAAAATGATTAAGTGTTAAAAATACTTTTCTTTACCCAGACTTTCATTTTCAAAAGGATTAAAATCTGACAATATGCATTCTTTCTTCTCCACCCTTATTTTCTTCCAGGTTCAGTATTTACATGCCTTACAGTCGCACTGGGGTTTTACCGTTTATGGATATAACAAAGCATCCCTCTTGAAAGGACTTGTACTGTCTTGCCTTACCAAAAAAACAACAACAACACAACCCTACGAAGAAGTATTGTCACTTTATTGAAATAATGTAGTCTTTACTTCAGAGTCACTGCCATTCTATTTATTTGTTTATAGACTACAGAATGTAGCCAAAGAGTGTGCCTCAAAACAAATGTAAGTACTGAAATACTGATAGAAACATAGCCTGGAATCACAGGCAACTGTATTTTGCACATCACAGCCCACTCATCTAAATTTTTGTGTGTCTCTGGGCTATTGTAAAACTAAAATGTCAGGTTATAAACATATCAAGCATGATAAGTTATAGTAGAATGTACTAGGGTTTTATATGTCAAGTACCAAGGGAGGGAAAAAATACAAGCATTCTTTTTGACACCATTCCTTCAGAGGTGAAAAATTATTTAATTAAATTGCAAGTTATCTTTCCACTAGTGATGATAAAACACTATGGGTGGAATTCAACATCATACTTTTCCAATCGTTCTATCTGCGCAATTGTTCCAGTCTGCCAGATGGAACAGTGACTCCCCCTATGCACCCCACACACTTACGGTTTGGGAATTCTCCTGGTCTTCCCAGAACCAATTTTGGGGATCACAGGGAGAGGGGGGCAAAGCCCCGTTGTGCAAACAAAAATCCTTGCACAGGGCTTCCACAGATGGGGTTGGTTAGTTGAATCGCACCCATTGTAAATATTTTATTGTACTTTAATAGATTGGCAGGTTTTATTGTGGTCTGCTGTTGTAAAATTCCGTCCAAATAATAATGTTTTACGAGCAGATGTAGAAATATCATGTTCATAAGCAAATGCCAAAGAAACGATAGACTAGAAACCACCACATGCTAGCCATTACCTTGATATAAAAGTGGAAAAAATAAAGCTCACTGAGATACATGAGCTTTTTATATAGGCACTGAAAATTTCTTGGTTAATAGAAGAGAGTGACCTCCATTCAAAAATTTAGGAAAAATAAGGTAGAGTTCATTGAGGGAAAATAAGAAGCAGATAGTGCAGTCTTATACATATCTACTTAAAACCACTTAGAAGGCATTTTGGCAAGTAAGCAGTGTATAAAGTAGTGATAATCATATTAATAGTAAGTTCTGTTGAGGTCAGTGGAGCATGAAAGCAAACTCAGATGCAGCTCAGTAGTAGGAAAATTCACTAGAATGATTGTCTTATTTTGTGAGGTATCTTGAACAGTTTGAAAATATTAATAAGTACTTCCTAGTGTTGCTATTATTGAGGATTATCTATGTGTAGACTAATGGCTGATGAATGTAACCTTCTTTTTTTTTAGAGCAAGCCATTCTAAATAATAAAAAAATTGTAGTAGAACTGGGAATTGCAGCTAGAACACATTTTTTAGGTCACAGTTCTCAAATACTTACCTGAAAATTAGTTCCACTGAGATTAGGAGAACGGACTTGCGTATAATTGCTCTGACCCAGAAACGCTTGTGTATAAACTGCCTGCAGAGACTGCCAGAATTTTTTGAAAGTTGGTTTAGCGAGGAAAGCAACTAAAAATATGATTAATAATAATAATTCAGTGCTCTGGTAACCTTAGTGTTAGATTACTGCAATGCGTTATATGTAGGGCTGCTTCTGAAAATGGTTTGGAAACTTCAGTTAGTGCAGAATTCAGCAGCCAGGTTGCTCACCGGGGCAAGACGGCTTGAGCATATTGCTCTGATCCAGGTCCAACTGCATTGGCTACCAATTAGTTTCTGGGCCCAAGTCCTGATTTTGACCTATAAAGCCTTAAACGGCTCAGGACCGCAATACCTCAAGGACCGCCTCCTTCCATATTAACCTACCTGGACCCTGAGATCAGCTTCTGAAGCCCTTCTTCATGTGCATTCTCCATGAGAGATCCAGAGGATGGAAACACGCAAATGGGCCTTTTCTGCAGTGGCTCCCCATTTGTGGAATGCTCTCCCTAGGGAGGTTCGCCTGGTGCCTTCATTATACACCTTTAGGGGCCAGGCCGAAACTTTCCTCTTTAACCAGACTTGGGGTGACTGACATTCAGTGCCCTTTAAAAATGTGTTTTTTGGGGGGGGTAGTTATTGGGTTGTTTTTGTTTTTATTTTGATTCTATGTTTTTATATTGTGATTTTAGCCTACGAACCACCCTGAGACCTGCGGGTATAGGGCAGCATAAAAATTTAATAAAATAACAATAACAACAATAATACAGAATAGATACATCCCCGAACAGAAGGAAATACATGGAATGGGCCGTAAGAGTTTGCTGGAGTAAGCACTTAGTGTTCTTCTTCAGACTTTCTGTAGTGGCACCTCCCAATACCACTCATTTTCTATGCTTAACCATCCCCATTTCAGTGACTGAAATGTTAGTACTGCCTCCAGAAAGAGTTTAAGTCACATACTTAGTTTGCTTCAATACATGCCCCCCCCCCGTTTAGTTACTGTATAGCAACCAAGCAGGATTTGCTAAATAATACGAGTGAATATTCAACATGCCAAAAAAGTAAGCACTGAAGATATTGACCTCTTTTTTGTTGTTGCCAATATGCTGCATGCACAATGTTTTTTTTTAAAGAATTACATAACTGCAACCTGATCCAAAGCCTCTTTATATTGTAAGCTGATATATTGTACAAGCACTTGCAACTAAATTCCATCTAATATAAACCAGTGGCAAAGAATATTTTGTAAACAGATATCTTCCTGGACCAAGATACCCTAAAAAGCTTACTTGGTTATAGTTTAGTTCTAGTTAATATAAATCCTTCATATTTAAGCTTAACAGTACCTATGATCCTGTATGTAGCTGTTTAGAATTATATCCCATTGATTTCAGTGGAATGTACTTTTGAGCAAGATGTTTAAAATCACACCCTGATGTCCCATGGAAGTTTGGGGATTTTGTGAGACCTAATTCCAAGTAACCATGTTTAACACTGGGCTCTACATTGATTTTTAGAATACTGTACTGAATTACATTAGAAGCTTACTTTGGTATAGAGGGGTGGGGGAGATTAATATTTTTATCTTTGACACTGTCTTGGTGTATGTATGTGTTAGATGACTGCATCGTGTTTATTTTCTTTCAGAACCTTGTGATCCCAAGTAAGCATTGAGGTTCTGAGATATAAATGGGGATGGAAGGATAACAGTTTATTGCTTCATTGGCATTTTTAATGAGATCCTCTGTGCTTTCCCGCTCCTTTTCTATACTTTGCTTTCTGTGCTGATGCTAAAGCACCTTAATCCACATAGACCCAAAAAGTTTATTTGTTTGGATAATCAACTTAGGTTGCTTCTTTTCTCTGTTTATTTAAACAAGCTTTATTGCAAGCAAAGATCCAGCTACCAAGCCCTGATGTATTGTTTCTTACTTTCCAACATGGTGTGTAAGGTTCATGTGTGAAAACCACAGGTTTAGTAAACAGATGTTTAATGGTTAAACCTGTGTTTTGAGAATTATACTACATATATATATAGAGAGAGAGAGAGAGACAAAGGTTAGAAACATGGATTGACTTAATGCCAGAATATTTCTTTGTGAAATAAACTTTTAAACATGAATATATTATTCAGGATAATGTGGTATTTTTCCTTAGTATTATATACTGTCTGTATCTTCCCCAACTTAGTGCCCTTCAGATCGTTTGGATTACAGTATCCATCAGACCCAGTCAACATCTCCAATAGTTATAGGAATGACAGATTTTTTTTTGTCCAATCCAATCCACTTTTATTGTACTAGCCATTGGCCATGACAAATCTGAATCAAAAATAATTACCAGGAAAGGGATGCCTCACCAAAATATCTGGAGGACACCAGGTTGGGAAAGGCTGGACTTGATTTAATTTTGAAATTTAAATTCCTTGTATCTATATCTCCATAGAATTCTCATCACTTTGTGTGCATAATGTAGGTTTACATACTTTTGCTGTGGTGAAATCTATAAAGTTGATTTCTATTCCTCTTTAATGCATATGTTCATTTTAGGAGAGCAAAGCAAAGAAATTTTTTTTTTTAACCCAAGCCTTTTAACTTCCCATTTAAATTTTCAGTACAAACTATTAATTTGTCTCAGTTGTGGGGCAGCTGAGAGATGCCGTGGAAATGTGATGTTGAAGTCTTTCCCCAACTCTGGTGCTCACAGTTAACCTAGGAAAAATAGCGCCCCTCCAGAAAGGGCAGATAGACTAATTGCCATTTGGTGTGGAGCTTCTTACTTAGCGCTCCAGTTTTATCTCTTTGTGTTCCATTTGTGCTCCAGGTTTATCTTTTTGCTCAGATGCAAGAACTGCAGAGGGGCTGGAGCAAGAGTAATGAATGCAAATTGTGCAAGATCTGATCTGGCAGATCCTATCTATGGTCAATTTTAGTTCAATTGAATTAAAGCACATGGTGGGATATGAAAGTTTTTCTGAAAAACTGAAGCATTGGAAATTGCAATAGATAAAAGTAAGGATCAAATTTTCCAAACTGGTTAACTTGTTGGCTCAGTAGTGAAGCAAGGCAGACATGGGGAACCTGTGTCCTTCAGATGTTGATGGACTTCAACAACTCCAGCCAGCATAGTGACTGGTCAGGGATTACCAAGCCCTAGAGTAAGATGTATAACTGAATAGTGTATTCAAACATATTGAATATTGTGCAGTGCTGTATGTACATTATTACTCTGTTGACCTATTACTTGCATTTTCCATAGTAACACTGAAGACAGGAATGCCTGAGAAAATGTTCCTACACTCTGTGGAGGGAAGGCGAGTATTGACTTGCACTGTAATAACAAAGCACCCCCCATGGTTGAATGGTTCTACTTAATCTGTGCCACTGCCACCATTCAGACTCTCTCCTTTCCGCTAAACCCTTACCAATAACCTTGTAACTGTGGGGTACAAGCATAGTACAAAGCCTGTCATATACAAATGCTATATTTAACAAAGGTATGTATGTTTATTACAAAGTTAGGACAAGCTTATCTGGCTATTTTAAATAGTACTGTATCATTAAATGAGTATGAACTATGTTAACTTGTTACTGTCAGTTTATATGCCAACAGCTTATATTCAACTATTAATGTTAAGCTAAGGTGGTTTTAAGGAAGCAGCTAGTTACCCTATAAAAATTGCCCTTTCTACCCACCCCTCCACCCCAGTCAAGCCTCACCAACACTATAACTGAGGGCTCTGCTGGAAGCCTCTTTCCCCAACCCTTTACTGACCTATTGAAATGCAACTTTGCCTTTCTGTACTTGCCCTGGAAGTGGTAGTCATCCCTCTGGTGTTTCTACTGCCAGACACCAGTGACCCATACTCCAAACTGCTTCTCACTTCTCTAAGCACTGCAGGTTCTCCCTGGTTTCTTCAGCCTAAAACAGCTTAGTCTCTTCAGCTATACCCAGCAAGTCATAGGCCACCAAGCAACTCCATGTGCATCTTAGGTCTTCCATCTTCTCCAATCATCTTTTGCTATCTTCTTCTTCTGGCTGACTCCACAAGCACCAACAACTCCCAACTCTCCTCTGCTGACCAGCACTTCTTCTGGCCCCTCCAGTTCCAGCCAACCACACTAACTGAAAATTCCAAACCTGCCCCCAACAATCAAAATATGCAAACCTTATATACTTTGCATACTGAGAATTCTAATGCCAACCCTTCCTCACAGCTGTCAGTTAAGGCCCCAAGCGACAAGTTAAACTTAAATTCATCAGACCAGACAGAAACCCTCCAACATCAAATACACTTCAATGTACATTACGTTACAAATGTCAGAGCACATTGCACAATTTCCATTAAATCTTAATTCAGATAACAGGATTTCTTCACACATTCATTCTGAAACTGTTTACTGTGCTTTCTACCCTTCCCCAAACTTAACACGGAGATTGCAATAAAAATACAAAAAATAATAATAATGAAAAAAATGTTACATGGAAAAAATACAAAAGAGAGACATTACACATACTTCTGTAAATCAATAAAATCTTTAATAAAAATACAAAAAGAAACAAACAAAGAGATCGCAAGAATATATAGTATAACAGTACAAAATAAATAGTCCAACTAGAAACATGCTGAATGAAGCAGCAGACCCATAAAAGCAATTGACCAGACCAATGTAGTGCCAGAAAAACAAACTCCGTTAAGCCAGCAGATGAAGACATTGGAAGCCAGATGAAAAGAGAAGACTTCCCCTGTCACCTGAAGAAAACAGTCAGGCAAATCTCCCTGCCAAAGTTCAATAGGTGGGGCACAACTGCAAAAAATGCCCAGTAGCTGATGGTCACCCACTTAACCACCACAGGCATTCAAATAAGGTTCCCTGTTTACTGTTTTGGCTGCCATACAAGGTTCATGCAGGAATAAGTGATCTTCAGGGTGCCTGTAGTGAAAACCAGACCTTGAATTGGGCTTGGAAATAGCACGGTTTCTTTAAAACTAGCGTAATATATTCACAATGGTGAGTTCCTGCCAACAGCTCGGCTGCCATGTTCTAGAACAGTTGAAAGTTTCTGAACCCTTTTAAAAAGCATTCCCATAAATAGCACATTACAGTACTAAAGCCTGGATGCTACTAAAGCATGGACAACTGCCCAGATCATTCCATTGTTGGAGGGTATAAAGCAAGTGTACCAAGTCGGAAAAATCTTGGTACAAGCTCAGCATAACAACATGAATTTAGAGACAGTAGAAATAGTGGAAGTATTTTAACCATTGAGCTCTTTCACATGAGTAAAAACAATAATCCTGAAATGAAAATCAATTGCGTATTGAATATTTCAAGAAGTATTTACTATAACTATTTTTATGTTGCCTTTCAAGAATAATTCCTAGTTTGGGACAAATACATTCAGCATCTAGATTCTTTTGTATTCACTTAGCTTTTTGTTGGGCCTGTCTTATTAATAAACAAGAGATAGGGATGTGCTCCCAAAAACAAACCTGGATCTCATGTGCACATGTATCTTCAGATTAGTAGGCAAAATCGATAATTGTATACAGTAATGTAATCAGGGGTTTCACTGAAAAGAAACTTTCTATATAAAAGAGTTTAGTTTTTGTTTTTACTGAAAAGAAGAAACCAAGGCAACTGGTAGAGGCATGAAAATAGAACAGATGGGCCAATTCGCTGATCGGTTTAGCAAATCCGGTGTGTTGATGGTCTTTACCCATTATAGAATGACAGCACAGCATTTTGGAACTGACGTGTAATGCAAGTTCCACTCACTATTCAATTGTAGTTGGTCAGCTTTCCTGTTAAGACTAAAAAACAATATGTTCTATGCAACATTGAAATTAAACAACTGGTCCGTTTCCCCACTCCGATATAGCTACTCAAAATTAACATTACATCATGAAACACATTTTTATTTACTGTGCTTAGAAGATGTTGTCAGCAGCCTTCGATGATAATCACGGAATGTTACACTTGCATCCCATTTTTCCTCCAAAGATCTCAGTATTGTGTACATGGTTCTCCTCCCTGTTTTAGGCAGATGCATGGAATGGAATGGAATTTTGAATCCAGATTATGATCCAGAGCCAGTGTGGTGTAGTGGTTAAGAGCGATAGACTCGTAATCTGGGGAAACGGGTTCGTGTCTCTGCTCCTCCACATGCAGCTGCTGGGTGACCTTGGGTTAGTCACACTTCTTTGAAGTCTCTCAGCTCCACTCACCTCACAGAGTGTTTGTTGTGGGGGAGGAAGGGAAAGGAGAATGTTAGTCGCTTTGAGACTCCTTTGGGTAGTGATAAAGCGGGATATCAAATCCAAACTCTTCTACTTGCGATGGCAGAAATATTTTCAAACTGTTATGGTAAGAAGCCCTTCAAAGAAGGATAGCCTCTTGAACAGACCAGGACTTAAAAAAATAATAATATTTTTTTAGCAAGCTAATGAAAGAAGCAGGGAATGAGTGGGAAAACTGAGATAAAAGAACACAGTGTTTTTAATTATCTTAATGGGCATCATTTTTCACTCTGTGGGCTCACCAGTTTGCCTTCCAGCTCTGAAATCTTTGTGATTACATGGAAGAACTGGGTCACTTGGCTGAGGTGCGGGTTTATTGTTCTAGGTCAGGCTGCTGGTTGACTTTTAAGTGTTTGTGTGTGTCTTCCTATTGGATGAGCAAGGGAAAGCAAAAGCAGACTTCAAAGCCAGGTCTAAGAGAAGCAGCATTGTTAAATATATGTTGATTTATAAATGTAGCTCACCTCAAAGATCACAGCGTAACCTTCAGAAAAATGATCACTCTTTAAACGGAGAGAGCAAATGCAAAACATTTTTTCTTGCTTTATGACGTTTTATGTTCAAAATGTAACTGTCTTTCCATGCGTGTCCTGTGAAACCTGAAAATTTAGTAGTTTATCTGCAGAGGATAGTGACCAACTAGGCAGTCGGAAGTAGTATTGTCCAGTCTTCTGTATTTTTAACAGCTGGATAGCAGCAGGAATGCGAAAGCTAATTTCTGTTCCCAGTCTTCCTATAATCAAAATAGTCTTGCTGTAAGGGAGGAACCATAGTGCTTGAGGGGCAAAGGAGGGGATGTGTTCTTCAAAATGAAAATGAAAAGAAATTATTCATGAAAACTGTAGACCATTGCTGTCATGGAAGGGATAGTCTCACACTTCAGAAGCACTAAATCAGGAGTGTAGAATCAGCACCTACAACTGCAAAGCTCTGGATTGCAGATGGGAATATGAATTTAATGACACAATGATTTAATGATTCAAATGACCATTGGTCATGCTGCCTGGGATGGATAGAAGTTGGTAGCTGAACAACATCTGAAGGGCCACAGGTCCTACTTCCCTCCCACGTTGTTATGTAAAATCTTTCGCAAGTATTTCCCATGCTGCCTAGGCATGAGGGAGAGGGAGATTTGCATAATTGTTAACAGCATCAGTAAATGCTGTTAATAATTATTTATAATAGAAGCAATGCTTGTTGCAGTTCTTGAGGTAGGGAAGAAAAGGATTGTAGCCTTAGCAGGAACCTCCTGAAACATTATGAAAATCAGAATTAGAAAATCAGCTGGCTAGTAGTGATGGATGTACAAGACAAAATTAAAAGTGTCATCCAGGCAGAAAAATGAGGATGTGCGTCCATTTAAAAAACTGTTAAATCTGGAGTACAGTAACTTGAAGAGAATTTACTAAGATTTTCAATTTCTATTAAAATTCTGACATTGTGAGCTCTTTGTACGTATTCTTTTCTTACTTTGCTCTAGATAACGTTAAAAAGAAGCCCAACAGTGTGTTAAGAAATACTTTCATCCCTGTCCTTCAAATTTGCAAGAAGGGGAGGGGGAAGCAACCCTCTGCTCATTAGAGGCGCTTAATATTTTTTTTGCAGCCTAGTTAAAATAGTCTGATATCTCTAAGAGAGGTGGTCTTTTATTCTGCATGAAAGCAATACTGTCCTTAATGCTCTTGCATGACAATAAAAGTATTGAAGCATGCAGGCGCTAGACTGCCATTAACTGTACATATTTTAGAATAGCATTGAACCTTTACATAATGCACCTGGAGAAATAGTTTGATTTTTGCGTAAAGGTATACCAGTGCCATTTTTAATGGCCTTTGCTTTATTTCTGTCGACAGCTTCCTTGCCACACTGCTGTTTGGCATATGCACATGCTCATGCAGAGATCAGTGAAATGACAGCTTCATATGTGTCTTTGGAATATGGGCCCATTCAGATGTGGTCCTGAATAAAAGCACACCAAAAACACATAACCATTATACATCAAATTGCTTGTTCCTTTTGTCTCTCTCCCCAAGTTATAATTGCTGGCAGTCTAGTGCAACAGACTGCTTGAGCATATTAGAGAAAAAAGGTTAAGAGCTGATAATTGTATGGTTTGCCTTTTGGAAACTTCCACTTTCACATTTTTTTATTTAAAAAATGTTATTTTATGTATTCACAATCCCATTTTTCAAGTTCAGAGCTCCTGCGTTAAAGTTTCAATCTCAGAAGTATTTCTTTATTAGATTTATATTATATGCTGCCTTATCAAGAAGCATTTGTGGTTCTCTTCCCAGCCCTATTTTACCCTCACAGCAATCATGTGAGGAAGGTTAATCTGAGATACGGTAACTGGCTCAAGGTCACCCAGTGAACTTTGTGTCAAAGGGAATTTGAACTTTAGTGTGATGCCACTGGAGTCCAACAACAATCAAGATTTTTAAGATGAAGGCTGCAGAATTTCCAGCTTAAGGAGTTAGGGCTCAAAATCTGCATTCGATGGTGGTTTTGTCTTGATTAGAACCCTTGCCCATAAAAAATGTCGCTGCTGCAGCTTTTTCTAGCAGGAAGAAAAGTAGTTGGAGAAACTTCTCTTGTTAAATTCATGTATGTCAGGTTATGAGCTACAATGGGGGTGATGTGGAAGTAGGGGTAAGTGGAACCCTATCTTTGAACCATGTTATAATCATGGGGAAAATCTGGGCTACAGAACCAGTGGTATTCCAGTATTTAGAACAGGAGTGGGAAACCAGTGGCACACTACATGTTCTTGGACTACAATTCCCATCATCCACAAACAGCATGGCCAATGGTCAGCAATGATGGGAAGTTGATCTCCATCCCAACTTTAGAATACCCTCCTTTCACCAATGCCACTTCCACCTGCTATGGCAGAGTAATGAACACCAGGGCCTCATGCAATCTGGTCCCAAAAGCAGGGCACAGTGACCCAACACAAATGATCATATGTACAAGCCCCAGCTTGACTGTTACCCCTCTTATCTGTTGACAAGGTGTGAGGAGTGAAGAATCGTTGCTGGGAATATGCAGTGTTGTTGCATTGACATGCCACAAAGCTGGCATTGTACTTGTGCAGTGAAGGGAGAATATCTTGCATAATGTACCAAGGCACATGATTCTACCAAAGCCAATCCCGTACTGGAAAGTTGTTTAAATTTTACACTTTGAAAGTTGAAAGGATTTGAGTGAGAATGTAGCTTGTAGGGTGAGGCAAAAGGGTTGTTTACAGATGTGCAAGACCCTGCCTAACTTCTAGCTGACTCGCCATCTGTGATCGCCAGGCATCTTTGACAGAGTTTTCACAACAGTTGAAGTGTTGTTGTTCAGAAGGTGTGGTGCACATTCCCTTCTCCCTACTAAGCATAATGAGAGAAAGAAGCACATAGCCTGCCCTCCTCTTGAGTAGGTTTTTGGCAGTTACAGAAGGTAAATTTAGTGCCTGGGTTTCAGGGGGCAGAGTGGAATATTCAGAACTCTATACAGTATGTCCTAAACACATGACCAGGCATGCTCATTTGAAACAAAAGAACTTTGGCATTACACAAAAGGACTTTTCTTTTCTTTTTTAACAGAATATTAAGCATATCAGAACACCTGAAGCATTTTTCAGATGGAAAAAATGTTATTTAAACTGTGGTTGGGATTTTGTTCTGTTGAGCCTAAGGAACACCCTGCTTCTCCGATCTGGGAGGAATGACAAACTGTGCTATGATAGATGGGATGTAAGCTGGGATAGACTTTCTTGGTGAGAGACAATGTTAGCTTTGCTTTCTGCCTGGGGTAGGTACCATTGCCCTCTCTCTGTTATTGGACTCAAACTCCAATCATCACCAGCCAACATCTGGAGAGCCACAATTTCCCCATCACTGCTTAAGTGGTCACTAACTTGGAAGTTGATTACTAGGCAATGGGGGCTTCAGGATTCCATATGGTTTATCATTTTGCTTTTGAATAGAATATCTATGAAACATGCAAGTATAGGCAGGCTGGAGGCAGTATCTTTCTGAATACCAGTTGGTGAAAACTGCTGGAGGAGAGAATGCACTTGTGTTTAGGCTCTGCTTGCTGGTTCCCCACAGGCATCTGATCAACCACTGAGAGAACAGGAAGCTGAATTAGATGATCCATTTGCCTCCTCTTCTTATGTTCTGGTCTGGACCACCTTGACCGATCCACCTCTTTTGTAATCTGTGCAGCTGCTGTCCATGAATGGACACTTGACTGTGACCACTGGTGGTAAGAGGAACAGCTGTGGGGGAGAAGAATTAACAACAACACCCTGCGCTTCCTGGTAATTCTAACTGGCTTATTGTACCACCTGCTGACAGAAGTGTCTGAGTAGAGGTGTTGCTGCACTCTGGGACTAGGACACCAGTATTTCCTATAGATCTATACTCTCTCTGTGGCTGTTCTTCCTAAATGGATACTGGACTGTTGCCAATGCAAGAGGAATGGGAACGGGAGAGAGGAATCACTCAGTCTTGCATTTGCTTTTGATACTTACCTAGGAGGCTGGTTCTAGAGAACAGCATTTGGGAATTATGTCTTGGCCCCTGGTAGTTATCCTGTGTGGTGCCACGAGGCACTATTTTGTCCCCAATGCTACCTAACAGCCACATGAAACCATTGGGAGTGGTCATTATGAGATCTGAAGCAAAGTGTCAACAATATGCTGATGATGTTCAGCTCTATTTTTCTGTAACATCTGGGCCAAGAGGCCTGGATCCGGGACTGCACCTGATTTATACACTTCTGCCAAAGGAACAGGTACATAGTTTGGAGTGGTCCTATTTCCATTGTTGTCACTGAAGGTCAAGTGACTTCAGTGGCTAGAAGTGTCTATTGTTGTTTCTGGAGAGGGTAAACTGAACTATTGTAAGGTACTTTATTTGTGGTTGCCCTTAGGATTGGTCTGGAAGCTGCAGCTAGTGCAGAATACAACAGCTGTGTTGCTCAGTGGGCGTTTCTACTGTATGCATATAACACATATACTTAAAAGAACTGCAGTGGCTGCTAGTTTGTTACTGAGACCAGTTTAAGGTTCTTTTATCAGTTACAAAGACCAAATAGTTCACCAGGTTACCTAAGAAAATGCCTTCTCCTGTGTATACCTGCTCTAGCACTCAGATCTGCAGAGGAGGCTTGGTGTTCATTGTATGATAGTACAGAAAAGTTCCTTCTTTGGGGCAGTGTCTACCCTATGGAGTGACCTCCCTGTTGAAGATGAGGCAGGCACCAACTGTTATGGGCATCTTGCAGGCCTTAAAAACTTACCTATTTGCTCAGGCATTCCCAGGCTGTTCACCCCAGTTTTTAGCGTAACTGATGTCATATGTTTTAGGATTCTGAGGGTGAAAGGCTCTATAGAAAAAGTTTTATAGTGAAAAATATTCCTATAGACAATTATAATTTGGTGTAGTGAATGCATGGAAGACTAGGCTAAGCATTTCCAGTTTCGGAACACAAATCAGTGCAGTATCTCAACACATTAAAAACAACAACCAAACAAAACAGCACACACCCCATGTATACACACAATATCCAAAATGGACATATCCTAAATGTACAAAATCATGGTGTTTTGACAGTGGGGAGAGGGTTGTTGGCTGTGTCTGCTCTGTTTAAAAGGCCTCAAACTAACCTCTCTTACATAATTGTTACCTAATTGGAGCCAGCTGAATTGTTGCTCCCTCCCCCCCAAGACGTTATTATCAGAACATGATACTTCAGGATGATTGCTCCCTAAGTACAATTGGCAAATTATTTTCAGTCCTTACTTTGCATATCCTCCCTCCCCCCCCCCAAAAAAAATGCGGTAGCAGAGGCCTGAGTATTCACAAGCCTCCTTTTAGTCTTTGGATGATCAAACAGGGCTACAGCTTATGTTGGGTTGGGATAAGAGAGGCTTTCTTGTATCTTGGCTTTGAGAGGGTGCAAATCAATAGAAAGTAACACAGGCCAGCTGAGTTCTGCCCTTTACCAAAGGAACACTTTGGAAGAGCTAGCATGTCTACATTTGAAATGTTATCATCCTGATACCGTTCCACAAACATGCACCCCTCTGAAATGGGTTCCAGCCTTCCAGAGGTGCGCCTGAGTACAAAGGAGCTTCTTCCAGAAAATGAGAGAGCTTTATTGATTCTTATATTTGCTTTAAGCAAGGTGTACTACATCATGCCACAGTTCACCAGAACAGGTCTAGTTGAGGTTGAGATCAATAAAGTAACAAACCTAGCATGACAAGTAGTTCCCCCTATAGGAACCATGACTTAAAGAGTCCTGGATGGTTTCCCTTCTTTGGCCCAATTTTTAAAATGACACATGCATGCATTTCAGGTTTTGCCTTTCACTGAATGTGCAATAAAAGGCAAGTATCCAAATGGAGAGGGATGACATTTTCTAGCTGTGGAAAGCAGTACCTGTGAGAAAATATGTTTCTCTATTACTCATAACTGAAGGATTGGACTTGGATCTTAAAATTAGCCCACACCGGAGGTAGTGAATATCTGTATCACAGTGCTTTATACTGAACTCCCACAGAATGGTGCTTATCCAACTGAAGTGTGTTGTATGATTTATTCATTTATATTTAGGAAAAAAATTAATGAGTTTTCTAGGTTTTTAGCTGTTATTTTTTATTTTATATGGATATCATTTGGACCCACTCTATGTTTGTTATTTGTTTTAAACTTTGTAATGTTGCGTTTTAGATTGTTGTGACCCATCCTAGGACCTTAGGGCTAATGAATCAAGTTAATAATACTAAACATATATTTTAAGACTGTGACATCATCATATTTTGCCTAGTATTGAATTTGTAAACAACTGAAAAGATTGCTTAATCGTTGATATCAGGCCATCTTTTGAGATCCCAGCTTAACTTGGATTTTGTGTTTTTGTTTTCTTCTGTGGGAGGAGAAAAATAAAGTAACAATAAACCCAAGCTATCTTCCTTTTCCTTTAAGGCTCATCCTCTGTTAAGAGAACAGAACCAATTCTGACCCCTCCCCGCACCATGTTCACTCTATAAAAGAATGTAAGTTTCCCCACCCCTCCTCTCTCTTCTTCCCCGACCCCATACCTAGTACAAAACTAATGTCTCATATCAAATGTAACTGATTTGTAGAAAATACTTTACAACCTGAAAAGGAGACAATGCATGTACTTTCGTAAACCAAGAAAATCTTTAATAATTTTTTTTAAAGAACCAATTCACCTTTGGCAGCAACCTAGCACACTGAACAGCAATCTTGATTTTCCTTAAAATACAATTTATTGGCAAATCCTGCAAGAGGGAGGCAAGGAGTCTCCCCACACATCCCGTTTCTGGATCCTTATAGAAGTAATAACTGGATTGTAAATTGGAATTAAAATAAGGTTGCGACGGTGAATAGGCATACTTGAAAGCAAACAACGTCTAAAAAAAAATCAGCAGGGTTGACTGCAGAGAAAAATGTGTTCCGGATGGGAACGTTGATGTGAAATATACACTTTAAGTTTCTCTTTCAAAAAGGAAACGTGGGTTAAAGCGGCGCCGCCGCCCCCCACTCACTTTCCTAACAGTTTTCCGAGTTACGTCACTGGATCCAGCCCCCTTTTCCACAGGTGACACGGGGCTGGAGGGAGGGGAAAAGGGCTTTACGTCGCGCACAAAGGCAGCCTCCCAGAAGCGCTCTGGGCCGGCGCCGTTTCGCCGAAGGCGCCTGAGGACCCCCGCCCTCAGCTTCTTCAGAAAGGAAGCCCCGCCCCTCGGCTCCCTACGCCGCCACGCAGCTCAGCTGACTGAGGAAGACGTTCTGCGGCGGCGGCTGCCGCACAACCATCGCCGTTGCTGGCAGCGTCCGCAGCGCAATAAGTAACAGCGCCTGGTGCTGCCAACTCTTTCTCTTGCTCTCTCTCCCGCCCCCAAGCTCTCGCGCGCCCCGCGTCAACATCGCCGCGCGCAGCTTCCCGAGCTCGAGGCCAGCCGCTGCACGCACGCGCCGGCTCGTCATCGGCTCCGTCTGTTTCCAACCCCCCTGCTCGCCTTCGCGCGAGCTCAGTCGGGTCCCTCAGCCGAAGAAGCGGAGCCTCTCTTCGCCGCCTCTTCCTTCTTCCCTGGGTCTCACTCCGGTTTGGGGCTTCCTCTTCCCGTTTTATATTATACTACACCTCCTTCAAGCCTCCTCTCAGTTCACTTGGGACAGCGGACGAGGAGGAGGCCGGCATGTCCGGGCAGCAGCAGCAACAGCAGCAGCAACTCCCGGCGACGGCTCCTCAAGCCCCGGGCAACCCTACTCCCTCACCGGCCTCGGCCGCCCTCCTGCTCCACCCGCCGCCGCCTCCCCCGCCGCCGCCGGCCACCTCGGCCCCGCCGCCGCCCCCTCCTCCGCCCGCTATCGCCGCCGCCGCCGCCACAACAGCCGCCGCCGCCTCAGCTGGGCCCATGCCTGCCGGGAGCGGCGGCGGCGGCGGCAGCAGCGCCCCGGCGCCCTTCCCTCACGGCGGCGACCCGGCCCTGAACGAGCAGGAGAAGGAGCTCAAGCGGCGCCTCAAGCGGCTCTACCCGGCCGTGGACGAGCAGGAGACGCCGCTGCCGCGCTCCTGGAGCCCGAAGGACAAATTCAGCTACATCGGCCTCTCGCAGAACAACCTGCGCGTCCACTACAAAGGTGAGAGGGACGGAGGGAGGGCGAGGCCGAGGCCGCCGCCATCCCCAGGCCCCCTCCGCCTCTTCCTCCGAAAGGCAGGCTGAGAAACTCCCAGGGAAGCTCTGAACGTCTCCCCCGAAACCGTCGGGAGGCTTCGGTTGTTGCCTTTCTTCGCCGAGGTCGGTGGACCCCGAGCCTAGACTTCCTTCCCGCACCCCGCTTTCCGAAGACGGCACACCAGTTGGGCCAGTACATATTCCCCTCCCGTGACTGGAGCAGAATAGCCCTTTCTCTTCTTCCCCTACCCTGGTCGTTGGAGGAGTCCCTCAGTCCCCCCCCCCAAAAAACCATTGTTTTTCTTTCCATCTCCGGCAGACAATGCTGACGCCAGTCCTGCAAGCTCCCCAACTCGCCCACAGAAAGATCTTGTGGCACCTGCTCTCCCCCTCCCCAGTTAACTCCTTCCTTGATCCTTTCTGTTTTTCTTTCTCTACGCCCCCCTCTCCCAATACCACCTCTTTGAGCAATCAGGCCTGTTCCGGAAGCTAGGCCTCGGATTACCTTTGTCAAACCTTCACTCCTATGATCTTAGGGTGGGGTGTATATATGTGAGTAAAGAAAGACATTTGGGACTTTAATTTGAGGTCATTGCTCTTCTACCCCCCCCCCCCAAATCTCACATATCCTTTCCTTAGTGGGGGAACAGAAGCATCTTGAGAAGGAACCATCATGGGGGAGGGGGAAATGTAGAAAAATAGAACAACAGGAAATAGCTCTCATTGGATCTTCCGAAGAATTTAGACAGCCAAGTGGAGACAATCTGGCTTTATCCCTCCCTCCTTGCTTGTCTCTCTCCACTGGTTTCAAATATGTAAGGGACACTCGAGGGATCCTTTGCTTTCTGGTTTGGGGGAAGAGGATAAACAAACTCAGCCGATCAGTTCTCTTGTTGAATAACAGCTTGGGGTCAGGGGAGGAGAAAAGCAAGTCAGTCACTGTGACGTGTCCAATTAAAAATAACCAGTTATGGCAAGAAATGTGTGTTTGTTTAGCAAAAGTACAAAGGTCAATACAGGTTGGAAGAACAAATGTAAAACTACTGAGCATGGAAAAGTGAGGAAAATAGGTTAGAAAAACATTGTTCGTTTCCAGGAATTCAAAATGTTTATCACATTACAAGTAGCCCCAAAATATATTTTGACAGATTTCCCCCCTTATGTCCACAAGCAACAGTGGGGTGTATTACTTCATCAAATAAAAGAAACTGAATTTTCTACTAGGGTGGGGGTTTCTTGTAACAGATTTTTTTTTTCCTGCAGCTTCTGGAAATGGCATACAAAACCCAGATACGATTTTAAATAGAGGAGGTGGCTGGTTAATGTGAATCTAGAAAAAATATACCTATTGTATAGGAAGCAATAGAGTTGGCAATGAAAAGCCGGTTCTTGTAAGATTATAAGATGTGTATAGAAGGGCAGTGGGAAGCCTTCAGTGTAGTTAGACTTGGAAGAGTATAAAATGTTAAAATTGAAGTAAAATTACTAATGAACACAAAGGAATCTAAACCCAGAATCTAAAATTTCCCAAGCCCTCTGCTTAGGATGAGTGTCGTTCTGCTTTGTTGTTTTTTTGTGTGTGTGTTTGTTCATGCATACATTCACTGTGTTATATGGAAGTGCTGTGTTGTATAGAAACACTGTATATAAGAAAGTTGCAGTCATTCCTTTGAACTTCCTGTTAGGTTCATGTGTGTAATGCTTTCAGCTTCTTTTTTGCTTGCTAAGGTATGGTTATTATGTAGTGGCCTACACTTTGGGGATTAATTTGTGGTTGTCTCAACTATCACTTTTGTTGTTCCTTTGTGTTATCTTGTGTGCTACTTTCTTAGTATAGAATACTTCTGACTTATGGCTTGACTTAATGTAAAACTATATTTAGTGGCGTCTTTTTTCTTGTGCTGCAATGCTCAGAAATAGTAATGCACTGCACTGCATTGCTCAGAAATAGTAGCATATTTCTTACAGAGCTTACAGTGAGCTGTGACCACAACTGTGGAGAAAAGGGGACAGCTTCATAACTTACTATTCATAAACCACTTTGTAATTACTGTTACTGAAAAATACCTTCAGTTTACTGAGAATGTGGAGGGAAGGTCTTTGAAGCGTTGACTAGCTGGGCAGGTAGGCATCGCTGAAAACCAAGGGCCTGTATCTGATAAGACTTGAGTTGCTTGGACCTAAATAAGAAAATGGTGAAATGCTTTTCTTTTTCCATTATGTGGGATTGTGATATTTCTAGTTAGAAAAGCAGTTTCTTCTTGCAAGCAGCAGCCCCACTATCATTTAGAATATTTAGAAAAATAACTTGCAGAGTGACTCAAGTGTTAGAATAATAGATAATATCAGGAAAAAATGGTATTTGAGTTTTGCATATAATGAAATTTCTGAAAAGTTCAGTGCTTAATCAGTTATTGCTTTGGCGGTTAGTCATATCAACTTAAGGACAAATTTTCTAAAAGTAAACTATTGTAACAGCATTCTTTGCTAAACTCTAGATAGGATCACATAAAAGTATGAAATTGGTCAGTGGGTGAGACCTCTATTGCCAGGTTTTCATGTAGAATATGGCTGGGATGGATAGTAGTGCAAGAATTTATCAATTTGTTCCTGTGCAGCTATGTAATGTACAGTAGTGAGGAAGTTTGCTCATCTTTCAAGAAGTTACAGTTAGAATTGCATGAGTTCTATATTTCATGGTGCCTACATTAATTTTCAGATCATTTAAGTGTAAATCCTGTTTGTTAAATCCTATCCATCTCAGCATTGACTCTTAATGAACTGATAATATAGTTAGCTTTGGGACATTCATAAATAAAATGAAAACACTACTTAAAAATTGCATTCTACTTTATATAGTGTAGATATTGTAAATAAAATACATATATGGAAACAGGTGCAGGGGGACAAGTTTCTTCTGCACCCTGAATAACATAAATAATGCATTTTAAAACATAAATTACTAGGCCCTGAACTGAATGCTGATTGTTTTGCTTTAACTTGTGTGGGCTGCCTGCTCTGTTTTTGTTTTCTAAAGTACCCACATGCTAATAAAACCCACATGATGTTTTATTTTTCTTTTAGTTTGTTTTACACCTAATCTACTCCAAAGGGGTGGGGGGGCGAAGCTTTGTAAGTGTCACATGACTCAACAAATTAGCACTGTTCAGAATCATACTCATAATAAATGGAGGGGAGGGTCTTCCTAATGTGACACAAGAATTGATCAATCAGTGCTGTGTAATCTACCTTTAGCTCCAAACTAGAATAACAAGTTTGCTCTAAGAACAAGGTACATGGGTTTAAGTACAGTGATTACCATTCATAGTGGGCTTGCACAACCTATGCATGTCTGCTTGTACCCTCAAGTTGCAATCCTGTGCCTACTTACCTAAGAGTAAGTACCATGGAATTTTGCAGGAGTTACTACTTCTGAGTAAACATCCATAGGATTGTTTGTTTTTTAAGTTGCAAATCCAGTAATATATGTTTGTGTTAACATTTTCTAAGTTTGCTGAAACACAGCTGAATAACATATACAAAAATGCATCTTTGTTGGATGACATGCTGAAATATTATTTGATTGATCAAATAATATATTAAAATAAGTATTCTATTTAACCCTTTCTTCACAGTAAATAAGGAACTGGAGAAACTAGATAATTCATTGCTGATAAGATAATGATTTATATCTGTTGAACTACTAATTTAAAAATATTTGATGTTCAATGCTGATGGAATATTTTTATATAGCAGATGTCAAAGCAAAAGATGATACAAAACTTAGTGACAATAGTCTTCTATGTTTTGCTTCGGACAAAGTTCCAGTTCACTCACTGATACGTTACTCCAGTGCAAAGGAAGAAGGGTTGCAATCAGATATCAAAATAAGGAAAACGTTTCCAGACTGGGGCAAGGGTTGCCTATGTGGTGCCCTCTAGATGTTGCTGCAACTTCTAATCCCTGATCTGGGACTGATGGAAGTTGTAGTCCAACAACATCTGAATGACACATGGTAGCAGTATTCTTAAGAGGGTTTCTTCTCTAGTCTTCAGAGAGTAGCTGGAGGTGGGGAAACAGAAAAAGGTCCTTAATCTCAGGGTCGTGTGTTCGAGCCCCAAGTTGGGCTAAAAGATTCCTGCATTGCGGGGTTGGAATAGATAACCTTTGTGTTCCCTTCCAGCTCTACAGTTCTATGATTCTACCCAGTGCTTTTTTTCTGGGGGTAAGCAGGGGTACGCATACCCTTAAACATTTTGTGAATCTTAAGTTTGGCCTCATTGAGGGGCAGTATTTCAATATGAGCACGAAAATGAGTGTACCCCGAAACATTTTTTAAGAAAAACACTGATTCTACCAGAGCTTTTCATAATACTCTGACAGCTGATGCTTAGGTTCACCTTTGAAAGTATATGCAGATGTGGGAGTAACCCCAAATTTCATTTTTAAGATTCTGTATTTCTGAGTGAGATGATACGCAGGTATCAAAGTAACTCCTATGTCTGCAAATACATTCAGGGATCAGTCTAGATACTGGTCTGGGAAATACAACAATTTGCTTTTCTCTGTGGCAGATGCAAATGCCTGTTTTTCTGCCAAGGCTACTTAAAACTCATATTCTCTAATTTGACAAGTCCTTGATGCAGAAACCAAGTGTCACAATATCAATACACTAGGAGTGCAATCGTGTGCACAGCTGGGATGATTAAATCCTGTTGAAGTCAGTGGGATTTAAGCAGCATATGTGCACAATTGCAGCTCAGATTATTAAAAACCATGTTGCATAATGCAGATATGTGGTTAAGCAAAATGTATGATCAAACATGATGAAATTTGGACTAGAGATTGTCTGGTGTGAGGCTACATATCAAGTGGGACTAGACTTGGAGCAATGGAACTCTGTAAATAAACCTTCAAAACTTACCAACCTGCACATTTTACTAGCCTGCTAAGAGGCTAGTAAATGGCTAGTAAACTAGCCTGCTAAGAGGCTAGTAAATGGACCAGTCATTTGATCGGTTTTGCAATGGATTTAGTATTGATTCCTAGGCAGGTGCCAATAGGATGTCTGGAAATAGTTAAGTGAATGTTTCATTTCCTAACTGTTTCATTTACAATCACACTTCTTTTATTATATGAAGTAGTAAATGTGTATTTTAATATATTTTTCAGGCCATGGAAAAACTCCAAAAGATGCTGCTTCTGTTCGAGCTACTCATCCCATACCTGCAGCTTGTGGAATATACTATTTTGAAGTTAAAATTGTCAGCAAAGGAAGAGATGGGTAAGGTTTGAGTGCACCTTTGTTTCAGAAACAATTTAATTTATACAATACATCTATTTCTGCTAAAACAATAATTTAGTGTTCATGTTGAAAAATGTCCAGATTCTACTTTCTGTTCAGATCTGGTAAAAGTAGTAGATATTTAATCAAGCTCTCTCCACATGTTTAAAATTTAATCCTAGTAATTGATTTTAGAGTTGCAGACCCAAGTTTCCACAAATAGTCCAGAGAAATCAAATTCTCGATTCACTTTTGGCATGAAAGGTTACAATTGAATTTTAAGCAGACAATTCATTTCCATTGATAAGTATTTACTGTAACAGTCTGATGGAGTCCAGAATTGCTTGAGTTGTATTCTTTGCTGGCCTTTATGAACATAGGAACAGCACCTGGGCACTCCTTAGAGTGTTAGTAAGCAGAGTATAGTATTCTTCGGGTTTCCTTTCACTGTGATAATATTTTAGTGAATTCAGATGTTGCCACTCGTTTTAAATAGTTTACTGCAGTATAGAATGTGAAAATTCTGATCTCTGTGATTGGAATTGATATGTCTTACTCTACAATCCTGCTTATCTAGCATGCAGAAAGTTAATATCTAGGACACAAATAGATCATGGCTTTCACAGATTGTTTTGGTGGCATCTTTTTCTGGGGCACTGATGTTGAAAAGTCTCAATTGCTGCCTGATTTAAAGAACCAGTCTTAGAAATATTATAACTGGAGTGCAGAACTGAAGTTGTTGATAATTCCAGCATGGGCAACAATGTGTTTCAATTAGTAATTGCCTTTGGGAGAATCTCAAAGAAGTAATCTCGGAATAAGACTTATTCTGACTAAAAGGTTCTCTATGCCGATAAAGCCATTCATACCGCAATGTTTTAACACCTTAATGTTTTGCATTGTTAGAGTCAAAACTTGCATCTGTGGTGGAGGCTATAATATGAAGTAGCTGTTTGGAAGACCTAAGTTGAAGTAGGGACGCGGGTGGCGCTGTGGGTTAAACCACAGAGCCTAGGACTTGCCGATCAGAAGGTAGGCGGTTCGAATCCCTGCGACAGGGTGAGCTCCTGTTGCTCGGTCCCTGCTCCTGCCAACCTAGCAGTTGGAAAGCACCTCAAAGTGCAAGTAGATAAATAGGTACCGCTCCAATGGGAAGGTAAATGGCATTTCCGTATGCTGCTCTGGTTCGCCAGAAGCGGCTTAGTCATGCTGGCCACATGACCCGGAAGCTGTACGCCGGCTCCCTCGGCCAATGAAGCGAGATGAGCGCCACAACCCCAGAGTTGGTCACGACTGGACCTAATGGTCAGGGGTCCCTTTACCTTTACCTTTACCTTTAAGTTGAAGTATGGGTCTGGTGACTATGGTCGATTCCAGATCTTCCTATCTGCCTGCAAAATGTGAACAGATAGGATCTGTTGTAGTGTGGTTACGACAGTGGTTGAGGGTGTGACAATAGGTTTGGATTGTAAAGTGCTGTATGGATAACACAATAAGCACCTATGTATAATTCACAGCTTTTGTAGATATGGACGAGTGCTAGAAAAGCTGAAAGTCAGTACAGTCATACCTCGTGTTGGGTCTGCGTCATGTTGCATCTTTTCACGTTATTTCCCGCGGCAACCTGGAAGTACTAGAATGGGTTACTTCCGGGCTTTGCTGCATGTGCAGAAGCGCCAAATTGCAGGCGCAGCACTTCAAGTTGCATTTCACATTATGGGCGGGCCTCCGGGACGGATCCTGTCCGTAACCTGAGGTACCACTGTATGGCAATGCTGATTTTGGACTTGGATCTTAAACATTAACTTTGGTTAACCTGGATTCAGTGGGTATACCTGGTCAGTTTGCTACCTTCCATCCTGTATTTGTCAATGGTAAAACGGGAATATGTGAACTATAGTGGTACCTTGGTTCTTGAACAGCTTAGTTGTCGAACAAATCAGTTCCCAAACACCGCAAACCTGGAAGTAAGTGTTACAGTTTGCAAACGTTTTTCAGAAGCCGAATGTCGGATTCAGTTTCCGCTTGAGTGCAGGTAGCTCCTGCAGCCAATTGGAAGTCGCGCTTTGGTTTTTCGAACAGTTTCGGGAGTCAAACCGGCTCCTGGAACGGATTAAGTTCAAGAACCAAGGTACCATTTTATATCAAAGAAGCATTAAGAGGCTGAATAACATATGGATGTATTTTGAAGAGTAGAATTATTACTGAAATGAATTTCATGTTCCTATAGTTTATTGCATTTATCTGAAGAAAATTGATTAATCAGACATGAATTGCCATAGTGATTGTATCTAGAGGTATGCTTGATCAGCTATTGGAGCTTGATGTGTCTGATTCATGCCAGTTTTTACGTAGCTAACAGTATGTGGATCATAGACTGTGGGTTAGGATCTGGGAAGAATTACACTCACAAAGGTTCCTGATGTTTTCTACAGCTTGGTAGAAATCGTAATAGGTTTGCCTAAAACGCCTTGTAATTGTGTAATCCTGCATGTTTACTCAGAAGTAAAACCCACTGAATTCAGTCTGGCTTACTCACAAGAAAGTAGGTGTAGGATTTTGACCTCAGTAGTTTAATTTTTACTCCTTTTTATTGTCTCCTATTCATTGCATTTCACAATGTCCCTATACTTCCAAGAGGTATTACATAACTTGTTTTCTTCATGCTGGAATATGTTCCCTTGTTAGGAAGAAGCTCCTTTACTCTTTCTCTTCCTTAGCTTATTTTCTCTTAAGCTATAGCCTTACCAGCTAACAGTCCATGTTTGATGATGACACTTTATCTTAGAAATGCTGACAAGCTGCATTTCATTTGTGTATTGATCTTGCTGAGACATTAGGCAAGCTCTTTGAGGAAAATGCAGAAAACCCTGTTTAGCTAACAGGGTAGTGGGGAATCAGAGCTTGATGGATAGGGATGTTGGGGACCCCTAATCAGCTTTTCTTCTCCTGAAGTTATCAGTTTCTGTTGTGGATATTGAAAAAATAAAGTAACAGGTGGCTTTGTGCAATTTTTTCTTAGAGTTGGTTTGAGTCCCACTGGGTCTAAAAAAAAGTTACAAAAAGGAATAAGCTTTCCATTTCCCCTTCCTGTTTATACTATAGCCTACTACTTTGGCCAGTCCAAAGACCATTTTGGCCAATCCATGCCCATCTACCAAATCACCTGCTATTGGGTTACAAAAGCAGTGTAACCAAAATGCAAGTTTTTTCTCAATATTGTTCTTTTCACATGCATAGAAACATCCTGCATTTGCATTGGCCCAAGTTTACAGAAGCCAGTCCAGATTGCTTACACCACAAATCTAACTTCACACCTCTCAATGAAATGTGTATCTAGTACCTGTCAAAAGAGCATGTGTGATATATTGTGCTATATGAGAAACTGAAACTGCCAATCCATACCTCTTTAATTCAATAGTAGCAAATAGATTTTCTTGCAATGTTGCTGTTTTGAAGTGGTCATTTGAAATTCAAAAAGGATAAACTTTTTTTTTCAATATTACAGTTATATGGGGATTGGGCTCTCTGCTCAAGGTGTGAATATGAACAGACTACCAGGTATGATAAGAAATCATTGTTTTGTTTTAAAACATTGTTTTATTCCTGTGAGATGCTGATCAGAACATCTTTTTTAGATACTAATCCAGATAACCTGTAAAAACCTTAAAATTCTGTTGCTAGCATTTTGTAAGTTACGCCCGCACATGTGAGTGTGGAGTTTGTAAAAATGCTCTCCAAGCAAGAAAAATACTCCAGCTGACACACCCATCACTTAATAAAGTTATCCAAACCTGATCCCACCCTCAAATAGTTTCTTAAATTTCCCTCCATAAGCAGTGATGGGAAGGTTTATCTTTCTCCTCACCCCAAGTTCCATTTCAAAACAGTTTTTATTTTCCTCCTCCTATCCACATTCCAGTACAATTCTATATATGTCTACTTAGGGGTAAAGTCCATTAAGCTTAAATGAGCTTACTGAAGGTGGTGCTGGCTGAAAGGCACTTTCCCCATCCTCCCAATCTAGTATCCCGACACTTCATGGTTTCATCCTCTATCTCTGCATCACCAATTCTTCCCCAGGCTTTAAAACATATTCTCTCCTCCAGCCTCACAAATATGCTACCAAACACTCAGAAGTCTCATCTCTGTGCTTCTTTGTATTGCTTGTTCTAAGATAAGAGGCCTTTGGATTTAGCAGCTTGCTGCTGCAGCTCTAATGCTACTTTGTAGTTCTTCTAATACAGCAAAGCATTTATACTCTAAAATTTCATAAATATGCTGAAGTACAGTTTTATGTTCCAAGTCACATACCCATATATTTCATGTTCTTAAAGTAGTAAAGTAAGTTTTAGCTTGATAAGAAGATAAATATTGCATTACATCTGAATTTCCTTCCAGCATTTCAATACTCTTCTCCTGTGCTTGTCCCCCAGCCCTGAGGTTAAATTGTGTTTCCAGTTTATTCATAGTCTTATGCTTATTTTAGGCATATGCCTATGGCTTAACCTTTTTGAATTCAGTTGTGTTTATTTTCAGATGCATCATCTGATTTGCTACAAAGCTAAATGCTACATGTTTTGTTTTAAGGTTGGGATAAGCATTCATATGGGTACCATGGAGATGATGGACATTCATTTTGTTCCTCTGGAACTGGACAACCCTACGGTCCAACATTTACAACTGGTGATGTCATCGGCTGTTGTGTAAACCTTATCAACAATACCTGTTTCTACACAAAGAATGGACATAGTTTGGGTATGAAGAAGAGTCACTGATAATTAAATATATATCAAGACACCTAATGAAATGGTGATAGCACTCTTTCCAAATCTAAGATGTTAAGTATTACTTTGTTGTTGGAGCTCAGCACTGAAAGAAAACATAAAGAAAGTTCAAATACTGTTTCCTCAGTTCTAGGAGGACACTTGTCAGGGCTGTTGTCAGTAGCTCTTTGAGGTTTCAAAAGAGCTCCAATTTTGCAAAAGTTAATATACAAAATTGCTCACTTCAAAACTGGAAGAAAATCAAATTTAAAATAAACATTCAGCCTAGAGGCAACTTACCATATGACTTTCTGTATCTCAGTATTTTCATATCTTCTTTCTATTCTGTTGTTCCCCAAGCCAAAATTCATTTTGCACAGTTCTTATGGTTTTTATCAGCAAAACATAGAACAAAATTAATATAATAAGGAAAACTGTAAAAATATTGGTAATCTGGTACAGCCATACCTTGTGTTGTGTTAGGTTCATGTTGCGCCTTTCTGGCTTGCTAATGCGGCAAACCCAGAAGTGTATACTTCCGGGTTTTCTCTCATGCGCAGAAGCGTTCTGTGCGCTTTGCACATGTGCAGAAGTGCTCTATCGCGCTCTGCGCGGAAGTGCTACTCTAGTTGCGGACTTTTTGGGGTGCAAACAGCACCCCGGAACGGATCATGTCCGCAACTAGAGGTACCACTGTAATAGCTTTGCAGTTGTTTTGATCTAGGCTTCTCTTCTGCTGTGGCAGAAGTTAGAGAGGTAACTTCTGCCAGTTTGCCTTTCCCCTTGCAGCACTGTGCTCCTTTAGGAAGTCTGCTCCAGAGGGTTGGAATACTCTGTGGAGCAGTGTGGGAGTTTGTGCTGGAGGCTGATGGGAAAATTGGCAAAAGTCAATGTGTTTCCCCTGAGTCAAAAGCATTTTGTGGATAGAAAAAATCCCTTCTGCTCGTCGAGTTGAAATCTAGCTCTAACCCATGGGCTGGTTATTTTAAAGTAAAAAAACAAATTCTCAAATAAGCTTCATACTGTTGTCATCTCCCTAAAACAGATTCTGAAAGTTAACTTTTATGTTAGTTCATTCCTTGGCAATACAGGTTTCTTAACAAGTTTTCCTGTAAACTGTGTAAACTATGATTTACCTGGTAAAACAGGAGTTGATAACCACCTTGCCAACTCTGCATCCCTGTTTTTATTGCCTTTTTATGTTGCATTATCATAGGTACACAAAATACTCTGCCTGCTTCTTAACAGCATAAGAGTACACCTAAGTAAATTCTAAAAAATGAGAATAACTAACCAGTAATATTTCCTGTCCTCTTGAGATCTAAGCTGTTCAACTTAGATTATATGAGCACTGAGTATGTTCTATGATTAAAATACATTTTTCTGTGTGACTGTGGCAGCACAAATCTTAATTTATGTCTCTTGATTACAGGTATTGCTTTCACGGATTTGCCGGTAAGATAAACATACTAAAAAATTCAATAGCATTCCTATGTAAAATACACATTTCCCTGCTTGTATAATATGTGTTTTTCCTTTTATTGTATTTTAAAATGACAACCATGGTAACAAAACAACAATTTGCAATTGGAACAAATGTTTCTCATTTTTACTGGAGGTTTTTATGAAACTTCCAATTTTCACAAGAATATTGGCAAAATGCTATAAAAATTGCCTTCCATTTGGTGTGTTAGTACCTTGTGTTAGCATTTATGACTTTTGATGCTTCAGCAAATATTTAGATTACATAGGAGTCACAAGTATGGGGACATAAGTTAGTAGCAGAGCTCATCCTTTGCATGCAAAATGTCCCTGATATAATCTCTGGCAGCAGAAGGTAAGACTTGGAAAGACCTCTGTTGAAACCCTAGAGCAGTGGTTCTCAAACTTTTTTTCTCTAGGCCACACTTTCAGAATAAAAATTTGCTCATGCTACACCAATTTTTTTATTGATAAGAAATACATTGGAAAACAAAAAGAAACAACTCCTAGCAGTGCTTGATTTATAACATAGAACACAACTGCTTTTTAATATGATCATGGGGCATTCAGAATGTATAAAACAATGCAGCTATGTACGAACATTAATCATTCCCAAAATATAATTATAAATGAGCCTCTTACATTCGTACCTTAAGTATATATCCAAACTCAGTGAGAGGTGTGAGCTTGCTTTTGCGGTAATCTCATTTATAGTCGGTCTACTTTGAGTCAAACTCTCGTCTCCTAAACAACACAAAGAAACCTTTCTCTTTTTCGATTTTTCATATTTGTCAGTTGAAAATCCCTGTTCACAACAATATGTTGTGCAGATGTAGAAGAATAGGCAATGCTCTTGAAGAGAGACGTGAATACTGCTTCTGGTTGTGTGTATATAAAATTACTTCTCTACTAATACTATACTATACAACACTACATTGAAATGTTTAAATATTTCTTAAATATGCCCTTGATTCTTCCCGCCACACTTGCCATCCTCTTCTGCCACACCAGTGGGTGAGAACCACTGTCTTAGAGCATGGGTGGGCAAGTGTGATTCAGTTTTGTTTTCTGCTAGTGGCACTTGCAGTCATTTTGTTGCTCTGTATATCCAGTAATTTGCTTTCATGCCAGTTTAAAGTACATTTGGATTTTGAGAGATTAAAGTATGTATTGCAATTATCTCTTGCAGCCAAACCTGTATCCTACAGTTGGTCTTCAAACACCAGGAGAAGTGGTGGATGCGAATTTTGGACAGCATCCATTTGTGTTTGATATTGAAGACTATATGCGAGAATGGAGAACCAAAATTCAAGCTCAGATTGACCGATTTCCTATAGGAGATCGGGAAGGAGAATGGCAGACTATGATTCAAAAGTAAGCATTTGAAGATTATAATAAGTCCTTCCTAAATTTCTATTCAAATTTAAGAGATTTGATTAGTCTCTTCAGTCTTAGAAATCCTAGTCTGCATATATGTCGTTGCATACTTTTATGCCAGTGGAGGTAAGTTTGCAACACCTGTTAAACTGTGTCATTTGTATTTGTCTGGTGACATTATCTCCATGTAGAATAATGTTTCTTCTTGTGTAGTGAAGGGGGCTAGAGAGAGGTACATGGATGTGAAAGCAATGCCTACTGGTAACTGCAATAGCTTTTTCTCTCGAACTTCAGCAATGCAAAAATCATCCCATGCATCTTGATTTTTTAAAATCTGTGTCATGACAGTCTCCTTCAATATGTGTAAATTTGGATTAAGTAATATGAGAAGTAGCTGTTACCTTTTGTCAATCAATGATTCTAGGTCTGCTTCCTATATATAAAACAATTAAAAGACTTGCAAACTTTGTGTCACACCAGTATCTGACAATAATGATAGAATGATGACATGCACATTAATTTCTGATTCAGTGCTATCAGTTTATACTAGATTGTGCCAGTTAAACAACAAAAGCACCTGACAATATCTCTTTTTGCTATAGTAGTAATGATGCCACCATACAAACTTCAAATACTGTTGATTTTTGTCTCTTGAGTAGCTTCTGAAAATCTTGGCCATGTGCATATAATTAATTGATTGATATATTTATTTGGCCTCCATTTGGTATGGACATGGTGCTCCAGTTTTTACTTTGTTTCTGCTTTGGATGAGGAAGGGAGGAATGATACTGCACATGCTCTCCGTTCTGTAAACACAAAATTAACATACCATTTATCAGCCTATTTCTACCTTGCAGCTGAAGATGCTAAAGTTTGCACCAGCAACCTTAAGTGCAGCTTGTTTGTCCCTCCAGGGAACTGCTGATTGCTCCTCTTCTGTTTTAATATCCAGAACTGCCTTAGGTTTCAGAGCTTAAGAAATTTCCTATGCTCAGTGCTGCTTTGTATGCCTAAATTAAATATTTGATTTAGCAGCAGCATTAAATCACTTAACTCTTCTAGACTAGCTCCATTGTCTTGAATAGGAAGTACCGTATTTTTCGTTCTATAGGACGCACCGGTCCATAGGACGCACCTCGTTTTTTGGGGGGAATGAATAACCCCCCGCGGCTGCCGCCCCAAGCCTCGCGTGCTCGGGCTGCAGGCTACCGCCCCCAGCCGCGCGCGCGCGGCTTGCAGACACTCGCCCGAGCACGGGAGCCCTCCGGAGGGCTCCCGTGCTCGGGCGACAAGCTGCAGCCCAAGCCTTGCGCGCTGGGCGGGACCTCCCGCCGGGCGCGCAAGGCTTGCAGACACTCGCCCTAAGCAAGGGAGCCCTCCGGAGGGCTCCCGTGCTTTGGGCGACAGGCGGCAGCCCCACGCCTGGCGCGCTGGGCGGGACCTCCCGCCGGGCGCGCGAGGCTTGCAGACACTCGCCCGAAGCACGGGGAGCCCTCCGGAGGGCTCCCCGTGCTTCGGGCGACAAGCTGCAGCCCCAAGCCTTGCGCGCTGGGCGGGACCTCCCGCCGGGCGCGCGAGGCTTGCAGACACTCGCCCGAAGCAAGGGGAGCCCACCGGAGGGCTCCCCGTGCTTCGGGCGACAGCTGCAGCCCCAAGCCTTGCGCGCTGGGCGGGACCTCCCGCCGGGCGCGCAAGGCTTGCAGACACTCGCCCGAAGCAAGGGAGCCCTCCGGAGGGCTCCCCGTGCTGCGGGCGACAATCTGCAGCCCCAAGCCTTGCGCGCTGGGCGGGACCTCCCGCCGGGCGCGCAAGGCTTGCAGACACTCGCCCGAAGCAAGGGAGCCCTCCGGAGGGCTCCCCGTGCTTCGGGCGACAAGCTGCAGCCCCAAGCCTTGCACGCTGGGCGGGACCTCCTGCCGGGCGCGCAAGGCTTGCAGACACTCGCCGAAGCACGGGAGCCCTCCGGAGGGCTCCCCGTGCTTCGGGCGACAGGCTGCTGTCCCAAGCCTCGCACGCTCGGCGGGACCTCCTGCCGGGCGCGCAAGGCTTGCGGACACTCGCCGGGGCTGCAGGCTGCTGCCTGCAAGCCTTGTGAGCCCGCGGGAACTCCCACCGGGCTTGCAAGGCTTGCGGATAGCTTCCTGAAGCCTGGAGAGCGAGAGGGTCGGTGCGCACCGATGCCTCTCGCTCTCCAGGCTTCAGCGAAGCCTGCATTCGCTCCATAGGACGCACACACATTTCCCCTTCATTTTTGGAGGGGAAAAAGTGCGTCCTATGGAGCGAAAAATACGGTAAGAGCAGGGGGTCTCAGGGTTGTTACCTTGGCCACTCTCATGTTTTGTATCTTCAGTATCCTAGTAACAAGCAGCCAAATAAATGTTGCTGCGTACTTAAAATATACATAAGCATACATGTTTCATTTGAAAACATGAAAAAGTGGTAACTGCATGGAAGTTGCTTGTTTAAATTAATTTGTAGTGCTAAAAGTGAATATTAGAATATTATCCCAGGATATTTCTTAATGTAAATTTACCTAAACCACTTCTCAAGGATTTTGAGGAGTTCTTTGTTTGAAAAGTTGCCTCTAGGCTATGTATTTACTTGCATATGTTCACTTTTTACAGGATGGTTTCATCTTATTTGGTACATCATGGGTACTGTGCAACAGCAGAGGCCTTTGCTAGATCTACTGATCAGACTGTACTAGAAGAATTGGCTTCCATTAAAAATAGACAAAGTAAGTCTGAAAAATACTGTAATTTATTTTTTTAAATTCATTTTTATTGAATTTTCCACTTTAACAATCCAATCAAATCACATTAAATATTCCAAATTATACATATCAAATAGTCTGAATATTTTGCCAAATTATAAATTTTTAATAGGACTTCCCATGCTTCACGTTCAGAGGGTTCTGATCATCTCATACTTCTACTGCTTTTCATAGTAATTAGTGGTTTCTCTAATTCTTTTTGTTGTTGACCTTCATTCTTTCACAGCCTCTGAGTTGTTCCCACAAGCGAGTTAAAACAAACAATGATGTGTTTCTGTGTGGATTTTATGTCCATGATTCCCCTCTATAAGTTCGCTGCATCTCACACGCTGGTGTTTCTGCCGAATCAATCCGAAAGTCTTTTCGCTGCTGGCAGCCGCCACCTTCACTCAGTTCCGATAAAATCAAATCTAAGTGTCTGATTTTCCCAGACCGGTTGCATCAAACATTAGCCTTTCTAGGGGAAATTTACGAAATCAAACTGGAAACACAAATACAATGACATATTAGAGGCTCACCTCCCCCTATGACGATTTGTAATTCTGCAGCCCGGTCTAGACTTCCAATCATGGCGGATTTCCAAATTAAAGGTGCGACACAGCTCCCACATAGATTCCAGGAAACTGTCCAAGGTTTTTTAATATCTCTCCAGCGGTTAATGAGATTCTGCTTCTGTCTGATGTACACACATTGGAGAATCTTTTATCCTCTTCCAATCAAATCAAAGATCAAAAGCCCTAATTATATAGTATTATTATTTCCACATAGTTTATATATTTAGAGCCATATTATATGAACAAATACAAAACTTTCCAATCTCGCTTGTTATAGTTTATGTAAATTTTTCTTCGGTGGGGGGGGGTGCCAAATAATATAATAAAGCAAAGTACAGTAATAAGAGAGGCTCTCCCCCCTTTTCGTTCCTTTCCAACATACCAACTTAGATGTTATGAAAAATACTGTAATTTAAATGTTCAGATAATTTTTTTCCTTAGTGCTCCTTATTCAGATTTACAGAATAATCAGCAGTTAGTGGTCACTGTGTTCCATAGATGATACAAAGAAAAAAGGTTATCTAAATATAATTAGCAGGGCCGCCACCTGATAAACCATGATTAAAATTAATTCATATAGATATTATTATTATTATTATTATTATTATTATTATTATTTTATTTTGTGCCCCATCCATTTGGCTGGGTTTCCCCAGTCACATATTAATGCACTTGGTATGAGTGCATTTTTAAAATACAGTAAACCCTCAATATATGCTGGGGTTACATTCCAGGGATTACACTTAAAGCCAAAATCACATATAGTCAAAGCACATTGGATGCAATGGCAGGTGGGATTGCCGAAGTGTCCCATCCCCCCCCCCCGACTTCTCCCCCCTTTTTAGTTAAATGCACATAAATTGCAGGATTATTGTATCGACAGATGTATAACTTGACAGTTTAGCCAGCAAAAGCTATTCCACAGTTGAGAGATCATCAATAATATTTTCTCTTACATTCCTATTAGTCTTTGCCCTACCAATTACTTTTGGATTTTAGTGATTTAGGCAACAGTCCTAAACTAACTTACTTGAGAGTAAACCCTATTAAACTTAATGAATGAGATGTGCTTCTGAGTATAGGATTGCGTTTAAATCATTTAAAGCAATAGTTAATACATACATGAAATTAACTGATTATTGAACTTAAAGGGACTTATTTCTGCAAAAACATGCTTGGGGATTGCTCTTAATCACTTTCAGTCATGCTATTTAACTAATCTTTACCTTAAATTAGAGTTTTGCCTTATAATTGGTGTAACAGAATATTTCTCTTGATATGCTATGGTGCAGTTGTCAGAGTTTCTGAAGGGATTCTTTGCCTGGCTGCTTCTGCTTGTTATTGTTGCTGTTGCTTTTTTTATTATGGTTTTATTTATTTAGTTAGTTAGTTAGTTAGTTAGTTAGTTAGTTAGTTCTTTGAAATCTGTAAGCTATTTTGTAGGTCTCCTCCTTTCAAAGGCAGGATTTGCAAGTTTTAAGTACTAATTGGGTGTGTAAGAAAGATGCAATTTTGTAGTTGATTTGATTTGATTGATTCAATTTATATACCTCCCTAAACCTGGAGGTCTCAGGGCAGTTCACAGTTGATGTAAAGTATTTGTTGCAAACCTGTCTAGCAAAATCTGGTGAAAGTTGAGGACTTTTAAGAAGAAGTGTTTAACTACATCAAGGGTGTGGAACTATATCAGGGGTGCAGGGTTTCCTCTGCTGGCCAAATTTGACAGGTGAGTAGGACTACACACATCTGTCAATCACCTAATGTAATAGTGGCATCAGATGATAGACCACGGTCGGGTGATTTCCATAACCACAGCCAAGCTTATGAATGGTTACATTGGTCTCTTTTGAAGGTACTCTCACAGCACCATTCAGCTGATGGTTGGTGGAAGCGTTGCCTTCAAAGAGACCTGCTGCATTAGACAATGTGGGTTGCATTGAAAGAGCTTGCTAAAGCAGAGGGGAAATGTACAGTTCTTAATCTGTTTCTTCTTTTTCTCCACAGGAATTCAGAAACTGGTTTTAGCAGGAAGAATGGGAGAAGCCATTGAAACAACACAACAATTGTATCCAAGTTTATTAGAAAGAAATCCTAATCTCTTATTTGCTTTGAAGTAAGTCTTAAAGTACCGTATTTTTCGCCCTATAAGACTCACCGGCCCATAGGATGCAACTAGGTTTTTTGGGGGGAAATAAAAAAAAATTATTCCCCCCCCCAGCCGCGGGAACTCCCGCAGGCTCCCCAAGCTTACAGATAGCTTCCTAAAGCCTGGAGAGAGAGGGGGGTCTGTGCGCACCGACCCCTCTCGCTCTCCAAGTTTCAGCGAAAGCCTGCATTCGCCCCATAGGACGCACACACATTTCCCCTTCATTTTTGGAGGGGGAAAAGTGCGTCCTATAGGGTGAAAAATACGGTAAATTGTTAGTACTGTAAATTGCTGTCTAATCATTGGGAGTTTATGTGGACACCCTTACGACTTTCAAGCTTCCACAGTAGTGAATGATCTTGTTGGTTATGTTAGTGCAGTGAATTTCAAAAAGTTACTTTGAGTATTAACTTTTATTCCTCAGTCTTGAGAACCTCTTAATTTAATTTAATTTAATTTAATTTAATTTAATTTAATTTAATTTTTTTAAGAGCACAGTTATAATCCTGAAAGTTCTGTAGCAGAACTTTTGGCATGTGAAGTTAATATTAGATTATACAGTGGTACCTCGGGTTACGAATTTAATTCGTTCTGGAAGTCCGTTCTTAACCTGAAGCGATCTTAACCCGAGGCGCATGTTCCCTACATAGGCCTCCTGCAGCCCCGGAAGCGGATTGCGTTTGTATCCCGGGGCAAAGTTTGCAACCTGGAATACCTACTTCCGGGTTTGTGGAGTTCGTAACCTGAAGTGTTCGCAAGCAGGACTGTTATTACCCGAGGCACCACTGTACCTGGTTTCTGTGAAACTGCTAATAACCCTTCTTCACAGAGTTGTCTTGGACAACTCTGGATGCCTGTTGCCCAACAATGTCACAGAAATCTGCTTCTTTTTTCCTTCTATAATTTCAGCTTCTAACCAGGAAAAGAGAGAGGGAGCAAATGCCCCTCCCCACCCCACCCCATTATCTGAGAATGAAGTACATAAATAGGTCTGTGCTAATTTGAAATACCTGGACCGGATTTTTAAAATATGGTGAAGTGCTGTCATGTGGCACTTTAAGAATTAAAAATAGTGCCCCTATTACTGGGGGTGAGCAATACAATTCACCGCTTTCTCCTTCAACACTGGAGTAGTCTTTCTCTTGTATGCTAAGGTGTGTGAATATCCACTACTGGCCATGTAATCCACTTAAAAAGGAATAATTAAAAACCTGCTGTAAAGCTTATGGGACTTGAGGAAGCAGCTGCAGTTAGGAATTGAGAAAAGGCCCTTCCTCTGCTGCAAAGCTCCTTCATTTATTCCCCAATCTTCTATTTTTGAATGGTTTCCAAGTGGCAGTTACTGTTACAGCTGTGGAAAGGTGGGGGAAGAAGTAGATGCTCTCATTCTGCAGTAATAATTATATGTTTCACTGACCTTCATTTGTATTAAACAGCAACCAAACTACTATAATGCAAATCATTAATAATACTGAGAGCAATTAGATTGTTGAAATTATATTGGCTTCATAAACTAACTCTTCTCTCACGTTTCCTAGGGTACGGCAGTTCATAGAAATGGTCAATGGTACAGACAGTGAAGTACGATGTCTAGGAGGTCACAGTCCAAAATCTCAAGATAGCTATCCTGTTAGTCCTCGATCGTTTAGTAGTCCTAGTATGAGCCCCAGCCATGGAATGAATATTCACAGTTTAGCAACAGGCAAAGGAAGTAGCACACACTGTTCTGGTGAGTTTGAGCTGGCAGAAGCTGGTGTTATACAGAGGTGTTTCACTTCTGGATCTTCAGTTTTTCATCCATCTGTCTATTAGCATGTGAAATGCTTTGTGTTGTGGCTGGTGTCCCGCAGTGTTGCCACTCAGCTCCTTGCTGGCACTAACAACTTTTCTTCTGCACCTGTCTTATTTCTAACAATAGAGACAGACATGTCCCATAGTGTATGGACAAGTGGGCCTCTCTTTCAATTAACCACTGCAGCTATTGCCACTGTCATAATTTTATTTAAGAAGCAAATAAGGATCAAGCAAAGAGATTCTTCCAAAAGTTTAAACCTCATTACAAAAAGAGTGGTTTCTCTTGCTGCATCCCATGCTATCTAGACCACAGTAGATCAAATAATGGACAGCTTGTTCATACTACTGCTGGGGAGGGAGGAGAGATTATGGGAGGAGAGTCCTTTCAGGTGTCAAAAGACAGAAACCATATTGTTTTGAGGTTAGCTTGCCCTCTATGCAAAACCCATGTTGTATGGAATTATGAATATTCAAAATAAGCACACATTTGTAAATTCTAACACTAGATTATTTTTAAAAAGAATTTTTGCTTTTTGGGTTTTAGGTTTTGAAAGTAGTTGCAGTAATGGAGTGATATCAAACAAAGCATATCAGTCTTACTGTCACAGTAAACATCAGTCCACCAGTTTGAATGTACCAGAGCTCAATAATATAAATGTAACACGGTCACAGCAAGTTAACAGCTACTCCAGGTAAGTACACTCATTCCAACCTGATACCACTGTTCTTCATCCACCACTGTTCGTGATTTATGTATTGTACTGATTTTCTAGGACAGGTAACTCAGATCTGCGTTCCTAGCCATCATGCATATAAGCGAAATTGCATAAAGCCAGGATCCCCCAGAACTGGGCTTCACTGCAAGGTGGAGGGTTGCTTGTCCAGCTTTGGGAAGGCAGCACAGGGGTTTGGGGATGCTGCCAGAGCCCTTGCAACACCTTCCCAAATCTGGGTCCCATGATCACAGCTTTGCATAGATGCAGGGGAGTAAGTAAATTGGAGAGTGGGTTATTTTCCCCACCCATGCAAAGTTGTGATCACATAAGTAAGATAAGTGCAAGTTGTGAGTTACCTGTATAGGCTATTATTACAAGCTGCAGTGCCTTCATCTCACCCTAGTGGGTAGGCTTCAATTCAAATATTTTTCTCTATGCTTTTAGTATGGGGTATGCACTAATCAATCACTACTTTCCCCACGTCAACCACTTACTATTCAGGGACTTTTCTCCCTAGTCTCATATAAGCTGTAGGCAGCCACCATTCTTGAAACGGCTGTACAGCACATACTTCTCTGTGAAAACCCCTTCCCTCTCTTAACCCCCTGTACAAAGAGAAAGTTTAGAGGAATCTACATACCACCTCTCATGTGGATATATTTCAGATACTCTGTCTGAGAGGAGAGAAACTGGACAATCCCATACATGTCTATTTTTAAAAAATTAAACACACTCACGAGCCACAAATAAAATATTTTTCACATGTCTATTTAGTGTTTATTATTTTAAAACTATTTTAATTCTTGCCTGCCTGTAACCAATGTGGATAAATGACAAACTCTAGCCCTGCTGATGCATTATCCTATTTAGGTCCTATCTATGTTGATGTGGTGGAGGGTCATGCTTTTAGCACGGCTCCCAAAATATGTACGTCTTTTGTGTGGTTGTCTGCAGAGAAATCCCAGTGTTTGAAAATTGTGAATATGACCATAGGTGGGAATATACTGGATGTACTCTACATCTGAATGGGGCTTATATTTTACTTGGTGCACCAATTTCTGATAGGCTAAGAATGAGTTGCATAGGTTAAGTGGTCAGGAGCAACAGGGAAAGCTGGTCCTGTTTCCTGTAGTTATGTATTGTGCTATTGCAAGAACTGTGGCAGCATAAATAAAAAGTGGTGTCTTTGGAGATTCACAGCCCACACTTAACTTTTTAGGAGCTCATGTTCTGGCTTTTAGACAAGCCTGGTGCCAGAATATGGCATATTTGGGCAACAAGTGCCAAGGTCCCTGCAGGCTTCACCACCACTGGACTGCCTCCATCATGTGTTTCTGTGAGAACCATGATTGCTTAGCTTGCTTTCTCAGCTCTCATAGTACACCTACATACATACCACCCATTGCCATGCCACCCACGTGCTTCTGTCAGGGGCGGCATAATTAAGATGGCAGTGCCAGCAAGCTCAGGCTTATGGGAGCAACCTGCTTGAGGTGGGCTTGCTTTTATACCCTTTGATCCACCCCTTATTAAGGATTCTTCATAATGTATTGAATTCATCATGAAATTCAACTTTCTCATATTCCAATAGTAATGTTTCTCACAACACTTTTGGATGCACAAGCTCACACAGAGAACCAGACCATCCAAGAAAGAGCTCTGTCACCCCATCAGTCAAGTGATTTATTTATTTTTTTTACCATAAGTCAGATGCAGATGTGTGGTAAAATAGGCTTTTATTCTTCCCCAGTTGCATTGTGGGACATAGTGAGGTGCACATTTAAAAATGAGACCCCCATTCCAACTTAATGATACATTTTTCCTCTTCTCAGCAATGATGTAGACATGGAAACAGATCACTACTCCAATGGGGTTGCAGAGACATCATCCAATGGCTTCCTTAACGGTAGTTCTAAACATGATCACGAAATGGAAGAATGTGACACAGAAATGGGTCTGCAGCAAAATTTCTTACATATTTAATATTACTATCACCATTTTTTTGTTTTGTTTACTTGCAGTTATTTCCAAATGAAATTTAGGCATACCTAACCTGTTTTCAGGCAGTTTATATAGCTCTGAAGTGCTATAGTCAGTGGAAAATTTTTATATGTAATGTCTGCATTTATAATTTACTTAGTTTGCATTGGATTATTTTTACTCTTGTGGTGCTTCACTATGGCTTGAAAGACTCACACTTCCTTCCCGTTGTTGTAAAATATCTTCTGAATTTGTATAATCTTGGAAGAGATGGAATTGTCACACAGATGCTACTTGAAATGGCTTCAGCGTTACGCCTTTTGCCCACCACAACTCCTAAGTGGTTCTTATTGTGTGGAATTTCTTCACACCAGCATTACACTTTTCCTGCTAATGAGTAAAGTAGAAACAACTACATCAGCTTTGCCTCAGCCCTCCTGATGTTTTAGATTACAACTCCCATCAGCCCCAGCCAACATGGGCAATAATTAGGCATGATGAGAGCTGTGCTCTAAAATATCTGGAGGGCACCAGGTTGGGGAAAGTTGATCTGAATAATGAGCTATGTTACTCATTTTCCCAGTGTCATAGACCAATGAGGTACAAGGATGCTGTCTGCATCTGCGTGATTGAGGTAGTGTGCAAGTGTGCTTTTGATGTCATTCCCCAAATCCTTCCTATCTTGCAGCCTTTTAGAGCATTTAGGTACAGAACAAACTCAATTTGTTTAAATGGATCAGATAAAGGAGAAATACATGTAAAAGAGAGTGGAGCAAATTTAGCAAATGTCTGTGCTCCATTCTGGATAGTTTTTGTAAATTTTCATCATACTTTCCCAAGGTGTACCTTGAAAAACAAAACACACACCTACTAACACTACTGTAAGAATTTTTGATTAGCTATTGTTGTAGGTGTGTATCAAAAAGTGTTTGTGACAATTAATGTACCTCTTCTCCCCCCCCCCCCCCATCCACATTTTTGGCACTACTTAGTTAAAAAACAAATTCATGGGAATACCAAAATATAAAATTCAGAAGCACTTTCATAGGACAAAAAGATTGTTTTCCTTGCAGTAAGCAGTTACATTTCTATAGCTACCAAGCCTGAATCAGGTCTGGAGCCATAACCGTGGTAAAGGGAGGCATTTCCAAGAAAGGAATATCTTTACTCAGGTGAAGTCCAAGAATCGGGAACAGTTAGTGAATATCCTTTGCTTAGAATTATGGGTGCTTATTTCTATAATTTTAGGGAGGGTGTACTGTAAACACATTCTGGTATTTCTCCATAGTGTGTCAAATTACAGACAGATGTTTATCAGGTTTTATTTAAAATAAAAGCCCACTTGTTTGTAATAAAACTTCCATCACCATGATTTGGAGGGGATCCAACCCAGCACAAGGGCTTCTAGACTGATGGGGAAATTGTCACCACTTTCATGCCCTGTAAAAATGTTCATGCACAAAAAGGCATATTCTGTGAAACCCAGCGTCTGTCTGCAAGATTAGCATGATGCCTTGCTATGTGGTGAGCCCAGAATATCTCATATCAAATACTTCTTTAATGCATGAGCAAGTTGCAGAATCAGTTGCATGGTTTAAGATAGCTTATCACAGAATAGTATACCGTATTTTTCCTTCTATAACACACAGATTTTTTCTCCTAAAAAGTAAGGGGAAATGTCTGCGCGTGTTATTGAGCGAATGTGTGGTCCCTGGAGCCGACAGGCGCGTGAAGGCAAAAATCAGACAAATATCAATCGTCCGGAGAAGGGAAGCCTTGAAAAGAGGAAGCTGCTGCTTTCCTGCATTCTGCCTCAGGGTCTTACTGCCCACCCGCTTCTGTTTGTTACTGTGTTTGCTCAAACGGAACAAAGAGCAGAGAAAACCCCTCCCCTCCAGGCAAGCAGAGGGGAAAGCAGAGCGTCCTTCCTTCTAATTCCTCTCCGTGCTCCGGTGCTGCAACATGCAGGTGGGGGGGGGAGAGAGAGCTGGCTGGCTTGGGTGGGTGCGTGGGGGGAACTTTTGCCTTCCTTTCCTCCCTCCGGTAAAACTCCTCTCCTGCATTCTTAGCCAGCTGCTTCTCCGCACACCCCTCTCGGTGCTCCTTGTCCCTTCTATGTTTTTCCTTCCCTCCCCACTTAAAACGTGGTTACAAAGCACGGATCCACATGGATCCTCAGGATCTTTGCATTGGGTCACCCCAAATTCACCATCAGATCACATAGCAATGATCTGATGCAAAAACAGGGCTGCAGTGGTGCAAAAACGTGGTTACAAAGCACGGATCCACATGGATCCTCAGGTTCTTTGCATTGGGTCACCCCAAATTCACCATCAGATCACATAGCAATGATCTGATGCAAAAACAGGGCTGCAATGGTGCAAAACGTGGTTACAAAGCACGGATCCACATGGATCCTCAGGATCTTTGCATTGGGTCACCCCAAATTCACCATCAGATCACATAGCATGTCCATGGCTACAGCCTGCACCAAAAAAATCACGCACCCACTGTTGCCTGGGGCTGCAATGGTACAAAAACGTGGTTACAAAGCACAGATCCACATGGATTCTCAGGATCTTTGCATTGGGCTACCCCAAACTCACCGTCAAATCACATGTCTGTGGCCACAGCATGAAGCACAAAAATGATACATCCACTGTTTCATTCAGATTTTTTTTTTTCTTGTTTTCCTCCTCTAAAAACTATGTGCGTGTTATGGTCAGGTGTGTGTTATCGAGCGAAAAATACGGTATTTAAATTCATTTAATCCATACAATCTTGCCTAATGAGAAATGTTTGATACGACTGGCTAAATTTAAAAACAGAACACACACAAAAAACAAAATAAAGCTTGCTTCGTTACATTTGCAGTAATATTTACAGTGGTCAGGATCCAGTTTCATGAGCCCAAGAAAGTCTTGCTTACCTCATAGACAACTGCTTCTGAATTTGAGGGAAGTTTCAAAAGCAGTTGATAATATGACTTGGATGACTCGCTTCCCCTCCTCCATCCTCTGGGTTAGTATAGACACACTAAACAAACCTAAATTAGTTTTTATTTGAGTCAGCAGACCTTCCTTGTAACCAAAGTCTATCTTAGATACTTAAACAGCTCCAGCTTGTGTTATTATTAGACCACTGCTATCAAGACTTGTCAGCTACTAAGAATAATGCGCTTTTGGCATTGACCTCAGTTTTGTAGAACTTCTTCCCAAGGAAGCTTTCCAGATCCACATTCTTGGCTCCTTTGGAAGAACAATAAAATCATCATTCTGTCATACCTTTTGAATTTGGGTTCTGTGTGGTGGGTTGTGTGTGTGTGTGTGTTTTATGTGGTTTTATCTGGGCTGTTGTCACTTTTATTGTATGCTGCTTTGCAGAGTTCTCAAAGTTGAAAAATGGATTAGAAATTAAAGTCTTAAATCAGAAGCCCAAACCCTGAATTGATCAACCACAATTATTACTTTGACCTAATTCATTGAGTTTGTGTGTAGTCAAAGCACTGTGTTCTCACTGCTGTGCTGTTTAGTGATAGTGCCTTATCATTCTCACAGAGGTTGATTCCAGTCAGTTAAGACGTCAACTGTGTGGAGGTAGCCAAGCAGCTATTGAAAGAATGATTCATTTTGGCAGAGAATTGCAAGCCATGAGTGAGCAGCTAAGAAGAGAGTGTGGCAAAAACACAGCAAATAAGAAAATGCTCAAAGTAAGTTAAAATGTCTTTCCAGTAAAATATGAGCTTGCGCTGATATCCACACTGATGTGCAATCCAGTCTATGCCAAGGAAGAGGGTGATGTTTGCAGTTCTCAGCTCACTAGCTTGTTATCTGTGAAACATTAATGTGCTTGCACCTATTTGTGTCAAATAGCCACCCAAATAACAAAACTAGTACAATGTGCAGCTGAAAAGCAGTTTGACTTGTTTTTGGTAGCTAGAATAGCTTTGGTTTTTAATTCTGTGTGGAGGAATGAATTGGATCATACTTAAGGAAATGTAGTGGAAAATGACTAAATTAAACCAGAGAGTTGGAAACGATTAAACAACAACAAAAAACCAGTTTCCTTTCTCATAAGCACTTTCTGTCCCACCCCTGCTCTGATAGTGAGCACTTGATCTCATATTGTGTAGTTGTTAGGAACTGTGGCTTTTTACAAATGTAACAATCATTTTCATGATTTTAAAAGAGAATTTGGAATTTACATTTGGCAAATAATAAATAGTGCCCTCTACCAAAAGCTCAATTTTTTAGCAAGATAAAAAAATAATGCAAGTGTACTTGATTTTAATCGGATGGTAATTTGATAATGACAAAATTAAGCCCGGATTTCTCAACAGGATGCATTCAGTTTACTTGCATATTCAGATCCCTGGAGCAGTCCAGTAGGAAATCAGCTGGACCCCATTCAGAGAGAGCCTGTGTGTTCAGTTCTCAATAGTGCAATACTAGGTAAGGCTTGCGAATTTATTTCATAGCACATTTATTATTGTAAGTTAACCTAAAGCAATTATGGTGTTGTATGCCAAAAACAGTAGTGTTGCAATTGCAATGGCAATTTTTGGCACTTAACCAAATCCCTTTGCCGGAAATGTCAAAGTTACACACTCATTTTCATTGAAGGATTATTTTTTGTATGACATGGTACATCAAATGACACAAATCTTAAATTCCTCCAATTCTTAAATTCTTACCAATCTTGACTGGTAAGATTCACAAGGTTTTGATACCATATAATTCTTGTGTGGTTTATGTTATGGTAAAGTCTTGTGATGTGAAATATTCAGTCTCTTTTGGGATGCTGGGAAGAAGTTAAAGTCCAGTTTGGTAATTGGAGAGGCACAATATTTTTGTAGGAAACGTATCTGATAAGAAAGATTTCCCCCTCCCCTGGTCTTAAGTGTAACATATTATGTAATCTTTTCAGAGACACACAATCTACCAAAGCAACCTCCACTTGCTCTTGCAATGGGACAGGCTTCACAGTGTCTAGGATTGATGGCCCGGTCAGGAATTGGATCCTGTGCATTTGCCACAGTGGAAGATTATCTACACTAGCTATGCATATGATGATGTCCAAGGTGTATAATCTGGCTATATTCAACATGAAAGTAGACCAGCTCTGCTGAATGGAGTTTGGATTTTTTAAATTATGTACTAAGGACAGGTCTGTTGCTTTACATTGCTTCCTAGTTTACAGCATGACGCAAATGATTTTCTAACCTACTGTTAGGATAAATTTTCCATCTTTAACCAGAGTTAAGTATCATTGGTAACATCAGATTGACAAACCCTTGAATTGTTCCAGACAAACCAAAAAAGTCCTGCCTTCATGGAAGGTTGGACGAAATAGATGATGTTGTGGATGTGTTAGTATGTGGGTGATGTAAACTTCAAGCGGGATAATTTGCCAACTTCCACCCCCATTATTACATAGATCAATCAGTGTAATTTGCAAAATGCATAAGTACCTGACAGTTTGGCTGTATAGTATTGATGGGAAGAAATATTTTTAATGTGTACTGTAAAACTTGAAATACTCAGGAGCTGAGTGAATATGTTTGTTGCTACTTACAATCTCAACCTGTTTCCTAGTGGTTTTTGTTTTAACATGGTCTTTTCAACTCTGTTTCCTGTTTAACTGCAGACAACTTATGTTGTAGACTCACCTGTTTAACTGTTGTATTATAACAGTATTATATGTCAACACAGTGTGGTTATGGCCTATTTATATAAAAACCAAATATTTAGTCAATTTCAGTCTTAATTTAATCTTTGTACACCCTGCATTTTTAAAAGTGCTTAAATGAGTACTCTATTGCAATAAAATGTAGTGATACCATAATTAACCAGCCATTAAATACTTCTACATATGGTAGGATGGCTACCTTACTTTGCTTGTGTTGTGTTTTGGACTTGGGACTAGTTAATTAAACATCTCTAGTTATGAAAGTCATGACATGGGCTGCAGGGGATTCCTTTCTGTTAAAAGGGTTTAAAGAACCTTTTGATGAGAGATCATAGCAGTCTAGGTTCACTTTTTGTCTTACACTCCTTTAATATTAACTGAACACCAATGGGGGTGGCATAGCTTTCATCAGAAGTATTTTTTTTCACAGTGCAGCTTGTATGTGAAAGTTGAAATTCAGGGCCAAGGAAAACTTGATTTTGTAATCCATATTGGTTCTTTTGCATTTTTATTTTAGCAATTGAGATTCCAGCAGATATTGTTTACAAGCACATATGCAATTATTAACCTAGAGATTTGTTAAAATAAAAACAATTATGAAAAAGCAGTCCTGCAGAATTGTAACCCTGCAGGAGACATTCCAATCCTTTAAGGATTTAAGGAATAGAATTGCATTTCAGCATTAAATTTAGCTTAAATGTGGAAAGCTAATAAAGTACACTGCACTGTTTAGAGAAGAAAGCAGGGTAAAAATATGACAATGCCCTTAATACTTTATAGTATTTACAGAAGTTGGCTTATATGAAGCCTCTTTTCAATAGACATGTAAGAAATATTGAACAGCTCTTACTTAGAAACTCCAATTTATTTTCCACAACTTGTCAAAATGTAGTCTGTGTTTCAGCAGCTTATCTTTGAAGAAACCCAGTGCTTTGTGAACTTTTTAGCCTTTTGCTTTTCCATTTCACCTGGTAGGAAAGAAAAAGATTTTATTAAGTAACAGCTGCTGCCAGGTCCCTTCCAAATTGTCCCTTCACCTCTGGGTTGAGAAAGCCACAGCAACTGAGTACATTAAGGCAGACAGTTTTTGGCTTAAGTCTCACATCAACTTATCCACAGCACTAGGCGTGATACCATTCTCTCAACACAGTATCTAGAAAATCATTCTCTACCTTAGGAGGCCTGTTTGATCTTGCTAATAATACCAACAAACAAGGTGCTTTGAGCTCCATGCTCAGGATATATCAATCCTTATTTTATTTATATTAACATGGCCAGCCAATCTCCCACAAACAAGAAAGCAAACTTCTTTAGGAACATAGAAAGCTGACTTGTCTACCAAGATGAACTACTGCTGTCTAGCTCAGTATTGTTTACACTGACTAACAGCTCTTCTGGGGTTTCAGGCAGGGGAACCTTTCCCCGCTTATCTTGAAATACTGGGAACTTCTGCAAATCATGTGATTGACCACTGAGCTAAATACACTTCAGTGTAAAAAATACTGTAAACACACAAGTTTATTTCTGGCCGGGTTTTCTGCTTTTTAAAAAAACACTTGTCCTTTAAAGATGGGTCAGTGTCAAACCTGAACATGACACTTACAAGCACTGTCCCAGGAAGAAAACCTCCTTTACATCGCTCCTACATAACAAACAGCTCCATGGGGGATTGTATCCATACCACATCTTCATTACCCACATAGGATGCACATTCAAAAAATAAAAAACACTTACCCCAAGACTTATTCACAAACTGGAATGCAGCTTTTTTAACATCACTTCTCTTGCTTTGAACAGAAAAATACTGGTTTGCTGAAAAGACAAAGAGTCAATTAGCATAAGCTGCATGTATAGCTCTACAAATGTGTTAAGCAAAAGGCCACTGTACCTGTTGTTCGGTGGCAGCCTCTTCCATAGAGGTGTTTTTGTAGGAAGTCTTTGGCCACTTGCTGCTGCTTGTTGGTTAAATCCTGATCTTTCAGCTGCACAGCCATATAGCTTTCTTGGTGCCTAATGATAAAATGATACTTAGTTCTCTGTAATGTAGCTTTTCTTACTAGAGCAGACCTATATTAAGAAAGTTTTAGTCAAATGATTTCCAACTTCCCTTTTTTCCTAGTAATCTAATGTATGTGATCAAGTTCTCATACATAAAGCTAATTTAAGTGACAAGTCAAAAATACCTAACAGGTATTGAGGTTATTACTTAGTGGGCAGTCCTACTTTGCGTACTATTGACAGTCTTCACAGGATACTGCTGCAAGTACAGAAGCTGCCTCTAAGCTTGGCTTTGTATTAACATGGACATGTCTTTTGTGAAAACATACACTGTCACACGTGGCAGCATATTTTAAAGCTTGCATGAGTTAAAAAATGGCTTGTGGGGGGGGAAATAATGTTACTACTAAAACCTTGATTTATCAAAATAAAATTAAATAACTCCTCAGCTTCACTAATAATAATTCGGGCTTGTTCAAAATGAACAATGCTAATTCATCAACAGTATAAAAACCTATCAGGGTTATAAACTTTCCTAAGTAAATATATAAAAGATGCCTTATATCAGTACTATCTATTGTGACTGGCTGTGGGTCTCCAAGATCAGATTTTTTAAAAGGCAATTGTAGTAATAAAACCCAGGATCGTCTTCAAGCCAAGCACAGCAGTTTCCTGAGTCTTACTGAACGAATGGACAGAAGTAGCCAAATCTTGCACATGGCGAATCCTGCAATACAACTGACATGCAACACTATCTGTGTACAGTACTTTAAGCGGCTGGATCTGAGATTTTGTGACCAAATAAATGGTTATTTGGAGCAATAAGAACATCATATGCGCTTGCAGAACAGAATAAATGGGCTTTTCTTACAACACTATGACATGTAAGAATCACTCAGCCATACCTAGTTGCCAAGTTTTCTTCACTGTCTTCCTCTGTATCTTTTTGGCCATTCTCACTTTCAGAATCATCTTCAACATTCTGACCTATAAAAATAATGGAAACTTTCATTTAAACTTTACACCTCAATGGATACCATGCAGGACTAGAATACTTTACAACTACAGTGGTACCTCGGGTTACATACGCTTCAGGTTACACACTCCGCTAACCCAGAAATAGTGCTTCAGGTTAAGAACTTTGCTTCAGGATGAGAACAGAAATTTTGCTCCGGCAGCACGGCAGCAGCAGGAGGCCCCATTAGCCAAAGTGGTGCTTCAGGTTAAGAACAGTTTCAGGTTAAGAACGGATCTCCGGAACGAATTAAGTACTTAACCCGAGGTACCACTGTAGTTGCAAACCCATTCCAGTAGTTTTTTTAGCCTCTTTAGCAACTAAACTACTCACAAATGTATGTGGTAAGAGAAAGAGTGACCACTGTTATCAGAGAAACAGGTGCAGCTAATTGGGGACCCAGCACATTTATGATGAATATGTGAATTAAAGAACAAAGTTTACAGCACTAATGCATTTTGTGAGAAGTGAAAGTATTATCTCAAACTATAAGATTAATGAACAACACAAAAATTGTTATCATGGTCATTATTATAATAGTCATAATATTTTATGGGCATTGGCAAGTAGATCCTAATATTTATGGCATGATACAAAGTACATAATAAACGCAATGTAATCTTGGGCAGAACCGTACACATACCTTGCTCTTGCATGGCTGATGGCTGATTTTTGCTAAGGAGAAATTAACATTGGAAGACATTTAGTAAGGAACCTTTTGATCAATTATTCACAAATATAAAAATGGCACATTCATTTGGAACCTATTAAAATACGCACAGCAATTACTGTTAATAGCTGTGCTTACCTATCAAGAATATAATAACAAAACTAAGATAGGAAGGCTTCTGCAAGTGCCCAGTAACTCAACTTTCCAATTCCCTTACTATTTAAGAGACATTTTTAAAGGTAGGGCATACACCAGCTGCATATTATGACATTTGATTCATGCGCTGCTCTCCCTGTTCTGGCCATTGGTGTTGGTTGGAAATTATAAATCCATCAGTGTAGGTGGGGGTTAGTCATTTATGAGTATTGCAGCCAAAGGAAGCATACAACCCAATCTCACTGAAACGTTTATTGGTGCTCCAGAACATACTTTGCTTACCTAGTCTGTGTTGATGATGCCAACTCCTCCAACACATTTTCAGGAAGCAGCTTTCTTTTCTAAAAGAAACCAACATTAGCAAATTATTAACCAACCCCTCTGACAATGCTAGCAGTAATGGTATACCATGCCTAGCTGACAGCTGAGTGGAAAGTTTGGTTTCTAACCATGCATTAATTTGGGAAAAGGATAAATAGGCTTCATCTTGATATCTCATTTGGTCGTTATGATTTTGTGACTGAATGACCAATGAGCTGGGCTATGTACAAGGTCTTTAGTTAGGTTCAGTATATCCCAGATTAAACTTCCAGACAAGTCTTGCCATGGGAAAGGGGAACAGGACACTTTGTAACTTTTCAGAGGCATCTGATTGGCTGCTGTTTAAGGACACTGAACTAGATCGAGCTTTTGTCTGACCCACAATGGTAGAGCTTAAGTCGTTAAGCTTGCATATTTATATCCTGCCTCCACTTTGTTCATGGGTCCTTATAAAACCATACAAACAGGAACCAAGTAGGTTGGAAAAGTGTTACTACTTTGAGCAAAACAGTCTATGCTGTACCCAAGATGTGCACTATGGTAAATTGCAAAAAGCAAAGGGAGGGGCTAGGATTAAAAATACATTAAAAAGTATAGTGAAATAGTTTACCTCAATAGACTGCAGTCATTAAGATAAAAAGTGGTGCAAAACTGAGTATGTGTAATATTTCACTTACATTTAAAAATATCTGGGAACTCTAGAAAATTAGTTTGTAGATAACATTTGTATATTACACACGTAAATCCCTCACACAGATATATCTACAAAATAACACATTGGGACTGAATTTTGATGGCGATTCTCAGTTTTATGGTGTGCAACTGCAGGGGCAGTATGGTACAACTGCGAAACATTTTCAGAGTGTGAAAGTTTGCTGGGCATGAAAAATAAAGCAACCTCAACATTACCTTTTGTTCCTTAAATAGTTCTTCTTTCTGTCGTCTCTTTTCTTTTAAGGTAGCCTTTTCTCTAAGTAAATAAATAATAAGACGATGTTTATGAAGAGAAGACATGGGCACAAGAAGAATCAATGTGTATTTACAAGCACTGTGAGTGCTTGTTCCAAGTGCTATCAACAAAGTTAAGAGAAACTAACTAAGAAGTGCATTCAGGGGAAAAGAAGGATGTATTCTCACAATGACCACAATTGTCTATATTTAGAAGAGAGAAGAGAACACACATAACTATTACGTGAACACAGTAAATTGTCTTTATAATATGAATGACTGAAAATTTACTTTCAGTAGACAGCATTGTATTGTCAAATCTACCAAGAAAAACCTCTTAATACATTCCCTTAGTTTTGGACTAAGATGTTGTATAATAATAATAATAATAATAATATCATCATCATTTGAAGATCTCACAGTGGTTCACAAGATAAAAAAATACAGGGTAAAAGCACAAAATAGTTGAAACAAAACAGTAACACCCCCCCCCAACACATTTAAAAGGCAGTAGAAAATTAATCAGTCAAAGGCCTGGTGGAAGAGGATAAGGGAGCCACAGCAGAAAAGCCCTATTTTTCTGTTGCCACCCTTCAGACCTCAGGGTCTGGGTCAGTTTATATGGGGAGAGGTGGTCCTTGAGGAATTGCAGAACTGATCCGTTTAGGATAGAATGAAGAAAATTCAAGTGTTTCTCCAGGTGGAATCACACTACCACTTCCTCGCTCTGTCCGTGTGAAGAACTGATACTGTCTTCTCTCTAGCATACAGCAAGCCCCTTAACGTTATGGGATGGGCACAGCTATGCTATTGGAAGCCGGGGGGCGGGGAGAGACTGTGCGCGTCTATTTCTGGTCGTTCAAGCTCCCAGCAAACTTCAATTACTATTTTCCTACTGAAGTAAGGGATACTTTCTCACAGCTGAGGCCTATCATGGACAAATTCGGCTTTTTACGCAAAGGCCATTTACAACACTAGAAAGGGACGACGGATAACAAGAAAAGAAGGAGCAGCTGCTTGAAGCCCAAGATGCAGCTGGGTCAGCTTCTCTCTTTGGTTCTGGCGCCTCAGTCCTGCCGAATGGCTCAATTTTGCCACAGAAAGGCTCTTGGCGTTGCCTCTCCCCCCCCCCCCCGGCCCATAGGAGGAGGGCAGGCGCCGGTCAACTACGACCCCCGCCTTTCCCCGCCACGACGAGGCTGACCCCCGAAGCGCAAGGCGTCGTTCTAGGCGCGGGATGGAGAGTCCCACGCCGAGCTTTACCTGCGCACGCGCTCCCCCGCCAACCGACGCGCCTCCTCGGCCGCGGCGCGCGCGCTCTCGAAGGTCACCTCCTCGGGAGCCTCGTCACTCTCCTCGTCCTCTTCTGAGGAAGCGGCGGCGGCGGCAGCAGCAGCCTCCGCAGCGACTCTTTTCCTAGACATCGAGCGAGTCCTCCGCGCCACCATCTTTCTCCACTCCTCCAACTTCCGGCTGACCCTTCGTCCCTTTGGCCCGGAAGCAGCCTGGCGGAGCGGGGACTTGCTCGAGCGGACTCGGCACGCGAAAATAAGCTTCCGGGCAGGCGGCGTTGGCCGAGCGGCGAGGTTCCGAGGGCGTTGGAGTTGCCCGTCGAAGCCAAAATAAGTCGATTAGTAGGGATGTTATTCTTCCCTCGCTCGCCCTCAAGGGATGGCAACACAGTAATATATCTGTTGCTCTTTCCAACTTGGTTCTTATTTCTTGTGGAAACGTAATTTTTTAAAACCGCGACAGTTGCAACGTTGCTGCAGTAAGTTACTGGATCGGGACGGGTTTTGCTGCAGCTTAAGGAAGGTTTGCACTGAGGATTTTATAAGTAAAGCAAACTAGCCTCGACTCTTTAATTTGCAACATTAAGGCTGAGTTTGCACAGCGAAGCGATCATAATCCCCTCTCAGCACAAGCTTCCCCACACCCTGAAGTACGGGTGTATTTAACAGTTTGTATCGGGATTGTTACAGCAAATGCCCCACCCCAACACACATGCCCACACAACAGGACCCAAGTTAGAAAGAGCAGAAAGTGCTATTTGTTGCAAATTCGTGCTTCTGGATGGACACCCTGGTGTCCAGTCACAGCTACGCTTAAAGCTTGGATTCCGCCTCTGGACAGGGAAAATGCAGGAAGAGGTGAAAGGAGCAGTCTGAGTTCCATACGCAGCAACCAAGGAATTCAGTCAATTAGATACCAGTGATTCTGTTTTCGGATTAATACATAGTTTATTTTCTTTTGTGAAAGAACAGTACAAATCACATACATAATTTCCCCTCGCACTGTTAGGGCATAAGGCGTCTGCGCAGCAGCAACCACTCCATTTCTGATCCGCTGCCAAAGATTCCAGTATCCAGAATGCAACTGTGCTTAGGCACCAGCCCAAAGAAACATGTGGCAAAAGCATATACTAAAACAACACAAGCCTATCCATGTTTATCCAAATGTAAATTCCATTGTGTTTGCTCCCATATAACCATGTAGAATGCTGCCCAAATTGTTACGTTTTTAAAAGGCGCCAGTCCAGTGCCCTTCTATAGCTTTCGCTGCAAGAAGCTGCCATCTAACATTTCTTCAACATGATTGTTCTAAGACTGAGGGTGGTGCACATCTTTGAGCACCAAACTGGCATGAATGCATCATGTGCAAGACTATAGTCCTTTTTCATTCTGCCAGATGGTGCCAGCATAAGCCCTGCTGGCTTTCCCTTCTAGGCCATTTGTTTATGGGGGTTGGGGGATGTTAGCTTAAAATGACTTCAAATTTTGAGAGAGCTCATATTCCTTGCAGCTACAGAAACTTTGCTCATGACAAACCCTCTTACAATTAATGGATAATGATAATATATGTGAAACACACTGATTACTCCAAAATTCTTCTATATATTATATATTAATATTAAATTATAAAAAGGAAACTGCAGACCCATATTATAATCAAAAAGTTGGAAGTTCTGTTTCACAGTAACTCAGCATTGAGTTCTATTCCATTTCCCAGTTACTGACGTTTTATCATAGTTGAGAGGAAGTGTAAACATGGTTAGTGTGGTATCTACTGCAGCACTAATTATATAATGAGATCTGCTAATACATATTGATGTTTTGATAGGAAAACTGCTGTGGAACAAAACAGACAACGCACTGGTTTATCTTATCTTAGTGACTTAGAACAGTAGACAAAACATGTAAAAGACTAATAAAACAAACCCACAGATACATTCATACAAGTCCAAGAGCGAGAAGAAATTAAGCATGTATACTTTGCACATGGATGCTGCTACCTATGTTCCTTTAATTGTTTTCTCATACTGATCACCACAAAGAAATGTACACCATCCTGGAAGTAAACCTTTTTAGAGGACTGCACTGCTTCATGAAAAAAACCACCTTGTTTACCATTTTCCTACAAAAACTGGAGTGTAGGCTATATGAAAAGCTGTCATTTGCCCCATTTGCTTACTCTTACCTTTCTCAGAATTTTACAGTTGGTTTATAAAATTATTTTGTGTAGTCACACAGAAATGTAAGGTCATGATGAAGTCCCTCCCCATTATGATTTGCCAAATATGTAGCCTAATATTTCAGGGCACAAATGTCTTCTTTTGAACTGTTGGCATTTTTATGCTCTCATTTCACATAAATCGTTTTTGTCTAACAAAAATGTAACTGCTTATCCAATGTCCTTGACCATGACAACTCTTTTGCTTTGCTCATTCTTGTAACCAACTGGAAAATCATGATCTATTTTCTTCAGTGTCACCCTTAGATCCTATTGCTCACTTGCAGGCATGATGTTTTCTACAAGTCCCACGTTTCTCTTATGCTTGCACCCTGCTGAATGAGCAGCTGGGTTTTTTCCTCTGTATTGCTGATAAATGTTCATGAGATTATCTCAGTTTCATGGCGTGCAAGTGCTGGGGGCAGCGTGGTTCCACAGGGACCTGAGAAATGAAACCTGAAACAGAATCAGGATATAAATAGTATTTAATCAAATATAATTGTACTTCAGCAAATAATTCCAAAACCCTAACCCTAAACAAATATCAGAACATTGTTAGTCCTTTTACCTATCCCCCCTTCCATAAACCAGTAGATCTTTTACATTTGTTTGATATCCCATTTATTTCTATGGAGTTTAAGAAGTTTAATGGCAAATTTGCTGGTCTACAGATTAGGCTGCAAGTGAGAAAATTGCATTGCCTTGCTAGCAAACATTTTAGATACGGCAGGTTTTACTTATTTATTTCTGCAGATAATGGCATTTACTAGTTCTAAAGAATATTAGGGTGCTACCTGAACCTATCTGTGGCCGGGGTGCTTTGCATGTTGAATTCTGCAACTGCCACTCCTCTGGCAGATACCTGGGGAGCAAACATAGCAGCAGGATATACTATAGAGGACGTTCCAACCTGAGAAAGAGAAGAAAATGCAGCGGTTCATAAGCATTAACCTAGTTGCCCAAAACTTTGGCTTGGTGCAGCTATCACATTTTTTCAACCAGACATTGGAAGTGCCCTACAGGCTCCTCCACATGTACTGCCCTTTCCAACATTAATCATACTATAGCTTGAGGATTGCATTGATCTTTTTTAAAAAGGGTTTGTAAACCAGCTGCAGGACACGGGTGGTGCTGTGGTCTAAACCACAGAGCCTAGGGCTTGCCGATCAGAAGGTCGGCGGTTCGAATCCCCACAACGGGGTGAGCTCCCGTTGTTCAGTCCCAGCTCCTGCCCACCTAGCAGTTCGAAAGCACATCAAGTGCAAGTAGATAAATAGGTACTGCTCTGGCAGGAAGGTAAACAGCATTTCCGTGTGCTGCTCTGGTTTGCCAGAAGCGGCTTAGTCATGCTGGCCACATGACCCAGAAGCTGTCCGTGGACAAACGCCGGCTCCCTTGGCCTATAGAGCAGGATGAGTACCGCAACCCCAGAGTCATCCGCGACTGGACCTAATGGTCAGGGGTACCTTTACCTTTACCTATGACTACTATTACATCATCACAGACATATCTGGTTGGATAAAAGATTAGCACAGTTTAGGATGTTTCTGTGCGCCCTTAAAATAAGTATTGTGGGTAATGTAAAATAATTTATACATATGCCACTGAAAGCCACTGGTATGTGATAACCTGCCAATTCTATTGGAAACTGTAAATATGACAAGAGCCTCAATGCAAAGGGTACTTCACATTTATTGGTAATTAACTTCCTTTTGTAATCACCACAAGTTTAAACTCTGTTGAAGCTTGTTATTATAATATAATGAATGCTTTGAAAAGATCTGACCGTTCGTTGACAATATTTGAGCCATCAACTGAACAACTCAATTGGACCACTCAAATGCCCAACCTTGTGCTATGTGAAAATATTGACATTTCATGTCTGTTATATTTGACAGTTAACTTCATGAATCCTTTCCTGGGAAGCATGAGCCGATACTAAGTTATAGGCTCTAACAAATTAAAGACAAAGAAACAGAACAAAAATCACTTACCACCAAACAAAGATCACAAATCTCAAGTTCTTTTTCAACCTCTGTAAGAATATCAGAATCCAAAGTTTCTCCGAACCATACAACATGAGGGCGCAAGAGACCATTGCATTCTTCACACCTGCCAAGTAAAATTATGGAGATACATATTAGACTGACACAAAGCTGGGAAGAAAGCAAAGCAATTAAAAATATTCATCTAGTTTATTACAAATTCTGCTGCAATATGTTAAGTAACAGAGCATCTCCTTTGCATGCAATTTTTGAATGCTTCAGCAGCTCAGCACTCACCGAGGAAGATTTTCTACAGGAATCTGGCTGTCCTCAGCATCTGGATCTGGAGCACTATAAATGCAAATAAAGATTGTGAACAATGCAAGTGTAATAATAATAATAATAATAATAATAATAATAATCACATGGGGTGGAACTCAATGTCATGCTCTTCCAATTCTTTTTTTCTGTGCAAGCACCACAGCTTGCGAGATGGAACAATCCCCCTCTTCTGCCCCCCTGCACTGTTCTGGGGGTTCTCCCAACCTTCCAAGAGCCAATTTTGTGGGGCACGCAAAGTCCCATATGCAAGCAGAAATAATTGTTCAAGGCTTCTGCTGATGTGCCTGGTTAGGTAAATCCTGCTCATCAAGTGGTATTCAATGCTGGTCCTACTCAGAGCAGACTACTTAAACTATTACTGGGATCCAGACTGGTGTGAAAGGCAGCTCTACTCTTGAGCAGGACAGGAGCTTTTAATCATTCCCTTTAAGCATCAGCCCCCACACCTGCAGGGGGGAAAACCCCTTCCAAAGGTTGAAGGGCCCTCTGGATCAGTACCCTATGAAGTATGCAGTATCTCACCTACTGAATGTTCACCTAATCTGACAGGAGAAAATGTCTACATTAGAAGCCAACAGACACAAACTGTAGGTAACACAGCACAGATCCATTACCCTTTCCCATCCAAAGCAGGACAGATTGGACTCTTGTGATTTGCTGTCACAGTTCCACAACTGGTGCATCGGGTTTTGAATAAGCTACCTGTAAATAACAATCCCATATTTTAAACATGGACTTCACAGTTGATAATACAAAACTTCTAACACATCATACCAGCAGTGTGATTCTCATATATCTTACAAGAACTGAAAATTGCCTAATTCAGCACTTTGAGCCTGGAAGAATATCATAAAGCATTTATTAGTGAAACAAACTACTGGCTAGCCAAAGGAGACTACTGAAATGTTTAAACAACAGGAGCTGCAAAAAGACAAGCCAAAATAAATAAAATATCATAGGTTAATAATTTTCACCATTTCCCAAGTAACTATTTGTTCTTCTGACTACCTGTCATACACACAGATATTCTATAATTCTACAAAGTAGTCAACAGCAGATTTAGTAAGGCTACTTTTCTAGATTCTAAAAATCATGCATTGTAGAAGCGCTGAACAAACTTCTTAAAAGAAGTGAATTAAATACTACAGCCAGAATCTGCAGAATCCCATTCCTAAAGCAGGGGCACTGCTATTTTTCCTCTTCTGATGGAGCCCCTTGAATGACCCACATCCTTCAAGAATAGCTCAGTCGGATAAAGGATGTTTCACTGGGAAAGGGAAACACCTCCACATGCTAGTACATATACGAAACGCTGTGTACGACCTTCTGGGCCCTGATTTGTTTACTAATTTAGTTCCTACTCTCTATGGTAATTTCTAATGTGCCTTTCAAGGCTGATTTACACATTATACAGGAGAACTATTATTGAATTTCCCAATGTTTTCTTTTTTAATAAAATGCAGCCATGCAGTTTCCCAATTTGATTAAAGCAGCATTGCTGCTTAATACTTCGTCCACCACAACAAATATCGTTTCCCAGTCAAAACCCCTCCTCTGCTTTTAATTCAGTAAAGGAAAAATACAGGTACAATTCTTCGCTATCACATGTTTACCCTCAGTCTTCCAGCTGCAATTAAGCAAGTTCCATCTTGTGCATGCCTTCAAAGAAACCTGAGAGAGGAAATGGGAGGGAAAATGTCCCATCATAGCTAATTCTCAGGTCTTTAATTTCCATGTCTTTATGATTGGAAATATCAATAAACACAATAAATATCAATAAAGGATAGCTGAATGAGATATCTGTAACACACTGCTGGGGATTCCTTACCATGGATTTCTAAGAGGTGCTTTGTTCCTGCTTTTCTGTGGAGCTCATCAATGTTCTGCGTGATAACCACAACACTCCTTCCTTGCTTGCTTAGCCTGGCCTCACACTCTGCTATGGCAGTGTGTGCAGGGTTTGGATGTTTACTCATCATAAGCTCTCTACGGTAATGGTAGAATTCCCACACCCTAGAGGGATTCCTTGCAAAAGCCTCTGGAGTAGCCAGTTCCTGTGGGGTAGAGGGGGAGGAATCATTTGTTGCTTTGTCAATAGAATGCCCATACCTGATTATAAAGCCTCACATTCATTTGCAAGCAGCCATAAGCACAATATTTGGCATTTATATACTGTGTTTCAGTGTGCTCAGTACTTCACAGACAACAATGGAGTAATCTAGATCGAGGTAAGTCTTTTGGGTGGTATTAAATTAAGTTATATTCGGAGAAAACTCACTGAAATTAACAGACCTAACTTAGTTGTGTTCATTAATTTCATTGAATCTACTCAAGAGTAAAACTTAGATGAATGCCACCCTTTGTTTTATATCACACACAATAACAAAGCAGAAACTCAATTGAACAATATAAAACACGGGATCAGAACACTACTTAACAATTCAGAACTGAGAAGCCAATCAATAGGGCTTTCATACAATGCAACATTTAGATCAGAGTGTCGCTATAACACTGAAATGCATTCAGCTTCACAAAATCCCCTCCAGTTTTTCTGCCACTGCAAATATAACCACTTTGTACAGTAACTACTTTGTCTTTTATCTAACATACCAACCAAAATCAATCCCTAGCTTGGCCAATATAAAGACTGCCAGTTTCTATTAATTTCTGCTCACTGCCTATCTGGAAATCTGTGTGTTTTGTTTAAGGCGTGGGACCGATTTGGACCACAGCCAGACTTTACATTCTTAAAAATGGGTTGTAGCCAATTGTTTCTTTATCCCAGAATCCTAGGTGTATAACCTGATATCTAGAAAACACCTAGCACAGAGCTTTCCAAACTGTGTGTCGCGACACATTAGTGTGTTGGCTGCAGTGTGTAGGTGTGTCCCACGAACGCTCCCTGTACTCTTATAGTAAAGCTGAATTACTGTGTCACAAAATGATGCATGTCTAAAAAGTGTGTCACCAATATGAAGTTTGAAAAGCTCTGACCTAGCAGATACTTATTTAGCCTGAAATCACCATTTTGGAACCAAGTCTACAAAATGACTTTATAGCTACAATATCCAACCTGAACTAAGCCATAGTTTGGTTTACCATGTTGTGCAAACCAGGCCAGCATCTCCGAGCCTTAACTACCTCCTAGGGTTGCTGTGAGGATGAAATGAGGAAGGGAAGGACCATATACAATACCTTGGGCTCCCTGACGAAAAGGAGAGAAAGAAACGTTTTAATAAACAAATAAAACTATGTCCTTACATTCCCTCAAAGCTACTAGGGTTGCAGTCCTATGCTTATTTGGGAGCAAACCTCATTAAACTCAGCAGGGTTTCGTTATGAGTAAATATGTGTAGAATTGCACTTAAAGGCTATTAAGTAGCAGTATCTAGCATCCTGGGGGGGAAACGGGTCAGCAGCACACACCTGAGCTTGCCATTTCCTCCAGTAGCCCCCTGCACCTCGGAAGGTCGGAACACCACTCTCAGCACTGACACCAGCCCCTGTAATAATAGCTATATGCTTTGCTTTAGCAAATACTTCTCGAAAATCAGCCATACCTTTTTAAAAAAAGAGAAGATGAAAAAGTCAGATTTATTTCTAAATGACACATTTTAAGCACATACAAAAGCTATTTTTTATCTGAAAGTGGAAAACCAAAGTTTGAAACTCCTCAGCTTTAAAGATGTCTGGAATGGATGACCTGGACAAATCAGTCTCTCTGAGCTTGACTAGTTTTGCCTGTGCTTTAATTTTGTATCTTAAAACTTCTGCAGACCATAATCAGAAGACATGTCTGACACAAAATTATGTTTATGTGTTGACCCTGGGAACATTTAAGAGTTTGATGAGTCCTAAAATGGAGGGTTTTTTTAAAAGCAAAACTGTAGCACATGAATAATTTCATTCATGACGCAACTCGGTGTACTGAAGTATATACCCTATTGATCTTTAAAGGTTAGCCAGTTCATGATTAAAAATTAAATAAAATGGAATGTATGCTTTGCTTTATGAGGCCTCCATTTCAGCTCATTAAGGAATCTTACATAGCAAAACTAGAAAGTGCTTAGAAACAAGACCTGACCTGCTGATATTCAAAACTGAAGTACTTGGTTATACAGACTCTTGTCTAAACATAACAGAATACAACTTCTCATTTTATTTAAGGCATTTAAATGTAAAAAATAAGTTTAAAAAATGAAAGTTGTACGGGTGAGCTCCTTTGTGTGGAACTAACTATTTTAACTGATTTATTCTTGTAAAATTAGTGATGCCTTCTTAGGATCACAAGTTAGTGGCCTTCTGGGTTACCTCCCATTATGATTACATTTCTATATTCATGGCTAACACAATGCAGTACAGATTTAAGAAAAGCAGCAGGACCACAAATTATGTTGAACCATAACAGCAAGACCAATCTCAAATGGATTTAAAAATAAAGAATTAGCAACTTACAGAATTTCCAGACATTGAAAAAAATAAGCTGTCTCACATTGGTAATATCCTGTTGCACATTATGAGGAACACAAATATTCTCCCTCCTCCATCTTTTTAATTTTTTTGTTATTAAATCTAGCTGGGCTCGAAAAGCAGAAGAAAGCCCAGCTGTTGGGAAATATTTGTAAGGGAGAATTTTTCCTTTTACAAAGTCTCCCTCACAATTACTCCCTTTTTCCACCGATGGACTTGAGGCACACACATTTGTAAAGACAGCATGCAGTTCTACTCTTAAACAGGAAGGTGAATAGATGTCTCCTTAATATCTCCTTAATGTCCCCTTGTATTTAATAAGCTACATTTTAAAAAATAGGAGTAATTAAACAAATCTCATCATCTGTACAATCATCTTCACCAACATATCTCTCCAAACCCAAGTGATTCAAATGGAAGGTTTCAAACTTTTAAGATTTCAAGATTCATTATTTACAACAGGAACAAAAATAATCAATTCACAGAAATCATATTGTGTGTGGACACGAAAACAAATATACACCATGGGCAGAATCTTATCTTACTTGAACTTGGTCGGGCCATTTCAAAGCACGTCCTTTGTTTCTTGGAAGAAGCAGGTTTCAGTCCACAATATACTTGAGAAACCAGCCTTCTTGTGGTAAAGTGGAAAAGATTCATCAGGATTCCTTACGGTCCTAACATGGAAGAAAGTTAAATTAAAAAATCTGAATGTATTTGACAAGATGGCAAAGGAAACCCCATCTGCTGTCTGCCTCTGGAGTTATCTGGGACCCCACTTCCATTGTGATTAGTGTCCTGCTTCCTCATTGGGTTGTTTAAATACTTGCCACTGTGCTCAGAAAGAGAGAGCTATTTCTGCAATACACTTTAGCTTAACAACTGGAGACTTAGCTGAGAGAAGATTCTAACAGGAAGGCCAGCATGAGTGGTAGAAGAGCAACACTCATGGTACTGACAACTTCTTTAGGGCTAGAATGGGAAGAAAGAAGACTACCTACACTTCTGTATGTCTGTTGCTAGTTGCAATTGCTGCTAAATTGAAGAATGTGGACTTTGAATTGCAGGCCATAGCAGAGAGGCTCTGTTCTTTAACCTAGCCTTTGACAATAGTGGTGCCAAATTAAGGTAAACAAATGTTTAGCGTTTTGTCCGTGAGTTCCTTAATCAATTTCACTCTGGGGCATGGATTAAACAAAGTATATGAGATGATTCTCAAGAGGTTTTCTACAACACAATACAGTATGTATATTATCTTCACTGGGACTATTAAAATTCCATTGTAAACAGGAATTCTCTTCTAGTCCTAAACTGCCTGTGTAAGCAAAGTTTTTAATTACATATTCCTTTCAACTGGATATTCTCCAGCCATATTTGCCACATTTCACAGAAACCAGGAGTTGCAATTTCCCCATCCTGATTGATTCACATACAAAAACTCTACCAAGCTTCCTAACCTGATGTTCCCTTATCCCAGGAGAGAGATGCCTCATTCTGGAAAACCTTGTCTATTGTCTGACGGCAATACTATTATGTACTGATTTATACAAGCTGCTAGAACATTTTAAAAACTATAAGTTGAGCCATTCAGTTCTCTCTAGGCTAGGCAAATTGGATCAAAACAAACTCTGAAGGTTTGCTTGCTACAAAGATCTCCAGCTAATGATACTTAGGATGCCAGATAGCATATAACAGATGAAAACAGTTTCACCATATTTAATAAAGTCTCATTCACCAGGACTTGGGCATTTCTGCTCTCAAAACATTATGTACTAAGTACAGAGCACTTTTAACAGTAGCAAGGTTACATCCCAAACAGTTTGTTTCAAGTTTAGGGTAGGGTGGGGGGAGGTACATGGCAGAGGCCAGAGTGGGGCATATTCTGGACGTGAAACAATGCCACCGGAAGCCAAGTAAGCCTGAATCTACTTAGTATCTGGATGGGAAACCACCTGAATTATTTGGAAGGCAGGATATAAAAACATAACGCTGCTAAGAAAAAAGAGAGCAATACCTGGAGATCCATGTTAGCACTGGTATGCTTGCCTCTGAAACTGGACCACAAAGACCTATGCTGAAATCCAGTCTCAACTGACTATATATCGGGTTGGAAAAAAACTCTATTTTGTACCTGTGCTAGTTTCCTTAGCTACATACACAAAACAGAAGTAACAGCACCTGGATCTGGTTTCTTTAGCTACATACACAAAACAGAAGTAACAGCACCTGGATCTGCAGAGCCAAGCCTACCAAGCCCTTTTTATTTTTACATAAGCGCCCCTTTAAATTTAGGATCTATACAGCTGATGGACCCCTTTTGATGTAAAATGAGGAGAGGGGGTAAGGGGGGGACAAAACGAGAAGCACCATGCCTTTTATTAGAGCAACATCTGTTCCTGATGAAAGAGTGAAGGAAGAGGCCTGGGGAAACACACCCACCCCCACCACCACACATTCAGGGGTGCCAACTTGAATAAAATATTGGGGGGGGGAGGACAGGGAAGTCCCACCCCACATAATCGATTACATGACGTTGCACGCACACACACACACACACACACACACACACAATTGGAATGGCAATGCCCATCAACTTTAGGGGTGGGCAGCCCCCTCAAATATTAGGGGGGTGGCGAAGGGACCTCAGTCCCTAGGGAGTATAGGCTCCTATACTCACAGTGTATACAAATACACACACACACACACACACACACACACGTATGTATATACATACAAATACACATGCACTTCCTGGTGGCTTCCGTGAATATCGGGGCGAGGAAAATGGTTTTCTCCCATGTGTTTACTCCGCCCTGAAGGTTACTAAGGAACGGAGGGGAAAGGCGCAAGGCCCGCCGTCGCCCCGGAGGCAAAGGCAGCTGGCCGAGGAAAGCAGCCGAGAAGCCGCTCCCCGAGGGCCTGAGACCCTCCCCTGCGCCCCTCGCCCTCGGCCCGCCGCTACTCACCACCGCCAGCACCGCAACCCAGCCGCCCGCCTCGTGAGGTCCCGCCCCGCCAGGCCGAGCAGCAGGAACAGGAGCGGCGACGACGGGCGAGGCGAGGCGGAGGGAGGGCCCAGCCGCCGGAGCGGCCTCCGAGGGGCGCGAGGAGAGAGGCCTGCGTGGAGCCCGGCACGTCGCCCTCTCCCGGCTCCGGGCCTGATGAGAGGTTACTATGGTGCCCGAGGCGTCGGGCGCTGTGGAGGCAAAGCCCACCCGCCCCCTCTGCTTCATTGGCACGTATAGGGTTGCATTGGAAATCGCGTTAGAACTCGCTCCCAGAGGCTTTGGAAATCGATGCGTTTTACAGTTTAAAAAACACGTTTTACAATTACGTTGGAAACAAGCACATTGTTATTATTAATCCTTCTTTGTATACCGCCCTGGTCTCGGGGCGGTTGCAGCATAAAATCACAATATTAAAACCAACGAAATGCGTAATTAAAGTAAAAACAAGAAACAAGTCACTGAATAAACCACTCCCCAGCACATTTTTAAAGTTGTCACTCAGCCAAAAAGGCCTGGTTAAAGATCTGAAAGTTTATGCAAATACTGTATAGGGATTCATATTGCTTCGCTCAATACTGAAAGATTTACAGCCCGAATGTGTTGGTGAGCAGTTTACAATACATGTAAACAATTAAATTATTGGGGGGGGGAGTGTTAAAAACAGGTATTAAACATATGATTAAAATCAACAATAGCTATAACTTCTACATGTGTGGGTAGACTAAACAAAAATGTTTAAAGTGGGCACGTAAAAGAGTACAGTGAAGATGCCTGCTTGATGATAATAATCCAGAAGCACTGCCAAACTCCATACCTGCTGCTTCAGGGGGTGTGCAACTCCATCCAGGGCAGGCAGTGGACCAGTTTCTCTCACATGGGAACCACTCTCCCATGGTGCCTGTCTTGTTAGGATTCAAGCTCAGTTTATCTTCTTCATCCATCCCACCTCCATGGATGTGGCCAGCATAAGCCACTTCTGGCGCAACAGAACACAGAAAGCAGAGCAGCACACGGAAATGCCATTTACCTTCTCGCCGGAGCGATACCTATTTATCTACTTGTACTTTTTTGTGTGCTTTTGAACTGCTAGGTTGGCACATAGCTGTCAACTTTCCCCTTTTTTTAAGGGAAGTTCCCTTATTCCGAATAGGATTCCTCGTAAGAAAAGGGAAAAGTTGACAGCTATGGGTTGGCAGGAGCTGGGACTGAGCAACGGGCCCCCGTCACGTTGATTCGAACCACTGATCTTCTGATCAGCAAGCCCAAGAGCCTCAGTGGTTTAGACCACAGCACCACCCGCGTCCCTAAGGTAAAGGACCCCTGACAGTTAAGGGCTGAAGCAGAAGACAGGGACCAAATACTAGGTCTCTGTCCCAGAGAGTCAGCCACTTTACTCTGACTGGCTGATCTCTCAAAAATACCAAAGCTAAAATAAAACACTTGGAAGTTCAGACTCGGATGAAGGTTGCTGAAATTTTGCATTTTACACATGGAAGCTTAGTCCCTATCTATTTAGACTAAAGCTTTAATCAGTGAAATGGGAACCATCTCTAACATCTTTAAGTAGATAAATACTAACAAAGAGCAGTGCTATAGGATCTGAAGTTTCTGAATAGCCAAGCACTTTGGATGCAGAATTACATGAATGCTTTATGAAAATCTGAATTATGTAGAAAAGATTGTACATTTAGTTAGGGCTGTCCCATATGTCCCATTAATGGAATTTCAAAGGCTTTGTCCTGGATCTTAGGCAAGTCCTGGATCTTTTGGTGTTTTCCTAAATAAAGCTCATCAACTCTTGGGGTGTCCTGGTTTTTACTTTTTGAAATATGGCAACCCTATTTTAGGGCAGTAGGTTACCGGACACATTTTAGTTAAAATGGAAGTTATCTAGTTGAAATGAATCTGTATTAGTCTTAGATAAACACAGCTAAAGAAACAGACTCAATAGTTTCAAGGACAGTGGGACATTGTTTGGCTTCTGTTGTCTCATAGCTGCAAATTGTCAACTTTTGCATGAAAACAAAAAAATGAAGAGGATGAAGTTCACAAAGTCTGTAAACTCTGAATTAGAATTTGTTGGGACATTATTTTTGAATTGTTAAATGGTCATATCTATTTTTTGTTTAGCATGTCCCCCCCCCCCAACCTTTGCCCCCTAATGGACCAACAGCCTCAAGACGAAAAAAAATACATAGGTTACCTATTCCAACAAAACAAATTATTGTGTATGCTTTAATGAGACAGGTTGAGTGAAAAACATAACTGGTACATTAACTAAAAGCAATCTTTCATGTAGTGTAGTAATTTGACAATATTTTATCTAAAGCTCTTAACAAAGTCCCAGCTCTGCATAATATAGAATTGTGTGCACAAATTATATGCCACTTTGAAGACTTCTGCCAAAATCAGGTTTAGAAACATGCTCAAGTAATCTGAACATTAAGATCACTTAAGCAGTCATCATTCTATAATTTGCAGTACTCTCTGAATATTTATTACAGATTACAAAATATTTTTGTGTTTCAGTAGAACTGTGCTTTATACTGATGTATTCACACCTACCTTCTCAAAAAGCAATCTATTTCAGCAATAAAGGACTTCATCACAGTATGCTTGACATCCAAATGCATCCAAACTGCAGTGGTACTTCGGGTTAAGTACTTAATTCGTTCCGGAGGTCCGTTCTTAACCTGAAACTGTTCTTAACCCGAAGCACCACTTTAGCTAATGGGGCCTCCTGTTGCCGCCGCGCCGCTGAAGCACGATTTCTGTTCACATCCTGAAGCAAAGTTCTTAACACGAGGTACTATTTCTGGGTTAGCGGAGTCTGTAACCTGAAGCGTATGTAACCTGAAGCATATGTAACCCGAGGTACCACTGTATAGTTTAGTAAGACATGAACAAGACGACAGTCTTCCCTCTACCCCACACATGGCTAGGAGGGTTTCAGAAACGTTCACTTCTACTTTCAGTTAACCACAGCTTGTTGAATTGTCTAAACTATGAAATATGCTTATCATTAATTCTGGTTTGTTTAAATAAGCCAGTTTTACAAACATTTATTTGACATTTAAAATAAGCCAATTATCCAGAGTTTGTCACGTCTGAACAAGACAAACCATACTTAACCAAAACCAAAAGTTTCCAAATGCCTCCTGGCTGCATGGAAGGAGAAAAGGAGAGCATCAGAGTTTCCGAAAAATGTTAGAATTAGTCAGGTCAGTTTAATGCAACATCCAAATATGGCTAGTGTAATGAACAGTAGTAGTTTACTCCACATTACACTGATGTTGCAGCCAATATAGAAAAGAAGTATGGCTAAATTTATTGTTGGTACAAAGAACTGCTAATGGAATTGTAGCCATATTAATAATCTGAACAATTCATAAACTGAAAGTATCAAACATTATATATTTCCCATAATTTATGTGAAGAACATTTACTACCTGGCAGGGGCTTTTGATGAGACCGGTGATGAATATACCTCATTTAATACTGTATTAGCTTTTCAGTATGTATATAAAAGGTAAATGCAGCATATGTGAAGCTATGAATTAGTAACCAATTAAGCAATATATCTGTTCAAGTCTTATATTACAGAATATGAAGTCAAATAGGCGGAAACATTTATAAAATCTGAAGTAAACCATCTGTATTCTAACACACAAATGTTCTGTACCAATTAAATACAGTATAGCAGAAATATAATATAAATTACACTTTACAGTAATTGCAAAATACTAGGAGTTAGCTTACTATACATATAAATCGAAGAACAGCAGCAACTTGTCTGTAAGGTCCCATTATCTCAATTTCTTTCTAAAATATAAAGAATACAGCAGGCCATTCTTATATTTCCTTTTTACCATTTTCTACTTTACAAATATTCAAGACAGTATCTATACATGGAATAGTTCCCCAACATTTCGAACACATAATACAAATCCACAATTAAAAATGAACTTTACAGATTAAATCACTTCTGAACATTTCATCTGAGATTGGTCATTGCCAGTAACAAACAGTGCATGATTTGTAATTGTGATCCACTACTGCTGCTTTGCATTTCCCCCATTAAAAAAAAAAAAAAGCCATTTGTTGAAAATTTTGTCCACCTTCTCCTTTGCAGTAATACTGTTTCTGCATCCAGATTACCTGGTTGGCACATGAAAAATGCCCAACACATAAACTTTAGGCATTGTTAATGTTTTCAATAAATGTCAAATTGGCACAGTGGCAGGCCTATAGGAAGACAAAATAGAAAACAAAAATGATAGCAGTCTCTTCAGTGTGCTTAATAAACACAGGATATAAGGCAGCGTGGTGCCTGGTGTTAACTTGTAGAAATATGGCACCAAGCTATCAAGTAAAACAAACATATACAATACAACCCAAGATATAAACAGCAAGTGTATCATTCTAATACATGTTCTTTGGTAAGTAACAGCATATGGTAGATTTCCCCTCAGATACATATTTACATCCCATTGCATCCCACACAATATTTTGTATGATCTAATGTGTTAAGTAGCAAATGGTCAAGTACCTCACAGTTTTATTTACAAAAAGCACAATCCTTTACATTTCAATTCAGAAGTAAACCTACTGAGTTCAATGGGGCTTGCTCCCAGGTAAGAGAATTTAGGATTTCAGCCTGACTTTAATTTAGTGTGCAGCCATGTTTGCCTTTAGGCAGGCAAATGATACACACTCAATATATATATATTACTTATTTTTTTTAAAGAACCAGAGAATTATGCCCATGACTCAAACATTCAGTAACAAATTAAAAACTATACAATTACTTTGAAAATATGTCTACACAGTGATGTGTGCAGCAAGTGCAAAAACAAGAACAAAACTGCAGCTTCAGTTAATCCAAGACTTCCTGATCTCCTGTTTTCTAGAAAAAGCAGAAGCTGCTGCATCTCCTGATTGACAGAAGGATTCTGCCTCTGCTTTGGAAGAGGGTGACTTCTGCAGAACTGAACTCTTCCGTGTGTCCATGGTGGATGATACCTGAGATCGTGAACTGCTACTGCATATCTTTGTTGGAGCTGGTGTTTTAGTGACACATTCAGGACGAACAAATATCCCATGTCGTGGTTTGCAGCGGAAGTACTCTCTGCCTTTTACAGTTCCATCATGTTTCCCTTAAATAAGCACAAATAATTCCAGTAAGAATTAACAGAAGTTTGAAACCATGGGAGGAATTATTAAATCTTTATTAAAACATAGAGACTGATACTAGCCTTCACCTGGTTAATGCTTACAAAGGTTCACTCTTTACTGTGTTGTACTAACCAGTTGGTTAAGAGGAAGTAATGGTAAGTGTTACTCATGGTTGATCAGATGTAAGCCTCAAGCATGGTGGAAGCACAAAAAAACATCACAAACGGGATGAAGCATGTGATCAGAAAACACACACAAGAGCCTCAGCCAACTGTATCATCTGGGCGCATTGAAATGACACAAAATTAGATGCAACTGACATATTGTGGCATTCATATTTTCTGCAGTATGTAAAGTGGTTTGATCTGAAAAATTGGAAGCTGCAATTCCTACTCAACTCCTTCATGAGCCAATTGGTTGAACAGCAGCTCCTCTATGATCTTAATGGGAAAAGAGACTTCAGCAATTTCTAGAAATATATGCTGCTGCTTTTGCCTGGTCACATCAATTGTTGTGCATCATACCAATTTAATAAACAATTGTGCACTATACTTGAATGACCTATACATTTCTTTTTAAAATTTTAAGCAGAGGCTGGATGGCCATCAGTGATGCTATAGTTGGGATTCTTGCATTGCAGGGGATTGGACTAGATGACCCTTGGGTCCCAACTCTGCAATTCTGATTCTTCTGTGACTTTTTAGTAACCAGTGCCCTATATAAGTGTCCATGAGCAGTCTGGGCATATTTTCAGTTGCTTATTTTTCTGCTGCTGCTGACCATTAAGCACTGCATGATTTTATGGATAAATTTCTTCTGTCCTTAACTAAAGGAACCTATGCAAAAAGTCCTGTTCCCAGTTCTCAACATCTTCAGCTGTCAATTTTACTAAGGAATCTTCTCTAAAATAAAATTCCCTGGTTGTGCAAGTATCCTGGGAGTATTGTGACATGCAAATACATCTTAATATCTTTGAAAGTCTCTGATATGCAGTAGCAATCAATGGGCTCGTTTGCATGACACAATAAGTCTGTTTGTATTGAACCATGGTTTAATTGTGAAAGTGCCTCTCTTCTGCCATGCAGATCTTTGTGCAGTTTCTTCCCCTTCCCCATACTTGGTATATTTCTGACATGCTGCTGATGGTTTATTTTCTTGCCTCAGTTGTTTATCAATGTTTCCCTCTCATATGGTGAATTAAGGTCCAGAACATAAAGTGAGATAATCTTGATTAAATTCATTTATTTAATCATTAAAATTTGTAAGAAAAAGTGTTGGAATTAAAGATGTTTTAGAGAGGTATGGCTATATTTGATTATCTTATGAGAAGAGCTTGCAAGAAATTTGTGACTAGAGTCTAGTCTATTTGTGGTTTGTTTGAAAACACAATAAGCCATAGTATTCCTTGTTTGAAACAAGGCAGGGGAGACACATGCATCCAATTAAACCATGATTTAAGACAAATGAAGACTTACTGTGACATGCAGATTGGGCCAGTATTGGAATAGTATTTGACAGCTCCTCACTGCACATCAACGCTCTACACCCATGATGATGGAATCATCTGCTTGGTACTAGTAGATACGCTGCAGCTTTCTCTATTCTTTATCAACTAGCTTTGATTACAACAGTCTTTCTGACCAATTATCCCAGGGTTTGGACCCAACCCCACTTTGCACCCCATCCTCTAGGGTCCCCAATGAAATGCCTGTGTGTGCTACCTTGAGTTTCATGAAAGAAGAAAGGTGTGATGTAAATGAATAAAAGTAAACAGGCATTACTAATTTCACCAGTTGGATTTCTCCAGTCCTAAAATACTGGGATATACAAATATCACCAGACAACTTGTATCTAGGATTCTAAATATATAATGGAAAGGACCATATCTTACCTGTTTGAAAATGTAATTCAATGCCAACCCAGGTACCAGATGAAAAATCAACAGGACCGACATATCTTACTATGCCTGGCTTGTTACTAGCAATATACACTTGTTCCCCCACTTCCAGCCAACAAGGGTGTTCTTCAGAAGTAACATCTTCACAATGAGAGACATTTAAATGATTTTTTCCAATGAAGTCATCTGCTAGGAAAGAGTCTGCATACATCTGACAATATGAAGCCTCTTTTATTCTGACAGACAATGAAGGATTTTCAGTACTGTTTGACCGCTGATATCCCACTGGTGCAGATTGCAAATGGCTCAAAGGATTGTCCTGGTTGTAAATATTATCTGAGAAACCAGAAGCACAATTCGTTCCAGCTGTTGCGACCTTTTTCTTTTGACTAGAAGAGCTGCTGGAACAGAACTGTGGACCTACCGAACATTCAAGTTCCTTTCCATCTTCAGCACCCATGAATTCTGTAAAGGCGTGATCCTCAAAAACATTTGAAGTGTGTTCAACTGTTGCTTCTCGAAATGGAAATTCAATCCCATGTGGTGTGTTTTTATTCGCTGAGGAATCCAAACCTGTGCACTGTAACTGTGTGGGAATGGTAGTAGTACTTTCATACATTGGAATCTCTGCTGCTAAGGCACTATTTTCTTTAACTGGTGACATGAGCACCTTATATTTTGCCAAGTCTCTTTCTGGTTCTGAAGTCTCCTTGTTTGAAGGTCTTAAATCATGAGTTAGATGGGCTACAGAATGGTCATTAGAATCCAAATCCCTCATCTGATTGGCTAATTGATCTGTGCTATCACTACAGGGAACAAGCATATCAGACAAAGTAGCATTAGAGGCACTGTGGGAAAAGTAGCCACTAGTAATACTGCTAGTGGTAGGACTACGAGATACTTCTTTTTCAACAACACGAGAGTTTACAAAGTCTCCTTTAGAGGATAACCATTCCCTGTTTTCCAAGCTGGCATTGTAGACACTGAAGTCAGCAAATTCTTCGGGCACATAAGGCTTCTTGTTAATGGCCTCCAACTCATCGTCATCCTCAGAGTCCTGCTAAAATTGTAAAGATTTACAGTTACTACTTCTGCATTTTAAACAGAGGCATGACAAGTTATCACTGAAGGACAAATAAATGCCTGCCCACTTGTGCAATGAGTATTCCTTTTCCTCTTGCCTCCTCTGCACTCCCCTGTGCACCCCAAAGATCTGCTCTGGAGGGTTTCACCAACCCTCCGGAGCAGATTTTTAGGGAGGGGTTGCAAGTGGGAGGAGAGAAGGGGAAGTTCTGCTGCACAAGCAAAAATCTGCTTGGGTAATGCTGAATGTTGCCAGAACTTGGCTATTTAAAGAATACTTGCCATTCACTTTATTCTAAGAGCTTGATTATCAAGGAAATTAAGATTTGTGTGTGTGTGCGAGTGTGTGTGTGCACGTACATGTATGTGTGTGCACCTTATGATTGGGATCCAATTTGCTACTTAAGAATTTGAGCACATCCAGTGAAATGCTCTTACTTTCTTTTACTAGCCAACTCCTCGTGCCATACCCCACACCCAGTTTTAACTGAGGTATGACAGGTGGGAGTGGGGCACAGTATAGCTGAAAAAACCCAAGTCTAAAGCTATTTTGGGCTAGTGGCACTAGATACCCCATTCCTACTAGATACCCCATCATCAAGGAGTTCAATCCCTACATTTTAAGCAACGATGTCTGATCCTAATTCAGGTCTCCCTTGTTGGTCCAATATAAATATTGTTTCACTGGCCGTGTATAGATTGTAGTGCCAGTTATTTTTTCTTATACAATACAAATAATTTGTTTTTGTGCAACTCCATTTTTAGCCACCTGCACAGCTGTGTTAAATTGAATAAGATAATGATTAAATGAGCTTTATTAAAATTCCTGCCATGTGTAATGATTACAGCAAATTTCTGTCAGGATTCCAACTGTGGTGAAGCAGGCTACAAAATATTTTGTAAAAGTCTGATTCAACTGCACACCCCGGTTTTACATCCTAATCACCATACTGCCATATACACAATATTTAGAACCAAACATCTTTCTGCATTTATCATAAGATGCATGTGGATTTTAAATCTTTGATACAAGAAGGGAAGGTAGTATAGGAGTAGTCTATTAAACTAGTCCTGGACTATGTGTTCATAGACAAGGTGTTAAACAATAGGTAATACTGGCATAGTTGAAACAGTGGAGCTTATAAGAAATCTACCAGGCACTAGGAAAAACATGTGTCTTTCCATGGAACTATTGGTCTGCATTGCTTTGTTTTTAAAGCAATGAAATGAGTCCAAAGTCTATACTGCTGAAGTATTTGTCATGGCCAATAGCTAGTACAATAGAGTTATCTGGATTGGATACTGCTGAAGTTATGTGTTATTTAAAGCAGCAGCAGCAGAAATAGTCGCTCTAGTTTTTTAGTTTTCTAGCAATGCAGAACAAGTAATCAGCTCTCATTAACAGATGATGTCCTGCCCATTCAAGTATGCAGTGGAATGCTTCTGCTCTTTCTGTACTACTTCGAGTAATGCATGTAACTTTTATAATATTTGTGTATACAATTTCTATTATCTAGCTAAAATTTCTATCTATCTATGGGTGGAATTCAAAGTAGTGCTAAGTCACTGGTTCCATTAGTGCAAGGAATTCCCCCACCCTTTCCACCCCCACCTAAATATGTTCTATGAGTTTCCCCAATCCTTTGGAGATTTCACAGTTCCGTTATGCAAATGGAAATCATTCTGCTCATGCAATTACTTAGTTTAATACCACTCTATGTGTTACCTTTGTTTGAATTTCCTAGGATATACTTCTTTCTCTCACCTACCTGCTCATTGCAAAGCTTCTTCTACACTTTAAAATTATGAGTATCTAGACCAGGCTTCCTCAACCTCGGCCCTCCAGATGTTTTTGGCCTACAACTCCCATGATCCCTAGCTAGCAGGACAGGGATGATGGGAATTGTAGTCTCAAAACATCTGGAGGGCCGAGATTGAGGAAGCCTGACCTAGACTAGCCAACTAGTTCGTAATGGTAATGCAGATGAGCTGAAAATTCTTATTGCTGATAAGCACTACACACCTGTGTGCTAGCCAGGATTTTTGTGAGAGTATAATGGGATTAAATAAAGCTTCCTAAGATTTCTGTATTGCAAATAATATATACTAATCAAATCTTTGTTCTTTAATCAAAGTAGGTTATGCAAGACTTCATCCTCATTGCAAGTAGACAGAAGGTGGTGATCCTATAAAAATACACCCAAAGTAAAAACAAGCAACCTATATAGAGGCACTCTAGAATTTGCTTCCAAAAGGTATAGTGTACAAGCAGAAGGCACTTCCATTTAACCAAATGGTCATGCCACCTGCTTCCTACTGCAGTCCCCTGTTTCATATGCTATGCTGATTGGGAGAATCCCCTAAGCCTCAGGAACAATTTTCAGGGGGCTTAGAAAAAACCCACTTTGTGAAAAGGAACTCCATTTCATCCATGGAATTGATGTTAGGATCAAAGCCCAAATCTTTACATATATCACACATTTTCAGTTTGCAGAATTTGTTTCAGTAAATTATGTTGTCCATTTCTGTGTAACAGCAACTCTAGCAGCTCTTAAGTGTAACCTAATTCTATCAGTTGTTGATGGGGTTTTTTTCCAGCTAAATCATCAGAACTGGCCAGGCTATCTGAAAATGGTTATAGGAATTTCCTCTTGTGTTTAGTATAAATAACAAAATGAAGTACATATTGAGAAACCTCAACAAGCTGCATTTCACAAACAGCAATTGCTCTGAAAGGATACTTCTGATATAATTTCTCAAGACAGAGTATGCATGATTTGGAATCAACCACATACAGGACAAAATGTGTGAAATCATAGAAAATAACCTTCAAAAGCATGTTATATATAATCAAAGATATATAAAAAAAAGAAGAGTGGGGTGTTTTGCTAACTTTATTATAGAAATACACCCTTAATTTAGTTTTGATAATTGGAGGGGGGTGGTCATGGCAAGCTAAATATTAGTTCTTGGTATCATAGGGGTTGATGTGACATTATTTGCACACAGTGAGCTAGTCAACTGTTGTTGCATTTGCGTCTGCTTTGCGCCAAGAATAATTTTTGCAATAGTGTATCACAATTTATTCTAAACTACTTGTAATAATATACAAACAGCATGAGAGTGAGGAACTTTGTGGTCATTAACCCAACTTCTGCAGTAATACAAACTACTGGAGTACCATGTAGTGTTCTAAGTGTAGATCTTAGAAATTCATTCTGTGAAATTTCTAGATGTTCCATTTCTGTTAATTTCCAAATCTCAGTTCAGTAAAACAGCTGGGAGGGGACTTCTGCATAACCAAAAACAGCATGCAGTGCTCTCAAAGCTTTATGCTTAGTAGAGATTAAATGGCATGTCCAATTACTTGTTTCTGAGACAGTGGTCCCAAATAGTTAACAGTAAAGATTTATTCAATGGCTTCACTATCAAGTGGCCATTTATGGTGAGAGATATATTTTCCAAAGGCAAAAATACTTGTTTTAGCATAATTCACATAGTAATAATAATTATAAAATTATAATTTATTATTTATACCCCGCCCATCTGGCTGGGTTTCCCCAGCCACTCTAAGCGGCTTCCAGCAAAATATTAAAATACAAAAGTCTATTAAACATTAAAAGCTTCCCTAAATAGGGATTCAGATGTCTTCTAAAAGTCTAGTAGTTGTTTTTCTCTTTGACATGTGGTGGGAGGGCGTACCACAGGGCGCGTGCCACTACCGAGAAAGCCCTCTGCCTGGTTCCCTGTAACTTGGCTTCTCACAGCCAAGGGAACCGCCAGAAGGCCCTCAGCAGTCACCAGTCTAGCTGCTGCATTCTGGATTAGTTGTGGTTTCTGAGTCACCTTCGAAGGTAGCCCCACACAGAGCGCACTGCAGTAGTCCAAGCGAGAGATAACTAGAGCATGCACCACTCTGGTGAGACATTAAGTTGTTCTCACTGATATATCAATCTAAAGTTGCACAGCAACATTTTTAGCACTACATGGGCAGGACATAAAGTCTGAATATAATGATATGATCCAATTTGTGGAACAGTGCCAATACTGAAAAGTCGTTTGAGGTATACTGGTTAGAACTTGAATGAAGTTTTACCCACTAAAAATTGATTTCTATGACATAGATTGAGTAATTTGTAAGATAGGGCTCACCATTCATTAGACATTTTTAACTAGTCCAACATGGTCTAATCATTTCAGAATCTTCTTGCTTATCCTCCACTAGCTCAGTAATCAACAGTCAGCACACTATGTCCAGTCAATGTCCTTGAAAAGTGAAAATTTCTTGCAACCTTTTTCTACACTGAAGAATCCTTTCAGAGAAAACATAAAAGCCAGGGGAAAATTAGGTTTGGGCAGTATCAGGTGAACACGACAATAAGTAACTACTCTGCAGTCTATGTGGTTTCTATACCTTGAAGAAAACTGTTTGTTGACATATGAAAATAATTGTAATTTTAACAGTGAATGTAACTGATGTTTTTATACCAAAAGAAACTTAGATAATTTTAAATATAATCTTCCACTAGTGAAGTGCAAAATCCTCTCAATGCTTTCTCTGTACATTCTTTGTATAGAAATGAATTATGCTGTGCAGTAAACCAGAATGTATTGCTGTTTATAGATACCATAATCAAGTTCACTTAGCTGTCTACAAACAAAGCATAACATAAAAGGATAGTGGCAGCTCCATGTATCTGCTCAGACAAATCTGGGACCTAGGTCCACTGCACTGACACCTATAGCCATCTAGCTCCAAGGTAGTGGTGAAACTGGAATAACCACAGAACGTTTGTTAATTAAATATGATTACATTTTGAGAAGGCTATGCTACAACTCTCTCATCAGGAAAAAGGTAAAGGTAAAGGTAAAGGACCCCTGACAGTTAAGTCCAGTCACAGACGATTCTGGGGTTACAGCACTCATCTCACTTTACAGGCCGAGGGAGCCGGCATTTTTCTGGGTCATGTGGCCAGCATAACTAAGCCGCTTCTGGTGAAACCAGAGCAGCACACGGAAACACTGTTTACCTTCCCGCCAGAGCGATACCTATTTATCTACTTGCACTTTTTTGTGTGCGCTTTCGAACTGCTAGGTTGGCAGGAGATGGGACTGAGCAACGGGAGCTCACCCCGTCGTGGGGATTCAAACTGCCGACCTTCTCATCGGCAAGCCCAAGAGGCTCAGTGGTTTAGACCACAGTGCCATCCGTGTACCCTCATCAGGCAAACTTGAAATCAAAAACCCCAGAAAGAAAGAGAGATATAAAATAACACGGCACCATTTATAAGGGCAATAATTCATTTACTCGTGCCTATTAAGTGGCTAATTTATTAAGTGAAATAAGGTTAGAACTAAGGGTTACCAACTTTTTTCCCTAACCAGGCTCCTGTGTAATTTAGAGGGTTGCCAACTTTTCTGGCTGCTTCTTTGCCTGCAACAACTGGTTCACTGGGTACCATTAGAAGCGAGTCATATTGATTCCCATGCCCTGCAATCATCCTGGCTGATTTCTCACATTGTATAGATGTTAAAGATATGAAAGAAGCCTGTCTATGGGGTCTTCAGGTCAATTGGCAAGCCAAGCCAAGCCAAGCCAAGCCAATAAAGGCTGCAATGGAAAAAGAGGAAACTTAGAAGATAAAGCACACCCAGGCACACAATTGTTCCCTAAATCTCTCTCCACACTTCTCCCCCCAGGGCTGAAGGTTCTCCTGTGCTTTCAACAGCTAAATGTACACCTCAAGATATATTTTTTCCTTGCTCCCGCCACCCAAAACCTCTCAAATGATTTTTTTATTTATCTCTTCTGATTCCTACTCATCTCCTTTTATGCTTAACTTCAAACTTTCTGGCCTATCTTCACTACATACCATTCTAGGCAGAGATCTGATCTCTAAGAATCTTGCCAGGTAACTGCAAGCTTATCTGCTTCCAGAAGCCAAGATTGGCCATAAATTGCTGTCAGGTAGCATCAGAATAAGCAAGCACTTTGACTATGAGTGGTATAAAAATGCCTTTTGTGATGGTCGTGAGGATTAACTACCAACATAGTTAAATTATCTTGGACCCAACCTGTTCACAGCTTTCATATCATCACAAGGGCTTTGAACCTGGGCTGCTAGCATATAGGCAGCCAGTGCAAATGTTTTAGCCTTCAATGACAAAGATGTATCCTAGAGCACCTCTTGATGTTTAGAGGCAGCATAACCCCAATCAGAAGAGGCAACTGGCTTATCATTTGGAAACGAGAACCACCTATTCAAAGAGCCTCAATCTTCACAAAATTTCAACACAATTTATTAGCCTGCATCCAGTCTCTGGTCCAGGGCTTGCACAATCTCTCCAGATTCAGATGTTATGGATAAATAGAGCTGCATATCATCAGTGTACTGCTCCAAAACTCCTAACGACCACACCCAACCACTTCATATAGATGTCAGAACCCCAGGGGATAAAGAACACTCCCCCAATGTTATTCTCTGGACTCAGCTATGCAGGTAGGTGTGGAACCACTGTAATACAGTGCCTCTAATACCCACTCCACACAGTTTATCGTGGAGGATACCATGAGTAACAGGGTCCCAATTCCATCTACCTCTTAGTAAAGGTCATCCATCAGTGCAACCAAAGTTTATTCAGTCCCCAAACCAGGCCTAAACCCAAGACTGCAGTATATCCACTTCAGTGTCAACGCTAGGTATACAACACTTTATTTTATAAAGTTGATTGTCTATGTGAGGAAGCCAAGAAAGGTGGACATTTCAAATATATGAAAATGAATGGCAAGTCTGCTTTGCTGTACACTTCAACATTTACATTTTTCAGTCTAAACCAATCTACAAATTAAACATGTGGAAGTACTGGAAAGTTCATGAATGCTGACATTCTGAATTTACCAGTGAATAAGCCCTACAAAGTTCTACCTTTTCCCTTGAAAATTTATATATGAATGATCATTTCAAAATATATGAATGATCAATTTAAAATAATTGTAACAAATTATGCATTTTGCCACATATTTAAAAGCCAACATGCACATTGTATGCACATCTTGTTTTCTTCACTATTACAGTATAGCAAAAATTACATCCCATGAGAGGGCCTTAAACCACCACCAGGCATTATGACAGAAACCAATGCAAAACTTACAATATTTTCCTCATGTATGCTATTGTGTTCTACCGGCATGCTACTGGCATTACTTCCTGAGGGCACAACACAACCAGTGCTATGTACCTGAGATGATGGCATGCTCTGCAAAGGTTAAGACACACAAAACATCTCACAAATAAGGTATTTACAAACCCATGCATGTTAGTAAGACAGGAGGACACGTTTTTAAAACAACTCAGGCAAGGAGGTTAAATAGCTTAATTACAGAAATCCATGCAACACCACATTTGTCTTCAGTTGTGGAAAACATGACACCGTTTCCTAAAATGGTGCTATAGCCTAATAAAAGAAATTGACAATTCAGGACAGCTGTTTTACACAGACAATGATTAAGCAGAAACACACTCCATGCTGAACAAAAGGAGACAAAACTGAAATAGGATTATCATTCCAGTACAGAGAAAAGGAATTGCTGAATTTTAATGTAGGATTCCAAATTCTCCGTATCACAAATGCAAGCTGCAAGTTATTTACTGGCAAAGACAATAGCTACTTGCACATAAATTAATCAAGATTAAGAAACTATAATAGTTCTTAACTACCTACCTCTTTACTAAGTAGAGGCCGACTTTCAAAGGAGATCTTTTTATGTTCTTCTTTTACTGGCATTAAAGGTTTGAAAAACTTGGGTGGCTGTGGAGAAAATGCTTTAAATGGGCTGACGGTTGATGCATGAGGATTCTCTGATACATAACCTTGGATAATGAAAATAAACACACACACAAATAGGTTAGTTATTCTAACATCAACTGCAAAAGTAAGTAAAAAATGAAAAAGAAAGTGATATAAAGTACCACAGGAAATAACCATGATGATGAGCATATTAGATCCTCATTTGTGCCATGTTATGAAATATGTTCATTTCCCTGCTTACCATTCATGGTAAATGTTGTTTGTACAATGAAATAACAGTGGAGTAACAGAGAGGGTTGGATCCAGACTTTATCACCATGGAAAAAGGCTTTTAATTAAGTGACGGGGTGGGGGCATGGCAACTTTTGCTGATTTCCCCTCCTCCTGTAGCCACAGTGCCATCTCTCACACTGTTTGAGAGGTTTGCTCAAGCTATATGCAAACCAGTCCAGCATGTCTCAAAGCATGCTCTCTGCTATTTGTAAAGTAAACATACTTTATCACCTACAACTCCCTCCTTTTGCATCAAGAAGGTTTTGCTTAAACGAAGTTTAGCAAAAAGCTTGTCTGCAATTCATAACATACTTCAAAGAGAACTAAATATGAGCTGTGGATGTCTCAAAAGGAAAAGTCTGCCATTCTTTCGTAGAAGTAAGGTAAAGGTAAAGGGACCCCTGACCATTTGGTCCAGTCGTGACCTACTCTGGGGTTGTGGCGCTCATCTCGCTTTACTGGCCGAGGGAGCCGGCGTACAGCTTCCGGGTTATGTGGCCAGCATGACTAAGCCGCTTCTGGCAAACCAGAGCAGCGCACGGAAACGCCATTTACCTTCCTGCCAGAGCGGTACCTATTTATTTTCTTGAACTTTGACGTCCTTTCGAACCGCTAGGTTGGCAGGAGCTGGGACCGAGCAACGGGAGCTCACCCCATCGCAGGGATTTGAACCGCCGACCTTCTGATCGGCAAGTCCTAGGCTCTGTGGTTTAACCCACAGCGCCACCCACGTCCCTTCGTAGAAGTACATAGTGGTAATTATTTACATATGACTCGTAGCATCACTAGAATTTCAGTGCAGCTGCTGGTTAATATAACCCAAGAGAGAATGATAATGTACCTGTCAGCATAAGGTGACAACTGATATGTAATTTGGCAGTTTAAAACAAAGTAAGTCATAAAGCTACAACATTAGTACTAAAACCAAATTTTAATCACTTGTTCCCTAAGCAGTTATTCTTTATAATAATAGCAACAGTAATATTAGTAATAATAATAATTGTACCCTGACCATCTGACTTGATTGCCCCAGCCACTCTGGGCAGCTTCCAATATAATTTTTTTCTTTCCTTCTTATCACTAAATCTCCCTCCTCTTCCTTTATGCTGTCATGAATATGCATATGCACATTTTCTTTTCCTACTTCTCTTTCCTCTGCTTTTGTAAACTCCTCAGGGGAGAAACTGTCATAATAATAATAATAATAATAATAATAATAATAATAATAATTTTTAATACCCCGCCTATCTGGCTGGGCTTCCCCAGCCACTCTGGGCAGCTTCTAACAAAATATTAAAATATTGTAATGCACGTACATTAAAAGCTTCTCTAAACATATCACTGCTCATATCACTACATAAAGCACTATGTGCATTTATTCTACTATATAAAATAATAATGCTTGTTCCAGGAGATAAAACGTATTGGTATATGATCCTAAGTGCTTGGCCTGGAGAGGCACATCCCATTTTTACTTCAGAACCTTCTTAAAGGGTGCTGGGATAGTTGTTTTCGGCCCTTGCAGCACCAAAGCACCACAAGCTAACCTTCATCATCATGGGAGAAATAGCCTTTGCTAGCAGATTAATACACTGTATCGGTTAGGACTGAATGCTGCTTTATACATACACATTTACCACAAGAATTTAAAGACAGTAGAACAGAGGGAAATACCCTTTGCATCACTGCTATATATATATATATATATATGAATATGTGTGTGTGTATATTAATAATTTCATATATTGACCCAATTAAAACTAAACACAATAAAAATCTTACCACCAGCATCTTTACTTCTGCGAGGAGAATCTCTGGGTAAAGTACCATAACATGATACATCTTGGTAACTGGAAGAACAATCTAATACATCTAGATGACCTTCTGACCAACCCTAAAGTCATAAACAACCAAGAAAAGAAACAGGAAAATGTTCATTTTCAAGATACAAGAAAAGAGTTCAGATCCTTTCAAAATAGTCAATGTTCTTTCACACATACATATTTTTTATTACTACCAAAACTTTTCAAATTTATTTTATGCAACTCAATCCTGTGCATTTTATTCAGAAGTATATCCCCAATGCATTCAGTGCTACTTGCTCCATGGTGTGTCTAGGAGTAGAGTCTTATTTTGTTAAAATCTATTACAAAAATATCCTGTAATCTCTCCTATCTCACAGGAAGATTCCTAGGACTTTTTTGGTAACTGATTCAATAATAACTACCCTGAGAAATTTATTGCACCCCCGTATGCCCCTGCACCAGAGAAATAACTGACAGTCTTTAATAATTTATTTTGTGAAGCACCCTGAGATCAGCTCAACTTAATTTTCTCAAGTCAGTAATGCATCAAATTATACATTCCTGTTCTAAACAACCTATCATTATTACTGAAGACTAACTTTAAGGATTTCTTGTATCAAATAGGAAGGAAAAGGCAAGTCTATATGACTACATTTTCAAAAAGGTGCCACCACATCTGTTCACTTTTCTTAATATTCATACCTTATCTTCATCACAGCCAGAAATATCTAATCGACTACAGGATACCTAAAACACAACAATAAATAAATATGAGCCCAATGAATGCTATCAGCCTGCTTAGCAGCAGGGTGGCCTTCACATGAGAACCACAGTCTCCTCACCAACTGCTAAGCCTAGACTGCATTTGAAATAAACAAAAGACTGACAAACATGGCAATAGAACTTCATGAACACTCATGTACTGTATATCCTGCATTTAAAGGAAAGGAGGGTTATACTTGCATGTAGGAAAGGAGCATTAAACCTAAATTATCCCTGACAATTATCCCTGACAAATACCTACTGGAATATGTAGAATATGTCCTTTGACAATTTATTCTACTGATTAATCTCATTTTCTCCAGGGTCAAAATGAATACGTTTTGTCTTCAACCTTAACATTTTTAGTAATATGTGAGTCTTTCACCTTGAAAAATTATCTTACATTGTGGACGTTTGGTGTACTGACACTCCGCTGCATGTGTCGAGTCTTAGTAGAAACAGCTTCTTTGACTGTGACTGCCTGCGTTAAGATAGAATGAGTAAATTGAAATCTGTAGTTTCACACAGAGATCTAGGCAATTAAAACTCACTTCAAAAAGTATATATAAAGGTATATTTATTAATACAGAAAAATCATTTTTACTTTAATCAGGTTTGATGTCTCTGAAGACAGATCAAGAATGGAACATTATATCAAAATGGCATCCGAAGAGCAAGATCACATTAAACGTTTGTCAGCATTCTGATAGTAACGGTAAAGAAAATGGAAATATGAGACATCTCTTGCGGCAATTGTTTTACAATAACTAAACTAATTTGGCCTGAAGCTTTTTTCTACTCACCTGTCTTAATCGTTCAAGACTCAAAATGTTTTCTACCTGCAACACTCCACGAGTATACTTCTCAATGTAAGTTTCACCATCAGATGCACCCTCATTTTCATTTCTGGCTGCCATCAGAGCCAGTGTCTCCCGATCTTCAATTTCTTCTGTGGCCTAAAAATTAAACTGTTTAATTTAATCTGTTTAAAACTGGGACACAAACAGAATGCAACATTATGCAGTCTTTATACAGATGCCACTTCAGAATGCCTAAAACAGAACTTTGAGGATGCAGTTTACAGGAATTTCTTTTACTTTGATTTTTTCATTTATTCTAACTTCTTGAAAAAGTACAGTAGAATTTACCTTTGGTATATTTGAAACTATTTCATAGGCCACACCACAAGCATACCATATATTCTTCAAAGATATTCTTCGTTTGAGACTCTGCGTAAAACTCTAGGGGGGAATTCATATGATGAATAGTGTGATTAAGCAAGCTAAGAAAATGGTTTCTTGCAGGTTCATGTCACATGCAATGGGGTAGGGGCTAACTCTCATCCTGGCATCCCAATTCAGCCTCCTTAGCATATTTTTCATCCCACCCAATACCTCACTGGGAATGGCAAAAAATTAAAAGAAACATGGTATTATTTTACTTTGTAAAAACAACTGAACATTGTTTTCACCCTCCATCAACACATGCAACATTAAGAAAAACACCTTTATTTGATTGCATAAATTGGAATGTAAATTACTACAACCATAAGCTAACCTTTTAATTTAAACATTTATCAAGTTTTGTATACCTTCCTTTGTTTATGTTCCTTTTGTTACTCTGCATGTTACTTTAGTAGTGAAACTAAACATCAATAAAACATTTCTGTGGTTTTTTATTTTTAAAAAACATCATTGTATGTGAATACTTCCTGGTTTAGTTTATTATTTCTAAATTTTATCCCAACAGTTAAGTCAACAAAAAAGAAATACAGTCATGTATGCGACAACGGCCGTGAGAGTTCTGGTAGCACAAGGATGGAAGACTGAAGAAATCTCAACTAAAGAATCATGGCAAGAAAAATTAATGGATTATGCAGAACCGGCAAAATTGACATATAAGCTACGGGACAGGATAACTGTGACTTTAAGGATGAATGGGAACCTTTCACAAAGTATTTGAAGATGCAACAAAGTGAACTGGACTCCTTGGCAGGTTTTGAATAAACATCCACAATTTTTTACTGATAATAATTAGCTAAACAGTTGGAGGATCTATACAACTCTGTAACATGCAGAAAATAGCATTATTGGAGAAACCAAAGACTGGAACTGAGGGAAGTTGGGGGGTGAGGTGGGGGGGTTGTGGGGGGAGGGGGGAGGAAAAATGGGGGGGGGAATAAGGATATGTTTTTGGAAAATATGTTTTGTTATAACTTTGAATAAAAAAAATTAAAAAACAAAAAAGAAATACAGTCAAAAGAAGATACATTAAGCAGAATTCATCCATCACCTGCTTATTGTAAATATTTGCAGCAATTCTTTTACGTAGCACAAGTTCCATTGCAGCAGGGTGGCTGAGTTGGACTGTAATCTTCACAATCAAATAGATTCTCTCATTTTGAGGTGTTACCCTATTCAAGTGCACTGAATCATGCACAGAAGGGTCCCATGCAGCAGTGGCCGAAACCTAGGAGCACAATTTGGTAGAATATTATAAAGGAAACTGATCTGAATTGCTTAAATGTTTACCCTACTCTTTTAACATTCCTGAAATACAGAAATGCTTAGACAATTAACACAACATTAACAAAAGCAATTAATGAACACGATTAAAGTCCCATGGTTTCAATGAGTCTAAGTAAAACTGAGTTGAATAGTACCTCTGTCAATTTTTTTGTAATGTACTTAATGGGGAAAGTGCTCTGCCTGATCAGGTAGCAGTTGGTTTAACTGTCACTGGGGGAGCTTAACAGACAGCCAAGGAAGGGTTGGAGACAGAACTATCAGTATGCAAAAGAAGGATAAAATGTACCCACATTTTGATTGGTGGTTGCAGGTTTAGAATATTCAGTTAGACAATGTGATTGTCTGGGGCTGGACCAGAGGGGGAAGAAGAAGTGAATATATGGCAGTTAGGGTCAGTTAGGATTAGTCCATGTTGCTCAGAGAGGAGCCAGCATTTGTTGGTGCTTGGTGTTCATGGTGGGCAGCCAGAAGGAGAGAACAAAGAAGATTAAGGAAGAAGAGGACATGAAAGGAAGGCTGGGGTAGCTGAATTGGCTTGGCTCAGGCTGAAGAGGAGGGAAGAAGTGAGAGGCAGTTTGGAATGCCAGACTCTGTCTGGTATCAGGTAGGAGAGAAAGATTTCAGGGCAGAGCATCGGAAACAGCCCTGTTTCCAACAGGTCAGTACAGGTCAAAAGAGAGGCTTCAGTAAAGGTCCTCAGTTATAGAGTTGGTGAGGCTTAACTGGGGTGGAGTAAATAGAAGAACAATCTGGCAAAAGAATCTTAAATTAGGTTCTTCACAGCTGTCTTAGTTTAGTAATAGTGTAAAATAAGCTGCATTTAAGCCACATGTTAACAAAGTGCATATCCATTTAAGTAGGTAGTATGAAGTAACTGCATACACTTGTGAACCGCATAATGCAATAAATAAATATTGATTTCTTTGTCAAATATAATAGCTATACCTGATAGTCTTTGTATTACATTGATATCAACAGTTACTCAGGTTACTGATAAGTTAAGGGTGCTAAGGGTATAAGTAATATTAAATGGTGGCAGGACTATGGGTTTGGGAAAACCGCTGGAGCAGAAGGTGGTTGGCTTTTTTAAATAAAGTGAGTAAGGAAATATCCCTTCCCTTCTCACATTAAGCAACCAAAAATAAAATAGCTAGGGATATATTTATCAATATTTCAAATCTATTATAAACCAACTGCTTGTGTCTATTGGGAGAAAGCAAACAGAGTATGTATAGATTGGTAAAATTACTAATTTCATTGTCAGTAAAAGCAAAAGTTATAAAATGGAGATTCTGCCTAAGATCGTATTTATTTTTCTATTGCTGATTTTTAACATATCACTAAAGAATCTGAATAAGCTCCAGCCTGGATGATTGATTTGCACCAAAAATTAACCATTATCACCATGTGCGATATTAGTTGCACTAGTGCATGGTTTCACACGTATAAAGACATTTTGCCATGGAGGAAGAGGGAATCAACTTCTTGTTTTCTAATATGCTCAGTTTGCATAAAACAAACCAAATGCTAAATTGCCAGTCTAGAAGCCCAATAAACATGTTATAAGAGGAACAAACATAAGCAGACTTCTTCCATATTTTGAATTATTATCAGAAATCTACAAAAAACAACTAATAAAACAAAATTCAGAGAAAGAAATTATTGTTAGAATGACAGGTATAGAATGGCATTATATACAGAAATAATGAGCCAAAAACTATTTTACTTTGTGTGGATTCAATAGAAACTTTTATAATATATTGTATACAGTGGTACCTTGGTTCCTGAACTCAATCCATTCTGGGAGTCCGTTCAACTTCAAAAACATTTGCAAACCAAGGCATGGCTTCTGATTGGCTGATTGGCCCCAGAAACAATGCCGACAGTTGAAATCAATGTTTGGCTTCCAAAAAACATTCACAAACCAGAACACTTACTTTGGCGTTTGGGAGCCAATTTGTACGGGAGCCAAGCTTTTTGGGAACCAAGGTTCCACTGTACATGGCATTATATCCCTGTAAGAATTTCAAAAATGTATCCCAGTGTACCTATCTGATTCATGTTGAAGAATCAAGGAAATATTGGCCCACCTTTGGTAGAAATGTATTCAGGTTAATAATGGATAGATGTTTCACAGGGTATCAAAGACATAATAAGCCAAGGTATTAAATTAAATCCATGTGGTGTAGTGGTTAAGAGCGGTAGTCTTGTAATCTGGTGAACCGGGTTCGATTCCCCGCTCCTCCACATGCAGCTGCTGGGTGACCTTGGGCCAGTCACACTTCTCTGAAGTCTCTCAGCCCCACTCACCTCACAGAGTGTTTGTTGTGGGGGAGGAAGGGAAAGGAGAATGTTAGCCGCTTTGAGACTCCTTAAAGGGAGTGAAAGGCGGGATATCAAATCCAAACTCCTCCTCCTCCTCCTCCTTTGGGACAACTAAAAAGGTAAGTCAGTGGAGCACACAGGGAGACAGCTATGGATATATTAACTAAGACATTTTTAGCACTAGCATGAAAGTCAGTGCATTTACCATTTTCTAAGGCTTTGGAGAAAGGGTGTGGAATATTACGTTACTAGCTGTCAGTATCTATGAGAAGGAAGGAACACCTACAAAGAGACTTTAAGAAGAAGTTGGACTTCATTTATACAATTCAAGAATATTAAACGTTTATTCTTCAAAATATAAGTATTTCAACCCCACATGAATTAAGAACTAATCAAAGATCACTTTGTTAAGAGGTTATTCTGAATAACAATAAACTATACACACTTGTTCAACAAAAATCAAGTAGAAAAGAGTAAATTCAAGGTTTCAAAGGTATAATGTAGCATTAAATGTATTGAAAAAGAAAGAAAATGGATTGATGAAATGCAAACAGTAAAAATATGATAGCCATACATCTACTGTACAGAATAGCTCACTAGACATTTACCTCATCTTTGCTGTGTTTTATGATTGGCAGATAAAAGAATTGACTTCCATGCTCTTTGGGTAGTATTGAATTTACTCCTGATGCATGTGGACCTATAAGCTGTTCATTGGCACTGAGGTCATCAGCTAACAAAAAATAAAATTAAGTTACAAGACATTTTTTTTAGCTTTAGTTATTTCCTATGTCCCAGTCTTAAACATATTACACAGAAATCATGCATAACTGGAAAACAATGCTTTAGATAGGATAGACTTACACTTCTCATGTTACATTTGTATACATCAGCTTAATGGAATTTGTTACCCCACAATGCAAGTACATGGCAACCAATAGAAATCATTGCAAAATATCATTTTGGAACTTTTGATGAAGATGTTTAAGAATGTGTCTTTACACATGATGGAAGAACTCTAATGCCCAACAGCTGTGCTTCTTTCAATACATTCAATAAACAAAAAAACTGGATTGTTTAAAAGCCACCAGATCCAGATCTGAAGCACTTCAGATTCCCACACAGCAATAAAACACCAGCAATACGAAAGCGTATAAATACGTCAAGCATATTCAAGGGAATTCATACTTCCACTCCCTTCATAAGCTGCAACTTACCGTTCAAATCAAGGAAAAGTACAGGTATATGTGTTTCCATTCCAGAAGGTGGGATCCTAACAGTAAAGAAACACCCCAGTTAATAAAATAAACCATACACATGCACAGATATTTTAATGGAAAACTGAAAGCGTTAAAAACAAATGACATTAACTAGGGAGAACCTACAACAAAATATTACAGTGTATCCTTGGACCCTAACAGGAGAGCTCCTAGACCATGATTCACAAAAGAGAAAAGAATTCACAGGGGTGGGGTGGTGATATTTTCTCCACCATATCTCCTAAACAGACCCTAGTTCTATGGAAATGAAGTGTTTGGAGCTGGAGGCAAGTCCTGAATCTAACTGCTTCAATGCATAATAGAGCAAAATGTAGAGACAGGAGAAAGTGTCTTTTTTACTTCAGGACCCCAGTACAGGTGTTAACACCTACTACAAGCATTACTACAACAGGAAATATTATGGAATCTGTAAATGAACTTGTATATAAACCCCGGTTCTACATTATTACATGACTGTGCATTACACCGCCAGAAACCTTTATTTTCTATTTATTAAAATATTTATATCCTGCCCTTAATTCAACCATATCTGGGTGAGATAAATCTTCAGGATACACAGACCAGCAATAAAACAACCAGTTCACCAGCAGTTTCATTTCTAGTTGTAATATGTTTCTAGCTGAACTAAGGGCACTAATGTTCTGTGTTGTGGAATATAAAGGTCAATTTTTTTAAAAAAAGTGAACACACATTTAGCATTTTAGCAGCTTATTCTTCCCTCAGATCTTCACTATCCTGTTAACTGCATACAATATTCACTCAAACGTTATTTTGTAAGCAAGCTGAAATATAATGCATTTTAGTCAACCTACCAATTTGCAGGAGCACCTGGGATCCCACTGTCTGGTGCTGGGACTAGCACAGCATTTCTTTCTTCTGTTAGCCCTACCCACTGTTCTACAAGACGTGCTTCTCTTTCCATGTCATCTTCTGTTTTATCTATAATGTGATATCGGATATGAAGAGTGGAATATTGGTCACATTGGTCACTGTGGAAGTACTTTTTCCAGGGGCATCCAGAAAACAACGGGTTAATAATACATTTTCCAATTATTTAAGAGTAGCAAAGTGACAGGTTGGTTTTGGATTCCAATGAATGCAGATTAGATCCAATAAAGCTAATGAGAATTCTGCTCTCAAAGGTGGATTCACTTTGTAATGAGCAAATTATTCTAATTTTTCAGTTTATAACAAGCTGAACATCACAAAAAGCCTTTCAAATACAAACAACTTTTAAAAATAAATCAGTAATACACTAGGCTAACATTCTTTTTTGATACAAAGGAATGAAAAGTTCTTATAATTAAATCACAAGATCCACGAACCTTGTTTATTGCTGATTTTTTTAATCTGTTCATCTAGATATTCTCTGCGTTTTATTAGTGCCTCTGACCATCTCTCTCTCACACAATTTAAGTCTTCTTCCTATGGAAAAAGAGAATTATTATTTTTTTTTAACATATACAACATACACATTTAATTTTATGCAGTTTTCAACTTTGATTGGAAGATGTTACCCAATAGTGTTCATTCACGTTTACATCAGATAGTACATAACCCAAGAAGGTAAGCTCACCCAACTTGCAAAGAGCATAAAGAATGAAAAGCTGAAATTGCACCACCCACTCCATAGTTAGAGCTCTTTGTGTATTTTGTCTCTTGCAAATTTGTGATTTAGATCCAAGCAGAAAAATAATGCATTGGCCAACAAACTATTTAGTAGCATATGAAAGTGAAAACAATTAAAGAGACATCAACATATATACCCTTAAACCTGTATTAACTCCATTATGAGAAGCTGTTACCAGAGTAACTAAATCATCCACATGCAAACAAAAACCCATCATGCAATCATGCTTTCTGGTATTAAAGGAATGTTTGATCCATTCTTCATAATTCATTACCAGGAAGTGCCATGAACCGCTTGAAGCAAGTTAGTAGCTAATTCAGGCTCAAACTACTGTTGACAGCAGGATGGTGTATTTAAATCTGGATCTGCCTAACTTATGGAAGTACCATAATTATGGAGGTGGGGGTCCTCCTGGGTGGGAAGTGCAAAGCCTTCCCTCTCCTTGTGGTTTATCTACTTGCAGTTTGTTCTCTGAAGCCATTTTCTCCTCATCCAGGCTAAATACCAGAAGTGTCTCTATCTGTGAGAAGAGTGCTTGGGGAGAAGGTTGCAAGAAGGTAAGCAGTGTGTGTTGAGTTGCCTCTGGTGTGCGGATGTGGGTGTTTAGCACTGCTCACCCATTTATTCCTTATACTCCTAAATTGGACTTCTAGTTTCCTTGTTTCACAGGACTGGGTCAGAGAGGAGCTTTAGGCATTTGAATCAGCCATCACCTGTAGTTTGAGCTGTAGGTTTTTGGAACGACTGTACAACTTACTAGGGTATTTGCATAGATACCTACATTTATACAACTGGTGTTTTGTTTTTTTGCTGCTTGTTAAAAAGTTTTTTAAAAACCCTTAATATTGGGAAGCCTTCATACAGAATTCATTAATTCATAAATACATTAAAGCTGTAGGCATCAGGAAAGCAAAGTTTACAGGACTAGCTTTTTTATTATTAAAAAATGGTTTAACAGTACAGTACGCACAAATATTTGATGCTTTTGTTATTGCACTGAACAAAATGTGATTTAATGAAACCTGTAAAAATTATGGAGTACAAATAATTGTATGTAAAAATTATTATGATTTCAAACATTATTTAGTTAAAAAAATGAAGAATTCTGCTTTTGGCCTCAATTCTATCATATAAGAGATGTCTATAGATCTCTCTTGTACGTCTCCCTTGCATTACACCAACATCTGAATTCGACACACAATACAACTTTCTCTGTTGCCTTGCCCAGGCTCTGCGGGACTTCCTTCCCAGGGAATTCTGTTTTGTCCCCTTTTTGATGGACTTTCATCAGTGAGTGAAGACATTCCTTTTCTGGCAGGTACTTGACGTGGTTTTTAATCCTCGGCTTTTCCCTCCCTGAAATTTCTTTGCTATCTTGTATCTCCTGCATCTGTTTTACATTGTTTTATTGACAGTTGTTTTAATTAAGTTGCAAGCCACCATGCTCTTTCTTAATTTTCAACAATCTAAATAAATCATTAATATATTGATTATTAGAAATGTCACATGAAAGAGCATAGCGTATTGTCAAATTAAGCTGAGAGGCTTGTTCTTTAAATCAGTGTCTTTTAATGCAGAAAGTTCCAAGAGCAATTTTTTTCAGTGACTCTTTGGAGTTGATAACTATTAGCATTAGCTGTGCCCCATGCTATGTGATTCGACAACAACAGCAGCAGCAATACCTGATAACTATCCATATCACCACCATCATCATCATCATCTCCTCTCTGGTAGAAAAAAATAAACTTTATAAACATAGAGAACATGCATTTTTCTTGCTAACAAACTCCAAATAAGAGCACACATCATGGACACAAATTAGAACAAGACAGAACAGAAAGCATCAAACCTTATTTAATTGCTTATATAAAGGTTTAGTGACCCACTCATATGGTGAAGTGAACAGACATGTGCCACTCCTCTTTACCACTTACTGCTAAAAGGTTTGGGAGTCAGGACCTCCAGGCTAATACCTAATCACGTAGAAGCAAAATTCATGCAATGATGCTCCCTTGCTTCCTAGAGACATAAACTATGTATATGATATCTTCATGCTTTCAAGCGTTGGGTTGTTGTTGTGTTTTAAATTAATTACTTCACTTTTTGAAGCACATGACTGATGGGAGAAGTGTCCACCTGTCTTCTACATGAGGTATATCTCTGGTAATTTATGCTGGATCTTTATCATTATGCACTCAGTCTACACATCTTTGATGTAACAGTGGGCATTCAGCAATCACATAATAGCGAGGTTAACGTGCAATGTTAAACTGTAGCTTAAAATAAACTATGTTTTCATGTGCACAAACATTTTCCTCCTTCCTTCGCACCTGACTATGCTATGCAGGAAAGGAAAGAAGCCAGAGTCTGTCTTGTAGTGACATGCAAACTTGGGCTCATGGCTTGTTTCTTTCCAAATAAATCATGAGTGGAAGCCAATATTTCTTTTTGGCTTACCACTTTTTATTTATACGGAGAGATACAAATCATGAGTCCAGCTTTGCCCACCACTGCAAGGCAGATTCAGGCTTGTGTCCTACCACATGTCACAGAAAGGAGGCTGTAGAAATTAGGCTTGAAAAGGGGGCCGGGGAGGTGCCAACAACTATTTGTCTGGTTTGCAAATGTGCCTATGGGTCCAAAAAGGTTGGAAAGCCCTTCCAGAGCTGTTGTTGTTTTAACTATGATTTAAGGTTACATGCAAACAAGGCCGTTGTGGGTGGAGGGAAGACTTGGATTCAGTCCCTCCAAAGCATATCAAGTGTCAATCACTTCTTAGTATACAAATGCATAGCTGTCAACTTACAGATTTGAAAATAAGGGACCAGCAGCCTCGAAAATAAGGGATCAGCAGCCAAAACAAGGGATTTTCCGAACACAGGTATGTTCAACTTCTGAGCCCCTCCGAGCCAAAGGCAGAAAACCCAGCCAGCAGCCAAACGAAGCCTCAAGCGGTGGTTCCCACAGCGCAGCAACCCGGCAAAGGGGATGTAGCAAGGAAAACCACCGTCACCTCTCCGCTGGGAAGCGCTGGGCAAAGGCGAGTCCCCAGGCAACGCGGCCGATTTGATCGGCACAAGGCATGCAAGCTCCATCCCCCAGTCGTTCTTAGACTCCTTACTGGGTGAGCAACACAGCCAAGCAACACGGTTGGAGCCTCCCTCCTCCCTGGCCGGCAGGGAGGGAGGGAGAGGAGCTGCTTCCTTTGAAACCTGGGAAATTTAAGGGACATCATCAATAAGGGACAGCAGCGGGACACAGCGCTGGGATAAGGGACTTTCCCGCCAAATAAGGGACAGTTGACAGCTATGCAAATGCAATTATTCACAGAGCCCAAGAGGTGAGCAAGTGGTTGTTGAGGGGAAGGGCTGTAGCTCAATGGCAGAGCATCTGCTTTTGCATGCAGAATGTCTCAGGTTCAATTCTTAGCATCTGCAGGTAGCCCTTTCAGTCTCCTCATCGTGCTTACAAAGGAGGAAGAGATTGCACCTGAGGCTTGCGATGACTAGTTTACAATAAACTTTTAAAATCAGCTTGTTCCAACTTGGTGTCCTCCAAACATTTTGAACTACAATTCCCATCAGCAAACTTCCTGTACTCAGCATTCAGTTTCTGATAATGGCCAGCAAGATGCCCCTGAAAGATTACAAGCCCCTGAAAGTCACCAATCTGATATTGTTTCTGGCATTCAAGGGATACCAATTCAAGACATGATGTTCCATTTAACTGCCATTCCTAATGGTCCTTGAGAAGCTATCATCCATGCCTTGCTTCAAGTGTACATACAAATTCCACACAGTATCCTTCAAAGGCACAAGTGAAAACAACAAATCTGCACCACAATAAAATAATTTAGCACTTTAAAGCCACTTATCCTACCTGGTAACTGTCCAACCCCCGTTGCAATTTGGTTGATCTGGCAGTCACACAGCCAATGGAGACAGACAGAATGGCTTCTACCATAAGTGGCAATGTTCCCGAATGCTGTACTGGTTTAACCGTCACCTGAACTCTGCGAGAATGACCCTGGTCATATAAGTAGGGAAACATGTAAATTAATGTAAACACACATTAGTATTCTTATCTGGGAGGGATAAAATTAATTGTACCTGTCGAAGCTGGAAAATCCCTCCTGTATTTACATCCTTTGCCTGGTGGAGCTCCACAGCTGTATAGTCCCCCAGTTCATTCAGTTCTTGAATTGAAACCCACATTTCTATTCGACGTGTCACTTCATTCCACCTAGAGACAATCCAAAAAGCAATAAGAGTAGTATGAATACTCCTCCTTACACTTTAGTGGAAATTTGTAGAACCATTCATTTTATCTACTTATTAGATTTTTATCCCACCCTTCTTCCCCAAGGTGCCAAGGGCAGGAAGCAACAATACAATTAGTAATTAACAAATCAAATATTCTTGCAGAAAGAAGACTATGAGAAATCTCTTCTTTGTACTCAATTTCTCTCCTACCACCTCTCACAGGCATACACACCCATCACCCTCTAGCTCTCAATTCATCTCTGGCACATGTGCTGTACTTCCTCCTTTCTCCCTATATTTGAAGTGAGGCTTCACTACTATAAGGAAAATACAACATAGGTTTACCTGTCTCTCAAGGTCCTGGTTTTTGCATGAAGAGTATCCACCTCCCATATGGAACTGCCGTTTCCAGCACATCTGTGACCCCATACCTCAATAGCAAGTGCTCCATCTTGAATGAACTCCAGAAATTCTTCTGTTACATTCACCACATAATCCTAGAAAATTGCAATACTTACTGCAAAACACTTAAAGCATGATTTTTATCAGCTCTATGATTAAAAAACCAGGTGAATGTTCAAATGTTCTTGTGGGCAGAAAAAAACTCCCAATGAAGATATTAATTCCATGAACCAGGTAAAATGCAGAATTTTGTATAATACTGAACAGACCACTATTTTATATTAATACTTCAGTTATATTTGCACAGGTAGTCAAAATTCCATATTTTGTGTTGATTACTACAACATATTTAATATTGTAGTCCCTGTTCTAATGAGATATATTGAAATAAGCATAACCACCAAACATTTTAGGAATAACAAAGCTCCATTTTCAGAGAACAGAAAGTTTGCCAGACTAACTCACTCCTAACTAATATGTTTTTGTGAAAGAATGAATGTTTCATTTCCTTAATCCAATCCCATTTTCCATAACAGTGAATAGGCTGGTCACATCTCCTCTCTGACTAGGTTTCCTAAGAACCAAGTTGTATGTTCTGTCTTCCTTCCTCTTTCCACTGGAAATGACAAATAAAAGTACCAGGAGCAGGTTACACAACTCCAGCATTCAATGCCACTAATGACTTGCAGAATTCTGTTTAACCTATGTCAGGGTTCCCAAACTGTGGCCCAGAGTGTGTGTGAAGAACCTGGTGGCCTGCCCAAAAGGTGAGTGGAATGGACTGAAGGTAATTGGTGGGGGAGGCACTTGAAAGCAATGGAAATGAATTTTTGTTGTTGTTTAATGAAGGTATTAGAACCCCTTGTTTCATCTCCATCTCACTGTACAGTAGGATGGAATCATACGTGTGTGTGTGTGTGTGTGTGTGTGTGTGTAAAATATGGACTCAAATGTATTTTTCTAGCATTCCAACCAAACTAAATTACCTTACAATGAGCAAAAGTCACTGTAAACTGGACATCCTTGGTCAGAGGTGAAGGCACATCTGGGTCTACAACTGGTGCTGCAACAGTTGACTCACACTGATCCCAGAAGGTGTATTGACAAAAGACAAAGTTTGAGAGATTCAAAGGTAGTCCTGTTGCTTCTTTAATTTTTACCTAGACAACAGTAAAACTGTAATTCAATATACTGGCATATTTATATTAATATATTCAGCTATACTCAGAATATTCAGTTAGACAATGGTTGACTAAGTAAGGCCAATTTTATCTCACAGCTAGGCTCATAAAACAATCTAAAAATTAACACTCAATATATACAATATGTTTAACAAACAAAAGCATCGTAAGATTATTTGGTAATCCTTGTCCACACACGTACTGCTGGACAAGCATTGAAAACTTCAACTGCTGTAAATTAACTAACCCCAATGAATGGCTTACATTTTTAAATTGTTGACTTTACTTGTCTAAAACTTCCATCCAAGGTGCAGACTATAGTATGAACATATGACAAATAAAGATAAACTAAATCTCTGAAGGTGTATGGAAACCAACTGGAAATGGATGAGTGACAAGGTATTTCCCATTGCTGATTGTAATACATGCAAAATGTTTAGAGTATTATATAGGTATATCCTATTAAAATATTAATATACATATGTCCATACCCTGCAGGTGAGTTTTTTTGGCCTGTGAGTAATTTCTCCATTGTTGTCCATGATTTCTATACTTTCACTTTCACTTGAGTTTTCAGAAGAATCATCTCCTTCCACTAGGCGTTCTGGGACAACACCAGTGACACGCATCACTTCAACATGCAGACGCCCTGCAACCTGCACCCCAAAAATATTAATATTGAAGACCTTGTAGTACTGCATAGCATCAGTAATCCACATACTTACATATATAAATATAATTGTAGCTTCAACTGAACAGAAAAACAGCATGCAGATAACAATTGCACATTACATACGGCCATTCTCAAATCTGTCTCAGATCCAACTTGACATTATGGAGGTTCACATGTAAGATGTGGTGCTCAGTATCTAACCAGTAAAATTCTCATTTCCTTGCTCAGCTATTATCCAAATTTACATATTTAAAAATAAAATGGAAGTTATTGATAGTTGTTTTGAATTGCCTTCTGTGTACTCACAACTTTCCCCTTTGATTTGACTTCTAGATTTAGAACACCGGGGGAGCAAGTGAACTATAGTCAAAAATTTGGTCGTCAGTACATGAAATTCAGTGGCTTGGTCATTTGCCCTCTATTCAAAGCATTTCCATTTAATGTTTCAGTGGCACCAATCTTCTCTTGTCCCAAGACTGTGTGCCCATCCTGACTGCTATCTTATTGCAGGTGTATGCAGCAAGACATCACTGATGCATTAATAGTGGAATTATTGTGCTTTTCCTTCCTGAATACATATGTGCCGCTCATAGCAAAGTTTTGCCTTCATAAACAAAACAGAATAGATGACACCAGAGACTGAAACTTACCTCCCCCTGCTGGCTGATTATTGGTACTGCATACTGAAGTTTAACGTCACAGAAAAGGCACTCCAAAAAGACATTCGCTACACCAATTAAATTGTGGTTTTCTTGTGCTTCATAGAAAGGATCACCTCTTTTTCCAGTGAGTCTCTTCATCTGTTTTTTTTTAAAAGACAATTAAAATTTCAAAAACAAAAATGATTTAGCATAGTGATCCAACATGGATGTGCTAAAAAATTATGAGCTACGCCCAATAAAGTCATATTCAAATCCCCATTTCACCACTGTGCAACATGTCTAAACAAGGCAGGTCAGATGATAGCAGAAGACAAGAGTATATGTAGAGCACTAGAGTGTATATAGAGCACCTGCCCTGGGCCTGTTGTTGTTCAACCTATTTCTAAATTACTTGGATGAAGGTATTGAAGGGATGTTCATCAAATTTGCAGATGACACCGTTGCTGCTGAAGGCAGAATTGGGATGCAAGATGACCTGAGCAGACTGGAGAACTGGGCCCAAACTAACAAAATGTATTTCAATATGGACACATGTATGGTTCTACACTTAGGCAGGAAGAACCAGCTGCACAAATATAAGATGGGGAACACCTGGCTTGCCAGTAGTACACGTGAAAAGGATCTAGGGGTCTTACTGGTCTGCAAGCTTAACACGAGTCAACAGTGTGATACAGCAGCAAACAAACCTAATGCTATTCTAGGAAGCATAAACAGAAGCATAGGGACCTGATCAAGGAAAGCAATATTCCCACTCTATTATGCCTTGGTCAGACCACAACTGGGGTACTGTGTCCAGTTCTAGGCACCATAATTTAAGAAGGATATTGACAAGCTGGAATGTATGGAGGAGGAGGGTGACCAAGATGATCAAAGGTCTGGAAACCAAACCTTATGAGGAACAGTTGAGGGAACTGGGTATGCTTAATCTGTAAAAGAGGAGATATAACAGCCATCTTCAAATAGCTAAAGGGCTGTCACATGGTGGATGGAGCAAGCTTGTTTCTCCGGCTTTGGAGACTAGGACCCAAACCAATGGCTTCAAGTTATAAGGAGATTCTAACTAAACATCAGAAAGAGCTTTCTAAGAGCTCTTTAACAGTGGAATCGTCTCACTCAGGAGGTAGTGGACTTTCCTTCATTGGAGGTTTTTAAGCAGAGGTTGATGACCATCTGCCATGCATGCTTTAGTTGAGATTCCTGCATTGCAGAGGGTCGGACTATATGACCCTTGAGGTTCCTTTCAACTCTACAACTCTATGATTCTATTATTTTATGTATACCTAACTCTTATTAACACCAAAAGCTTATTCCTCATTTAAATACTGTAAATGAGTAGCAACACTTCCAACAATTTTGTGTTCCTCACAGAAGACCAAAATTAAATTCCCTGTGTGCAAAAATACTAACAACAAAAACTGTTTGTACTAGTTTTTGATGCAGTCAATGAATACTACATTGCACGAAGTACTATGTTGATCATCATGTTCAGGCAGATAGCATTTTAGGTTGAAACAACCGTATAATTAAATCCTGAATTACATTAAGTTGTTATCCATTCACTTAAAATAGTAGGACTCAGTGCTGATGTGCTTTGAAGAAACAAACTATAGAAAATCTGATATTCCTTATAGTAGGTCAAATATTAGCAAACATTTGCATTAAAATTTCTGATGAATACTAAAAATATTTCTTCACTTACACTAAAAAATACACTTACCTGTAAACATATCCAAAAGCACACTATTTTAAAATCTCATATGCAGAGCAAAATAAATTGCAGGACGATTGCAATTGACACAAGCTTAAGATGTGTGATTTCAACTTTACACAGTTGAAGGCTGACAGGTTGAAGTCACTCAGATTAAATGCACAGAAGCCAGAGCGCTTAGAAGTACTTTTTGCAGACAGTTTTGCCAGTGCAGAAAGAGCTTCTAAGCTCTCTGCCTTGCTTATTGGGCTCTGGAAGGCTCTCGCATAAGCTGGCAGGAACATGGATGGCCTGCGAGAGAACCTCCCAGAGCCTAGTAAGCAAGGGAGCTTAGAAGCTCTCTGCCTTGCTTGTGGGGCAAGGTCTGCTTGGGGCATGGCTCCAGAAAGGATAAGGGTGCTTGAGTGGGGGCAGTTCCAAGGAGGTGGTTTTTGTCTACACGCCATCCTCAGAATGTAACCTCCATGCAAGACACGATCTTTCTGTATAATACTGAAATAGTTTTAGAGATACTAAGTTCCAAATGTAGTCATTGTAGTCTGTTCCCAGACATGTATAAGGGAAATAAACTACAAATATTAGGATAAACATACAACTGAATGTAGCACTGCTGTTAGATAAACAGCAGAAATGCTTACATGAATATGAACAACTGTGCTATATAATGCTTTTAGAAATATTCTGTTTTTATTAAAAGAGTACGATTTTGGCCAAACTGAAAAACTGAGGTTGAATACCTCATGGGCTCTTTCCTTCCATTCTTGATACAGATCTCTCATGTCAATTAACTTGTTTTCCAGCTTCTCTATGGTCCATACTTGAGTACTTTTCCCTTTTCTTCTTACTTGAATAGCTGGTTCACTTACTATTGCTCCTCTCTAAACAAAGACAAGACAAAGTATCTTAAGTAGATAAAATATGCATTTTAACAAAGTGATTCCATTTTTCAAATTTAAACTCGAACAACATATGCTACATAGCTATGTTAATATTTTGGTACTCCATTCTCTTGCATTTTCCAATTATTTATATAATGGTGGCTGAGAACTAGAAACCATAAATGACTGGCAACATATCAAGATAGCACAGGCATGAATGTCCTGTTTCTACTGTATGTTTACGGGTATTATAATATTGTATCAGCTCAGTGAGATAGAAAGTTTAGAGAAGCTATATCTATTCATTCCATACAACTCCTTTAACTTATGTTCCATTTTCTCTCCCTCATGCACTCATTCATTCTCTACTTCTGGACTCAAATGACTTCCAAGGGCTTTTACAAAATAGTTTCAATTATCAATTTTCTTACCTTCCTATTGGCACTCAGGTTAGCAGCAGGAATCTGCAGTGTCACTTGATAATCTGTTAGCGTGCTCATTTCTTCAGCCAATAAATTTGCTTCCCTCACTAATGTGTTGGCCTTAACTATCTGCTCTCTTAATTTTGCTAGGCTCTGTCGAAATAACTCATCCCTAGGGGTGGGAAAGAAAAATGGAGAGGAGTAATAGAACATTAATTGGGAAATTGAGAACTTGGTAAGAAGACATTGGCAGAAACAATGAACAAGGTTGTAAACATAAGAATATTAATTATTCCAGATTTTAAAAATTATGTTCAAATATTTTAACAAGAGAAAATAATAGCTTTAAATGAGAGAATGCTTCCTATTTTTTTAATACATGTCAAGGCTATCTTGGAAATGCCATTTGGTAACAAAACAAATCCCACCGTGCTAATCCGTCTTTATAGGCATTCTGAGAAAAATTATATGTATACCAAGATGAAACCTACAAGTTATACAAGAGCTATAATGAGTTTCCCTTGAAAGCCCCACAGTAATTCTGACCATATGGGCACTGCACAGTGCCTGTGCTATGACATGATTGGTCCTTAACTGAGAAGACAACGCAGATAAGACCAAATCAGTCAGAATCACTAGGTAAGCAGGACTACATTCTAATTACGGAAGGTACATACCAAATGCCCGGGCCCCAATGAGTCCTGCGTTTGAAGAATTTAATTGGTACTAAGTTTTACAACAAGCAGTTTGAGTATGGTTAGCTTACTCATAGCACACGTTTGCAAGAAGGATGTTCTAAAGTTATTTGGGATCTGGATGAAAGGTTGTCCTGGACAGATTCACACACAGAATAGTATTTTTCTTCTGTCACTCATTCTCTCATAGTTACTTATGGTTTTAATATCAATGCTCTCACCTCTCTTCTGACCAGAGGTTCACTTTCTGCTGAGCTGTCTGGGCAGCTTCTGAAAGCCTGTCACTAGAATGCTGATACCGTCTTTCCGGAGAAAGCTGCTGTCGGAGTTGCTCCAGCTCACGTTCATACATCATCCTCTGCTCTTCCAAAGCGCTACGCTTTTCTTCCAAGTATTGTTTCTCCAAGACCTGGACCACATTTTGTACTGGATCTAGATAAGGAAAGCACCAACATATCTTAAAATTCATTATCTACATTGTTAATAATTCCACTTTGTGGACACAGTTCTACAGTCACAGTGATCAGAAGGTGAAACAGAGGGTGAGAGACAAAAGTTCCAAAGTACCATTTTCTACTGCAGGGTCTATATAAGAAAAGGAAGATGAGCATGAGGTAAATCCCCTAAAAATCCACTTACTTCCTAGTAAATATAATTGGGATCAGTTGGTCATACATGATTTACTCCTCCACAGTCTCTATTCCCAGAAAGTCACAACAGTTATTGAACACAACAAAATTATCCATTCCTTATTTACAACCACCAGGACAAGGGAACAGATTAAAGAACCTATCTATTGCCAGGACCTTGAAATTTATGCGCTCCAGTCTGATATTTTCAGTGATGCTGAGCACCAGCTTCTTACCATTGCTATTCAGTGTTTTCATTATGACTTCCATTTGTGCAAACTCATAGTTATAGTCTGGTTCCGAAGAAGCTTCGCTGGCTGCATCTAGATCATGTTCTGCTAACTGCTGCTCTTTTTCAGAGTCTTTCAACCAATCTCTTCGCTTTCTCTTAGGCAGATTGATTCTGTTAAAAAGTTGAGAAAGTAGTTATGAAATACCTTGGTAAATCCATTTTTAAAATGCTGGATTCTGTGGATAAGATCTTTCTACACTTAACAACCCATGAGCAGGGAGGAAAGGCATGCTGCAGGTTGTTCCAAAACAAAGGAAGCTACAGTGTTGACTGCAGATTAATAAGGAAGGAGACAAATATGTACAACCTTCACTGAATTTAATCTTAACCTTCTCTAACAGACAAAGCCAACTGACAAGTCTTGCTCTTAAGATTCTATTCACCTTAAAGGTACAGTAACATATATATTTTATTTATTTATTAAATTTGTATACCGTCCATAGATCTCATGACAGCTCACAGCATATAAATACAAGATAAAAACACAAAATATATAAGAAAAACAAGAACAAAGACAAAACAAAACAATAACCTCCTGCAAAACACATTTAAAAGGATATAGGATGTTAGTCAGCCAAAGGCCTGGTTGAAGAGGAACGTTTTCACCTAGCACCTAAAAGTGTAGAATGAAGATGCCATTTGAACCTCCCTGGAGAAATTGCGTTCCACAAACAGGGAACCACTGCAGAAAAGGCCTGTTCTTGTGTTGCCACCCTCCAGACCTCTCGTGGAGGAGGCACATGAAGAAGGGCCTCACATGAGTATCGCAGGGTCCAGGTTGGTTCATATTGCAATTATGAGCAGCTCAAGGCTTTATAGGTCAAAACCAGCACTTTGGATTGGGCCCAGAAACTAACTGGGAGCCAGTTGGGTGAGGATCAGTGTAATATGCTCAAACCATCTTGCCCCAGTCAGCAACCTGGCCACCAAATTCTCTACCAGCTGAAGCTTCCAAACCCTATTCAGAGGCAGCCCTAAGTATAATGTGTTGCAGTAATCTAGCCTAGAGGTTGCCAGAGCAACTGTAGTTAGGTTATCCCACAACTAACAATGAGTCACAATAGATTTATTTTTTTACTGAGACATTGTTCTCCCCATGTACAAGGGTACATATAACAACGACTTAAAAGCAACAAATTTCTACACTACAATGTAGTATTTGCCAAACACAATGCAAGCCAATTTGCTTCCATCTTCCCTTCAAGGCTGTTCATGTCAGGATGCATAGCTCCTGGTACTTGCTCTAAAGCAAGTGATCGGTATTTAAGACTGGATTGATTTCAGTTTTATGAAAATATGCTCACAAATTCAAGCTCTATTCAACAGAGTATCATAACAGGAGAAATATTATCTTAGAAGATACTGTGTGGACTAGATGGAAACCTAAACAGACTAGTTGCCCAAAAACTAACACTATAGAAGTCTGAGCTGTAACAAAGAAGTTCATCTATTTAGCATCATTCTTTAGAAGCAAGATTCTTCACTAATAATATTTGGACATAGCTCTGTAAATAAAGAGGGGGGGGGAGAGAGAGATTACCTAAAGAAGTGGTTGTTTCCCCATAAGATTCTATCTCCATGCCACAACTGTGTCACAGAACACACCAACGTGCCATTTACACAGGATCTGAAAGCAAAGCACAAGATTGAAAAGACTGAAATTATCCTTTAAAATCTGAGTTCTCCAATAGCAATTCCCGGTAGTCACAAACCATTACTCACTCTGGTCCACGGGAATTGTTACATAAGACAGAGATGCAGAAGGGGACAAATTCTCTCCTACCCACGGGTCACTCTTGCTCTTTGGTCCAGCAGGGACAGTGAAGAGTGTGTATCACCTAGCTGCCAGGAACCATGTTATAAAATATATTCTTACTCACATGAAACACATCAGGAGAAGCAAGATGGGTTTTTTGTTTCTGGGCTCAACCAAGGCACATACAAATACTTGTGAGAAGGGGCAAGCAGAAATATACACATATATGTGTATGTGTATATATGCAAATACATGTGCTTTCTTCATAGCCTCTCATTTCTACGGTTCTCAAAGTGTGAGGTGTGCTTCTCTGAAGAGGCATGAGAAGTTTTATGGATAGGAAAATGGCCCTTTACAATTTTCCATTCCAACCTGATGATGTGCACTAAACAAACCAGGTAGTGAAAAGCCTACATACTGAGCTCCGACAGTTACAGTTTGCATTACTTGATTACGCAGAGTGTCCCAAAGAAGTAATTGCCTTATGAGTCTTACTGGGTGTTGCAGATACTCCAATAGACATGTGCTCTCTTTTTTCCAGCCTGCGTGTTCCTAGCTCTCAGATAAAAGTGTCAATAGATTATTTAATTTGTATCCCATCCTTCCTCTCAAAGGTGCTCAGGGTGACAAACACAGAAACAATAAAACAATTAAAACATGTTTTTAAAAAACTCTTCCAATACGGATGCAGCTCTCTACTTTTGGATGAATTACTTATTCATTTAACGTCGAGAAGAATGAAGAAGTGTTTTCTCTTGATTCAGCACCACAAAGGCCTACCAACAGAAACCCCTAAACATGCATAAAATGTGTGAAATAAAAGTCATCAAGGCTGTAACAAGAGCCTGATCTCTACTGACAAATTATTATTGCTGCTGCTGCACCTCTTTATTGTATACAGGACAGACAGTGGCTTGGTTTTAGCAATACAACATGCAGCATATACGTTTAAGTAATTGGGTCACAGGCTGTTTACCGTAAGCAGTCTGCACAAACCCAGTTAAAACCTCCTTAATGAGACTTGTACATATGTTGCTCCCAGAGTTTAAAAAACAATCTTCCAAAACTAGGTTACTCTGATTAAAAGAAGTTTATTTCACATTAGCCACAGCACAAAGAACACATTTTTGGTGCAGACCTTAGAGGAAACGTTAGAGAGGCAGCTTTGTATACATTTTCACTGCCCTTAAATTTAGGCATGCAGAAACAGGGATATTAATCAATTGTGCACCTAATTTTGTTAGAAAGGTAGCGTTTAAAACAGCTGTCTTCTATTTCTTTCACTGCTGAAAAAAATCTCTGGGTTCCAAGTGTGGTGAATAAAAGTGAAACAGTATTTTAATTCATCTCCATATCACAAAGAAGTTACTTTCAATCTCCATGAGAATCAGCAATGAAATGATTCAATGTACTGTCAGTTGTAACTTTGGTAACAAGGTTTGCGCCTATTAAGGCATTTTGGATGAAGCACAAATTAAACAAAGCCTATTTAGTTATAAATTTTTTCCAGTGACATGCTTCTTTGTTCTTGCCAGTCAAAATGACTAACTCCTAGCAATGTAATTCTATCATAACAACACAGAACACCATCTGTTTGGAATTTTGTTCTCTTATGGCTACAGCACTGGAGTATAACACACTAAGGTATACCATGCAAAAAGTATAAATAAAGCTTATGTAGAATACACTGTGCTTATTTCTATACATTTACATTCCTAATTTGTCCTTAAAGCTGGCATCATGTCTTCAAAGAGATTTAGATTTTATTTGGACATGGTGATATTGGTGGGAATCCTCTCCCTTACTAGTATTCAAAAAACTTACTCTTAGGTTCTCCACAAATTTGGATTATTAATAATTGGTGTATGCAATCATGATTACAGGATATCTGTTTCACTTATCATGTTGCTAGTACTGGCATCAAGAAGTTATGGAAACTCCTTTAAACTGATTTTGTTGTGGTTCACCTCTACATTTACCATTTGTTTTTTCTTAGCATTCTTTTTTGGCACTGCTCAAATATTTCCAAAGTCAAACATCTAGAAAGATTATATTCTGGGACATAGCTTTGTTTTACCTTTTATTGTTGTTATATTATTAAGGTAATTTATGTACTGCTCCATATTTCAAAGAAAGGTCTGAGCAGTTCAGTTCTCATATGATATGAGAAGCATCTCTCCCGGTATGCTTATGCATCAAGAACAGCACAAGCACTTATTTTATTGCTCTTATCATTATGACGGTATCAAAACTAAATACAGTGGTACCTCGGGTTACATACGCTTCAGGTTACAGACTCCGCTAACCCAGAAATAGTGCTTCAGGTTAAGAACTTTGCTTCAGGATGAGAACAGATATCGTGCTCTGGCAGCGGCAGCAGCAGGAGGCCCCATTAGCTAAAGTGGTGCTTCAGGTTAAGAACAGTTTCAGGTTAAGTACGAACCTCCGGAACAAATTAAGTACTTAACCCGAGGTATCACTGTATGTGAAGTTTTCCTCTTTTCTTATCAGGGTGCTTTTCCATAAATTTCTCTACAAACATGAATGCCACACTTTTTTGTAGGCCGAAACTGATTTTGCATTTCTCTTACCTTGCATTTTCTTTTGGTGAGAGAGAAACTTCCCCATCTGGTGCAATGTCTATCTCGCAATGCTCTGGTTGGATCCCTATCCCAAATAGCTGTATATCCTGAGAAGTATCTGCACCAACCCTAGTATGATCCTGGTGAAGACAATTATAATGAAAATAAATCTGCTGCTTCTATTGACATAGGCACATACTTATTCATCACAAAGTACAGTGGTGCCCCGCAAGACGAATGCCTCGCAAGACGGAAAAACCGCTAGACGAAAGGGTTTTCCGTTTTGAAGTTGCTTCGCAGGACGAATTCCCCTATGGGCTTGCTTCGCAAGACGAAAATATCTTGCGAGTCTTGAGATTTTTTTCGCTTTCCCCCTTTATCTAATCTGCTAAGCCTTTAATAGCCTTTAATAGCCTTTTAGCAGCTAATCCCCTAAGCCTTTAAGCCTTTAATAGCCGCTAAACCGCTAATAGCGCTAATAGCGCTAATCCGTCAATGGGCTTGCTTCGCAAGACGAAAAAACCGCTAGACGAAGACTCTCGTGGAACGGATTAATTTCGTCTTGCGAGGCACCACTGTATGTGCAATCCACCCTGGAATCCCATGGCCATATTCATTACACAGTGAAACTATTGCTAGCCTGGCAGAGGTAACAAGGCCCCTGTACAAACTCTCTAAAACTGATCTCACAGAAATATATGCTCACACTTAATTATTATACAAAGATTGAGACATAATGCTGTACATGGGATTAACCAATTGCCTTTGCAAACTAGGAATATTTTCACAGCTTAATTGTTCACAGTAATTTCTGCTTATAACATTAGAAACATTTGATTGCATTTATTATATAGATCTAAGAAAATAGGTTCCTAAGAACAAAGATAAAAGAGCTAGGTTTAATTATTACAATAATTACCCATCTGAAATTTACTGATAGCAATCCAATTTAACTATAACAAAAAACCTGAATCAGTACTATACACGAGAAAGAAAAACTTGGCTTGAATCTTAAGAGATAGAGGTCACTGAATGAAAAAGCTATCTTTATACACATTTATTAGTATGCCTATTAATAAACTGAATACATACAGCAAACTATCTCATCATTTTATTTTTTTGCTGAGATATATGAACTGATTTTCAAAATTAAATTCACAGCAGTATGGACTATGTGCATAACAAACAGCAGAAGCTTACACAGAATCTAAATTTCTCCTTCCTGGACCAAAATTATGATAAAGCCTTAGAAGTAAGAGCATTAGAAGTAAGAGCAAATGCTTACACACGAATTCATATTAGCCTTTTTGACCACTTACAAGGAAGGGTTAAACTGAGAGAAATCATAGTGAATGATCAGGTTAAAGAATGGAAGGAGCAACAGATTTTCTGCAATGTCCTTTAGTTTTTGCAAATAAAGTACTGACTGAAAAGTTTTTTTATTAAAAAAAAGTAAGGAAGTTTCAGTCCCACACCTTAAGAACCAATGTAGATATAAAGAGGTAAAGGTAAAGGACCCCTGACAGTTAAGTCCAGTCATGAACGACTGTGGGGTTGCGGCACTCATCTCGCTTTACTGGCCGAGGGAGCCAACGTTTGTCTGCAGACAGTTTTTCTGGGTCATGTGGCCAGCATGACTAAGCCGCTTCTGGCGAAACCAGAGCAGCGCACAGAAACGCCATTTACCTTCCCGCCGGAGCGGTACCTATTTATCTACTTGCACTATTTGGTGTGCTTTCGAACTGCTAGGTTGGCAGGAGCTGGAACTGAGTAACGGAAGTTCACCCCGTCACGGGGATTCGAACCGTTGACCTTCCGATCGGCAAGCCCTAGGCTCAGTGGTTTAGACCACAGCACCACCCGCATCCCTAATGTAGATATAGTTCCCACAAATTCAAATGTAGCACAATATTTCAAGGGAAGCTCCAAAACATTACGGAATTTAATGCCTTTTTACCTTTAAATAGTAAACCAATAATTCATTGAGTGCAGGATCTGCATTTAGATTCACCAGGTAGCACTTATCTTCCCCAACCTTGATGCCAGAAGTTTCAAGGGAAATGCCCATACTCTCTAGCTGTCTTTGTCTCTCCTGTAAAATACACAGGAAAAAAATTAATTCATCAGATCTAAGTGCCAATAAACCTAAATATTATGACTTGAGACATAATCACGGGCAAAAGAATAACAGCTGCTGACACTGCTCTACAAATCTTTACACAAGAATTCATATAGCACTATAATAGGTAGGTTCCATATCAGTTTCCATGCTTCCACTTTTCCAAAAGGTGGTACAAGGGGAAAAACCTATTTGGATTTAGAATCACCTTTCTCACAAACTGCTCAACTCTGAGGCATAAAACAAACTCTTCTGTGAGCAGAAGCAGCCTTCCTCATGTGAAAGGGTACCATTGGAAATAAAAACGGAGTTACCATTAATCTGCACCCAGCTAAAATAATAGGTCTAGAACAGATAACAAAAGAGGTTGCACAACTATGAGCAACACTATCCACTAAGCCTTTCATCTATTATGACTCTTGATCATCAGTCAATGAAACAGACTAGTGAAGTCATGCATACAGTCCTATCAGTGCCTTTTAAAACAATGAAACATATTATTACAATTTATAACATTCTTATAAACTGTGGGTTGGACAACATGCGGCAATAAAAATATTTTTAAAATATACATTTAGAATGTAAACTAATTCTTCTAATCTTTGCTGTTTTTTCACTTTCCTTCACAATAACCTACAACAAAATAACTTAGAACAACAGAAGTACCAATGAACATACAACTAGATTCTGGCCGGAGGAAACATAACAGTCATGAGATAAGAGAATGGTCCACAGAGCAGGAATTAATGGACAGTTGTTGCAGTGGTGCTAAGTAAGCAGTGGGTTCCTTCACAGACCTTTATGGAAATCAGTGCTTGTTAACTTAATCCAAAAGGATCTGGAGTTAGCAATGAGGTGGCCAAGTTTTCTGATGACACCAGTGGTAAAAACGAAAGGGGACTGCAAGGAGCTCCAAAAGGATCTCTTCCAACTGAGCAAATGGGCATTATGAATTCCAATGTGAGCAATTATGAAAAATCCTAACTTCACATATACGCTAATGGGGTGGAGAAGGTGACTACGGAAAAGTTCTCTCCCTCTCATATAATACTAGAACCCAGGATAAAAGGAAGTGCTACCTCACACAGGACACAATTACTTGCCTTACTTCATATTCTCTTGCAAAATTTGCTGATGAAACATGAAGGAATACAAAAATACACTGAAACACCACTCATTTAGGCCAAACTAAGCCATATTAATACCTGGCCCTCAACTTTAAAGCTCCTTAGCCTTGCTTCAAGTGAGCATGCTCATAGCAATACAGTGACATGTGAACTGTGACAATTATTTGCTGTAACAGAGAATGTTTGGGTAGCTGCCTACTGTGACTGTAGGTTTTAATCCAGCTGTTATTTTTGTAGCCATCTACAGAATGAGCAGCTTTATTTAATACCTAAGTAAAGCCTATGCAACCACAGCAAGTATGCTAGCATTGTGTGACATCAATATAAACTGTGTTAATTAACCTACTTCCGCAGGATTTTCTTAAATTTTATATTTTTTGGAATTTTCTTTACTTTTCCAAGTTTTTAATTTGCATCTTGTCTTGTTGCATGTCACCATACATATTTGTTGGTTTGTTGCCTAGTTTTATTCACACTATTGTAAACTATAGTGGACTATTTTAATGAAGGACAGTAAAGAAATATTTTAAATACATAAAATCCAGGTGAATGGCAAGAGCCACAGATTTTCAGGAAACAGTATGTTGACAGCCAGATCGCTTTTGGAAATATAAAACTTGTCCATCTCTGTTCCATAGACTATTATCTTATTATTATTTATTGAATTTATAATGGCCCTATATTTGCAGGTCTCAGGCTAAGTACTGTAATGCAAACTTACACTAATTAAGCATTTAGCAGAAAGAATACTGAAAAGAATACCTGTGCAATTTCTTCTGTTTTTCTTAACTTCTCCTCCCAAGTGACAGTCAGTTCTTTTATTAGTTTCTCAGATTCCTCCAATTTTTCCTTTAACTCTGGTGCCTTCATAGCCTTCATAGCCAAAATATGACAATTACAAACATTTTATAATTCCCAATTTATCCATGACAAATTTTAATCCTGTTCTGCTAGTCAAACAAATTGGGTTGTGAACAGAATCACATACATGGGTGCAAATACTTAGAACCCCAAACTACTCTTTCATTATGTTTAATTGTGCTCACCATTTGGATTTCCCCCTTCCCACAAGAAATTCAGATCATCAATTCATCTTCAAATAAATCCTCTTGTGATACAAATTTTATAGCCAATTCAAAAACATTAACATCCCCCCCGCTTTGTAAAATGTGTATGGAACTAATAAAAAAGACAACTCACTGAATCCCACCAGTAATATTACCATAAATTTACCTCTGCCTGAGAAAGTTGTTCTTTTAGTTTCTCTACTTCTTCACGTAGTTCTCGGATGACCCTGGCATTTGGATCTTCGTTTACTATAGCATGATTAACTATCCTTTTAGCTCTGTCTGCATATCTCAGTGTGGAGAGCGTTTCTTCATAATTATCAGCTGCTGGACTAATTGTAGCTATCATAGCTGTTTGGCTGTTTCCTCCCAAGTTGTCCTAAAGAGTATATTAAGGAATTCATAAATACGTGAAGCAATTTGAAAATATACCCCTTCTCTAAATGCACAATTTCAATACATTTAGCATACAAAGGTTTGCACTCACTGAAGTCATTGCACAAGCAGAACAACTTTCACTTGCACAAGGAAACTTCCCCTCCCCCTTCCCCAACTCTCCAGAGCAGATCTAGTGGTGAAACAGAGAGCACATGGGGGATGGAGAGGAAAGGGAAGTTCTGTTGCATGGGCAAAAGTCATTCCATTCACATAATGATTTAGTTGAATATAATGCACACTTTTAAAATCAAGGTGCATTGCTTTCAACCGCATCTGACCTACAACACATTGGATATTTAGCTCTCAGCATTACAAAGTATCATGCAAAAATCAGAATGGCAAGTAAACAGTTGTGTCAAAAGGTTAATATAGCAAGAAAAAGCATGTATCATACCAGGAAGAGGTTGCATCTGGAATATTTCTTAATTAGTCAAAAAAGTTTGCACACTGGTGTGCAAGATAGCATATCAGTCCATGACAGTTCCACTGAGAATGATACAGTGCCATGTCTTACCTTGAGAAGCCAGGTGAGTACAGAGTCTCTGTAAGGCACAAATTTGTTTTTCCCCTTTCCTGCTGCTTGGTCTGCAAGTGATGAGATAACCAAACCTAGTGTTGAGAGTGACCTAGGAGAGCAGCAAATTGTTATCAGCTAGAACATGTAACATACAATTTGTCAAAAGCTGCAATGAAATTTAATCTTGCAAAAAAAAAAAAGTAGCTTCTGTGGAGTGTAATAAATTCTAGAACTTGTGAAAAGTTAAAAAGGATTTCAAGAGTAATAGAAATCTGTAGAAGAATAAAACTGCTCTGTAAAGCCTATGGAGCTAAACACTAAAAGGTGTTGCATACAGGTCAAAATGAGCACCAACAGTATTAAAGAGTGCTTTGTAGCACTACAGTCAAAAACACAAGCAAGCAAACAGTGCAAGAATAGGAAAAAGCGTATTCAATTTTCAGAAGGAAAGAGCACCTCCGACTATGAAGCTATGTAAATAAGAGTTAATTATCTGCCATTTGTTTATTAAGAAAATAGATGGATAGCAAAAGCAAATTTACTGCAAACAAATGAAGCAGCTTTTAGAATTCTTATTTGGGAGTCACTGTAACTACTTGTTGCATGATGATGATGATGATGATGATATAATATATATTATACCCTGCCCATCTGACTAGGTTTCCCCAGTCACTCTGAGCGGCTTCCCGCAGGAAAATAAAAATAAATCAAACATTAAAAGCTTCCTGAAACAGGGCTGCCTTCAGAAGTCTATGGAAATTTATATAGTTCTTTTAACTCTTTGACATCGGCTGTGAGGGCATTTCACAGGGTGGGTGCAACAACTGAAAAGGCCTTCTGCCTGGTTCCCTGTAATTTCACTTCTTGCAAAGAGGGAACTGCCAGAACGCCCTTGGAGTTGGACCTCAGTGTCCAGGCTGAACGATGTGGGTGGAGATGCTCCTTAACTAGTTAAGACCAATACACTGAAGTGTTTAAGGAAAGCAACAAGTTTACTGAGAACTCTGCAACCATTAAAACCCTACTCTTACTTAGTTGCTGTTTAATGCAATATCCACAACTGCTTGGGGAAATGGGTGTGAAGAAATTACAATGTGCAAGCATCTTTTCATTCTATAAAATGCTGCTGTCACTTCAGGTTAAAGATTTCACATTAGTCACATGCCTAGATCATAAATGGAAAAAAAATTGCAGAAAAGTAAACCTAATGTAACATTCAGAATTTTGAATGCTATTTGAATGTAGTCTGATAAGAAGCTTGATTTAAAGGGCCTTCTGATGAGTACAGCTAAACTGAATGTTTATTTGGATAATTTAAATTCACTCATGCCCTTACTTGTTTATATTGCTGCCTTCCTTCAGACGTTCTCCTGCTGCTCCTGTTTTAGATACTCTTTCACTACCAGCCAAATCTACCAGGCTGACTTTGCTCACTTTCTCTCCAGAGTTCTAAGCAAAACACAAACATACAAAAACAAATCAATCTTTTTAATAGCTTACTATGAATTCACACAGTGCAAGAAACCATAAAATACAGGCAAACAAACTTGAACAACAGCAAGAGGCAGTTGCTGCGATATTTTTAAGTCACTTTCACATTACTGTTTAGTACAGACATCTTTAGAATTAACAGCAGCAAATCTTTGTAAATACTAATAATAACTGGGCCCAATTTACATTTAATTATATACACCATATTGGCATCACAATTCCCTGTAAGGGAAAAGCTGAAAAAACACCAGACAGTTATAATAAAGATGCATGCTATTTCATTCCCCTTCCCATTCCACATTTTCCAAGAAAAAGGGGTCTAACACATTTGTAAAAGTTACTCATTGTGTATTCATGCAGATTCATGTGCAGGCATGATAAAGTTGGTAGAAACCTTTTTGGAGGTTTGGGATCTATATATAGCATCTCTGTCCTTCTACGTAGCCTAGACATCTCCATCTTTCATACACATACCATGTGTATGAAAAGTTTCACAAGGACACTTCCACACAAATGATCAATGTGTCCATTCTGATGAAATTTATTTGGAGAGTTCTGTATTACATACTCTTCTTCTAAGGATCCCTCAAGTAGCAGTCGATATCAGTCCCTAATAGAGGATGTTAAATTTTCTGACTTGCTGGAACCAATCCTAAATCTGGTTACCAAGCAACAGATCTCTGGTCGTGTTCTGTTCCAATACCTTTATTGACCAAATTACATTTCTCTCCCTGCCCCAATACATAAGGTGGGGCAATCTGATATATATTGACTGTCATGTCTTGATGAACTACTTCCATAAGGTTTCTGGTGGCTGGTTTGTACCTGCCCATTCCCATGTCTTCATTACCATGAAGACACATCAAACCAAAGCAACACAGGAAGTGCTGTACTGGATTTTTACAAACCTCTATAATCTGTAGAAGAATAACAAATACAGTGTCTAATAGTAATGTGTGTCTACAAATGACATTTGAAATTTCATGCGCTCTTTGCTGGAATCTGCTTTGCATGGCATCTTAGATCATCCACCATCATGTTATCTTCTCATTTCAGATTAAGGAATACTACTCCTATGTGTATCATAGATTTTAATTTGGGACTTAACCATTTTCAGTAAATTTCCATTAACATTCTTCTGCACTGTTAATCTGACATCGCTATTTTAAAACACATGTGTCTGGGACTGGGGTGTCCCTGAAATCAGCGGGGAGGAATTTACAAGTTCACATACTTAGAATCACATTAGTCACACAATAAAATTTCCAAAGGCCCTTAAACTCGATTCACTTACGCCAGACTGCAGGTCATAAAGGGTCTGAGTTACTATAATATTAAATACAGCATGGGAGCGGCTGCTTTCCTCATTCATGTTGGTTGCTGCAACTGTTCGGGACTTGTTTCCCTCTGACATCAATGATTCAATATCCTGAAGCATAATGAAAACAATGGATGAAACAAAGAATTTATTCTTTCCATTCACAACATTTCCACTAGCTCAAAGAGTTGATTCACCTAGTATCACTACCTTCTCCATATAAAGCCCAGAGACAATTACATCATCCTAATCACAGGCTTACCCCACCCACAAACAGTTTAGAAAATAGAAGGTGCCTTAATTTATCTTCAGCTGATTAATATAATGTAATTTCTTTAGAAAGTTCTTTTTTTACTTTAAAATACTCATCAGCCCCGAATATACACAATGTCTCTCCTTTAAAATGTATTTCTATGCCACCTGTGCTTTTTCTTCAACCAATCTTTAATATTTACTTATGTATTTATTCTATTTTGGGTAAGACAAATTGTTTTCATCATATAAATTGTATATGCATGTGTTTCTTTTCTCAGCTCACAGTGCTCACAGCCTGTAACGAAGCAGTGTGCCATGGCTGCTGTATAAGCTCCCTGCCCCACCATACCCTAGGAATACTATTAATATCATTAGATATTTGGCTTTTACCTACCTCAAAACTAGTAACAGCGAGTTGAGACAAACCATCTACATATGGGCCCAAAACTTTGTGCTCACGAACTTTGAGGGACTGTCGACTCCTTTGAAAGAAAAAATGGACTGTCTAAATTTTACCAACCAACTTCTAAAAAAGCTAATCTGCTTGAAATGTCAAGGGTAATTACCAAGATAATTATTTAATCAAATAATTTTTAAGAACATTATAAAAAGACTTTTGATATTTTTCTCCCTATAACTTGTTTTAACCTCAAACTTGCCCTCACCTTCATAGCCTCAACATGAAAAGATTTAAAAACAGCCTGCTGTAGGACCCATATAATCCAGCAATCTGTCCTCACAGTGGCACATCAGAAACCTATGGGAAACCCAAAAGCAGAACCTGAACTCAACAGCACTCTCCCCGCTTGTGATTTCCAACAACTGGCATACAATTATCCAAGGCTGGGGTAATACTCCCCCTGAAAGTACAAGTTCATAGTCTGAGGGTGCTCCTGGGCCCATCTCTGTCACTAAGAGTCCAAATTACCTAAATGGCTAGGAAGGCCCTTTACCAGCTTCAGTTGGTAAGACAGCTACAGCTATTCTGGATCAGGATAGCCCAACTAACATAATCCATGCATTGATAAACTCCAGACTGGATTACTGAAAAGCACTCTATGTGGGGCTGCCCTTGACCCAGAAGCCATAGTTAGTTTAAAATATAGGAGCTCACTGGGATGGAAACACACCATCACACTGCAGCACTACTGAAAGAATTGCACTGGTTGCCAATTAGCTACTGGGCTTGGTTGAAGGTGCTGATACAAACATCTTGAGACCAAGCTATTTAAAAGATTACCTCATTCCCTACATACCCTACCAATCATTCTTCAGGAGATGGCATATTGTAGGTATGATCTACAAGATCAACAGAAGGTTGATTTCAGGATGTCAGAATCAACTTTTGGTGAGGCAGCTCCTACACTTTGGAACCTCCTTTCATTGAATACCAGAGAGGTGTCTTCTCTATTTCCTTTTTGGTGCTTACTAAAGACATTCTTCTTTCAATAAGTCTTTAAATCTTTATCCCAATTGGTATCTGTTTTGGGTTTGATTTTTTTCCCCTGAATGTGCTATTGCTGTTTTAAACAATTTTCTATTTATAATTAATTTTGAAATTTAAATTGCAATTTAATATATCAATTTTACTAGTTTTCATAACTATAACTACTTAATAATATTATGAACCTTAAAATAATATAATAATATCAATAATCACTTCTAAACCTACCTATTATTAAATTACAATCATATTCTTAAATCTCCCCTAACAGAAAATATGGATTCGCTGAGTCTTGCACTATTCCCACACTTCTTGTGGAAGTGAATTCCATAGTTAAAGTATGTTTGTTCAAGAAATACTTTATTTTGTTTGCTTTCAGCTTCATTTGATGCCAACCTTTAGTATCATGAGAAAGGGAGAAAAACTTTTCTCTATGCACATTTTCCACATCATGCATAATTTTATATACCTCTATTATGTCTCTTCTTACTCACATTTTATCTAGCTCATAAGCCCCAAACTTTAATACACAGGACAATGACAGACTCCCCCCCCCCCCAAAAAAACAACCCACACACACCATGTCCTCTTATTCATTTCTGATATTGTACAGATACCCAGTTACCATAATAGCCACGGAGCAGTAAAAGTCACTCCCATAGCTCATTTTGTTCACACTCCATGAAGTAAATTCTGAAAACCAGGTTCCTTAATAACCACCAATCATAGATGGTTGGCATTTCACTTTGGTAAATATAGCTCTCTCTAGTAAGGGCAGACAAGTTCACACTACACATGGAAGTGACAGATGATAACCTTATGGGACTGACTGGGTCTGCTTGATGGGTGGTGATGTGCTATTTGAAGCATGCAGATAAAGGGAGCTGAATCTCCTCTTTCCTCCCCCCACTCACTACTTTTAATTCCAAAACTGACCCCTCCAAACATTTTTATCTCTACTGAGCTAAGATAGCAGAAGTGAGCCTGGTTGTTGGTGGGGAGAGAACTCCTGGAGGAAAAGGGCTGCAAGTGGGAATGCTGTTGTCAGAAAAGGCTTCAGTACAACGTCCGGTCCTTTAAATCACAACCTTCCCACACATTTGAGGCACAGTCACATTTAAAGCAATCATGTATAGTTTGGGTCTCAGTGCACAAAATATACTCTCATTCCTAACCTGTTGTGTTGATCAACATTGGAAACAAGTTCCTTACCCTTTAGGGTCCAGTAAATCTCTGACCTTCTCATTATAGATTTCCATATAGGACACTTCAACTTTAAAAGTATGTGAATCATTTTCTTCTGAAGTGATCCTTTGAAACAATGCGCAGCAGAGCCGTGGGATCAGACCCAGTTGTTCCGCATTGCCCATCATTGAGAAGGATTTTCCAGAGCCTAAAACAGAATATAGAAAAGAAACATGTATTATAAAAGCTCTACATGCATTTTCAAATTATTTCCTACAAAAAGTGAAGGCAGTTTGCATTTAAGTCAATGGAACATGCGATTAAGGGTTGTCCATGCAATTAAGTATTTGGTTTGGCCTAAGTGCTGGATTTGACCTGGGAAGAGGTTTGTGAGGGGCAGGTTAAGAAGTCCCACCTCTGGCCTACAAAATTAGCAATGGCCTGCAGTATAAGGGCTGCTGGAAGCTGCTCTCTCAGCACAGCAAAATATTATGGCAAAATATTAAGAAATGGGTCCTCGAATGCATGTTTGGATTAAAGGCGGGTCCCAGGTCTGAAAAGATCAGAAACTACTGCTCTAGACAACACCATAAACTACTTAGAGGCTGAACTGCAGCATATAATATGAACTACACTGCAGGACTATCCTAAGCCATTTTTTCATATCTGCAAACCTCAGGGTTACTCTGAGCATGCTGATGCCTCTTCTTTTGTACACAGGTGGTGCAATTTTGACTCTAGCTCTACAAACACAAGACAACTCACAATGGCATTAGTATATTAGTATATGATGATGACAGTAAAGATTGCTTTCTCATCCTCATCTGTCCACCTTATGAATGTCAAGTTATTTAGTTTAATATGTTGTGAAAATATATAGATGCTTCTTTTGTGGAAAGCATATGCAAAACAAGTAAAAGAAAAAGCTGGCACCTTGTCGTCTGCACATGACTTAACTTTGTGAATTTTCATCAAATGCATGTCTTGCTATATTTAATAGTCTTTAGAGGAATATTTCAAGTAGAGCTCTCAATTCCTCTGAACTATTTGCAAGTGTACAAAAATGAACATGCAACTGTCTTAGCACAATAACTGGTGCTCTCCTCTTCTGAACTAAGTTCATTAGATTATGCATACACAACCAAAGCATAATGGTTTGAGATGGCATCTGTATAGTCTCAGATTTCAATGTTGTTATTAAGAACCTGTCTGTATAGAACAGTACTGATCCCACAGTTCAAGATTATCCTTAATGAAATTAGGCTTATTTTTTCAGATTAAGGATCTGAAGCTTTGTCTATTTACTGATCATTTGTCTCAAAGTCAGAAAGATCTACAACCAGATCCTGAGTATATTTATTCAGGAGTACGCTCTATTAAGTTCAGGTAGATGAACATAGGAAGACAGTCATGAGTGCTATTAGGTTTTGAGTTAAGAGGTATTAAGAGAGAAGTGACTGGGATGTGATGCAAGAGAGAAAATATATGTGGCAAAGGAGAAGTCCAACACTGCACTCAAGGAGAGGTTCGGGCTGAAGAAATGCATTAGTTAAGTGGCACTCCAGGCACAATAAAAAATCCCCACTTGTAAAAACCTCTCACCTGTTTGTCCATAGGCAAAAATGCAAGCATTATACCCCTGAAAGGCCTTCTCAAGAATCCCTTCACCAAGGCACTTGAACACGACTTGTTGACCTACAAAATTTAATACACAATTGAGAAACCAAAGCCTCAAAATTAAATAAACTAAGTTTTATCACCACAAGCAATTAAAAAAGTGAATAATAAAGCAGTTGTGAAAAACTTTGCTTAGATTGCTTAAATATGACATCTAAATCCATATCTAGTTTTTAACGCAATGATTTTCTAACCATATCAAATGTATCAACTTGATACGCAATTTTTGGCTTGTATCCAATGCATCACTAAGTGTTTCATCGGTGCAAGAATTCCCACTTGCACAACGAGACTTTCCCTTTCTCCTACCCCATGCACACCCCACATCCTCCCCAAGTCTGCTCCAAGGGCTGAAGCCCCAGAAGAGATTTAAGGGGTATATTGGGGGAGGAGAGGGAGGGGAAGTCCTGCTGTACAACCACAAATCCTTGCACCGGCAAACCACTTACTTAGTGCTGCATTGGATAGAAGCCATTGCATCCACACTGGCATAAAATTCATCATTTGGTTGAGTATTGGATATATGTGTACTGGTACCAATCACATAGGTTGCAATCACTTGATAGGATCCAGATACAAGTCATGCTTAGAAAAGTCCCACTGATTTCAACGGACCTAAAGTTAGTAATGATGAGTATTGATGTTAATATGTCTACTCTAAGCATGATTTACAGTGCAACCCTGGCCATCTTTATTCAGTGCTGCCAAATTCAATGATACTTACTCCCCCACAAATAAGCTTCTGATTACCATCAAAGTCTGGATCGAACCCTCTATTTTTATCAGTATTGTCTCAAGAGAGCTTGACAGCATTGGGTTGTCCTTATTCTGTTGTAGCACTGCCAGAACAGCTGCTTCTAAAATATTGTTCCACTTGTGAGTCTTATGACATATATAAAATTGTGCTGTTTTGATAACTGTCCCTCTGTCTAAACCAGTATTTTCTTTCTCACATGCATACAGAAAGTGGATTATGTTTTTAAATTAAATAATGCTACTAATGTGTCTCCTTAAAACTCTTTTTAAACATTGTGAATGAACAGCACTAATTTGTGCATTCATGAAACATAAAAACTACAAGGCCCAAACCATTTTATTATATAACAAAACTAAAATTGATTTCCCTCCAAAAACTAGCAACAAGAGAAAGATAGCTTTGAAATATGGGTCTAAAGAAATAAAGGAGAAAGTGCCAGCTTCTAAAAAAAGGTATTGTCAGCACTTTGAAGTAAGCATTTCAGATGCAGTATTTCTACCATCCAATTAATTTTTCAAGTAATCTGCTTTTAACAGAAACTTTGATGTATTTTAAATGAATATTTCTGCTACAATAGTCAGTTTTCCCTTCCCAGTCCTATTGAGAAGGAAATGTAGAAGCAAACACAATCTGGATGGCTTCAGTGTTGCTTCATCCTGCTGTTTCTTTATTGTCTAAAGTCATGAGTTCAGTGTGGGTAAACCAAATAGAATAAATATAATTAGAAAATTAAGATGACTACAAGGAAAGGACAGGGTGTGTCGCATTGAAAGAATACTCAGACATGCACTAATCAACCCAGGTTGCACTAATCAACCCTAATCTACAGGTTCTAAAACACTAACAAAAACCATGGATTTTCTGTCAAGTACATAACCAAATCACAATGGACTTAGAACTCAATAAAATTAATAACTTTGTAAACAGAGAAAGCAGGAAAATATGGGTTCCATTAAATATGGGGAGGGAAGTAGAATTTTATAAATCATCAGTCAAGCCTTGTAGTAATTACAAATCATACCTGCATATTTTGCAGTATTTGATTCATCCATAGACCAGAAGCAGTAATCAAAGGCAAACACCTGCATACGAATAGAAAAAAGTAAATTAAAAACTTCCAAAAACTATGAAAACTCACACCATTTTGAATAGCAAATGCAACATTCACAATTTGCAAAAGAAACCATTTATATTCAAACGTCTTTTTTAAAAATCCCACATCTTTCTGATTATTTGCAGTTAGCTTCTTCTTATATGAGGTACTAACTAACAACTTGTTAGTGGGCTTGGAAAGTGACCATCAGCAGCAGTAGTAAAAGTAATCCACAGTTAATTGTGGCATGCCATGACATATGAACTGAGCCATTGTGGACCACTCCCATAGCCTCTGATCATTGACCATGTGGGCTGGGGCGTATGGTAGTTGCAGTCCAAAGTACCTGGAGGGCACTGGGTTGGGGAAGGTTGCAACAAACTAAAGCATGCAATTATATATCTCTTATCATCAGAATTCTGACAGCTGTGCTCATTATATTATTACCACAGTGGTGCCTCGGGTTAAGAACTTAATTCATTCTGGAGGTCCGTTCTTAACCTGAAACTTTTCTTAACCTGAGGTACCACTTTAGCTAATGGGGCCTCCCGCTGCCACTGCACTGCCGCCATACGATTTCTGTTCTCATCCTGAAGCAAAGTTCTTAACCCAAGGTACTATTTCTGGGATAGCCGAATCTGTAACCTGAAGCGCCTGTAACCTGAAGCGCCTGTAACCCGAGGTACCACTGTATTTTGTACATATTTAATAAACATTTTTAAAGTGCTTCTTGCCATATCATTCTCTGTATGCACACTCTTTAAATACATTAAGTGGATAAAATTACTCAAAATTCATGTCAGTTGTGAGGTTCAGGTGTTTATTGTCTAAAGGTCTAACCTATTTCCCATCTTTTCTGGCTGAAAATGTATCAGAGCCAGACATAATGCAGGAAATTGGACATTAGCTCTCCTGACTACCACTTTTTTAAAAACACACAAACATTTTCTTAAATGCAGCTTTGATGGGCTCCAATTTTTATCTGAGTACTGGCTCTAGGAAAATAGTGTTTATTCCTCTGCAGTATTTTCTAAACTAAATTCCCCCAAGCTGCTATTAGCCCTACTAGAGGAAACATACAGGTATCTATATATTTCTCTTCTAGCAAGACCATTTTAGGTTTTGAAAACTGTGCAAAGAGAAGGGTTAAAAATTCCTTCTTCCTAAACTCATGCGCCAATAAAAATAGGCAATCCACTTTAAAGCTATTTAAAAAACAGTGTTGGGAGATCTGATCATGGATATCCTATATATTGTGTTTGACCCTCAACTACCATTCTTACATAGAGGAGGACGTGGACATACCGTATTTTTCCGTGTATAAGACTAGGGTTTTTTTACCAAAAAATTAGGTTTGAAATTGGAGCTCATTTTATACACGGGTAATGCTGAGGGCTGTTTTCTTAATTTTGAGTCCTCAAAAACAGGGGACGTCTTATACATGGAAAAATACGGTAGTTACTAAGTGTCAGGGGTTCAGGGAGAGAGGCACAGGGTAGGCAGGAGATGGAGAGCGAGGGGGAGGAATTCCAAGCCAGCGAGGAAGAGGATGACAATGACTCAAGAGATTCCATGAGTCTTTCCAGCGAATCAGAGGATTCCCAGAAGGGGCGCCGGTGGTCAAGGCCAGGAGCCCCAGGGGAAGTGTCAGGAGCAGGGTGCTAGCGGAAGATCCCAAAGTGGCAGCTGGGCGTCAGGACCAGCCTCCCCACCAGAGTGCAGCGAAGGGGTGGAGTTTCCAGTGTGTCAGAGGAAGCAGCTCCAGCAGCAGAGAAAGGAGGGGGTCAGAGCAAGCCGCCCTCCCGGAAGAGGAGGGGAGCAGTGAAGGGAGTAGTGTAACTGTCAAAAGGAAAGTTAGAGGTTTGGCGCGCGCGCCTAGTTCAAATGTAGAGGCGCGCGGAAGTGCAGGGAGCCCGGAGGAGGGGCCAGGTCCCAAAGCCCGCAGGAGGGGGGGAAGAGCAGTCTGGGGATTCCGCATCAGAGGAATCCAGGAGGGGCGAAACCCCAGTGGGCAGAAGGACCCTGCGGAAAAGGAAGGAGAGAAAGAGGTGGAGCAGCGCAAGTCTCTTAAATTGGTGCAGGGGAGGAACTGACTCAGAGGGGACTTCGGCGGTCTAGCGTAAAAGACGTAAGGCTGCGCGCCTAGGATGTCAAGCAAACCATGAACTGCAATAAACACTTTTGTATATAAGAAGACAGAGGCGTTGGTCTTTTGTGAGCTAAGACTTGAGGCAGCCTTGACACTAAGATTATGTGAACCTGACACTTCCTAGTGGAAGATGGCAATCTGGGATGGAATTCAACATCACACTAAGGTGATAGTTTCATACATTTGAGACACTACTTCCTACACATGCAACCTTGGGTCCCAGATCAACACCACATGTATGTTACCACTGTGTCAATGAAATATGAAATGACCCTCAGTAAAATGCATATAATTCTGTATGTATGCCTGGCAAAGCAGGTCTGCTTAACATGCACCTCAGTCTTATGTGACTGTCAAAAATTCACACTTGAATGTATCAAATTCATATTACAAAGACAGTCCAGAGCTGGCAACTTCCAAACTTTCTCTCTCTGCACCAGGTTGTAGAACAAAATTAGACAGAAATAATGCAGGTTCTAAATCCCATTAGAAAGCAAAGCTATTGAACTGAATGTGGAAAAGCATGCTAGATATTGCGAGCAAATTATCTTTATTTTGATAGGGAACAGTATTTTAAAAGATCAGTCACTTACCTTAGGAGACTTTCTGAGGAACGGAAATACAGCAATAGCAGAAAAGGATTGTCAATATATCACCCACAGATTGGAAAGCATTAAAAAGAATGGGAATATATGGTTAGTGCCTGAAACTATTAGAACACTCTGTATACACCATAAATTATTCTGGTTGGAAAGATCAGTGAATTCAATATTTAATGACTTAGGAAAGCAATAATTTTTTCACTTCCAAAAATAATGCATACTAACAAGATTTTAAGAAGAAACACACCTGTACAACTTACAGGAGAGAATGCAATTACAGTATTAATTCAGGGATTCCCCCCTTCATTCCCATGTTGTTGTTTAGTCATTTAGTCATGTCCGACTCTTTGTGACCCCATGGACCAGAGCACGCCAGGCACTCCTGTCTGCCACTGCCTCCCGCAGATTGGCACTGCAAAGAACAGTGCTGGAAGGAAGAGGTGGTTTCTGCTTTTCTTTCACTGAGCAAAGTATGATGCTATTGCCCATCAGTTGATGAGCAGTTGGGAGTATGCTTTGTTCAGAACTCCATTTTGCTAAGGGAACTCTGAAAAAAGTCAGCATTTTAAAAGGAAGGCTTTCTTCTCTTACCTCCCCCAGCAGGAAAGGGGACTGAAGGAAAAAAAAGAATTCTCCCTTTCATACCCCTCCCATGCTGCTGCTTGAAGTGGCCTGCACATGGACCTTCAAAGAGCACTGTTGGGAGGGGAAAATGGTTTCCATCAAACAGAAGCTGCTTCTCCCTCTTTGAGCAATTTGCACTCCTCTGGCAGGAAGCACACCTTGTTCTAGCAAACTGGAGCCCACTTTAAGTTCCTGATTGCTCTTTTGAAACCCCACCCTTACCTGCCCCACACGTGACTAAATGTATGACATCAGGTGTAGGGTGGGGGGCAGGGACATGGTTTCCCCAAAATGGCTTTGCAGGCCAAGTGGGAAGGCCTGGTGGACCAGGTTTGCCTGGTGGGTCAGAAGCTCCCATTCTAGTTCTATACTTCCATATGATGTAAGTATCCAGAACTTCCTTCAGCAAGTTCTGGTAGTTCCTGAACAAAATAGTGTTTTTCTATTAGATGGAAGGTAAATTCCATGTTGTTTGATTGGCAGAGACAAAGATACTAATTTTTAATGAAATTTAAAATTATATTAAATATAATTTCCATAGCTCAGTTAGGGGACATAAAAATGTAAGTGCTGGATAAATTATTAAGAGCGTTGGGACACCAGGATTCAAATCCCCACTCAGCCATGAAGCTCACTGGGTGACTTTAGGCCAGCCACCATCTCTCAGCCTAACCTACCGCTACCTCACAAGGTTGTTGTAGGGATTAATTGAGATGGGGGAAATATGTGCAGCATCTTCAGCTCCTTGCAATAAACCAATAAAATAAAATAAAAATATTTTGATGCAGATGTCAATCTTCAATCCCCTCTGAGGCTACTAGTTCTTCACATAAGTAATTGCACATAATTAGAGAGCTGCATAAGGGTGAACAACTACACAATCAATTTATGACTTGTATGTACAACATATAAGCAATATTCTTTTGTGGTTTCTAGTTGAGATTGCAACATATTGCAAGCACATTTACTACAGTGTGTCATGCTTTGGTCAGTTTTGATCAAACAGCAGTCAATTTGCTCTGCATGCATCCATTGAGATCTAAGGCAGAACTGGTTTTCTCTCTTTGTACATAAGACTGTGCATGGTAGCTGGCTGAGACTGTTTCAAAAGTATGTGTCATGGTACCTTTCTACTGTCATTAATACATTGTATTGTGTTCAGCTGATTGGATTACTGGGCTAGTTATCTGTTGGGACTGTTCTATTTACCTTGGTTGTCCTAAGATGCTAGCATGTTTAACTGAAATAAAATCTATTTAGTTTCATTTTTTTAAAAGTGACTTGTATGTACAAAACTGCCATCACAGAACACACACCACAGGCAGAAGTTTTGTATCACCTCAGAACAGACACTTAAATTAAGCCAAATCAGCTGAAATATCTAGTGAGATATATGAATGCATGGACCAGCCTTTAATGATATTTCCAGAAACGGTGTTATAACCACAACAGAAGAAATAAACATTCCAAGTCTCATGTTTCCACACAACAATCTCAATTTCCTGAGCGATAATGGAAACAACACTTCATGTGTTATTCCGGATAGACACAGTCATTAGGAATTCTGCACTGACAAAGCAGAAGCATGTGAGAGAACTGCTTGAGATGAGCAAAACTGCTGTTTAGACAACTATTTCAATTACATTCACATTAATAAGCTAAATTAACTTTTACTGGTGGTGGAGTGCCAACAAAGGCTTTGTCTACTATTTGTCTATTCTTATACATTACTGAACATCTGAAAAACAGGATCTGAATGAGGAATGTATTCTCTAGTGGGATTAGATATCTATCTATGTAGGAACTATATCTGGATGCAACCACAAAAGGAGCAACCACCATAGGAGCCAACTCAAAGCGGTTCAGACCCCTTCACTCCCGCAAATGTTTTGGCAGGCTGGGGACTCCCAAAACTGACTGTGTTGAGCCACCTCAGCCTTCATCTTCACACATGAATGCACAGATAAGGCACCCAATCACACACCTGTCTCCCAGGGTGCCCTCCCTCTGTCCATCCTTCCTGCAATCTTCCAGCGGGGGGCAGGCTCCCCAAATATTTTATTCAAGTTGGTGCCACTGACTTCATCATAAAGCATATACTTTTCATGGACAAAATCCCAGTTCCTATATATATAAAAATCTTAGACAGCATGATCTATTTCAGTATATGGCTACCTCATAAGTTCAAATAGCATAGTTAATAGCTTGAAACTCTGAGTAACCATTTTCTATATTTATAAAAGCTTTCCACCAAAAAAGATATTACTACAAAACTGAAAATGCTTTCTAGCAGGAACAATGTGAAGCTAATCTAAGAGCAAATTTTCCTGGTATAGTGGCAGCTTCCTGTGTAACTTTGTATAAATCAAGGATGGGTCAATCAAGGTCAACCAGTAGACAGATTATTCTGCCTCAGTGCCTAAAGCCTCTCTTCCCATTGTTATTATTAAACACTGCTCATTTTACACATGCATAGATGTGCATGTGTGTGCTGTGAAGCAGTAAACCTGCAAGTTGTGTATGCATGTGGAACTGCTTTCACAAACTTTGAAATAAATATCCCACCTTTATGTCTTTGATGCCTGCTTGGGCATTTCCAATCTCTCTCTCACTTTCAGATTCCTATTTTGGGAATTTGGGGCAGCAGCTCAGCAGTGGAGGTGTAGAAAGAAAAATAATGTATCTGAACCGTGTAAGCAGGTGGGGCTTTCCCAGTGCTGGACCAAATAATAGTCCAAGCAAATGTGCACAGCACTGAATTTGCTAAAAACCAATCTCAACAGATAGTAGAAAGTTTCATGTGTAAAATGTACAGTGGTGCCTTGCAAGATGAAAAGAATCCGTTCCGCGAGTCTCTTCGTCTTGCGGGTTTTTTCGTCTTGCGAAGCAAGCCCATTAGCGGTTTAGCGGATTAGCGCTACAGTATTAGCGGCTTAGCGGGCTTAGCGGATCAGCTGATAAGCGGCTTAGCGATCAGCTGTTAAGCGGCTTAACGATGAGCTGATAAGCGGCTTAACGATGAGCTGATAAGCGGCTTAGCGATCAGCTGTTAAGCGGCTTAGCCGATCAGCTGATAAGCGGTTTAGCGGCTTGGGAAAAGGGGGGGGGGGGAGGGAAAAAAACCCCGCAGGAACTCGCAAGACATTTTCGTCTTGCGAAGCAAGCACATAGGAAATTCGTTTTGCGAAGCACCTCCAAAACGGAAAACCCTTTCGTCTAGCGGGTTTTCCGTCTTGCGAGGCATTCGTCTTGCGGGGCACCACTGTATTGCCCTCTGGTCCCTGTCTCCTCAGTGTTTCTTTCATGTTGCCCTCTGATGCTTCATCTACTATGTGCTTGCTGTCCTATGTTCTGTGTCCCTACCTCTCATACTTTCTACTCTGTTGCCTGAGTTTTGTAAATTATTTGATGGTATGTTAAATCCTGCAGCCTCAATATATATATTTTATACATATAAAATCTATAATCTATTGATGATTAATGCCTATATTCAACCTTTGCATTGTATTCATGTTAACCAATCAGCAACAAGCACATATGTGGCAATGCTGTAATATTCAATAAAAGAGACTCGCCGAGACGTGCTCGGTAGATGCCTCCCGTATGACACCCTGCCATCCGTCTGTCGTTTATTTCAACCCAACAACTTCAACTGTAGTCTATGTCCTGAGTTCTGTTCTGCATGTGTCTTGAGATCCCTGTGAAGATTTGCTGACATGGTCAATATGCTGAAATATGTGCATAATACTAAAATTATACAGGACCAGCTTACCTAAAAGACCATCTGTCCATCTACACACCTATCCGATTCCTACAGTCTGTTAAGGAGGCCCTTTTGATGATGCCACACACTTTATCAAACAGCAAACTATTTTTCTTTTGGCTTTTGCCTGATCACTATTTCTGTTTGTCACACACAATCAGGCAAGTGCCTAGTTATGCCTGAATTTCATCAATATTCAGGAAGAACTAATGCCAAGACTAAAGTTGTACCAATGGCAATATACTTCACAACATAGATCACTCTGTTCAGTTGCACACCCAGTGTACAATCCATCAACAGCACAATGCAGACTGCAATGGATAATTTATATACTATTGTCCACTGAATGTGGAATAAGCACATTGATTCTTATTTACCCAACATCCTTAGTTTCATCCCTCTATATAAAAAGAAGCACATAATTCAGGCTATGAGAGATGGCAGAGATTAAACAAAATCAGCTAAGGAGCTAGATCTTACATACGAAGAAAACCAAAAAAGGCTTTCTATGCATTTCTACAGCAAGCATAAAAATAATCTCCTTCTGGAAAATCCAGAAACAAGCCAAACTACACAAAAACAGAAAGGATAAATAAAAGATTACAGCTGTACACTTACTAGAGAAGCAAATCCAACTGAAATAAAATGGATTTGGACTTCCAACTAAAAAATGGATAGTACTACATTCCATGTTCGGTTAAGACAAAAGTTCAATTCTACAGCAGCTCTTCTATTTTTGTTTAGCAAATATCATTTTTTCTTGCTCCAGAGTGACTGGTGTGTTGCCTTGACACATATACTAAGAATCTCAACTTTCACAGTAACCCTGAAAGGCAATAAAAAGTCACAGAAACCACCAAAAGAAAAAATCCAGTTGTGGTTGCAAAAAACAAAAAAGAATTTTTGAGATATTATATATGAGGAATTGAAAAAAATGTTTAAGCAAACTTTCATAAAGAAACCAGAGGCCTCCCTCTTAGGCATTTTACATTCAGATATTTCAAATGAAAAAAGAGAATATTTTTATATGCTACAACAGCAGCAAGAATATTAATTGCCAGAAATTGGAAAGGAGAAGTAGTACAAACAAAAGAGGAATGGCAGCATAAATTTGTTGAATATCTCAAACTGGCAAAAATGATGGAGACAATTAGGAGATAGCCAAACCAAAAGTTCAAAAAGGAGTGGGAAATTTATAAAGAATATTTAAAAAAAACAGTGCCTTCAAGTTAAAACCTGGACATGCTTTGATTAATTTTCACAAACCACAATATGGATTATAAGTATAGTATTCAGATAACAGAAGAAATGATGAAATGATTAAAGAAGCAGTTTATTAAACAGATAAGACAGACCCGCTTTGAGGAAGATGGAGGTCTATTGGGTAAGATAAGGAGTTTGGAATTAAGAACATGGTGGCATAAGTTCTTTTGTAAGAACGTATGGATTTATGGATGCATGTATGGTATTTTGTTTTGTTTTTGTTATTATATCGTTTTTGTTTTTGTGTGTGTGTGTTTGTTAAGTAAGAAAACTAATAAAAAGCATATTAAAAAAGAAAAAGGAAAAAAACCCACTGTGAACTTTTTTTATGTTCATAAAACATAACAGTGCAATCCAAACCACATCTACCCATAAGTAAATCCTGCTGAATTAAATGGGGCTTAATTCCAGGTAAGTAGGGTCAGGATTGCAGCCTGAATTATTAGTGTCACATACAACACTGCCTATGTACTTGTACAATGGACATTACCTTTCTTTCTTTCCTCTTGCAGCCTTCCGCAATCTGCTCTGAGAACATTTTGGATATGCATGGGGAAGGAGTCTGCAGAGTGGTCTACACCCATAGTCTTGCTTTGAATTTTTTCTTTTAAAAGCTTTCAGCTCTGATTAATAATTCTGAAACTGGTATTATGCACTAGTTTGGGGTTTTTTTGCAATGAGAACAATTCATCTAATAGTTGCAATCATTTTCATCAATTTTTAGAGTACCCCAGAAGACTAATGGCAAACTGCATGGATAGAATAAAAATGTGCAATTGAATTTTTCATAGTCCCTATTTTCACCCTGAAATGAAAGAAGGCATTTTCTCAATGTTATTTTATGGGTATATACAGCAGCATGTAGACAGTATAAATATTTATATCTGGTTTGCTTAATCGTTTCATCAAAAACGAGTAACAAAGTAACAATTAATGCAAACAATAATCCTGAAGGATTCACAAACTAAAAATGTGTTTTGTAAGACATGAGGCGTTTCCAAATGCAGAGGCTCTTGAGCACTAGAAGATGCAGGAAATGGAAATGAGGCAGGGTTAAATACATATTTAAGCTGTGTTTGCAGCAGCCCATTTCTTCCTGGTGAAGGCAGGTGACACTTCATCAAATCTGTGCATTCCTCCATCTCTCTCTATAATAAAAATTAAGTATGTCATAGTGCAGCCACCATTGCAGGATTTGTAGTGCTGCATTACAATCCTGGATTTGCATGAAGTCCGAGCAAGATAGGGGAACAGAAGTGAAGGAAGGTTGCACAACAACAGTGGCCATAGCATGGAAACAAGACTAGAAACGGGGGGGGGGGGAGAGAGATGGTTGAAAACAAAAGTTTGAGTAAAGCAGGAATGGAGGGAAATGAGAGGAAACTGGCAATTTTAAACAATGGCAGAAGTTTAAATAAACTACTATGGAAGGTTTGAGGGCTCCATATCCTGTGATGTACACATATGGGTGCATGCTTGTGAAAGAATTATGTATTTTAAATTACTACATTCAATCTGGAACTTCCATGCTTAAGGCAATGCATGTTACCAGAAGTGAAATACATGTGTGAAGGTCCTATGGAATATCTGAGGGCTCCAAATCCTTTAACTCACTCACATGAAGCAACTGAGGAATGGAGGAGGGAGAAGTTTGAGTATAGCAAGAAGGGAGAAAGTGGCTGTTTCAAACAGTGGCAGGGTAAAGCAGAAGTGGAAAGACACTGAAAGGATTTTTTTAAAAAAAATGGTACAGCATTGAGTAAAGTATGGATAGAGGAACACAGAAAGGGAAAGTGGCAAAGGTTTGAGTACAGCAAGGCAGACAATAGGAGTAGGGAAAGGACATGGAATACAAGCTGCCATAATGAATAGGAAAACTCTGCACTGCAACAATCTGTTGCAAATTGCCCTGGTAGAGCTATAATTTGCTCACTTATTAATCAACCATTTGATAATACTTTTGAAATTTTGTACACACAAATTTCTGATTACAGTGGAACCTCGTGTTACGTACCGTCCTCCTTGCGAACACTTCGGGTTACGACTCTGCTAACCTGGAAGTAGATGCTCCCGGTTGCGAACTTTGCCCCGGCAGTGGGAGGCACCATTAGCGAAAGTGTGCCTCGGGTTATGAATGGTTTCGGCTTAAGAACAGACCTCTGGGACGAATTAAGTTCGTAACCGGAGGTACCACTGTAGTCCACTTTTCACAAACATGGAGGATGGGAAGCCTTTTCTAAAACAAATTCTATGACCTGTGATCTTCCTAGAAGGTCACCTGAAAAAATACTCCCACCATGTGAGAGGTGAAAGCCACATCACACTACTGACTTTAAAACCAAAACAGTCCAGTAAATATTATTTTACAGCTTCACTGCGAATATTTGCCTAAGCTTTCAGTACTAAAGATTACACAGCATTCCACAACTAAGAAAGGGGGGTGGTCCACTATAGAGATGTATTAACACAAAGGTGGGGGACCTGAAGCCCTTGGCCTTATTTTACACAGGTGGGGAGAGCTTGGCGGGAGAGAAGAGGGCAAGATAGGAAAACAAGGTCAAAATGGATGGAGAAGGAAGAGCCCTCTACAAGCAACTGGTTCAAACCTCTGGAAAGAGTCATCCATACTTTCCCCAGTGGCCCAGTAAATGGATAGGGATGTAGTCCCCAACAGATTACTCCTAACATAGGGTTACCAGACATCCCCAGATTTGCAGATCTGTCCCCGGACAAATTCCATCCCCGGAATGTCCCAAGATTTGCAAATCTGTCCCTGGGAAATGTGGCAGCGGCAGCCTCAGCAGCCCAAAGCCAGCCTGTTAGCGCAGTTGGCTCTGGCTGGCTTCAGGAGCTGCTCGCTGCCCTGGCGCCCGCCATTTTTCCTGCGCCATGGCAGCGAGCAGCTGATCTGTCAAAACAAAGGGGGAAGGAGATCGGGAAAGGCTCAGGAGTCACTGGCGGATGGTGCGCCATTTCCCAGTTTCTTTTTTAAAAACTCTGAGCATTTATGTTTCACAGGTTGCGAAAGAAGGGCTTTGCACCTTTATACAACATGCATGTGTGCTTGGGCCCAGGGTCTTTTGCCTCACCATCCCCACTACTGACTCCCTGTTGCTACTCAGCCAAAAAGAAGAAAAAAAGGGTCCCCGGATTCATTGAAAAAATCTGGTAACCATACCCTAACAGAATGCAGATCACAATGGAAAGAAGGCTCCCCACCCTTGCACTAAAAACTATGAAGTGCTTTATAAATCAAAATCATATGGAGGTGCATATAGCTACTGTAACATTAAAACATTAAAGTATCAGAATTTCTCTCTTTTTTTTCTTTTTCTTTTTTCTTTACTATTTACCCTAACAAGCAGAATGCTAAATTTAAAACTGTTCCACACCTCTAATGATCTGTCTGAACTGCAAGGATAATAATCAGGTATAGGTATAATCATCCCTTCTGTAGCCACATGTGTTAATTTTACTAAAAGGTTTCCTAATCTCTCACTAACTACAACATGCTGCATAGTTGTTAACTTGGTAACTAGTTAATGAAAACAAGATTCTTGTTAGTTTTCTATTTGTTTCTAAAGTTTGCAAAATTAATGTAATATTTCATTGGATCAACGTTTGCATGCATAGTCATGAAGATTTTCTATTACACATAAGTAATAAGAGATGGTTTTAACTGGCTTATCACTTGACTGTTTTAATTGATAATGACTTAATCCATTTAATACACTTAATTATTTATTGTGTCATTATTTTCCTTTGCTCTGATATTTGGCCTTGTGTAAATACATAAACCATTTTTAAAGGATTTTGTGCACTCAAGAGTTTGCAGATTCCATTACAACAGAAAAATCTCATTTTCTCATTCAAAAACAACATGAAGAAGTCTTTGTCAGAAGTCTATTCTCATATTTCGAAATCTGTAGAAGGAATGTGTCTAGTTTCTCTGAACAGAAAAAGAGCAGCTGGAAGTTTAATCATTGATATCTACAGACACATTTAAAAAGTATGCATGATACTTAACAAGAACAAGTGAGAGTTCATTCTACTTTGATTTCATATGTATCAGAAACACTACCACAAACCTGTAACCTGAACTCTGAGGTTTTAATAATGCAGTTTTAGGAGGATAGTCTACTGGAATAGTATCTAGGTCACTAGCTAGAATGAGATTAGTGAAACACTGCTAAAGCAGTTCATAAATGTTTTTTGTCTATATCTATATATCTCCTACTCACATCAAAGCTAGCACTTCATAAGCTGAACAATAACTTCCACCAGGAAAGGCAATTTTTAAAAGATCAAAATCAGATTTCTTTTTTACAGTTTCCTATAGACAAAGACTGTTGTCAGCTGTTATCCTATCTGCTACCTCATGCAGGTAATATTAAGAGCGCCTGCATAGCTGTTTCTTTCCCGCTGATAATTCCTTTGGATAAAACAGACAACTGGTAATTGTCTCATTTCACTTGACACTCCATTTAGATAAGTTTCAGTTGAGGCTTTTGCAACAAATACCAACTCCCTGGAGTTGGAACCTTTCCCTCCTAACTTCCTCTAAGGCTTGAAAGAAAAGAACAAACCTCTTCAGCTATTATAAATGCCACTGATCTGTTTGCATTGTCATTAACAACCTTTTTGTTCTTTGACGAAAACCAAAATATATCTACTACACAATATATAAAACTATCTTCCTTCTTCACAAAATAATTTATCCATATTAGGACAATCTTTTTCAATGTGTAGGTGGAAAATTGAAGAAGAAAAGTTAGAATCTTAATCCTAAAGGTGGGTGAAATGGGATGCAACAGTTGCAGTATCCTGATGGAAGTCCAGAAAGAGGTTCACAGATTCTATACTGTATCTAAATTCTACAGAGTTCTTCCAAAGGCTTCATGGAAAAGGTGGGTTTTCATGAGGGATTTGATGGAAGAAGGGGACTTGTGGATGACATCTGGGAGGTAGCTTCAGACATAAGAAAGGAAGTAAGAGTGGGCATCATGTTTTTTGGGATGCAGCCAGAATACCTTTGGATAACCAAGGGTCACAAGCATGGATTTCTTAGAATGCAAGAACAGAGAGATACAGGGTGTAGGGGAAAGGCTTTCAAGATACATTTACACAGCATCAGAAAGCGGACTGCAGCCAGCACAGGGATTTAAAATAGTTTGTACTGTTTATTGTTATACATTATACTTTTAGCATAGACTGTATGCCACTTTGAGGGCTACTTGTAGGTAGAAAATTGATTATTTATAACTTTTATGTATATGGCACACAACAACCAACTATATATAATCCAACATAAAAATACAAAACTGTTGTTTTTAAGGGATTTAATATACTTTCAGATTGTTACTTGACTATCCTTTGGGACAAAGTGATCAATGAATCTAACAAACACATAGGCATACAGCAACACGGGTGAGTTCAGTAATTTTTATCTTGTATGTGCTGCATATGCAAATAATCCCCAGTTCTACTCCAATTTTATTGCCACCAAGCCTTGGTTCTGTGCTGTAGAAGACATAAAGATGACACCAGTCTATCTTAAGACTGGAGACTTCTGTCCACTTGAAATTCTAACATGTCACAAGCTGCACTGGCTGAGTCGTGGCACTTTGTGCTGTTTTAATGGCAAACAGGAGTAAACCCAGGGCTTTTTTTCACCTGGAACTCACTGGAACTCAGTTCCGGCACCTCTCAGATAGGCGGCACTGCCTTATAAGAGAACATGGGAGGTGTTCATGGTGAGTTCCAGCACCTCTTTTTCTAGAAAAATAGCACTGAGTAAGCCTATCTTTATTGTTTAAAAATGAAATTAACCAAGTATGTAGTTTCATACACCTTTATTTCCTAATGGCAAACTTTAAAATAAATATGCCAAATACATGAAGTTTGCATCAGTTTGCAAGTAAAAGCCCGACACTCAGACAGCTCTTCAACACTATCATATATTCTGCCAACCTTCCTCCGTTCTCAGTAATGAATGCTGCTTCTCAACAAACTGTTTCAGTAGAATAGTACACTGTCACCTATACTATGTGAAACAATGTTTTCCTATTAAAAAGTAATTACAACACTGAAAGAAGACATTCAGAGTGAAGTGCTTATGATAATCAACAGATCATACCCACCCACCCAAAAAACACAGACAACACTAACTTTTCCTTCTATGTCTCTTCTGAACAACCTCCCTCCTGGCCCCTTATGAAGAAAAAAATCTGATCTATTTTTACAGTCCAGCACATTGGTATTTTGGATATTTTCCAACAATTTTTTTCCAGGCCTTTACAAATAAAAGCCAGATACGATTTAGTTCTTCACTCTTCATTCATTAAAATAAGCAGTCTTAATAACGAATCCAGGAAATACATCTACTCAGCTGTATGTACACTGAAATCAGTAACAATTTTCACTGCTGCCGAAGAATCCATAGTATTCTATCGTTCCTGAATCAACGAAGAATACTACATTGGGGGAGGGGATGTGGTTTACAAGGTAACTGTACTTAAACCTACAGTGTTTTGATTTCCGACATTCTTAGTAGCTTATTTTACTAGTTTATCATTACTATTCTACATAGAATCCATAACTACTTTTCATGCAACTCAGCACTCAGCTTGTTGAAGGTTAATTGCAATTCTTCCTTTTTTATATGGTTGTGAATCAGAGAAGGATCACCTCCCAGAACTTTTTCCCATGAGTAGAGACAAGTTACAGAAACAGCTGGTGCTTCCTTAACAAAGCACACAAATCATTTATCTGAATTGAGAATATAGATTTAGATGTTTACCTGTTTTCTCCCTGCTTGTTGTTTGAAGGTGGAGGATGCAGCACAGTTTGATTCCCTTCCATCTCCACAATGCACTTTGTATTCAGCTCCAGCTCTGAAACATAATGCAACTGAGAATTTCAGAACGTTCCCTTACAAAATGATATATACAGCTCACCCCAAGCCAGCAGGGCTTTTCCTGTTTCTTTCTTCTTGTGTCTAGAAAACAACTCCCTTTTGCTGCTAAGAGTGTAGGAAATGGCATGGGCGTTGCTCTCCCAAAAAAATGTGGGGGAGGGGAAAAAAGGGGGGAAGGACAATCCAAAAGCAAAAAGTTGGAGACCTACAGATTGACAGAGGCTTTCCACCAGTGCCCAGTTTCATTGCCTGGCTTGTATGTTATCCACATGTTACCCGTGTGAAATTATACAGCCACTGAAAGGGTGGAAAGGCGACCACTCTCTTGCTTTCATTAACCACCTTTTATAACAACAGCTGGCAAGTTAAGGCAACCAAGTCACACTGAGCGGTCTTGAAAATGTCCCCCCCTCCCAAAAAAGCGACCATGTAAGCCATTTCAGGCCACCATCTCCAAGACTAGGAGATGATAGTGTCAGATCCTCCACTGGAAGTCAGGAAGAGAGAAGAAGATCCACAGCTTTTAGTCAGCTGGGACAGCTCAGTCGGTAGATCATGAGACTCTTAATCTCAGGGTCATGGGTTTGAACCCCACATTGGGCAAAAGATTCCTTCATTGCAGGAGGTTGAACCCTTGTGGCCCCTTGCAACTCTATGATAGGTTGCATAGAAGCCAACTCCTAGGGGCCAGTCCGTCTGAAAAAAATCCGGTAACTTTACTTTGGACACCCCAGTAAAAAAATCTGACCCCCCCCCCAAGTTTATGGGCATTGCCATTCAAACGGTGTGTGCTGCGTCATGTGATCAATTATGCGGGGCGGGGCTCATCTGCCCCCGCTCCATAAATGTTGGCACCCCTGACAGGTTGGAGAAATCGCCCCAGAGCCAGCCAGCTTTCCCCACCCACCCACCCACCCACCCAGTAAGCGAGCAGACCAGCTTCAAACAGATTTACAAGGAGCCGACGGGGGTTGCCCTCAACTCCACGCCCCTCGCTGCAAGAAAAGGGAGGCTGCGCTCCAGCGAAGAAAACCAAGGGAGCGAATGAGGGATCGGGGCTTCATCCTGCTCACCGCGGGGCTCACACCCCGCTCCCGAGACTTTCGCCAGGAAGGGCTAGGCAAGAGCTTTGCTCAAGCCAGAGAGGACACCCTTCCCTTTTCCTCGCCCCGCCGCCAATCCAAGGGAGAGAAAAAAGTTCAACTCTGCAAACAAGTTGGAGGGGCGGAAGGGAGCGAGGGGAAAAGGTGCTTCTGAGGGGTGAAGATGGGGTTAGTGGGGGACTGCTGAGAGGCGAGTGTGAGCCATCTCCGTCCCAATATTATTATTATTATTATTATTATTACCTCTCCTGTTCATGGGCCGGACTCTGACGGCCACTTTCACCTTCGTATCCGACATCTTCCCTGGCGGCGGAGGAGGCGGAGGCAGCGCCGGGTGTCCCGTCCCCCTCAGCAGCCAGCCAGCTCCCGCAGGGGTTGCCCTGCCGCTTCGCGACGGAGGGCAGAGAAGCTAGAGCGAGTCTCGCTCGCAGGCAGCGCACGACGGAGCCCGCCTCTCCCTCAGGACCGCGGCGGAGCCTCAAGGCGAGGACGACGAGGCTCCGTCGGCGGGGGAAGCGCGGCGGCGCCGACGTCCATCTCACGCCGGCGGGGAAGCGGCGAGTCGGGAGGAGGCGAACCGGCACCAAGCGGCGGCTGCGGCGGCGGAGAGAGAGGAGCTTCCCGGGGACGCGGCGGCGGCGGCGGCGTTTCCCTCAGCCTCGCCTGCGCGAAGAGCCCCGCTGCCTTTTCCCACAGCCCCGTGCCTGCTGCTGCTGCCGCCTCCGCCTCCTCCTCCCCATCCCAACCGCCATCTTCCAGCCCCCGCGGCGGCGGCTCCTGCCTTTGCTTCCCTCCCTCCCTCTCTCTCCTCAGTCTCCGCTGAGATTCCTGGGTCAGGCAGACGGAGCGAGGGCGGGCGGGCGAGAGGCGGGAGGGGGGGGAGAGGAGGAGGGAAGGGGCGCGTCGGAAAACGACGGAGATAGCCGAGCGTCTTCGGCACTGAGGGGAATCGGGAGTTGGGTAGCCGGGAGCTAGGCAGGTCCTCCTAACGGTCATGCGCGAGTTCTCTCGGGACCCTTCGCTCGCCAGGAATAGGAATTCGCGCAAGCTCAGATGAAAGCGTAGACGGGGAGGGAGGGTAGAGTGTGCTTCAGGCTTGCTTCTCAAGCGGCGGAGGCTTGTTTTCCTCCTCCTCCGCTTCCCCCGCCTCCACCCTTTCGAATTTGGTGTCAAGTTGAAGAGTGGGAGGAGGCGGCAATAAGCGCACGAGCCCTCCGGGCAGCCGCCGCCTCGCAAGGCTAAGTTTAAGGCAGCAGGAGGGTTGCTGAGGCAGCAATGGGTCGGGATGCGGCCCCGGAGGGAAGGAGCGGGTTGAAACGCGGAGGAATGTATAGCCAGAGGATGAGAGCTGCCCATTTTAAGGACGATCGCAGCATCTTGAATTATAAAGCTTCCCGAGTTACTCAGCTCCACTCTGTGGTTTTCACTTGAGCCCTTTCTCAGCACAGTTTAAGAACTGCACTTTTAACAAGAATGACAGGGGCGTCCCAACTTTTTGAGATCTTTAGCCCCCTTCCTGCAACATATAACCCATTTTTTTATCTCGCTATTTTTCTTCTTTCTCCTCTTTCTCTTTTAAATTTATTTATTGATACGTATTCAAAGAGATCCAAAAAGACATACCCCTTACAAAGTATCGTTTTATACTGGTTATATATAATTTCAACACAATTCTCTCTGATTACTCCCAGGCCTCCCCCAAAATGTTTCTTGCTCCCCCACCTTCCAGTCCCTATATTAAAGTCCTTCCATACAACATGGATTAAATCTTGCCCCACAGAGAAAGGTGGCAAATTCAAAAGGAAAAACTAGGAGTGCATTCAAATGTATTTTCCTTCTGACGATTCAATCACTTGATGTTGAGGCCTACCCAAGACATTTTGCACCTGAGCTGGATCCCAGAATGGTAGACCCCTCCCTCCCAGCCAAGGAAGAAGAGATCTACACTTTATTCTTGCTGAACTTCATTGGGACAATTTGTATCATATGTTCTTTGGTGTTATTTTTTAAACTGTATATACAGATTTGAGTTTGACTATTGTAATTAATAAAGGTTTGTCTCATTGTTGGTGATCCAGAGTTCATCTACATACTCCGAAATGTTAAAAGCAGCCTTTTTAAGTCACAATAATTTTTGAGGTGGGATCCATCATTGCCCGTATCTTTCTGAGGTCTTGAGGCAATTAGATGTACATCTTTGAACTAATCCAGCAATTGGAATGAATTTGATCTAATCTTAAATTTGCACTTCTGTACACACGCAGGAGTAAGTAAAGGGATTTAGCACAGGATTAAGCATGTTAGTCACACATTAGGCCCATTTAAAGCAATTGGACAAATTAGTCATATAGCTAACAAGTCCTGTTTATTTCAGTGGAATTGATGACTAACAGTGCAGACATCTGATAGATCATACGTAGATCCTTCTGAGTTTAATGGGGCTTTCCCCAGGTAAATGGGAAGAGGACTGCAGCCTCCTTTAGTCTGGATCCAAACCATTTTGGATTTTGTGGTGCATTCCAGTTACCATGCAGCACAACAGAAAAGGTACATAAACATGTTTTGATAAATACCTCTGCATGAATAACTTATTTTAATGATGTTGAATTAAAACTGTAGAAAATAACCCTATACTCTCAAAATAGTAAGAAGAAACAATGATACCCTCCCCCCCCCCATTCTATTATTAAATCTGACAAAATGAGCCAGCTATTACTAAATTATTCTGGCACCCGCAAAGCTACTTGCTTCTTAAAAACAATGTTTTTCTCATTTGATCCCAGTGCCATAGGCAATGTGGAATTTGTTTTAAGTAGGATGCAGTGGCGTAGCGTGGGGGTGCAGGGGGGGGGCCGGCCGCACCGGGCACAACATCTGGGGAGGGCGCGCTCGCACTCGCAGCTCTCTGCCCCTACTAAAATCCACGGGTCAGGGGGCGCAAATTACTTGCCTTGCCCCGGGTGCTGACAACCCACGCTACGCCACTGGTAGGATGTAAAACAATTCCAAAGCATTTCACATCCAGAGAAATGAGGTTGTACTGATGAGTAAGATGTCATGATAAAATTAAATATTTACTATAACCTTGTTTATAAATATCAATGGAAAATTTGTGACTTAGGCGCTGGCCCAAACCATGGATTATTTCAGTAAGGGGCAGGGGGGAAAGTGATTTTTGTTTTTAAGCAATGTACAATAAACTTATTCATATGCAATATTGATCACATACAGAGAGAACACAGTTAAAGGCACAGTCCAGCTAAAGTAAAGCATGTTAAAGTTCAATTATGATTGCACTTGTCTTGACTTTAGCTGCCTTGTGCTATAAGCAATGGGGAATCGCTGTGTATAGCTTTAAAAGTTGTGTACTGTTATGTCATCAGAAGGCAGTTCGATAAATATAACTGCATTAACCATTTTGCATCAGGCACCCCTGATTTACTTACATGTTTACTTAAATGATTTCTTTGCTATCCCAGGGATGAAACAACAACAAAGCAATTTTTTGGCGTCAAATAGTGTTGGTAGGAGAATTGCACTGTACCTCTAAACTGTCAGATTTGTATAACAGACAAATGGGACCTGCAACAAAACGTTGCATTGGGGAGTGCTTGTATGCAGGGTTTGCTTTGGAAAGCATTATGCCTCTGAATATCAGTTGCTGAGAATCATAAGCCCGGAGAGTGCCATTGCACTTCTGTCCTGCTTGCGGGCATCCCATAGGCATCTGCTGAACCACCCTGAAACCTGCAGGTATAGGGCAGTATATAAAGTCAAATAAAAAAATAAAATCTGGTTGGCCACTGTGAGAACAGGATGCTGGACTAGATTATATGACCTACCAGGGCTCTTCTTATGTTCTCTTTTTTCCTTCCTCCAGTCTCTCATTTCCTTTTAGCTTCTGTCCTCAGTGCCCTCTCTTCTTGTCCTCGCTGTCTTCCACAAGTGGGTTGTGCAGTGCGACCAGCTGCAACAGACTCAAAACATGCTTACCAAGTCCACCATGGGCATCTGAATCCAGGGAGAGAAGAAGGAGCGATTGAGCTGTAGGACACCAGCATTCTTCCCTCTCCACTTTGACAGTGACTGGGTGGGCCTTGGGTGTTCCCACAAATAATTTCCCCAGGTGGTCGCAAAAAGTCAGGGAGGGGGCTTTTCTGGCCAGAGGTCTTCAGGCTAACCTTTATCCAAGCCACACTCCTTTAAACTATTTCAGGATGCAGCAAGAATGTTACTTAGGATTTAACAAGTTCTCAGATGGAAACTAAACAGCTTTGTGGTGTTTTGTTCTTTTTAATGTCATTTGCCAAGCCATAAAATGAGGTTTTCTTGATGCCTGCAAATTACACATCAAAAATCTTCAGGTTTTTTTAGGAACTCCACCAACAAAGTTTTACAGTTTGTAACAGCAGTCAGGCACACACAGTTCTCTCAGACAACAGGAGAATGACAGATTTCTTTTGTCTAATCAATAGTTTAATCAATCCTGCAAATGCCACTGTGGTGGTATGTTTTATGATGGCTAGACAGGAATCATAAGTGAAGCATTGTGCGAGAGAGAAAGAGAAAGGAGGATATTGACTCTCAGTTGCCTTTTCTTCTAATGTAGAACACAGTGATTACCTTTGAAAAAGAGATTAGAGGTTCAAAGTTCCTATATTTGAGGTTCTTTGCCCTACCACATTCACTTTAAGTTCTCGTTTCTGCACACCCAGCTCTGGAAAATGAATTGCTTACCCCCTAAAAAGCAATTAACTGCCACATTCAGTTTGTGACATGTACAACATAAATGAGCATGAGCTGCGGAAAGGACAAGCCTTCCATTATTCGCCCCTCCCTAAAAAAGCATTCACTCTCTTCATCATTACAATAAAGAATGTCTGGTATGCAAGTATGGCTGAAGCAGATCCCCACAGTTCTATTGTGAACATGAATCCTGAATTGAGATGAGAGGCTCCTGACAAAACAAAGCAGGAGGCCGGCTGGTAAATACTGTTAGGTTATTATTTATGTATTCGGGACAAATTTATTTATTTTTTTAATTTCGTTTTCAGACAGCAATACATAAGGAAGGAAATTGTACAACTTTGCACTTTAAGAGTGACCTGTGAAAAGATGTAGATCATCCTGAAAGCTATCATTCCAAACTATAATGAGTAAGCACCAGCTTTCTATAAAATGGGCAGCCCATTTGCTTACCTTCCTGGATTAGCAAATAAGTAGTAAAGTTCACCATAATGGTAGGATCCCACAATCTGTAAAGCTACTCCAAATGTATCTGTCCACACACACACACAAACACACACACACACACACAGATAATACATACATTGCTGCTGCTAGCTACTTATAAACTTGGCTTGCTGATAAGTTCTCATAAATATCCAGATAGAGCATTCACTGGCTGTTTAGGTATTGTTTCTGTATCTGCCTCTTATTTCGAGTTATTAAAAATGATACCCCACACCTTAAAACTACAAGAGTTGTCAGGGAAAGCAACAAATACACCACAAATACTCTTTTCATGAATGAGAATCAAAGTACAAGTATAAGGAAGCCTGAATATATACTGGAAGGCAGTTTCAAAAGAGTGATTTTGAGCAAAGCAGTGAGAAATGAAAGGGTCTTTACCTAACCCTTTCCCTACCAGTCATTTTCTGTTCAAAAGCTTCTGGGCCATCCCCTAAGCAGCTCTCTGGAGATTCAGACAGGGGTTTGCCAAAGGAAGCCTGTTGGCATTCGTCCCTGATGGGTTGGAGACACTTGAGACACTTACACAATATCTTATTCTTCTAAAGGCCATTACTTGGCAACTAAGGATGAACTTACAAAATTAAATAAAAATAAAGGTCAATTGGCAGTCCTATTCCCAAATTCTATTTGGAGCTTAGATCTCTGCTTCTTGGAACTGCTGCCACCTGAGAGTTGTGTTGTAGAATTTTAAAGTCTTTGCATTTGTTAAATAAATATTTTTATGCAGTATTGTCTGTGCAGAACACATTTTCTGTTTCTGATATAAAATTTGCACCTCTTAACAGCCTTCACGGTTTAAAGGATCATGGGGAATAGGCAATTGGTTTCTGGGGTGGTGTACTTCTTCTTGGAGCTCAATTTCTCCCCCTCTGGAGGATAGTTTCCGTGGCAAGGGGGCATGAGCAATAACACAATAAGTGCATCCACAGTGGCGGATTTATAAAGGAACGCCCCTACGCCAGTCCACTTTATTAGTTGTTCCACAATATCCCCTGATGTTCCTGCATTGCTGTCTGGCAAGTCACACTTGCTCTATAGTGCAACCAGTGTGGGACTAAAGAAAATCCACAAACCATTTGTGGGATGAAATTCAGCAGGAAGCTACTGGTCATACAGTAGCTGGAAACAAAGCAGCTATGGCTGCCCCCGAACTTATGTAGGAAGAAAGAGTATTGACCATCCCGATACTATCATAAAAACAAATCACTGTAAATGCACAATAGGAAAGACATCTGTGGTGGGGTTCTGAGACAGTTTAAATGACTGAGAGGCAAATCAGACATGTTCTGTCTACAGTGCGTTGCTTTCAGCAGTTCTGCATTCACACTCCTTTGCATTCACAAATGTGCATCTCCATCAGGACATGCACCTGAGCACTAATTCCACTGAAAGCAATGCAGGATGCGCAAAACAGCATTCATACTGGGATGGGAAAGTGGTTGCAGATCCCATTTTGAGCCATGGTTCCTGATCTAGCAAATAGTATGTGCAGGGCAAGAGATGTGTTTGCTGGAAAAATCGTGTTACGGTAGTTGAATCAGGTTTGCAAACATGGGTTTGGATGGTGGGAGGCAAAATATCCTTTTTTCACTGCCCATCTCTTCCTCCTCCTCCTGCAAAACTGCAGATTCCTCCACTTGCGTTCAAAGCATAGTCGACGCATTAGACTAAGCCACTTATTTTCATTAAGGGTTGAGAAAACAGAATCATAAGAAACATTTTTTTTAAATGGGTTGCTATGTCTACTACTAGCTCTTAACAGAAAACAATGTGATTTGAAATTCAGTGAATCATTGTATGTGACAGGGTGATGAAGATAAAACTCAGTGGGGAGGGGAATCACTGTTGTACATGTTGTCTTGCAACATACAGTGCTCACATTTATCTGGAGTTCCAACAAACTTAAATAGACCAATAGAAAGGCATGATAATGGTGTTTTTCAATGTAAAGAGAAAGCTGGCCATAGATGGAGCATCTGATACTTCAAGGATTGAGGCAGCAGCATCCGTTCATATCCATGGGACACCCACAGTACTCCCAAATGCACTGGGAGACATAAAACATGGAAGACTATTCTAAGAAAACAGAACTGCACATTCATAAATAAAATTCATAATGTAGGTGTGAAGGCATTACAGATTTCACGGTGGGGGCAGTTTTTAGTAGGATGCTGAAAGATTCAAGTCTTGTGGATTATTTCAAATAAAAACAAAAAGTCCTGCGATCCAGTTATAGATTCCCTCACATCAAGTCTATTTCGGCCCTGAGCTATTGGACAAGTTGTATTAATAATGTTGCCATAGTTTGTTTATCTTGTGGGATATTTAAAACAACTGTAACAAATCGGGGGAGGACTTTGGTTTTTCAAATTTCAGTGGAGCCCTGTGCAAGGCCAAAATTTGGTGCCCCCCCCCCAAATGCAACATAAGTCATGACTCTGTTCATCCCATTTTTTCAGTAGCTATTAAGTACAACTAACTTAGGCTCCAACTTTAAAAATATATATATAATTCACAGTTTAATCTTCCGTATATCCAAATCTCTTCCCTTCCTACCACCATCTCAATGGTGTCTGTTTTGGCTCTCAGTGTGTAGAAGGTGAACTGCTGAGTCAGCCAGAGAAAAGTGCTTCCTAATCAACAACAGCATGGCATGATACAGTGACAATTTCATCATTAAAAAGATCACGTTTGCAGATAAAAAGGAAGATACACCTCAGAGTTCACTGGGTCCTTTCCATGCTAATGTAATTCCACAATTTTTTGCCACAAGTAGGTACTGGACTTCCAACATTTTCCCCACAACCAAAGGAAAAGAGAATATGCATATCTTTTTTTCATTATTAAACACAATGAGATATTTTTTTTAAAATCTCACAAGGTCCTAAGTCATCAATATCTTGATGCAGTAAACCTTTCCCCCCAGGTCAACCTGTAATGTTAAAACTTTTTTGTAGTATTTCATGAGTTTTTAATTTATTTCTTCCTTAATTTATCAAAGAGAAAGGTAACAGTTCTACCAGAATAACTAGTGGGGAAAAGGCACTACATTCCCGCCCCCCATCCTAACAGCCTGATTATCCCATGATCAGAGATTCTTTAAGCTCATCTCAATAACATTCTAAAAACACTTCTATGTTATACTTAAGAAAACAGAAATAAATTGTGTCTAGCGTTACCAGCAATACACTGGGCCTTCTGTTTCTAACAGCAACAAAGGTTATGTATTGTAGCGGGGTGCGGGGCAAGATGCAACCAAAGGGATCTTTCTTTCTGATGTGTATGATTTTTAAAAACTAAAAACAGCCTTTGAGGCCACAAATTTCAGTCGAAAAATGGCAGGAAGGAGGGGTTATGTAACTTTTCTTCCAGCTGCCTCCCCCAACTCAAAATTAACCCCGGGTGTGTTTCTCTGTACAGGAAATATTATATTGGCACGTGTATTTTTTCTTCTATGGAATGAAGGGGGGTGGGGTTTGCAGAAAAACAGCCAGAAGGGAAATGGTTAAGCAGCCCTCCCCCCATTGTTTTTTAACTGAAACTCATAAAAAAGAAGCACAGCTGTGTGTAAGGCGCAGTTCGGCACTTTACATTCATCAAAATAAAGAGTTTTTACATTTTTTATATTTAAACAACAACCCAAAAAATACAATTAAAATCACAGTTTCTTTTAAATCTGCAATGGAAAAAATATATAATATAACGAGCCAAACAGGCACTCCTTCTATAAATATGTGTAGTTACAACGGTCAATGACAGATTCAGAGGTATCCAGTATAAAACAGATGGAGATGATCTGTTCTATAAAATATACACCCAACGGAACACCCTTGAAAAGGCAGGTTTGCACTAGTTTAACTGGCTTCAAGGTGTGTGGAAAAAGCTGGTTTAATGGCATGGCCATGAGTCATTCCCATGCCTCCACCATCCTGAACATGCCCCTTCTCTGCCCCACTTTGTTCCGCTTAAATGCTTTGCAGGATGACCTGGCAACACATCTGGTGAAGGCATCTGTCCCCAGTGTAGCAGCCCTGACTAATGCTGCCACAGTGTTGAATTTCTTGGGTCAGCTTACAATGGCCAGCGCAATGTCATAAAACATGACTTCCTAAACCTGGTATCCTCCAGATGTTTTGGACTGCAACTGTCATCAGTGCTAGCTGGGAAGGTGATACAGCTGGAGTGAATGGAATCTGTGGTCCAAAAGACCCAGAGGGTACCAGATTGGGGGAAGACTGCACGAACAGATGCTGCCCATTCTCTTAAACACTCATTTGCTTATGCAAGAGGGGGGCAGTCATACATTCTGGCTGAAGGTGGGCTTTCACATGTGCCATCGAAAATCCAAGGGAAACACAAGCCTGTCTACAGCCCAACATAGAAAGTTACCAGCATTCTTCACATACAGCTTCTCTAATACCCAACTAAAGTAACTCCTTTGGCAATGGCCAACATAAACATCCAGCACCTTAGTTCAGTGGGATTTCCTCACTAGCCTGTGGTTACAGTACGTATTACAGCCTTAGGTAGTCTAGTTCACATCCACTGGACTGATTCCACAATACACAACATGGATAAGATTCATATCAGCTTCTCCCTCCCTCTCTCTCAATTTATTTATTTGGTTTTTCAGATTATAATTTTACCGTCACATATCCAACATACAACACAGAAACAAGATTCCAAAGAATCTCCTGAACTTCCCCTCCTCCGCTTTGTGGGTCCTATTGTTAATCATTTCCTCCTGCATCTTTTATAATGATCCAAATCTTTTACCTCTCCGTTGTGTTCAAAATTCACCATTAAACCACAAACATTATTCCAATCCTACTATCGATTTTAACTGTTTACAATGGCTTTTAAGATGAATTATAAATTTCCCCCATTCCTTATTAAAATTGTGGTCTTCCTGATTTCTAATTCTTCCGGTCATTTTAGCCATTTCGACATAATCCATCAACTTAATCAGCTATCCTTAAAGAAGTTGGGGTGTTAGGCACAAAGAGCTTCCACATAGTCTCTGTTAAGCTGTGAACTGGATCAGGCAATGTGAAAGCAACACACCCCCATATTTCAGCTAGCTGTGAATACTTTTAAAGAATGATCTCCACCATCCAAGACAATCAGAGAACTGTCTGGTGTGAAAGCTAATGCCAAAGGGTAAGAAAGACCTTGGGTAATGATAGGTTTACACATAGGGAACTCTTCAGGTTTTCCAAGGCAGAAGACTGCTTGGTTATAGCCATCGGTTACTATTACTTGACCTTCCCTGCTGAAGGTCACATCACTGGCATATATTTTGGAAGGAAATACTAGATTGAGGCCAAAAGTGTCCACCTGGCTTATGAGCTGCATGTCTGCAGCAAATACTTTCAGCATGGTGCAGCCGCAGCTTGGTCCTTGCGCCACTGAATGCTCTATGACAGCAATGGCCCCAGAGGCCTGAGAAACAGCCACTTTCCTCGGGTCGCACAAATTAGAACAGAGTTTTTCCACCCCCTTTAATTCCCCCCGCTTAAAGTCCGCTGTCAAGCGATACAGAGCACCTGCCACTGAATCGGTCATGATCACATCGTTCTGAGGCGTAGTATCCAGACCCCAAGGTAAACCGAAGGACTCGGAGATAACCAGCTTTCCCCTGCCGTTGAAGTCGAACACTTTGACAGAACGATCCCCGCTGTCCGTGACTGCAATATGGCCGTCCAGCGTGATTGTGACATCGGTCGGGTACCTGATGTCATTTCCTGCCTGCCCTCTTTCTCCAAACTGTTGTATGACGCGCCCGTTGAAACTGAACAGCTTAATCCTCTTCTTGCCGTCGTGAGCCACCGCTAGGCAGGCAGACCTCTGGCACACAGCAATCCCTGTTGGGTTGACCAGGGTTCCCCATCCTCCGAAAGACAGGTGAAATGTTAAGACCTGAGATGCTGGCATCACCACATCCTCAGCTGCTCCAACGGTCCTTCCTGAAACCGGAACACTGTTGGGTGAAGAGCTCAAGATCTCCATCAGGTGCAACAATGGCAAGCAGTCGCTGGTCTCGGAAGATTTGCAAGCCCTGCGGCAGAAAGGGCACTCCAGCTTCAAACTCCGGGGATGGGCCAGTGATGTGACACACTCCAGGCACATGACATGTCCGCATGGCAAGTTCCTTGGCCGGCGCTTTTTCTGCTGGTTGTATTTTTCAAAGCACACTTTGCATTCAAGCAGACTGTTCTCTGTCTGGTCGAGCAGCTCTGTCGTGGTCTGCATACTGTCACTGGCCTTGGCAGACATTTGTGCAACTCTTAAGAGGATTGTTGCTCTGCTGGTGGTGTCCTATGCCATCTGGTCACGTGGGTGCAGTCACAAGACCCTCTTACATCAGAGAGAGAGGCCTTCGTGCAGAGTGAGTGCAGCGAACTCAGCGATATTCCACAATGGCAGCGTTGGTTGTAGTTTGCTGCCCCCTTGAGGAAACTTTATGATAAAGCAACAGATTCACAAGGGCACCTACCATTCATGTATTCGCCTTCTCTTTCCAGTGTTTATTTTTAGCTTGCGTGAAAATGGGAATAAATATGCTCCTGATTCAATTGCAATATGAACCTGAATACTGGTAAGGTGCCCATCTTTACCCGTATAAATTGAATCCAGTATGTTTGGGTTTACTGTACCATTCCACTTCTCAAGGATCACTGTTCAATTAAAATCCACTAAAACAAATAAATGGTGGGGGCAAAGGTGGGGTGTAAAGTTGGTTTCAAAGGCTGTCTTCCGGACTTCAGCATGAGAAACATTTATAGATTTACTAGAGACTCTGCCCTCAGGTATAACCAAAGCCAACCATTTTGGTAGTGTTTTCTTAAAAAATAGGGATTATTAATTATTTAGAGAGAGATCAGGTACACCATTGACCTAAGGCTGCCCTTGTGGCTGACTCCTATTTATTTTGCAAATTTGCTGTCTCACTTTCTTCTAGATCTACTTATATCTAACTCTGTTCTCTTTCCTGCTGCTGGTGCTTCCTCTCCCCCAGTCGCTGCCCCCTTTTGTCCTCCTGACTTCATTCTCCTCCCATCCCCATGGAGTGGCTCCTATTGTCCAGCCCGGACAATGAGGTACAGAGCTAAGGGCCTTCTGGCGGTTCCCTCACAGCAAGAAGTGAGGTTACAGGGAACCAGGCAGAGGGCCTTCTCGGTAGTAGCGCCTGCCCTGTGGAACTCCCTCCCATCAGATGTCAAGGAAATAAACAACTGACTTTTAGAAGACATCTAAAAGCAGCCCTGTTTAGGGAAGTTTTTAATGTTTGATATTTTATCGCATTATTATTATTATTATTATTATTATTATTATTATTTTCTGTTGGGAGCCGTTCAGAGTGCTTGGGGAAACCCAGCCAGATGGGAGGGTATAAATAAATAATAATAATAATTATTATTATTATTATTATTATTATTATTATTCTATTCTTTTAACCGTTGCATAGCAGACAGAATATTTGTGTGGGTGTGAGTGCAGCGTGACATGTTCTGGATCGCTTCAGATATATTTTAATTGATTAAAAACACAGAGCCTCCTCTGTGTGTGTGTGTTTTAACAAAGCTTTTGGGAGGTTGCACAGAAGAACCCTAGCCACGCCTGTGGCACCTTAAATTCCCACCCCTTTCCCATGGACAAAAATTCTATTTCCATGCCTTCCAAGGGACCTTCATAGTGGGGTTGAGTGAATAACGGTTTACCAATCAACTGTTCTTTTTCTAAAGGAAGTCCTGCCCTGCCTCATTTAAGTTGCCATTCTTGACAAAATCTCAACTTAGTTTCTCATTCAAGCCAAGTGACCATCCCAGGCCTGTTTGGCACTGTTTTCAAATGACAGGCAGCCTTCCCCCCCCCTCTTGTGAATGTTCAAACTGTTTAAAAAAGAAAATAGCATGAACACCATCCTGCCCTTGACAGAATGCTTCTCCACTTTCCCGTGCAAAAGCACCCGGATGGAATACAGAGGGGGGAAAGTGCTCTCTTGCTACATGTGCCACCAGCTGCTTCTCCTGGCTGGTCCCTCTCAGTTCCCCCTCCCCAAGCAAAAGAAAGGGCTCTTGTGGCAGCAGCTGTTTCCTCAGCTGCAGGGTTTTCTTCACAGTATGGAAAAGACACTTGTAATAAAGGTATGGAATGGCAGAAGCAGAGGGAACAGCTGAATCAGAAGGGTTCATATAGACACAAGGCAATTCAGGTAATGAATGACACCAGCCATTCTGGCAACTGAACTAATAATGCCTACACTGCCCTGTTCTATTGGTTTAAGCCAGTGGTTCCCAAAGGAGGCCGCTAAGAGGAAAGGGGACAGTGGGAAGGTGCCGAAGGCATTTTAAGGGGAAATCTGCAAGAACAGCACTGCTGACATACATCTGAATTTTCCTAGACATTTGACTGATTTCCGCAAGGACACTGCTGACAAATGTGGTATTCTGGATATGTCCAGATGTGTGGCAACCCTAGACTATCAGACTTTGAATAGCTAGTATCACTGGATCAAGTTGATCTATTTTAGTTTTAACTGGATTCTGAATCCAATGCTGCAATTAATCGCCACTGTTTTGAAGTTCATGGTGTTATCTTCCTAGTGGGATCCTTACAGGGTCTGAGTAATGCTTTTTATAGGGTAGGGGGCACTGGGGATGAGTTTACGGAATCAAGTAGGTAGTGGGCCCCAAATAAATTGGGAATGCCTGGTTTAAGTGATAACTCAGTGAGGCAAAGGAGGAGTGGCTATATACCTCATGTGGTTTGATCCATTCAAGGTTTCTGAATCAGGAGCGCTTCACACTTTTATATGGCTTTCATGTTTCCTATGGCTAAACTATTTCAGGAAACCTTCATGAAAGTACAGTAAGAGGAGCAGGCATACACACCAGGAAGCCTTGATTTGCTGCCGTTCGCCTGAAAATGCTCACTGTGTTGTTAAGTGGCTCTGCTGAGAGGCCAGCTCCCTTTGGCTCCTACACTCTCTTAACCAGCTGATCATTGTAATAATGTTGTAACTTTAGGAGCTGGTGCCTGACTTTGTTGTCTCTTCCCCACTCCCACCCTCTAGTCCTCATCCATTTCTCCTTTTGTATCAGGTGCTTTCCATTGTAATTCTGTGGGAAGAAGCTACTTTTTATGATTAAGCTTATGTCTGCTCTACTGAGAGGTTCTTTTGACTGAAGAGTGGTGTAAAAAGGTTTCAAACAAACAGAACTCTGTCTACCCTTACACATTACATGTCTGCTGTAGGAAATGCTCATGTACCCATAGCAGGTATGAATGCCATATAAAGTATGTATTTGAAGAAGTGTGCATGCACACAAAAGCTCATACCAATAACAAACTTAGTTGGTCTCTAAGGTGCTACTGGAAGGAATTTTTTAATTTTGTTTTGACATACTTTATGAAGCAGCTTTCACTAGGATGTGTTCACTACGCACAGACTGTACCTTGAAGCTGTCTCCATTGTAACCTACAGAAATCATATGAGTATAAAGTTTTCCACCGCTTTGCTGATAATTTACCTTCAGTATTGCTGATTTTGGTGGTGACATGTGGGGCTAGGAATTTCTCAGATATTAGGGATGAACTAATGCTGTCACAAAAGTAGTACAATCTATCTGGGTGTGTGCTTGCTTCCTCCTGCTCAACCTGTACATTTGTAAATAAAAAACGGTACAAAAAACAACAGCAACAACTCTTAACTCCAGTATGTCACCAGTATCCTTTCCTTAAATTGAAGCAGACCTTGTGAAAGGATCTCCTAAAACTGGAAAGCTGGCAATTACATAACAATACATCTCTCTGAATATAGCAATGCTATACATGTCTGCTGATGAGTATTAATATGGCTAAGGAGACTGCCTCTTCACATTATTTGAGGACTAGATAGAAAAAGGTTGAGGTTGGCAACTTTACAAAACTGTATTTATAGTGAAATAATTCAGAAGGCAAAACAGACAAAAATAATGTGACTTTTATATGGAAATTCACATAAAATGAGTTTGAAGTACAGATTTTATAAGTCAAATCTAATAGCTAGAGAATTATTCATTTTGAATAATGTTCAAATGTTCAGTAAAGAGCTGCACCCTCCCACGTTTAACAGGAAAATCTTATACATGTTTACTCTGAAGAGTTCTCCATTCAGTGGGACTTATTTCAAGGTAATTGAGTACAGACCTGCAGCCCAAGATGCTTATTATCTTTCTTGGCTATTTTAACACAAGCATGTATAGCACCTCCCAAAAGTAATCTAAACCCCACTTTTTAGGCCTCTCTGCTAAGCCATCGACTTTTTCAAGACATGTAATATCACAGGATTTGCCTGAAAGGAAAGTAAGAACAAGAAATTACTGATCTAGAGACGGACAAGTAAAGCTTGCTTTGTGTTTTGCCAGGGATAAATTTTGTTAGAGACAAAGTCTTCTTACTTGGGCCATTCATTCATTTAAGCAAGTAGAAGTTAAGCCCTCGCAACAGCCATGAATGGTCTCATTTGGATGCCACGCTAAAACAAAGTTAGCCAATGTGGCGCCCTTCAGAGGTGATGGACTACAACTCCCATCATCCCATCCTGGCTGGAGCTGATATGGGAGTTGTAGTCCCCAGTATTTGGAGAACACCACACAGGCTACCCCTGAGTCAAATAATAGTTGAGCATGATGAGAATTAGCCACATCAAGTTTAGTGTGCTCCCCTCCTTTTTTCTTCTGTGTAGCCATGAGGAGTTTGGAAGCTTTCCCTTCCAGTTTAGATTAGCTGCTGCTTGTCAGGTCATCCATCCCCAACAAACTGTGGTTAATCTAAAGACAGGTGAAATATGTTTCTTTGCCTGCACAGTTTGACTCCAAATCACGCGAGCAAAAAGGCACGCTGCATTGTTCACATATATGATAAAAGGGCTATGGGATACAAACACACACAGTGAGGCTGCATTTACAAACACCGTGATCCTTGTATACAGTGATCACATTACCCTGTGTGCACATATTGTGCAGTAAGAAACCAGAGTAGGCAGCCACAGCACTCCTGGCAGTGACAAGGATAGCAGAACCAGTATTTTTATTAGGGTATAACTCCTGCATCTGCTGATAGCAGTGGAGAGAATTGTGTGACGATGTGCAGATTGCACAGGCTGGAGCCAGACTTAGATGAAACTGGAACAGCACCACCATGTTCAAATCCACAGAGCAGGCATTGTCTAAAGAAATTAGGGAGAAGCAAGATGAAGGATGCCACCTTTATGCGCAGGTTGGCAATCTGAAACATTTAAAGAGAATAAGGAATGGTCCAAGAATTTAGGTTAAATTACTAGGGCTCCGTATTGAAGGTAACCTTGCATCACAAGGAGACAGGATCTGTTAGACTAGACGTGCAGGTTCAAGTTTCTTTTCCCTAGCACAAAATAATCAGCAGAAAAAGGAAATTGGGGAAGTAATGCTTTTTGAGGGCTCTGATACATTTCTGGTGTCTATTTTCAGACTCCGCATGCCATTGGATTCTGCTTAGAAAGCAAACATTCTCAAACAGCGTCACTGTCTTTTGTCAGTGGAAAAACACCCAGTTTGCTCCTACAACGTGAATGCACGCTGGGTCTGCCACATGCATTTTGACAAAAGTCAAAACCATTGTTCAGCTGACTTACCAAATAAATGTTTCACTTCAGAATCAGGAACATAGAAGGGTGGACCTGAAAAAGAAACCAACCAATTAATAAGGAGAAATCAAACTAAGTACGGCGATAAACTCACTTTAAGAACCCTACACAAGTTTACATATGCAACCTGTTAAATTTCAAGCCAGTTTGGTGAGGGCCACTTATACTGCCAAACCTAGTTTAGAAGGATGGGTGCAATTTATGAGAAAGTGGGAAATTGCATGGGTAAGCCTTGTACAGTGGCTTGCTCCTGATCCCTAAATATTAACATTAATTGCATCTTTTTGCAATCAACTGGCAGTAGAAATCCACATCGCATTCTTTTATGTTGTTATTCCTTGACCCACTATCTTGTTTTTGCATTGAATCAGGAACATAGAAAGCTGCCTTATGCTGAGCATTGTCTACAACATCTGGCAGCAGCTGTTTAGGATTTCACACAGGGCCATTTCCAGCCAGGGATTGAACCTGGGACTCTCTGCATCCCACGCAGATGCTCTACTGCTGAGCTATAACCTTCTCCATTGTATTTTAACTAGAATTTTTATAAGTTGCCTGGAGCCCAATTTTAGAATGAAAAAGTAGGCAAGTAATAATGGGGAAAATCAAATGTGCACTGGGATCACAGACCAACAGACATTTGGGAAACCTGACTTTTCAGTCTTGCTGAACATGTGCTGCCTCACAATCTCATGTTGGGCCCATGCCTGAGTTCCATAATCATCTTTAGTCACAAAAGGTCACCCTTTCCCAAGAAACCAGGCTGCATGATTTATAAGTAGGATTTTCACAATGTCAAGATGGAATTCAGTCATAATATCTTACCTTTATGTTTGCTTGGATCATATAAACAGGTTGCTAGTAGACAATGACACCTGCTGTTCATTAGTGATAATATCAACTGGCTATAGCTAAAAAGAAAATTAAGAAGCCCAAGCACTGTGTCACTTCAGGCAGTGGATTTTAACACAATCACACAGTTCCACCTTCCCCAAGCAGTAAGACCTTCCTGGATTCAGTTCCCTTTGGAGGAGAGGGAACTTGAGTTTTACGGCCTTTTAAAAATACTTGGTTTATTTACAAAGAGATAAATGCTAACTGGAGAAAAGCAGCATTTGCACTTCTATGGAAGTAGCAGATTTGCTACTCCACTCAGTTTCTTCCTTGCAAACCTATCTGGGCATTTGTTCTCATCAAGGAAACATGCTCATTTTGGGCCATTAACAAGCAATCTCCCTAACAAAGAAAGGATTGCCCCAGTACTGTAACAAATCTCCATTGCAGGGCCACTGTAACAAAGCTCTATTATCTCCCAAAATCTAGCACAAAACTTTGACATTTGTGGGTTCATCTTTAGTGGAGCTCTGTAACAACAAAGTACAGAGTATTGTTACAGAATGGGAAATGGACAAACCTGAGCCTCTGCCTCCAGTTCACCTCTCGTAGGCCCTGCCCCACTTTTAAAACCAGAGTCCCTTAAAAGGTCAGACCTTCTGGCCTGGAAATAAGCACTTCACCCACACTCCATGTGGTCCCTTGCCTGTTGGGCTGGTGTGTGAGGCAACTGCTTTAGGCTTAACTTCAACAAGTCAGGGATTTCCATTGCTATTCCATTTACAGTCATACCTCGGGTTGAATGTGATTCAGGATGAGCGCTTTCAGGTTGCGCTCCGCGGCAACCTGGAAGTAACAGAGTGTGTTACTTCCAGGTTTTGCTGCTCGCGCATGTGCAGACGCTTAAAATGATGTCACGTGCATGTGCGGAAGCGGCAAAACGCAACCCGCCCATGTGGAGTCGCGTCTTACGTTCTATTCAGGATGCGAATGGGGCTCCAGAACGGATCCCGTTCGCATCCCGAGGTACCACTGTATTATGGAACTGGGTATTATGGAACTTGAGTAGCCTCAAGTGGCAGAGTGGCTTGTACAAGTTATTCAATGATGCCAAAGAGGAAATTATTCTTTCCTTAAAGCCAGAGGCTTTAGCAAAGGACGGAGAGTAGGTATCAACATCAACAGAGTATAAATTTCAGCGATAGTTACTAACCGTTCTCTATCACAAGGGTTAACAGCAACTAGAGATCCCCTGTCCCAAATCGCATCGAACTTGCCAGTGATGGTGCTACAAGGAGCAGGAGAGAGGGAGGAAGCATTGCATATCAGAAGCTGTAACAACCACAGTTTTATGATCTAGACAGAAAAGACAGATGTTGCATAAAAAAGCAGTGGGGTTTTAAATTACTGCACAGAGCTCTCAGTCTGCTTAAGCAAGAGCCACCCAGATGATGCAATTGGAATTTTCATCCAGAGCATTCAGTGAAGCTGAAGGTCAAAATGAACAGGCTGCATCCTGTAAACATGGGAAAGCAACCACCCCATATGAAAGTGGCTACGCCTTCCATGAACAAAAACAAGTTCATGGAATGAACTTTTTCTGCTTTTGACTTCTCCTTCCCCTTTCAGCAATCCCCTGTGTTCCACCCCACATTGTTCAAGAGGACGTCCAATCCTCCTTAGAGGCTTTTTGGGGTGTACAAAGCATGCAGGGAGCTGCTGGGATGAGGAGATGGAAACTGTCATTCCAGGAATTTCCTTAAGTTACTAAACAGAATGATGAGAGTAAAAGTAATACAATGCTATTTAAAGATCTCATGCTGAAACGAAGGAGATGATCATAATTCGGTCCACCTAATCAGTCCACTCTATTTAGGAACAAAATTGACTGATCAGAGATTTAAACCCAGCTAGGGAAATTTGACTATCAGGTCTGGGGGTGCAGGCCACATACTACTCAAGTCAAAGGTAAGTTTTACAAAGATTATGGGCAGCACCAAGAATTCTTAGCCAATAGTATTGCAATCTGTGTACATGTAACTGCACTGAAGAACTTTCAGTGTTCACAAGAGATATTTAATCTTGCAAACTGGAAATTGAATCATAATTAATTGGAAAAGATACCTCCCTGTTCTGGAAATAATGACGCATCAGCAATTACCACATTAAGATGAAAAATATGCTCTATCCAGCATATTCTGAATGTCTGTCCTTACTTCTTAGGAAATATTTGATGGGTTCAGATCAAACAGAGCTTAGTGCCATTCTAATTTGCAGAAATATTCAGAGTCATCATTTTGTTCCTACCTGGTGAAGTCAAAAATACTGCAACAGTACAAAGAAATATTTCCAGTTGTGCTCTACAGTGAGAAATAGGGATAACATTGAGTTAGCATTATTTAAATAAAACAACAAGGCAGAAAGAACAATTAGTAAGACATTTTTATCGAAAATTAACAATTAAATAGACAACCATAAAACAATCTAATGCATGGAGTTACTTAAATCCATTTCACCTCATTTCTGCATCAGTTTGTGAATTATTTTTTGAAAAATCCACACAAAACATTGTATGCTTTTTTGCTGGCATTTCTCCTAAAATTCATATTTTTGTGTGCACTTTTGTAATAAATTTCTCCTAATAATGCATCCCTGTACTGTATATTATTTTTGCTAATATATACATTTCCATGCATACTTTAGCTCCCACAAACTGCACCAGGAAATTTGGAGAAATAAAAATTTTCAAAGAAGGTTGCGTTTCGGTTCTTGTATTGATTAAGGGAGTGTGAATTAGGTATATTCACATTAAAATGAACATCTCCTCGATCCCCAATACATACCTTCAGTAATTTACCAGGGATGCCTGGAATGGCTTCTTCCGAAAATGTAAGTTTTTGTTCTGTGAAAAAATCCTTCAGTGCACTTTCACTGATTTCCACACCAACGACTTGGTGCCCCATGTCAGCTAACCTACATGTTGACAAGACAGCAAGTTTACTTATGCTTTATTACTGTTTTTTTTAAAACAACGACAAAGAAAAAATGGTCAAAGTCTACGTGGCTGGTGCTCTGCAGGGCCACACCTCAACCACCAGTGTCTGAGGATAGGCAGGTATGTGCAAGGGAACCCCAACACAGGACTGTTGCTTTTTAAAGCAAAGAAGTGTACCACTGGGAGTAGGGAATTTTAAGCAGAGAAACTATGAGTGATGGTGTCCACCTCCTTTTCTGTTCTCGTGCAAGCTGCTTTTCTTTCTGAGATGCTACTTTCTAAGCTCACCTCTTTATGTACTTGCTAGTCATCTTTAGTTAGCCCCCTGGGCATTCATGAAAATGGTGCACACATCTATGACTAGGAGAAGACATGTAAAGGCAAAGAATCTCAAGACATGGGCTCCCCACGTTTCCCTGTGGAGCCGGGAAGGCTCCATGTACAGAAATGCATACATACAAAGTGTGGTGGTGACATCTTCTCTGATTTAAGGACCACAATGAAATTTGGCTAAATCATTCTCTTTTAAATTTTGAAAGTCACTTCCCTATCATCTAAACCAGCTCTGTTCCTTGAAAAAAGTGTGGATGCTTGCATTACTGTCCCAACAGTGGAAGACCCTGGGATCCCAAAATTCAGTGCCCCTTTGCCTCTCACGCTCCATTCTAAATAACAGAACCTCCTGCAGTGCTCCTGGGCTCTGCACCTAGTGCGGACTCCCCTAAATCTGCCTCTCATCCTAACATCACGGATGTTCTTTCTGAGTGTTTGCCTATGCCTTTCAGATATAAAGTGAGATGTATAACAAGCTGTGCAAGCGTCTGTGGCTTACAAAATAAAAATAAAATGAAAAGATTCATTTGGGTAAAAACTTGATTATGAACCCAACATGGACAGACCACCTTAATGCATCCCAAACCCATTTGCATCTGGATGGACTGAAGAGTCCAGCATCACAACAATTAGCCATATCCCAACTTATTCAGGTTTCCATTTGTTCCAAACACCAGGCATCATACCTCTCTATGGTTGTAGAATGGTCAGCTGAGTCCTATGGATACCTGTTGAGAGCTTGGCCTGAACGCTCATAATCTTGCTCATAATCTCATTCATTTCAATGGAGAATGCACAGGATTCCCTTGTGGATTGACTAGGCACAGCATTAAGGCATTTAAAATTGCAGCAGTATCTCCTCCAACTCAGTAAAGGTAAAGGGACCCCTGACCATTAGGTTCAGTCGTGACCAACTCTGGGGTTGCGGCGCTCATCTTGCTTTATTGGCTAAGGGAGCCGGAGTACAGCTTCCGGGTCATGTGGCCAGCATGACTAAGCTGCTTCTGGCAAACCAGAGCAGTGCACGGAAACACCGTTTACCTTCCCACCGGAGCGGTACCTATTTATCTACTTGCACTTTGACGTGCTTTCAAACTGCTAGGTTGGCAGGAGCAGGGACCGAGCAATGGGAGCTCAACCCGTTGCGGGGATTTGAACCGCCGACCTTCTGATCAGCAAGTCCTAGGCTCTGTGGTTTAACCCAGCAGAACCCCTTTAAAAAGCAAGCTACTAAGATAAAGTTTCTGAAAGCGAGCGGTGTGTCAGTTACCATTTCATTTCAATGGTTTTGCCACAAAGTGGGAAAAATATCTTCAGTCCACTCCTGCCATCGAGAAATATATCCATATACTTCTTTAGGAGACTGCAGAAGAAAAGAAATTATTTTAAGAGCATATCTTATTTTTACTGACTGAGTATACAAGTGGAACATAATCATAGCTTATGAGGGGAAAGCTTAATTGCTTTAACCACTGCAACTATTGCAAAGGACAGCTTCAAACAAACAATAAATGAAACCATCCAAGTTTCTACAACTACGACTAATATTTAAATGCCATCCATCTGATTGGGTTGCCCCAGCCACTCTGGGCAGCACCCAACAAAATATTAAAACATAATATTAAAAACGTAATACAACATCAGACATTGGTGCCCTTCTGCCTCTCACGCTCCATCAGACATTAAAAACATCCCTGTGGCTGGAGAACCACAGCCAGTTGGGCAGGGTATAAAAAATAAAATAAAATAAAATAAAAATTATTATATAGGTCTGCCTTCAGATAGCTTCTAAAAATCAAATAGTTTGTTTCCTTAATATGTGATGGGAGGGTGTTTAACTGGGCAGGCGCCACTACCAAGAAGCAGAATTCTGCTTGGTTCTCTGGAACTGCCAGAAGACCCTTGGAGCTGGACCTTTGTGTCCAGGCTGAACGATGGGGCTGGAGAGGCTCCTTCAGGTATACAGAGCCGAGGCTGTTTCAGGCTTTAAAGGTCAGCACCAACACTAGGGGAGATTCATAAAGACCAAACTGGCTTTCTTCCAGGGAGATATATGTCGGACAATGTGAGGAACATTATAGACATTTTGGAACTGTTAGAAGTGGACATTAATAGGAAGGCTGTTTTAATTTTTGTGGACGCGGAGAAAGCCTTTGACAATATTGGTTGGAGTTTTATGAAGAAGAATCTCCAAGGGATGGGGGTAGGTCAAGGGTTTGAAAATGGTATAGGTGCAATATACTCTAAACAAAAAGCAAAGTTAATTGTAAACAATGTGGTAACGGAAGAAATACCTATAGAAAAAGGTACACGACAGGGGTGCCCAATATCCCCTCTATTGTTTATATTAGTCCTGGAGGTTTTGTTAAATATGATTAGAGGAGACCAGTTGGTTAAAGGAGTACAAGTCGGAGCCAAACAGTACAAGTTAAGGGCATTTGCAGATGACCTAGTATTGACCTTGCAACAGCCAGATACTAGTACTAAAAGAGTATTAGAACTAATTGAGATATTTGGTCAAGTAGCAGGATTTAAACTGAACAAACAGAAAACGAAAGTGTTGGATAAAAATTTAACATTGGCCGAAAAAGAGAAGTTTCAGAATGAAACAGGACTAGTGATAACGAAAAAGTAAAGTACCTGGGGGTAAACTTAACATCTAAGAATGTGAATTTATTTAAGGACAATTATGATAAATGTTGGACAGAGGTAAAGAAGGATCTAGAAATATGGTCAAGGTTGAAACTTTCTTTGTTAGGCCGAATTGCTGTTATCAAGATGAATGTATTGCCTAGAATGTTGTTTTTATTTCAGACATTGCAGATTTTGGACAAGATGGACTGTTTCAAGAAGTGGCAGAAAGATATATCTAAATTTGTCTGGCAGGGCAAAAAGCCCAGAATAAAATTTAAGAATCTAACTGATGCTAAAGATAGAGGGGGGTTTGCCCTGCCGGACTTAAGACTCTACTATGAATCGGCGGCTTTCTGCTGGTTGAAACAGTGGCTACTTCTTGAGAATACAGATATTTTGGATCTAGAAGGGTTTGATAATAGATTTGGTTGGCATGCATATATATGGTATGATAAGGTAAAACAGCATAAAGGTTTCAAAAACCATATTGTTAGGAAAGCATTATACAATGTTTGGATGCGGTATAAAGATCTATTGGAAAGTAAAACTCCCAGGTGGTTGTCACCAATGGAAGCTAAAGAGGTGAAAAACTTAATATGGAGTCTAAATGGCCAAAATATTGTGAAATTCTAGAACAAGATGGGGAAAAAGTTAAATTACAGAGCTATGAGAAATTAAAGTCCAAAGTGCGAGATTGGTTGCACTACCTTCAGATAAACGAGACATTTAAACAGGACAGGAAAATAGGTTTCCAGATGGAGAGGTCAAAATTGGAAACAGAACTGTTAGAACCCAATACTAAGAATCTGTCGAGAATGTATAATCTGCTGTTGAAATGGAATACACAGGATGAAACGGTGAAATCAGCTATGATAAAATGGGCACAAGATATCGGTCATAACATTATGTTTGCTGACTGGGAACAGTTGTGGACCACCGGTATTAAATTTACGGCATGTAATGCCTTAAGAGAAAACATTATGAAAATGATGTATAGGTGGTACATGACCCCAGTCAAGCTTGCAAAAATTTATCATCTGCCCAATAACAAATGTTGGAAATGTAATGAGACTGAAGGTACTTTTTATCACCTTTGGTGGACCTGCCCGAGGATAAAAGCTTTTTGGGAAATGATCTATAATGAAATTAAGAAGGTTCTTAAATGGACCTTCCCTAAAAACCAGAGGCTTTTCTCTTGGGCATTGTCGGCCAATTGGTGAGAAGGAAGGACAGGACGTTTTTATGTATGCGACAACAGCAGCAAGGATTCTTCTAGCAAAGTATTGGAAGACACAACAACTACCCACACTGGAAGAATGGCAGACGAAGGTGATCGACTATATGGGACTGGCCGAATTGACTGGCAGAATCCGTGACCAGGGAAAGAGACAGTGGAAGAAGATTGGAAGAAATTTAAAGTTTATCTTAGAACTTGTTGTAAAATTCAGGAATGTTAAAATGTCAAGGGGTTGGGAAACAGAGAACTGCAGCTGTAATTAATAATATTAGAAGAACTTAAAAGAAATTGAATTGAATAATTAGTTGATTGAGGAGTTGCTGAAGAAATATAAAACAAGGATGCAGAAAAGGGGAGGTATGGGGAAGTCCGGAAAGTAAGGTTTATGAAAAATGGCTATGAAATTATACATGTTTATATGTTTGTATGTCGGTGTTTTGTGTATTGTTTGCTTTCTTATCTTATGTTTGGAAAATTAATAAAATTTATTAAAAAAAAAAAAAAAAAAAAAAAAAGGTCAGCACCAACACTTTGAATTGTGCTTGGAAACAAGGATTGCATTTGGGCAGTTGGGCTATTAGGAGAACACATTGCAACTATACTTGGGACACTCTGGAACAGGGGTGAACACAAGCACAGGAAGGTGACTTAAACTGAGCCAGACCATTGGTTTGTTTGGCTTAGTATTGTCTACACTGACTGGCAGCCGTTTTCCAGGTTTTTAGACAGCCCTTACCCTGGATGCCAGGCATTCAACTTGGGAGCTTTATGCATGTAAAGAAGCTCCTCTACTACTGCGCTATGGGGGGGGGGGTCCTACTGATAGACCTCTCTGTGGTTTGTGATAGATTGGCATGAGTTCCTGACTTCTAATCATTTAACAATAGCAACAACAAAACTTTTTATTATTATTTTCTGAATGAGCCTGCTGATGTTATTGTTGAATAAAAAAAGGAAAAGCCGGGAGTTGATTTTTGCACAACAGGGGTGTGTGTGGGGTGTGTGTGTGTGTGAGAGAGAGAGAGATGAGAGGGAGAAAAGGAGGGAGGGAAAGGAAGGGATGTGTGATATATGAGAGAAAGAGATATACACACAGAAAGAGGCAGATATATATGTATGGCTGTGCATATGTGTGAGAACCATGAGTATGAACACATGGGTGAGAAATGGACACACAGAGAGAGCAGCAGAGATGAATGTGTGCCTATGATCTGTGGCGTGAATGTGCTGTGTACAGCATTTTACTGTGAGTGTGGTGTGGTCACATGGCATATCTTTCTCTTTCCTGGTACAGGGGATAGACAACAACAGCATCTGTGTGTGTGTGTGTGTGTGTGTGTGTGTGTGTGTGTGAAATCAATATCTTATGATATCCACAACTAGGACCAACAGGACATAAGGACTTCCCCCTGCAAGCATGTGGTTGTCTAGGGCTGGGGGAGAGCTGTGGTTACAAGGTTCTAATTTTGTGTTCAGCATCTTAAAAAGCAGAGACATCACCTTGCCAACAAAGGTCCGTATAGTTAAAGTCATGGTTTTCCAAGTAGTGATGTATGGATCTGAGAGCTGGACCATAATGAAGGCTGATCGCCGAAGAATTGATGCTTTTGAATTATGGTGCTGGAGGAGACTCTTGAGAGTCCCATGGACTGCAAGAAGATCAAATGCATCCATTCTTAAGGAAATTAGCCCTGAGTGCTCACTGGAAGGACAGATCGTGAAGCTGAGGCTCCAATACTTTGGCCACCTCATGAGAAGAGAAGACTCCCTGGAAAAGACCCTGATGTTGGGAAAGATGGAGGGCACAAGGAGAAGGGGACGACAGAGGACGAGATGGTTGGACAGTGTTCTCGAAGCTACAAACATGAGTCTGACCAAACTGCGGGAGACAGTGGAGGCACAAGATGTTGGACATAATATTATGTTTGCTGACTGGGAACAGTTATGGACCACAGGTATGAAGTTTACGGCATGTAATGCCTTAAGAGAGAATATTATGAAAATGATATACAGGTGGTACATGACCCCAGTCAAGCTTGCAAAAATCTATCATTTGCCTGACAATAAATGTTGGAAATGTAAAGAAACTGAAGGTACATTCTTTCACCTTTGGTGGACGTGCCCAAGGATTAAGGCTTTCTGGGAGATGATTTATAATGAAATAAAAAGGTATTTAAATATACCTTTCTGAAGAAACCAGAGGCCTTTCTTCTGGGCATTGTCGGCCAATTGGTGCCAAAGAAGGACAGAACCTTTTTATGTATGCTACAACAGCAGCAAGAATACTCATCGCAAAGTATTGGAAGACACAAGATCTACCCACTCTGGAAGAATGGCAGATGAAGGTGATTGACTACATGGAATTGGCGGAAATGACTGGCAGAATCCGAGACCAGGGAGAAGAGTCGGTGAAAGAAGACTGGAAGAAATTTAAAGACTATTTACAGAAATATTGTAAAATTAAGGAATCTTAGAAGGATGTTGGATAGAAACTAAGAGGTTTTTAGCTGTAATGCTTTAAGAGATATGAAAAAAGGTTTACAATTGGGCAAAAGTTTAATGGTAAGGATTTGCTGAACTAACAAACTGAACTGGAATACAAAAAAGGGAGGTATGAGGAGGTCCGGGGAAATAAGTCTAGGGAAGATAGGTTTGGAAAATTAATGTCTTTTTAACTGTTTTATTTTGTATGTTTCTTTTTTATCCTTTACTTTTTTGTTATACTTTAAAAAACTTTACTCTTTTTTCTGTATTTTGTATTTCTTGTATTTTTTGAAACTTTAATAAATATCATTTAAAAAAAACTAAAAAACTGCGGGAGACAGTGGAAGACAGGAGTGCCTGGCGTGCTCTGGTCCATGGGGTCACGAAGAGTCGGACACGACTAAACGACTAAACAATAATTTTGTGTTATGCCATGCCTCCAGGGCATGGCAGCCATTTTGAGACTAGTGTCCACAGAACTTATTCAAAACTGAAGACGTTTTGGCTACAGTGCCAAAAAAGTGCCAAAAAAGTTGGAGTCCCCCTGCATCCTGTGATTCAGTGAAGCAAAAAAATCTGATTTGGATTAGTCACCTTGAATTAACAGACTTCAGAACAAATTGCTGTATTGCTCACAAACAAGTCGTCAACACAGTATTTTAAACAAGCCATGTGTGAGAGAAAGAGCCAAATACCTCTACAATTTTTATTATAAAATGGGAGGATAGAATACATACGGATGTCCTTGCTCGTTATGAAATCCAATATTGTTAGTTTCCCATTTCTGCAGCCATTCTTCTTCAGTCACTACTCTGGATTCTTGTAACTTGGCATCAGCAGAGTCATCCTTTCCAAATGTATCTGAATAACTTTCCATGGCCCAGGCAAACTTTCTACAGAGAAAAATGAACAGCAACTACTTGTGAATCATTGATTGAATGTTCCAGCCTTCCCATTAAGCAAGGAACTTTGCACATGTTTACATGCTTCCCCACCCCTTGCTTAAGTTCATAAAATGAAGTTTATGGAATGTCTGTAAAATATTGCATTGCACAATCTGCAAAGAAGGATCATTTGTACCATATAACAATAGCTTCTTAAAGCACAGCCTGAGTCTTCTTCCTAGAACGTGCCTTTCGAAGCAAAATACATTGTTTGAAAGTCCTGCACAACACTCTAAAGTCCTGAGAAGTGGGGCTGATGTTTTTATGATGTCAGGTAACCGACAGGTGGTTTCTTGCATATGCAGGAAGTGAGTGGCACTATTTTGCTTCCAAGCAGACATTAGAAGTCAGGCGTCAGAGGGAACAATGGGGACTTCCAGCAAAATGTTGCATTACATCCCCAACAGCCTTATAGTGCTGTTTAGGGTTCATGGGAGGGCGACACACCTCTTTTTCTTCTTCCTCACCCTCCTGAAACCACCTCATTTCATTCAACTGGCAACTTCAACATTCCATGGCTCAACTGCCCTCACCCTTCCATAGGTCCTAGTAGTTCATTGAATATACAGTAAGTCCTTTTTGGACTATTTTTTGACATTAAAAATAACCTGCTTGCTACTTGCAAATGTTATAAGATTTTTAAGGTCTTAAATATATAATAAATGTTCATAAACGTACCAACCAAGCACATACATAGATCAGCACAAGAAGACGGACCTAAAACCATTTTTGACTCCCAAACTGACCAAATGTTTTCTCTGCAAGGAGGGAGGGGGTCAGGGAACCTTCCCATTGTTACAAGAATTTAGTAATCACCATTTCAAAGGGTGACACACCACCAGGAAAGGCAATCAGATAAGGCATTATCAGATAACCTGACAGACAGGAAAAACAACAACGTTCAAATTTCTGTTGTAGACCGCCTTTTCTGTGATGTAGGTATGATGTTTGAGGGGGGTGGTCTTGGGTTACACCCCTTCTGTGATGTAGGCATGATGTATGGAGGGGTGGTCTTGAGCTCCAGGTCAGGGAATTTAAAATGTCTATATAAGGGCAGGCACACCTTTGTTTGGGGTCCTCCTCCTTCCCTGCGTGTTGCAACAGATCAATAAAGATCAGGCTTACTAGCTGCTTTGCTTCTCAATATTATCTGGTTGGCCTCTGTTATTTTTTCCTACCAATAGGGAACCCATGTAAGGACTCTATATGGGCTCTTGGACACCCCATATGGGTAGAAGGGCAGATTTTGTTTACAACAGAAATAAGTCCCCCAAATTCAGAAATCACTACAGGGAGGTCCTGCTTCAGTTCTGAACTGACGCACACACATGGGTGTAGCCAGAATTTATGCTGGGGGGGCAGGCTTTGTGTTGGGGGGAGGCAGAACCTCAGTTGGTTAAGTATTTTGCATTGATTTACGTGATGGGTGGAGGCAGCTGCCCCTCCCTGACCCCCCTTGGCCATGACCATGTACACACATCCAACTTCATTATAAGAAGGAATGATGGCGGTAGTGATAGTGACTGACTTGACTTGAAAGACGGAGGGACTATAAACTCTTATCGCTGCCTTTGACGATGGACAACTGGATGAGCCCAGGGAAACTCTATTACTTGTCCCTAGGAACTGGCAAGCACAGGTTCAATTATCAATAAGCATTATGCTGTCACAAGGCTGCACATGACATTTATCCATTTGGGGATTGGGGGCAAAAGTAGAGTTTCTGGTGACCCCAAATATAGGAGCTGACTCCTAGGGGCAGTGGGGCTTTTGGCCCCCCACAATAAAATATTTGAGGGACCTGGGCCCCCAAAGAGTTGATGGGCATTGCCATTCAAATGGCGTGTCATGTGATCAATCATTCAGGGCCCCCACAATATTCAAGTTGGCACCCCTGACCCCAAAATAGTTTTTTTTTTTTAAAAAAAAAAAAGGAAAATGCCACGAAATAAACTAAACCACATCTAAGTGCTGAGGGAAGAAGCAATGCCACGCTCAGGTGTGGAGAACTGCTTCACCATAACACAACTGAGGGAGTTCTCCGGACAGAAAAACAACCACCACCACAATAATTTATTAAAAAATTAACCTTCACGGGGCAGGACGGCCCAGTCCAGGTGAGGGAGGGGCTTCGCCGGCTGCCTGGGAGAGCAACACCTGCTTGCGCCGCGGCTGCCTCCGTCTCTGCGCGCTCGCGCTCTCTCTCCGCCTCTCCGCGCGGCGCGGAAAGGAAACGGGAGCCTGGCTACATTGTCTCCGCCCCTCGCCCCACCCGCTACGCGCTGAGGACAGCGGAAGCTGCAGCTGCAGCAGCAGCAGCAAGGGGAGGAGGTGGGGAAGGACCGACGGGAGGAGCCGGACGCTGGTGAGCTCGGCTCGGGGGCTGGCTCTCCTTCGGCCGGGCAAGGAAGCGGACGGAGGCAGGGATTTCCTCGTCTGGGGAAAGGGGGGCGGTGCTGCTGCGTCGCTGCTCTGCTCTCCTGGCTCCGACCTGCTGCAGCAAGTGGATGGCAGCCCGGGCAACAAAAGGAGCGCCGCCGCCTCCGGTCTCTCGTCCCCCCGGGCACCGGGTCAGTCGATGCAAGGGCGAGTTGCTCCCCGCTCCTCCTCCTGGTGCGGGACTTGGTCTCCCTTGCATGTGTGAGCGTGCGTTGAGGGGTAGTAGGGCGAGGAGCGCTTCCTGGGGGGGGGGGACACACAGGGGAGGGGGGTTGCCCAGCGTGGATCTGTAGGGAATCGGGGCACGGTTTTATTTGTGGGGTGGGGATTTGCCCGTCCCACCCCACCCCACTAACAGCAGCCGGTTTTCCGGGCTAGGGTGCAGCCCCACACTGGAGTAACAAAACAAGCCCGTGGGACGCGCGTCCGAGCCGATGGCAGAGTGGCTTCCCAGCGCCAGGGAGGAGGGAGGAGAGAAAGGCATGCTGAGCAAACGTGCACAACGACGAGGAAACCCTACGGAGCCCTCGCCTGTTTGTAGGAAGAGGGCCAGAGGGTGTGATTTCAAGACGGGCTTGAGCCCCGCTACCTATTTGCTTTGTGGGTAATCCCACCAAGACCCTGAGTTGGCATCTTGGGGTCTGTTTGTTTGTGGGAGGCGCACGAAAGATGCCCGCTGCATAGGAAGGTGGTAGTTTGCAGCTTGTGCTAAGTCTTCCCTAACCTGGTGCCTCCAGATGTTTTAGAGCACAGCTCCAATAAGCCTTCACCATTGGCCATCGTGACTGGGGCTGACCGGAGTTGCAGCCTCTGGAGGGCACCAGGTCAGGGAAGGTTGATCTACTGCCCAGCAATTATTACCTCCCTGTAGCACTTTAAAACCCCTGATAAGAAAAGGGGCTAACCCTGGATAGTGTAAATATGTGCTTTTTATTTTAAAAGGCATTTTAACTGCTGAAAGGTAGGTTAGTAGTTGGAAAACAAAAAAGCCACAAACCTAGTCAAAAGCTACAGCTAACCTCCAACCCATGAGTTCCCAAATGCTAGGCCACACATTTTTAAATGACTTCTAGATGCCTGCACTCGTTTTATGGCTTTGGGGGAAGCTGTGGGGTGCTCTCGACGTTCATTTAGAACAGGGGTTCCATCTCCAGAGCTTTCAAGGGCCTTCTGCTTCAGAATTTGGATGTGCAAAATTCCAAATCTTGACTGTGATGAGCCAGTTAGGATCAGATGCAGTCTTTCTCTTACTTTTGTGTTACCATGATGACTGTATCCACTCTCTGCATTGTCAGCTTGGTGAATTAAATGGCACATCAGAAATGGGAAGTGCAGTACTTTCAAAATGTTAGTTACACATCGGAGGGTGGTTGTTGTTATTTTTGCCCTCAATTCCACTTGTGAGCCCAGCCAAGGTTGGATCCTGTGAACTCTCCAGCCTGCAGGTATCAAAATAGTTGTGGTAGAGCTTGTGGGAAGCTGCGTGCAACAAGTCAACACACTTCTGACAAAAGCCCCCACTTCCCACATAGGTGGACTTTTGTATCAAGCTGATTGGGACACGTGTGCATATTCCCCTGGCCTTCATTAGCCTTTAAGGGACCAAATACCTCATTGTGAAAAGTCCTGCTCCAGGGGGTAATTTCTCTTACACCTTCCGTACAGAGAATTCAGAGGTTTTAGAAATAGACCCTTCCTGTGGAGACCATGTTGTTGTCTGAATCAGGAGGGTAGGATTCAGTAGCTAGAAAGATACCATTTTCTTACCATGTTTTCTCTTTTTCTATTATTACAGCTCTGTTTAGTTTGACATCTGAAAGCTGGGCGATTTGATTCCAAGGTGAGCAGAAACCTACTCTTCCTGTGGTGGAAGTTACCCATAGTGAACATAATTATCTTTCTAGCATAATTGCAGTCCACCTTCCTATCTGTAGCCTATGTGGGTTATTCTGGACCTTGTAGCCTATACAGTGGTACCTCGAACCGTCCCCCTTGCTAACGCTTTGAGTAATGTGCTCCGCTAACCTGGAAGTAGGTGCTCCTTGTTGCGAACTTTGCCTCGGGATGCGAGCGGAAGTTGTGCCCTGGCGGCATGCGCGCAGCGGGAAACACCATTAGCAAAAGCATGGCTCATGTTACGAGGGGTTTCTGGTCACGAACGGACCTCCAGAACCAATTAAGTTTGTAACCAGAGGTACCACTGTAGCTGCCCCTTGCAAGCGTGTACTCAAAATTCTAAATAAATCTAAATTCATATTCAGGTGCACTGAATTGTGTCACTTCATTCCAGCAAGAGCTTAAAATACGGCCTTGATATTAGAGAGAAAAAGTTAATAAGTATGCATTCAAGAGCATGGAAGTTTTGAAACGTTCTTAAAAGAGGCTCACATCTTCTATGTTAGTAGTGTTAAATCCAGAGGTGTGCACAGACCCCAAGATTTGCACTGTATTTGTTCATCCTGAAAAATCAAATATGCTTCTGAGTTGTCCATGCACTCTCCACTTCAATCTGTAATTTGGGTTCTGACCTCTGTATAAAATGAAGCTCTGTGTTCCCTATTCACTAGAATATAACTTTGCCCCATTTTGGCCAAAGTGAAGTAAATTTTCAGATACAGGAGCACTTTTAGAGTGGACTAAGCCTTCCAAATTACAGACAAGCAGGGTCAGGCTTTTTTGTTTAGGAAGTAAAAGGGATTCACTTTTTTCCATAATCCATTATGGGGTGGAGAAGTGGGGCTTACCTCTTGCTCTCTCTTGAAATAATTAATTTGTGGGTAAACTTTGCACATTTTTGCCTGTACATTTTTTAAAAAGTCTGGCTTCACACACTTTTCATTGTGAGGCTGCCGAGAACGGTGCCTGTGGAGTCCTGAAGAGTTTTGGGTGTGTGTTTTGCTGAATAAAAGCAACTTAGGAATTACACACACACACACACACACACACACACACACACACATAAACTGCACCAGCCAATCCTTTTTTTAACAAAGAAAGAAACAAAAAAGCAATTCAGAATCCATCAGTGTTCCGCTGGCAAAATTGTAGGACAGCCTCACTTTTTGCAAAGCCCATGGATCTAGAGAAACACAGATATATAGGAAAAGATAGAGCTATATGGGGTGGAAAAGCCGAGTGACATGAGGCTTTTGGGGAGCCTTCATCTGGCTTGGTGTTTATTGACATTGTGCTTCAACTTGGGAGGGGAATTTATCTCATGATCTGGCCCCCACTTGGAGCCAGTGTTCACCTCTATTGTTTGCCTGGTTATACATTAGACAACTCATGTCTGGTGGGAAGCCTCAGATCTCAGATGAAATGGTTATATATGTACCTTATGCAGGATTTCGTTCTTGACACACACTGGCACACCACACACTGGGGGGAAATGTGTTTTTATTCATGTATATGCTGAATCCTGCCTTATATGCGTGGGTTGAAGAGTTATGTGGGCTTTTCAATAGCTACCACCGTGTGTCTAGATCCTTGTTTATCTCACTGGTAGGGCAAACCTCTTGGGTTAGTACGTTAATAGGTTAATAGTTGCAGTTGTTCTTAACTTAAAAGCAAAGCAAAACTAGTAAAACCTAAGGAGTTAAAATGTTTAACCAGAATAAGCATAAGCAAAAAGAGAAGTGGAACGGAATCTCAGTGTACTTGGTTGTTGTTTTTAAATCTGCTGTGATATTGTGCTTATACTTTGTTTTTACATATGTAAATGGTTTCCCTAAATTTCAGTTTCATTTTCAATTTGAATTTTTTCCCCCTTGAAAAGTCCTGTATTTCAAAATGAAAAATTACCGCTTTACCTTCTACGCGTTTCAAATGAGCCCTTCCTATAACTTGAAACAAAAGTGCATTTTAATGGGTTTAAATGATCCACTATCCTATGAAATATATAATCAAACATGTTAGTTGCTGCCTTTTGGAATGAAGAGATGTTTGCTCTTCCTGTTATCTAAAACCACCACTAACTCCACCCTGCAAGTATTAACAGCAGTTTAGTAAAGATGAGCAATTTAGTCAAGATGGCAATTGTCAGCAGATCTTGCATGCTTTATAGTTTTGACTGGTTTGCATCCCTTCATTTTCTGTGTGTGGTCAGGGCAGCTCCCAGGCTACTGACCCTTGTAACCTCTTTCTGGGAGAGAGTTTCATATCAAAATTGTTTATTCCCTCATCCATCCTCTTCTTTCTTTTCTGTTTGCTTTGCCTTACCTGCATTCATAGATGTAGCACAGCCCGTATAGGTTTTATTTCTTTTGATTTGTATAAAATATTTTAATGTCATGCTCAAAGTGATGTATGGAAGAGGATCCCCCCCCCCAATATTTGATATGTATGCTTAGAAATGTAAACAGCTTGTTCTCACTTCTCATCAGGACGGATAAGCAGCCGTGGGAAGGTGTGCTGAAACTGAGAGACAATTTGCTCACATATGTGTGCTGCAGCTGTGCTGTTAAAGTCCCAGAGCTACTGTTTTTACTATATAGTTCATTTGAGCTATCAGAAGCATAGCTGAATCATGGCCTGAATTGTGCACAGTTCTGGGAGGGGCATTTTGGCTAAGTTTCTCACAGTACATACCTATGCACATTTACACAGAAGTCAGCCTCTGTGTGTTCAGTGGGGTTTACTCTGAGGTTAGCATGCATAGGATTGCAACCTTAAAACTGTAGGGTTGGAACCAGGGAAACACATAGGGAAGGGGGCTGGTGGAAGATGACTTTCTCACCCATCCCAGTTTTGGGGGGTTGCTCTCAGCAACCCATACTACAGACCATTCAGCAGGACCCCTCTGGGGTAGCATTCCAGTATGGGAGGCTGAGGGGATCCCTGAAAATTGCCTGGAGGCACTTTTGGTGAGTAGAGTGGAAGCTGACTCTGATTAGGTTTTGGGGGTCCCCCCCTTAGCCCTCCTGTATCACAATGCCGTCCTCTTCAGTAGCACCCCCTGAACCCCAGGGGAGATATTTTGGAGAACAAGGGGAATGCTCGGAAAGGAGGCAGGGAGTCAATTTTCTTTGGCTCTAACCCAAGATTATTTACTTACTAAATTTATATCCTGCCCTTCCTCCCAAAAGGAGCCCAAGGAGGCAAACACACAAATGATAAAACTGTGAAAATCATCTAGAATATTAATGAGCTGTTCTCCCTTCCTCCTTTCCCTCCATCCTTTCTTTCCTCTTTTTGCCTCTTCTTCTCACATCTACCATTTTGTCTAGTTCCTCACTTTAATTTCCTTTGTCCAAGATCTGGAAAGAGAGCTGGTTCAAACAGTGAAGCCACTAGTCTGCATGGGTGATGCTGGAAGGTTTAACCAAAGGGAAACTTCAAGCTTGTTTATTTCTCCACCCCTCTCTGTGTGGGGAGACTCTCTGAACTCTAGTGTTGGAATACTGCCTAACGTCCTCCTGGTTTTTATCCTGCAGCGCCATGTCCACTGGGAGGGTCCGAACAAAGAAAAAAACACCTCCTGTTGACCATTCTCCTGATAATCTTCCTCTGAGAAGTTCAGGGAGACAGGTACCTTTCATCAATTTCATTCACAGGGTTGCAAGCAGGGTTGTGTATTATCTACTTAGGAAATGAAGAGTATTGTAGTCCTATGCATATTAGTCTGCAGTGTCCTGTTGATTTCACAGCCAGGCAGTGATCTTACTTACAAGTTGATGTGCATGACATTGCAGCCTTAATGGTGAACGTGCTGTTGAGTTTTCCCAAGCAAAATTGGAGCTCATCTTTGGCATAATGTAATGGGCTGTTGTTTTGGATTCTTCCTTGTTTTGGACTGTTCCCTGTTCTGTGTGTGAAGGTAGTTATGACACTTCTTTGGTTTTTATTTTTTCTGTATTTCCATGTGAATGCAAGTTGCATGCAATATTGCTATCTTTTTGAAGGATTTCCCCACCATCCCCGGGTCTAGATTTATTTTGTACTGGAATACCTTTCTATCATGGATTGGAAATCCATGCCTCTCCAGAAGCTCAAGTTTCCATCAGTCCCAGCCAGCATGGCCTGTTGCCCAGAATTATGGGACTTGTAGTTCAGCAATATCTGGAGGGCTAAAGGTTCCCCATCCTTGTTCTGTAGGAAAACACAATCAGTGTAACTGTCCTCCATCACTATTGCAACAGAAAGCCTCACCAACAAAGACTGCTGAATATATCATAAATCTGTTGTGACCTTTTTGTTCACACAATTGTGTTCTTTTAGGTGAGGAGGAAAGCTGCAGAGGCAGCCGAGGATGATGAAGATGCCTCAGAGAAGAAGTACAGAAAATGTGAAAAGGCAGGATGTACAGCAACATGTCCCGTTTGCTTTGCCAGCGCTGCTGAAAGGTTTGGGCTCCTCTGTCTTCCCCCTTCACAGTCCCAAGGTTTCAGAAAGTGATCTTCAGCTTGATAGATTTCATTTCTGGTTTGTCTGAGTGAATTCTTATGACTATTATTAATGGAGGGAAGTGGATGTATGCTCCTAGGGGAAGGTACAATAAAAGCAGCTTAAAAAGTAGTTAGAAACCAAACAAACAAAAAATCCCAGATATATATTTTAAAGCACACACAAAAGATACAAAACAGGCGGAGACCCATTCATCCTCCTGGGAAGTCTTGTTGGAACATTTTCCACCCCCATCATTCAGCCCAGACACTGAGGTCCAGCTCCGAGGGCCTTCTGGTAGTTCCCTCACTGCCACATTACAGGGAACCAGGCAGAGGGCCTTCTCGGTGGTGGTGCCTGCCCAGTGGAACGCCCTCCCATCAGATGCCAAGGAAATCAAGGAAACAACTATCTGACTTTTAGTAGACATCTGAAGGCAGCCCTGTTTAGGGAAGTTTTTAATGTTTGATGTTTTATTCTGTTTTTAATATGTTGGGAGCCACATTATTATTATTATTATTATCATCATCATCATCATTATAAACTGCTAACGTGTGGCAGTCTAAAGTATTTTCAAATTGTAGGACAAAGCGTATCCTTTCGATAAATGTAATCTTTTCTGATTTCTTCTGTTTTAGGTGTGCTAAAAATGGCTACACATCAAGGTGGTATCACCTCTCCTGTGGGGAACATTTCTGTAATGAATGTTTTGATCATTACTACCGAAGGTATTCTTTCTCTTTTTTGAAGTAATTGCTTTTTTTAAGGGGTGGGGACAGGATGCAACCAAAAGTGTGTTAATTCAATGGCAAAGCATTTTAATCTTGATCTGGTTAAAGAAATAAGATATGGAAGGTAATATACATAATTGCTGTGCTTTGCTACCCATTGTGATTTAGTTTTGAAATGAGGCTGAAAACAACAGTGCTGCTTTTATAATGGCCATAAATTGTAGGGGTTTGAATTTATCAAGAAATGTCAGCAGTGTCTGGGGGATTGATACTCGCATAATAACCTAACAGCTTCCTTTTCAAAGCAACTCTGGGCAATGAATGCTTTAAAAGGCAGTGATGAGGGAGTGTATTCTTTTAAAAAGATATACAGTCGTGCCTTGGTTTTCAAATAGCTTAGTTCTTGAACGTTTTGGCTCCCGAACGCTACAACCCCAGAAGTGACTGCTCTGGTTTGCAAATTATTTTTGGAAGCCGAACATTCAACATTTCTGAATGTTTAGGAAGTTGAATGGACTTCCGGAACAGATTCCGTTTGACTTCCAAGGTACGACTGTATTGGCTGTTTGTAGGAAGCTGGACCAGCTAAGTATCTACACTCTCAGGATGACTTTAATAGGCCTTTCTGTCTGTTGTGAACTGCTGAACATTTTGACAAAATGCTCTCAGCTAGAAAATACACAAAGCAACATCAGTACACTGGGCAAAAACGGTTTCTTGGAACACAGGCTGTCTGCTAATGCCAGGTTGCACAGGGAGACCCAAGTTTTGGGAGGGAAGCTATTCCAACAGTGAAGCCATTGTATAGATTTGGGTATCCATAATAAGGACACCTAATTTATCAGATTAAACAAAATAAAAATCATGCACAATATTGCCTTGAAGTTGAGCTTTGCAACTTCTATGCTTGCTTAGGAAACCAAATACTGTGGCCAGGATCATGTTGTCTTAATATCTATTTATTTTTCTAGGCATTCCATGTTTGGGATGAACTGTCTATTAAAATATACCAAACCATGTGTACGCAATTCCTTCCCTCTACTTAACATTTCCTTTGTCCCTCCTTTTAGTCATAAAGATGGCTACGAAAAATACACTGCCTGGAAAAGGATTTGGACCAGTAATGGAAAAAGTGAACCCAGCCCTAAAGCTTTTATGGCTGATCAACAGCTCCCTTACTGGGTGAGGGCTTTATTTATGATGACATAACACTGTGAAAGTAGTGCATGTTCATTTTTTATTTCCCTTTGCAGTACGTGTGTTTGAAGGAAGTGTTAAGCAATGGATTTGATTATTGTTGTTATTGTTTCAACCTTGGGGTTGAAAGTGAAAATAATATGAAGGAAGCATACAATATTTGGCAGCAGGCCACATGTCTTGTGTATGCAGAATGTACAGTGGTACCTCGAGTTACATACGCTTCAGGTTACAGACACTTCAGGTTACAGACTCCGCTAACCCAAAAATAGTACCTCAGGTTAAGAACTTTGCTTCAGGATGAGAAGAGAAATCATGTGGCAGTGGCACGGCAGCAGCGGGAGGCCCCATTAGCTAAAGTGGTGCTTCAGATTAAGAACAGTTTCAGCTTAAGAACAGACCTCCAGAACAAATTAAGTACATAACCCGAGGTACCACTGTACCAGGTTCAAACCCTGACATCTCCAGGTGAGGCTGAGAAAATCATCTGTCTGAAATTCTGGAAAGTTGCTACCAGGAGACGACACTGAGCTAGCACATGAAAGAAACAAACCATACCTGGTTTAGCATTATGCCTAAACCAGGGATTTTCACTTATTTCACTCCAAACAGACCACAGAATTAAGCAAAGGTTTCTTCTGGCTTACTGAATGTGATATGTTTGGAGCAAAGTGATCTCTAGTCTGGATGTAACTTTAAGCCAGAGATTGTGGTTCACTTCTCCCCAATAGTATACTGGTAGGAGGGACTGAAGCAGTCATGATCAGGTATAGATGAAGAAGTATAGGTTATATGGTGATAATTAGAAAAGAAGGGGTTTTTGATTGGTTGTGGAGCTTACAGAACCTCAAAATGATTATCCTTCTTTCCTGAGATGGGAGTGGATCATGGGGTTCCAAGAGCAGTTAGGATTTCAGTTAGGGCAGTTGGAAGCTGCAGGCTAAAGAGAAAGAGAGAATCAGAAAGGTGAGGGAAGGAGTACAGTACTTGCCTAATAACCTATATGACTGTAAGATCTGCGCCTTGCAGTTTAGGGAGGAAAGGCTTTCATAAATTAGAAAGGCAACATTTTATCTACAGGCTGATCATCCCAACAGTTAGCTTTTCACTTCCTGCTGGATGAGCTGCCATGCAGTCTGCACACTTTTGGGGGAATCAATTGGTTGAATAGCCTCTGATTTACCTCTTCTGAGAAAGGAAGGGTAAGTCAGCTCAAAATGCACATTCATACGAAGTTGGTGGAGAAAATGTAGGCACAGCTTGCATGTCTGCTGCTTAAGGAAGTCTTTCTGAAATTTTGAGAGACCTGTCTCTGATCTTATTAGTGTGCCTTTGTTTCTGGATGTACCAAGCAACTTCGTCGTTTTATCTCTAGGTTCAGTGTACAAAGCCAGAGTGTGGGAAATGGCGGCAGCTGACAAAGGAAATCCAGCTTACCTCGCAAATAGCCAAAACATACCGCTGTGGCATGAAACTGAACAATTCCACCAAGGTACCTTCAACCCTCAAATGTACTGAAAATGCAGGTTGGTTTGGTTGTTTCTAGAGGCTGACGGGAGCCCCAGGCTTAAAACAATTGTGCAATGTTTATTTGGAGACACCCTTGTACTGCTGCAGTACACACAAGGATTTACATGCATTTAAAACTCTGTGAGGGTGGCACCAGAAAACTGGCAGGTGGGTGGGAAAGCTTGACACCACCTTCCCTGGCCACCTTTCCGCTCTACCCCTTCCCAAAGCTGCCTTTCTCTTGGGGTTTTTAAAACATACCATTGAGTGGAATTTGTAGTTTGGCCCTAAGTGTCATGGCTTTTATTAACAGAACTCATGCCATTTCTTCAGTGTTCCACTTACATGCAAGTCAGAGGAGCTATCCTGTTGTCTGAAAGTGTTGTATTTGTTTCAGGTGGAAGGCCCAGACCATTGCTCCATGCCTGAGGATCTGGTAAGCAATGTTTTAGGAAAGTCCTGCACGTGGTATCAGAATGAATTGTAAGTGTGAGAAACACAGTGGTGCAGGCTTAGTAGTAAATACTGTTTGGGTAACATTCTGACTTTGGAACTGGAGACTTTAAGAAAGAGCCTAGCTGTTGCTTAAGGAAAAGGCCAAAGACATCTCAAGCTATTCAGCTTATTAGTAGGGTGTTTGTGTGACTAGAATTATTGTACTGTGTTTAAACTGTGAGGAGCACCTGTATGTTATTTCTTTTTTTAAAAGAGCAAAACAGAAAAGCTCTACCTTGATAGTTGCCCTTGCAAAATTTCAACTCTCAGACCTACTGCTGTTTTGTTAGATTGTTAGCCGCTTTGAGACTCCTTAGGGTAGTGATAAAGTGGGATATCAAATCCAAACTCCTCTTCTTCTACTGCTGTTTTGTTAGTGCAAATCACCTCAAAGCGATGGGTGGTTGAGAGCCACATCACCTAGTCCCATATTAGACTTCTGACCAATTAGAGTAAGCTACATTGCTATGGGAAAGGCATTTTCATGTAGAAGCTTCCCTACACTCCTGGTAGAGCACTCAGAAATGGCCTGTGTCTTTTAAGTGTCATTGGGACTGAGAGATAATATGATAACAAAAGCTTTAATTCTTCTTCCTGACTTTTTCCTCCACTCCTTCGTAGAGAGTTGCTGAAGTTTCAGATCACTGGTGGTATTCCATGCTCATCCTTCCACCTTTGCTGAAGGACAGTGTGGCTGCTCCTTTGCTGTCTGCATACTACCCAGACTGTGTGGGCATGAGCCCCTCTTGTACCAGTACTCACCGGTTGGTTGGTGAATCCAATGCAATAAAAATGGAGCACTTAAAGACTCCACCTACTATAGCTGGTAAGTGACGAGTACTTTTCTGCCCTCTCCTGGTAGCTATTGATAGCCTTATTTTCCATGGTACGAGAGTATTTTTTCTATATTAACGTGAAATAGAATGTCTTGTCTTCTCAAGAATGAGACTGACCATCAACCATGTATACTTTGTAATATTTGTCGTTTATATTTGTGAGCATGTAGTATAAGCATATTCTTCCTGTAAGCAACACTTTGGTGCATATACTCGAGGTCCACTAAGGAGTTTTGGGCAGAGAGATCTGTAAGCACCATAAATAATTGTTGTAAGCAGAAGCCATGGTTCTTATGAGCCCTTCCTTACCCAGTATTATCCTACTATATGTTGCAGGCACCTGTAATAGAGTTCACATTTGTATACATGCCCTAGAGCTTTGTGCCTTTTTATTAAGCTACCGTGACGGCTCACGGAGATGCTACATGCAGCTCATTCCGTGTTGTATGTTGCCTTCCAGGGATGAACAAGTACTTCCAGCCTTTCTACCAGCCCAACGAATGTGGTAAAGCACTGTGTGTGAGACCAGATGTAATGGAACTAGATGAACTCTATGAGTTTCCAGAATATTCACGAGACCCCACCATGTATCTAGCTCTGAGAAACCTCATTTTGGCTCTGTGGTACACAAACTGCAAAGTAAGCATAGCTGAATGTTTGCCCCCAAAAGATTATCATCTCAACCTAAACTTCCCTTGTCCTGGTTTCCTTCTCCCACTCGCTCCATAGACAAGGCCTTCTCAGTCATTATGGTTTTTGCTTTTCAGTGGGGGAGGACCCCCCCCAACCCATCCCATTTCAGTCCTGCTGGCCCTGCAGCAATTGGGATTTTTTAGAGCAGGGATGGGGAACCTGTGGCTCTCCAGATGCTGGGCATCTGTCTGTCCAAGCCAGTATGGCCAATGGTCAGTGATGATGGGAGTGGTAGTCCAGCAACATCTGGTGGGCCACAGGTTCCTCATCCCTGCTCTAGAAGTCCTGCTGCAGCGGGAGGGTGGAACTCTGCTCATGGTAAGACAAAAGGTTGCAGTGACTGACCAGGCCGTGCCTTTGGAGCAGATGAAATAAAACATCACAAGAAACCCTCCATCTGCTGAGGAAAACAAGGCTTCATGGTGAGGCCTGTGTTCCTTTCGTCCCTCCTTAAGTACGCCTTCACAATGTGATCCAGATTCCCAGGTGTGCAGATGGTGCTTTTCCATACAAAGCTGCCCTGTTTCATGCTTTTCAGTACACAGGTACATGACTGGAAGTTTACTTGATTGGTTGTCACTTTGTTGATCTGGGAGGTGTAAATTAGCTGTTGAGCTTCACCATCTGAAGGACAGTTTGCTATATTGTTCCAGCAGCAGTCAAATTCTTGCCTCTCCTCCTTTCCCCCAATCCTTCAATTCACAGGAAGCCCTAACCCCTCAGAAATGTACGCATCACATCATTGTTCGAGGCCTTGTGCGCATTCGCTGTGTGCGGGAGACGGAGCGAATACTTCATTTTATGACCAGGAAAGGTCTGATTAACACAGGAGTCTTGTCAGTTAATCCTGACCAACCCCTTCTGCCCAAAGACTACCATAATGTAAGTATTTTAAAATACAGAGTACTAATAAACTGGTTCTAGGAGATTCTGATGGGACAAGGAGGGTGAAGGGAGAAAGGACTCCTTTTAAGGGTAAAAAGTGAAAGAGGGGTTGGCCTTCTAGACCTCTTGGTCAGTGTCAAAACTCTTCTTCAGGGGCTCATGGCTTCTCAAGAACTGTCAACATCGGCATAGACAAAATCATCTGCTGTCGTTCAGCTCAGGCTAGGATACTTTCTCTTCACTGTCCTCATTTTTGGTTGATATTGTAGCACTTGCTCAGCTTCTCCTAATGAAACCCTTCAGCAGGAACAGAATTTTATCTGAACAATGTTTCAAATTGTTCTGAGACTTGCTTAGAAAAAACAGTCTTGCTAGTCTCAAAAGAATGCTAGCATCACTAGTTTACTTTTCTTCTTCATTTAAGAAATCTGTCATTGTGGTTGGGGCTGGTCCTGCTGGATTAGCAGCTGCAAGACAGCTTCAGAACTTTGGAATTAAGGTGAGACTTTTTCAAATAAAGTATAGCATTTCAACATTTCTGTCTCCTCCTCTTCTGGCATATCTACACTTTGCTGCTGCTACCTGAGTAAGAAAAAGAAAGGGCCTGTTCTCAGAGTCCAGATGTCCTGGGAAAGTGCCTTAATTTGTTTAAAGGCTGAGCTTGAAATAATTATGAGGCTAGGGTTTGTTGCATGATTTGTTGCAGCTTATACAGTATTTGGGCATGGAGAATGGTAGGCATAGCTTGTCTGCTCACAGTATCCACCTTTTAAGGAGGAACTTAATGTCTTCACTTGGGAGACGGATTTTCTGCCTCTGAGGTTTAGGATTCACCAATTAAAAACTTGGTGAACTCCTAGCATAATGTTCTATTATTGATTGACCACCTTGGCATTATTTGGTTAACTGTGGAAAGATTGTTGTTTCATAGCAGTGTGTTCCTTACCACCGCTGCTTCTTTTGTATGTTGCAGGTTCTTGTGCTAGAAGCGAAGGACAGAATTGGGGGCCGCGTGTGGGACGATAAGACTTTCAAAGGGATCACTGTGGGAAAAGGGCCACAGATAGTGAACGGCTGTGTCAACAATCCAGTAGCACTAATGTGTGAGCAAGTGGGTTTGCATTTTTATTCATGAAAACATTGTCCTTCTGAAGCTTAATATACACTGATCCTTTTAAACTTAACTTTCTTATTAGAGAGGTTTTTCAGGCAGCTCAGAATCCACATCCCACTCAAGCTACAGGTGTATTGGGTCACTTTGGGAAAGTAACTGTTCTTCAGCTTTGTTTTACTGTGTGTGAAAGAGATACATTAAAGGTCTAATTGTAGGGTTGTAAAGAGGAATGAGGTAATGAAAGGTGGTTACCGTCCTTAGGAGCAGGAAGTTCTACAAATAACATTTGAAAACTTTGCTAAGTGTTTCAATCAGGCTTTCTGTTCATACATTTTTCTTCTTCTCTCACATGATACTTTGCTTGAAATAATACAATGAGTTACCTCACATATTTAGGGAAGCTAGCAATTTGCTGTAAAGAACAGAATAATAGTCTTTTCAAGCGCTAGTCCACCTACTACTTAGAATGGTGATTCTTCAGAGTTGATGCTTACTATAATAAATGAAATAATTCTGATTTCTGTAATATAAAACCCTCACTGAAGATGTTTAGCTTTTATTGGTTGGTTGGTGTTGACATCAATGAAAATTGCAGTCCTTTGGGAGGGATAGAAATTTAACAAATAAACAATAAAAATTAAGGTTTGCATCCCATGACAGTAACTGATTATCTACTTCCCCCACGTTCAAAATCCCTGTCTTTTTAAAGCTGGGCATTAAAATGCATAAAATTGGAGAGAAGTGTGATCTGATCCAGGAAGGTGGAAGAATAACTGACCCTACTATAGACAAGCGCATGGACTTCCATTTCAATTCTATCCTTGATGTTGTAGCAGACTGGAGAAAAGACAAAAATCAGCATCAGGATATTCCTCTTGGAGGTAAGTAGAAACAATGAAGAGCCACACGACACATAGTGCAATGGGGATAAAGGAGCACCTGTAGAAGTCGTCTCAGATATTTGTGCCAGCTCAGCTTTCACTTCTTGTATTTTGTTGCATTTGAATGACCTTTGACAGAAGATTGTGGGCTGCTCAGAGCAATTTCATTAGGCCCAGGGGGCAAACAGGATTTCCTGGGCCTAGTACCCTGTATGTCGCTATTGGCAATGACTGTTCTGTTACTAATATGAACAGTTATTTTTAATACATGGAAATGATTTAATAAGCATTTATTTAACAGATTTTTAACCTGCCTTTCTGAGTTCCTGCCCTCACAAGGCGTTTTGCAGCAATTGCAAATAGTTCAAATACCATAATTATATAACAGATAATTATGCAGTAAGTTTAGAACATTTATGTAACGTTAACAGACAGCAGCAGCAACTCAAATGGGGGAAATAGCTTTACGTCCTTTATGAACAATATCTCCCTGAAGAACAATAGCCAAGTGACAGCAGTAGATGTAGTGACATCATAAAGTGAATAAATTACTTGGAATACATTTTCCTCAGTCCCTGTTTTATTAATATGCAAACTAATTGACATTTTTAAAACTCCTACAACCAACCAACTTGGATTTCTTTAACCAAGTGACAGTCCCAGAAGAGATTATCCCAAATTGCACACAATTAGCAACATGCAGGAATTATTTCTGAGTATAGAATCTGGGAGAGTTGTAAAGAGTGTGCTGAGCCCTGAAAATAAAGTGTCTTGCTGTGGCCTAGCAGTGGTGAAGTTAATAGGCTGGTTTGCAGTCACTTTAAACCATAGTTGTGAATGAATGTGCAATGTGCTGGTGCACAGAATGAAAATCATTGCTGCTTAGCATTATTCCTGCTGCTGCTGCTGCATTGCTGGCAGCTAATTTGACCAAGCATTTTGTCCAGATACTCATGGTTTCTCTCTCTCTAAACAAACAATGAACTGTAACCAAGGTTTGTCCTCTACTTACCATTTAAGTTTTGTTGAGGAGGAAACAAACCATGAGCCTAGGTTCAGATGCTAATGTTAAGCCAAACCATGGCTTAGCTTCCAGCAGTTCAGCAGAAACAGGGGAGGAATGAAGCAGTCATGTTTTTGCTCCGTGCCCCATCACCCTTTAAATCACAGTGATGTGCAAACCAGGCCAGTGTATGAGTATGTTTGCTGGTAGCCCACATGTTTGTGAGAAAAGTGCTGCCCGACAATTAAGGAAGGACAAGGACTTTAAAGTGCTATCAGTTTCAGTGGAAAATACGTTAAGCATGCATTCAACTCTATTTTGAAATAGTTGTCACTTAAAAGTGTGGAACTTCATGCCCATAACATTTATATTTTGACGGGAGCAGCGGGAACTATTCTGGTAGAGCTTCATTTTAAAATTTAACAAGAACACTTAAAAGTAGGGTGAAATTGTAAGGAAAAAATGATTATTTATTGATAACAATTGGATATATTATTTGCAGATAAAATCCAGGAGATCTATAAAGTTTTTATTCAGGAATCTGGTATTCAGTTCAGTGATCTCGAGGAAAAAGTCCTTCAGTTCCATGTCAGTAACCTTGAATACGCCTGTGGCAGCAACCTCCATGAGGTGAGCATGGGATGGACTTGTGCGACACTCAGGTGTTGAGTGTTCAAACTGTTCAGTGAAAAGAATTCTGTTCTCCTTACAGGTTTCTGCACGCTCCTGGGATCACAATGAATTTTTTGCTCAGTTTGCTGGAGATCACACGCTCTTAAACTCGGGATACTCAACAATAATTGAAAAAATGGCTGAAGGCCTGGACATTCGGTTAAAGGTTCCAGTAAGTAACAAAAAATGGACGAGAAGCCAGTTTGCTTTGATGTACCTTGGAGTAGTTCATCTTCCTAGTGTTTGGCTTGGTTCTCTTTGTCTTGGAACATACAGATGGTACTTAACCGCTTGAATTTTCCAAAGTTATTTCCAGTGGTGTCTCATTTATTAATCTGCTTTGGAACATATGAATGTTTCTTCTTATTGCTTATGCCTTCACTCTAGAACATTTTCCACATTCAGCATACTCAGTGTGTATTACAATATATCTATTGGATTTTTTATCTCAGGTAGTCAGAGATTTGCCAAAGATGACTGTATGAACTAGGTAGGATTTAGAATGCAGGAGCAAAACTTTAGAATCCATAATGCATAAAAGCAATGGAGTGAGTTTCAGCAATGGGGTGCTCAGATTCCCACCAGTACATAAAAATCTCTAGTGGAACATTGCTTGCATCATTCTCCTGATTGATCCTTCACATAATGCATTTACTCATGAGCAGTTAGCTTAACACTCCTTCCCCCATGTCTTTCATTGAGAACTCTTCTGCTATGAAGCTTACGCTAATGTCTTAGTGTTATGGATGATATTCAACATTGTGCAGGTGAAATTGCCCTTCCTGTTCTTCCACATGCACCCCCATCTCCTCATCTGCTCCAAAGGGTCCATCTTCAGAGCTGATTTGAGGAAAACGCAGGGGCTATAGGTGGAAGGAGAGGCAGTCCTTTTGTATAAGCAGAAGTCTGTTCCACTTGTAGATGAGGCACCACCATAGACAAATGCAGTGGTACCTCGGGTTAAGAACTTAATTTGTTGTAAAGGTCTGTTCTTAACCTGAGGTACCACTTTAGCTAATGGGGCCTCCCACTGCCACTACACCGCTGCCATGCAATTTCTCTTCTCATCCTGAAGCAAAGTTCTTAACCTGAGGTACTATTTTTGGGTTAGCAGAGTCTGTAACCTGAAGCATCTGTAACCCGAGGTACCACTGTATGTCTTTCACAACTCTGAATCCCCTTCTTCTTGTCAGGTTCGCAGTATAGACTATACGGGGGAAGAAGTCCAAGTGACTGCAACCGATGGAACTCTCTGGAAAGCACAAAAGGTGACGTGTCTCATCTTTCTCAACTTCTGCTATATATTTTCAAACATCACAGTAAACATCTTGTTCAAAGTGTTGTGTACAACTGGCTTTTTAAAGACTTGATGCCTCATGTTAAGGGGTAGCTTTCGCTGCAGCAGCTAAACAAGGGGTGCAAGTGAAGTGAGTTTCTCAACTTATCAAGCAGGACAGAGCTATTTATTGTGTTTCAGATGCCATATCACCAGCATACCTGCTTCCCGCATCCTTACAGCTGTAATGTGAATTCTTGACACATCTTTACATTTGTGCTAAGGAGCCGGTTGTGGGCTGAGTGCTGGGCAGGTGGTGAAAAGTGTGGGACAAAGTATCAAGTTGTCTTAAAAGCATGAAACTGAGGTTTTTAGTACCTACCTGGTGCCAAACCTTCCCAACCTGCCTGTGTTATGTTGAGCTACTTCAACTGTAGTATAATTAGGACTACTTTTCTCCCACCAGGTTTTAGTTGCTGTACCTCTGACTATTCTTCAAAAAAGCGCCATTCTGTTTAACCCAGCCTTGTCAGAGAGAAAAATGAAAGCTATCAATAGTTTGGGAGCTGGAGTCATTGAGAAGGTAAGAGTGCAACTTTTATATGACGATGTGAAGAGCAGTATGAGTGGCATTTGGTTTGTACCCGATCAGATTTGCTTTCCATAATCGGATCTGCTCAGAAATAACGAGATGACAAAGCATGGGTACATAGCAGTCCTTCATAAATTGAAATAAATAATCTTCAGGGTTTGTGATGGGTAACCAAAGTCTGCCTGTCCACCAGCTCTTGCAAAACAGATTAAAATTATGCCCCATTAAAACTGAAAATTTCCTCCATTTTGCCAATTTGAATCTCAGGTCTTCCATCACCCAACTCCTCATAGAAAGAAATGCAACTTAATTTTGTTTCCTGTGATTTGCACAGACTATCTTGACCAGAGTCTACCTACTATTAGTTTACAACAATCAGTAATAGCCCAATCCTATTTATGTGCAATTGCAATTATATCCTACTAGGTTCACTGAGGCCTACTTCCAAGTAAGCGTGCATAGAATTTCAGCCCAAATCAACAATGAGGTCATTCTTGTCTTTTTTCCTCTAGATTGCACTACAGTTTCCATATAGATTCTGGGACAGCAAGATTCAAGGAGCTGATTACTTTGGCCATGTTCCACCTAGTTCCAGCAAACGTGGACTCTTCAGTGTTTTCTATGACATGGATCCACAGGTACACATTACCTGAAGACTTAACACTGACCCTAATTGTTCTTCAAATAAGGAAACATGATGAGCTTTAAAATCACTTCTCTTCCCCTACCACCCTAGGAATTCGCCACCATTTCACAGTGCGATTAGTTTAAGATATATTTCTGGCAACTTTATCATTTTTTTAAAAAACAATTGCTCATTACAAGACAGAAGCTTTGAAAAGTGATGTGATACACTCAGTCAAGGAGAAACCTAAAAGGTGCCAGGAATCTTTCTTGTTCTATGGGTTGGCTAACATTAGTTTCAGAGAGGCTGTTAGTCATTTAGCAGAACTACAGTAGATAAAATGTAAGTGTCCATGTTTGTGTCTTGTTCTCAGCGTAAATGCAGTGTTCTAATGTCTGTTGTTACGGGTGATGCTGTGGCAACTATGAAGAACTTAGATGACAAGCAAGTGCTGCAACAATGCATGATTGTGCTCCGTGAGCTGTTTAAGGAACAGGTAGGCCTTGTTTTTTATTGACTCAAGCATAGATGAGACACCAGTTTCAAGTCTTTCACACTTAACTGAATTTATTAATAGTTGTAAATGGCTCTGATATTTGCATTATATGGATATATTTATTAACTAATATAATGTATAATAATTATAGTATATAACAGATAGCAACAAAAAGAGATTATGATGCGACTAAGCGTATTATCAAACTAAGTCATAGGAGTAAAGCAACTGAAAAAGACTTTGTAAATGACTGTACTTGGTATACGACTAACATTGGATATTGCTCTAAATGTCATAAATCTGGATTTATGTATTCTAAATAAGAAATAAATATTAAATAGGATGAAAGAAATGAAACAGCAGCTTGCCAAATTATTCCTATTTTTAATAGTTTGCCTGGGAACCATGTTTGTTGTGGCTTCCATACATGAAAACATTCTGCACCGGACCACTGGTGCATATAGAAGCAGTTTTAGAATAGAATCACAGATTTGGAAGGGACCCTGAGGGTCATCTAGTCCAACCCCCTGCAATTCAGGAATCTTTTGCCCAACATGAGGCTCAAACATGTGCCTGAGTTTAAGATTCTAATGAACTGAGGTTTCAGATAGGAGTTTTTCCCAGTCTCTGGAGAAGCCAGGAATTGAACTTAGGACCTGTTGCATGCAAATTCATGACACAGGACTCTACACGAGGATCTACAAAACTGACTACTTAAAAAAGGAGAGACAACTGTCCTGACATGTTTCACTTGGTTAGGCCCCCTAACCAACACTTTAATTCTCTAGCTGTTTATAATGGGACTGTCCATTGACTTTAACAGAACAACTTCAGAGCATGTGACCAGTCACTTAGAGCATCTGTGTGTGTTGACCTGGTGAATATATGTGTTCACAGATGGGTTGTATGCATTTCATAAGTAATTATTTGCCTATTGTTGTAATCCAGGAAGTGCCAGACCCAGTCAAGTACTTCGTTACACGATGGAACAAAGATCCTTGGATCCAAATGGCGTATAGTTTTGTGAAGACAGGGGGCAGCGGTGAAGCTTATGACATCCTAGCAGAAGACATACAAGGAAAAATATTTTTTGCTGGAGAGGTGAGATCTTGATTATGTACACTAAAAAAATTGAATTCAAATTCTTCTAAAATAAGCTACAAGCTAGAATAGGATGGAATGTATTCAGGGGTATGTTCAACTTAGGTTCTATTCAGAATAGACCCACTGAAATTACGTAATCAGCCTAAATTAACCATGCTTACTTCAATGGATCTACACTGAGTAGGACTAGCACTGGCTACAATCCAGTCTCTGAGAAAGCATTGCAGAAAACCAGTGAAATTCAGTTGCTAGTGTGCTGATCGGACTTCAGATCCTTTAAGAATATAAACAGCTGTTAGACTGGTTGTTCAGTCATCTGAGTGGCAGCAACTCTTCAGAAAAAAAAAACCTATGTAGGGGATTATACCTAGGACTAATATTACACACACACACACACACACACACACACACACACACACAGCGCCATTTCAATCTCACTTCAGGCCTTGCTTGTGGGGTTGAAACTGGTTTTGTTGTGCTGCTGAAGACATTCACCATGATATTCCTGTTGATTCTCCTGGAACTCTGAGGCACAGGATACTACATACAGTGGTAGTATGTGACTGGGCAAAATAATAATCTCTGCTATGAAAATTTCTCAACATGGAATAAAACACCCATTGTGGCTCGTGATTTATTTTTAAGATATAGATACGTAGACTATTTCATATATATCATTGGTAGAATAGATATTGACACTTCCTGTGTGAGTTTATACCAGGCTTCCTCAACCTCGGCCCTCCAGAGGTTTTTGGCCTACAACTCCCATGATCCCTAGCTAGCAGGACCAGTAATCAGGGATGATGGGAATTGTAGTCTCAAAACATCTGGTGGGCTAAGGGTGAGGAAGCCTGGTTTATCCATATTATGTGTCTGATGAGTGTAGTTCTATGTTCATATAAGAATTCCTCACATTATGTTTCTCTTTTTAAATAGGCCACAAACAGACATTTCCCACAGACAGTTACTGGAGCTTACTTGAGCGGTGTTCGAGAAGCAAGCAAAATAGCAGCATCTTGAATACTACACTACTGTTTACAGATTTTCTTTTAAGAACTTCCTCAAATTCAAAATTCAAGTTTCAGGGTTACTATTATTGCTCAAGTGGTGCTTAATTCTTTGGTACCTAAAGAGACAATCCTTTTTTCTTCCACTTTTTTCATCTTTTCCATGATGTTGATGTTTTATCAGCACAGCATGCTAAAGGAACTGTTATTTAAAAACACTACCAGCAGATATTCAAGCTCATTAACCTCTGAACTTCATTTTTGTGACCTATTTGAGATAGATGATTTATATTGTCAAAGGGTGAAATGTGTCAAAGGGTAAACATGTGCTTCAAGGACTGTTAAATAACCCACGTTTTCAGATAGTGGGTCAACAAGATGGCAGGTGACTCCAATCAAGTTTTGAAAAATGTATTCTATTTAAACTAAATTGTTGGAAGTGTACACAATCATTGGGCTTGCTGGTGTTTTTTTTTTTAATGAAAGAAGATATCTAAAACCAACCCTAACCATTACTTACCCAGAGGAAATGTCACAAAAGCATCTCTTAATGTGTATACTAGGATGAGGGCTTAGTATTTGCTGATCATGTAGATGGACCAGAAAAAAATGTTTGTTTTGTGGCCATTTCCTTTTTGTGTGCAGTGAAATTTCTAAATCATAGCAGCTGTGTAGGTGCAGTCATTTATATAATTGTGAAAGCATGTTGAAGGTCACGTAGTTGAGCAAGCCGTTCAACTTTCTTGCTTAAAAATGAGGTCAAATGATTACTTTTTATGAAGGGTTAAAATTATGTAGCCTCATTTTAATGGGAGAGATTTAAGTAGACTGAAATCAGTGAGACTTGAAAATACTTAATGAGGCTGGGTTGTACCCATAGTTGTGAAAAATTACCTAGAAGAAAAAGATGATTTAACTAAATAATTCACTTTTAAGTAGTTGAAGATACTAATGTATACACATAGTTCATTCATCAGCTAACTTTTGCTTTTCATTATGAAAAAATAATAGTGGGAATTTCAATATGGAAGCATGGGCAGTTTTACTTTCTAAAGAAAGCCTCAGAAAATGTGTGATTACTACCCCTGTGTGTTTTGCTATAATATCTTACTTTGTAACATCATATTGAGAAAGATTTAAAAGTTATGCTGTTAGGAAATCATCAAGCTTTTCTTATAGTTGAACTGCTATTATTTCACTAAGTTGCTTAATAGGAAGTATAACTCTCTGAGAGCTTATAGTAAGAAATGTAAAGTATGAAAATGGAATGCTGATTTCCCCCCATCATTTACTCTTCTTTTCAAAAACTGAAAACATGTGAATACCTAGCTAAAATAAGCCAATTGGCCCATATCTAAAACTAATTTTGTTGGTGCATCTAGCTATTGTCTGAAGTGCAATTTTTATTTAAAAATGGAAACTTGTGCTTGGGAATAGTTGAAGGCGTGAGTTTGAGCAGAGATATTAGTCATGACTGTAAGGATTTTGTAGTAATCAGCATTAAGACAAGATGAAGAGTCATACTGTAAATGTGAAACCATTTACTGTATAAAGTACCTGTAAATTATTACATTACAGAAGTGTTTAAACAGCAGGACCTGTTGTCCATAAAAAGAAAAAGCTTAGTTAAGATATGGAAACTACTTTTTTTACATTTATTTAAAAATGTCAGAGTTGGTGGGTTCACTTTGAACAATTGATCCCAAAGAATTAAAAAATAATCATGTGAAGCTTATTTTTTAAGCATGGTCATTTTCTATTGTGTACATACAACTTATGCCTTGTACATCTAGGGGGAAAAATCTCCTTGCTGTGGAGCATGATGTTCAAAGTGACTTATTGGTAATGTAATAAACTGGAAAATGCTAAGTCAGTTGTGTTGCTAATTTCTAATCAAATAGTAAAGGCAAACTGTACCCATGTACCTAAAATGCATTTTATATGGATTTATAACTCATCGCCTCCTGGAAAATGCAGAGGATGTCAGTCTCAAAACAATTACTTCAGTTATTAACTCGGATGACAAATGTCTACTCCACTGCTCCTTTCTGACGATCCTTTCAAAGTAATAGTATTCTGCTAGAGGGAACAGACTTTAGGGCCAACCACATTTCCTGGAACAGGCGAAGATTCCATGTCAGATGGCAGCAATACTCCTCAGCAAAGTTCACTTCCTTCCAATCTGATGGAAGAAGGTGGCAATAATTCTGAAATTGCCTTCCACACTTGTTCCCAGCCTAGCAGGCCATCACTTCAGGCCCACTGGGCCTTAAATGCCATGCAATCACATCCATTGCCACAGCTCATCTGCCACTTCTGGGAGTTTGTGCATCAATCGGACACACATAAAACGGTCACTGCCTGTTCCATACATCTACTCAAGGTTAAGTAAGGGTTTGATGTGTTCACACCTCTAGCACAGATTACGCCTCAACATTTGGGTTTGGAATACTCTTGTATCTTATAAAGCAAGGTGATACACAACAGGCACCTTTGTTTCTGTATCATTTTTTTACTGTACATGTATTAAAATATCAAAATATACATTTTTCTTAAAGACATTTATTGAATACAAAACTTAGTTACACTCAGCCTTAATATAAAGGATCACATGCAAAGAAAGCAGTAAAAATGATAGATTGATCAACTTACTAGTTGCCGACTAGTTTCAGAACATAGGTCTGTGACTTTTGACTCCTGAACAATACATTAGCAGAACTTATAATCAATACAGTAATGGAGGGGGCTAGTTACATTTCACATTATGACACATACTTGTTTGGCATTTATTGAGAGCTTTAAGTCATGATCATGTGTGCACATTAACAAAAGGTTTCATGAAACTTTTCATTAAATAAAACTTCATGAACAATTGTTTGCAAAACTGAGGTTTTAAATTTCAAAGCTTACACTGAATCAAAGCAGCAGGTGTCTATTAATACATTTAAACACCTATTCATTTATCAACATAGCCTAATTTTGGATACAGACACAGGAAACCTGTCCAGTGGATACCACAAAGATCGTTAAGTTATTCCTTACCATAAGGGAGCTTGATTTTAGAGGGATTCTAGAACAGCTGAACACCAAAAATTGCATATGAACTTAGCTCACATACCTTCAGAGAAGATTCTTATACTTACTGCAATTCTCAAAGCTGTTTTGGTTTTTCCTATGGATTTATTTAGTATGTAGGCTCAATAGAACTGTTGGGAAATGTACTTCAAAGTGAAGGCTACACCTTTACCTGCCTCCCACTTGACATCAGTTATGTGTGGGGCTGGGCAAGTGGGCATAATTTGGAAGCAGTCCCCTGCTGGACCTAATTAGACCAACAGGGTAGAGGTTTGTCACCCTTTGGTGTAGGGTATCATGTCAAGCCTTTGGAACAAAATTAGCTGTAGTCCACTCTAGCAAGTTAAACACTGAAAAATATGAGTGCAATTATTCCCTTATAAGGCAAGAAACACCATCTTTTTAAATGCTAGTTAAACTTGTTTCCTAATTAATTTCAGCCTCATTCCTGAACACTGACACTGGTCATAAATCTTCTAAAACACACTGATTTTTTTAAAAAAACCGACAACCTGTTTTTAAGCATATATATACAAACAGAACACTTTTAAAAGTACAAAAATAACAATTTGCAAGTTACTATGCTCTTCACAATTCTCAGATATCTTACACATGCAAGATAGTATAACATAATTTAGAGCATTCATGATCAGGACATGTGACTTCTTCCTGAATGAATGGTATGTATTCAAATTAAAAGTAATGCCCAATACTGCAGTATTTGACAGTCTTAGCATGTGTACATACAGATACAACAGTTTTCGTATCAACTGATTTTTTAAAAATTCTCTGCATTACAATGCACTAAAACCTACAATAGCTATATTAAATCTGCTTGTACAAAGAAATTCCATGATGTACAAAGTAAAAGCAGGGAACATTGATGGCCATGCAAAAACCTAAGAACTGCATTAAATGCAATTTTTAAAAGTTAAAGTAATTTCCATTAACACTCAGAACATTAAGCCAGTAGAATCATCCCTGACTAAATACTATGTTATGCCCACCCAAAAGGGCGAAACAAAACAAAAATTAAAAAAAGGTTTTGCTGGTGTTTGTAAAATATTTAAATCCACGGGAACAAGTCTGCAGCATTCGTTTTCTTCCCATTAGATCATGAAATGAGCTAAAAAGAGAAGAGTTTGTGTACTTTTAATCTTTAACCTACTTTGTAAATCCCACTTCCCACAAACACATTGCTAGGGCTGCCATTCTAACAGCTTGCTTGGAAGGAAGTTCCAGGGGAATTGATGGGACTTACTTCCAAGTAAATATGGCTAAGGATGGACTACAGGCCTTTAAGGGTACACTGTGAAACGTTAGATAAGGGGGACTATCTTAAAGTTACTTTAAATTTATTGAGTTGAAACTAAGCATAATAAATGAGTAAACTTTGGGTGGAATTTCAGGAACTGAGATCTTCCTAGGTACCCAACATTTCCAAATCTAAAGAGCAGCTTTTAATATTTGGATCATCACATGATATTTCATTGATCAAGTATTTACCTCTTTCACAGTCTTTTTGATGAAGACTTTTCTGTCAGACAAGTCATAACTGGGATAGCTTTCATACACCTGTAACAACCAATTTAACACAAAGGTAAGTCAAATAGTACATTCCAAACATTCTCCCAATGACTAAGGGTCAAACTGGTTGTACCACAAACAGTATCTCATTAGTTTTTAAAAGGTAAGAATCTGGATTGGGACTACTGCATTTGGGGAGGCTGCTTTTTAAAGCCTCATTAAAATTGTTCCCTCCCCCAGTTTGCACCACAGAAGTCAAATATTCAAAGCATAGTTAACCATATCCTTTATATGTCATGTCTGACTCCACTCCACTTTTCCAACATAACATAAAGACTTATACTTACTTGCAAATATTTCTGTTCTCTAACCTGACTCTCACTATGCATGTAGAAGTGTCTAATACAGTGGTACTTCGGGTTACATACGCTTCAGGTTACACACGCTTCAGGTTACACACTCCTCTAACCCAGAAATAGTGCTTCAGGTTAAGAACTTTGCTTCAGGAAAAGAACAGAAATCGGGCTCCGGCGGCGCGGCAGCAGCAGGAGGCCCCATTAGCTAAAGTGGTGCTTCAGGTTAAGAACAGTTTCAGGTTAAGAACACACCTTCAGAACAAATTAAGTACTTAACCTGAGGTACCACTGTATAACTTTTGCAATTTAAATGTGAGTACCAGAATGGAGAGATTGCTTGTTTATTAAATTGAAGCATCTCCCTTTACTTTTGATATTGCAAGGGAGGTATAAAAGGTAGATATAATATCCAAATAGACGCTTTTGTGTCAAAATTAGGACTAAGAAGACCCAGAGTCAGTTCTCTGATCCACCTTGAAGAACCCTTAGATCACTCACAGTTTTTCAGTCTAACCTTCACAGTTTTTTTGCAAGGACAGAATAGGGATTGTTTATTGCCCTGCCCTGAGCCCTTGGAGGCAAAGCAGGCTCTGGAGAAACTAGGGGGTGACATGGGACCTATGCTAGTTATCTTTCAGGGGTTAACCTAAATATATTTTACTACGTTTAGTATAATTATACCATACTGTGATAATGGGATTATGACTGCCCCCTAGGAAAACAGACAGCATAAACTGAGTTCACTTGCTTCTTCCTGCACCAACAAGAAAGCATAAGAATCTATGAAATGTGCATGCATTTTTACATTTGACTCTAAAGGTTTCTAACTGCAAACCAGTGATGGGGGGGAGGGGGAGACAAATCTTCACCGCTTCATCTTTCTTCAGATAATTAACAATGTGAAAGTAGCAATTAATGGATACCAACTGCAAATCAACATTAGGCAAGGTTGGCAGTTTCGTGTCTATATAAAATGCAGTACAGTGGTACCTCGGGTTAAGAACTTAATTCGTTCTGGAGGTCCATTTTTAACCTGAAACTGTTCTTAACCTGAAGCACCACTTTAGCTAATGGGGCCTCCTGCTGCCGCTGTGCCACTGCCACGCGATTTCTGTTCTCATCCTGAAGCAAAATTCTTAACCCGAGGTACCATTTCTGGGTTAGCGGAGTCTGTAACCTGAAGCGTCTGTAACCCGAGGTACCACTGTACAAGGAAAACTAACATGGCAAATGAGATCACTCCCCAGGTATCTCCAATTTACTCTCCCCAGACCACATCTTCCTCCAGTTTTTTTGAATGTGTCCTTGAAATGTTATAATGTCCCTTGCTTGCCTGGATCAAGATATATGAGCAGAAACCTTTGAATTTTCTTTGGACAGACTGTACCCTATACTTTTGTACAAATATAAAATTACATCTGTTGCACCATCCACCGCTGGCAAGTGGCCCCCAGAAGGTTCCCCACTCGGAATATGGCCCTTATGCTGAAAAAGGTTCCTCATTCCTGCTTTAGGGCCACAGGGAGTTTTCCAAATTTCCCTAATTTGCAAAGGAAAACTTTCCAGAAAAACCCACATTACTGCTGTAAACTGCAAGCAAAACAACGAAAGTGGAAAACTAATGTCATAAATCTGTACCTCTTTACAAATTTGTTTCATTGTAACTTCCTCTAGGTTTGCATTTGCCAGAAGCTTCTTCACTGTTTCTTTCAGCTCTTCATCTGTAGGTGGCTTTTTCAACTTTTTAATTAAAGGCTCATCATCCGAACTATCCTCTGACTCACTTTCTAAATGTAAAGATATTTTTCAATTAAAATGTGGATAATGATTTCTTTCCAATTAAACATTTTCACCTGGACCAAAAAACTGAATGACTTAGTTGTGTTCAAGCACTTTTGAACTTGGGCTTCTCAAATGACAGCTGCCAAGACCAGCTAGCAAGCTTCTTTGGAAATGGAGAGAAGTTTCAAAAACTATTTATGGGGTTGTGGTTTCCCTTCTCTCTGCTCACATATCCCAGCATATCCCCTATTTGTTACCTTTGATCTCCCAACTCTACCTACCTACCACTAAAGGTCTCCTGCTCCCTTAAAACCATTGGCCATTTCACCATTGCTGCCACCTACCTCCTCCCTGGGGTCCCTACAAAGCCAGGGAGGTCACTAAATCAATCACTTAGCTACTCTACTGAGTCCAGGCTTTCTATGATTAAGTGCATGCACACAAGGTATGAAGGGTGATGTATATTAACCTTAAAATCCACCCAGACCAGAACAGGCAGTTAAAACATATATTAGGGAACATAATACCTAGAAAAAGCAGCCGCTTAATATAGAACGCTCAGTTCTAATGCCCTATCTTAACAAAACTCTCTTCTCCTTAAAAGCCATGCTAACTCTAACCATTTGTTTCCTCTCATTTCGTCTCTTCAGCCACTCTTTTTAAACTGTTGTTCTCAACCGACGCTCTTCACCTGCCGCTTGCTCTCACTCCTCCCAACATTCTACCACAATGCCCTGCTGTCAAACATTCTTCCATTCACTTTTCTGTCTTTGTTACAAAGCATGCATCTTTATGCCCCCCCCCCACTTTATGTAAGTATGTATAATTGTATTTGTATATACTCTTCTGTTCTTGTCCCTGTCTGCTTGCAGGACCCCAGAAAGATAGGTTCACCTTTTTTAGAATTGTTCTGATTCTTCTTGGTTGTGCTGCTATCTGCTTTCTTGACGTAAGCATTCTTTGTGCCCTTTTTGCTTTTCACAGCTGTCTTTTGCTTGGGTTTTTCTTTTTTGGATGACTTTTTAGGTGGCTGTGGTGTGATAAAGAGAGCATCAAAGTCTATTACAATATAAACCACTCCTAACACTATGAAGCTTCTTGCTAAAGCATAGTTTATTGCTAGAAAGCACTCTTTGCAGCAAAGCCAAAATACACATGCAAGCTATTTGTAACTGCATTATTTCTCTCTAGGTCTAATAATGCCCCTGCATTTTAAGAGAACATGCCTTTCTGCTTTTGCAGGGATACAAAAAGTTACCTTGCATTATATAGTGAAGGTGGTGAACTGGCTAAGTTTGGCCTGCTAACCATTTTTTTGTCATCCCCCCCCCCCAAAAAAGCCATCAGCAGATAGTGACAGTGTCCCATTGCTAGTATGCTGTCACTGTAAGGTTGCAATGGATGATGAAGGTGTGAGGCTGAAAGGCGTTAGCTAGTTCTGTTAAGAACTGTACCTTTGTTTGAGGTGAGCACCAAGCATTTTTGTCCCTAAAATAACAAGTAATTATGCGAAGAACAATGAACCTGTGGTACATTCCTATCCACACCTCTAGCAAACAAGTCTTTGTACTTTATCAGCATCTAGTCACTACTTTCAAGTTTAAGTCTGTTGATCACTAAGCAAATAACTTAAAAGTCAATAGGTCTATGGAATGAAAATATTTTTCTCTATAATCCTATCATCTCCAGCTCAATGCCCTTTAAGCAAATCAGAGAGCCTACTGTAGCTGGCCTTCAACATGGATAGTTTGCAAATAGGTCCTACCTCCTCTTCACTTTCTTTATCTTCTTCAGATGATTCTTCTTTCTCTTTCTTTTCATCTTCCTCACTACTGGATTCATCTGACAGGATCTCAGGACATTTAGTGCGCTTGCCTTTCCGTGCCGTTCCAGAGCTACTGCGTTCCTTTTTCCCACTTTTGTTAGGTGTTTTCTTGGATTTTGGCAATGGCTATTAAATATTGAAAATTGAGGCAATTCAAACAACAAAATAGTTTTAAAACTCTCTATCTATTTATTTATAAGACTTTATGGGGGATAAGTAATTGCTTAGACCTTAACCACCTTCAAAGTGTTATCCTTCACTATGGTCATTTTGAAAAGGTACCATGAGATTACAGGTTTCTTTTAGAATGAAGTTATAGACATTACATACATGTATTATTTAAGGATAATGATTCAATTGAAGGTATTTCCTCTATTTAAGATGGTCATACTGTGAGTTCCATTTCTTATGTAGCCAAAACAGTATCATACCTGTAGAAGATGGAGGAACTAGCAGATCTGGAGGGACTCCAAAGTTTGCATAAGTTAGAGTTGCCACAAAAGTTGTTGAGTTTTTTTATGGGGGGGGGGGGTTAAAGTTGTTTATTTATATACCATCCTTCATTTTAAGATCTTTAGTAGGGGAACATCCTCCCAAAATAGCCCAATGAGGGGGAATGGAATTGCACAACAGCACTTCCAATGTTTTCTTGCAGATTCCACTTATTATTTTAGCTATCAATCAGCAGCTTGAATATGGAAGACTGGCAAGTGCAATGTTGCCATTGAGTTTTTGTTTCCCATGACAGGAGCCATGTTTGATGCCAAATATATGGGTGATACCTTCCACAAATGTGGTTCCAGAGGAAAATTCTGGAAAGCAGTGACAAGCTCAGGAAGGATTTCACTCCCCATTTGAAGAGTCTTATTGCAGTATTCCTGGCAGTGCTATAAATAAAGACATCTTTTTCTTTGTTTGTTTTCAGATGCCAGCCTCGCTGACTGTTGGTGTCTGTCTTTTCCAGAGAAGCAGAAACACAAAATTCAGAGACATCGCTTTTCCATTTTTAATAAATTGTTAGGTAATATTGCCTAATACTGTAAGGCAATGAGAACATAATTTGTTATTGAGCTTTTTACTCCAGGTTGAATGCCTCATTCTCAAAACTCGTGGAAGAAAACTTGTGTTTTCATATACACCGTTCAATAGAAATTGCATATTTGTTTTTAAAAGGGCCTCAGCTGTAACAAATGTTTAATAGCTGCTAGGCATGGTCTCTGTATAAAGAACCTCAGAAGAGATACGAACATGCAATCAAAACCTAGTGATCTTGTAGTACTCCTTGTAAGGAGAATGCTACTGTTCATTTTCCCCTTGAGCTCTGCCTTTGTTCTATTTGACTGCCTTCTTCCATCTCTCTTATTTTCCACAAGAACAACATATAACATATAACATATAATATATAATATATAATAAAGAACCTAATAAGATGTTCACTAGTGGCTTAATAGAATTGCAGTCATGTTACTTACATCTTCAAGAGCATATATGAATCAAGCAAAGCATACATGCGATTTTTTGGTGGGGCAAGCCACACAAAACTCAACAACTGTTTGACGTGGGACAGCAATAGCAACTCTACATAAAAAGCATGATCACCACAAAGATGATAAATGTTATTTAAATATAGCTTCATTATTATTTCTTGTCTTACCTTGCCTGAAGGTTTTGGATGCATTAAGAAGTTTAGGATTCTGGCTACCAGTTCACTATTAACTCCTGATCTTTCCAAATCAAGAACTTCACATATACTTTTCAGCATTGCGTTTCTGTACCTAGAGAGAAATACCCTTTATTAAACATAGCTGATAAAAGTTGATCTTAATACACAGGAGCAAAGAGATAGTTTAGTTGACTACCTGCGCTTTCAAATATATCTTACAAGCATACAATTGATGAATTTATTATTTATACTCCACTTTTTGATTTTTTCAAAACTCAAGGCAACTCACAACAATTAAACAAACCACAGAAATGCAATTGACATTTTGACAATATTTCTTCAATGATTGCATGTCCTGTCTTATAAAAACAGTACTTATAATAAAACTAGAAATACCAACCAGGCAGGTAGGAAATATTTTACAGCTAAGGACAGAATTCAAAGATAGAGTTCAAAGGGTATAGGGATTCATTTATTTAAACACCTTCTCAATTTTTTGTCAGTAGAAAGAAGCCACAGTATAACTTTTATAGTTTACGCAAAGATCAATGGTGCAACAACTGAGAAACCTGTGCAGGCCCTCAGGAATAAAATTCACCCTTCAGAAGTTACACTCAACCCCTATTTACCAACATGATTATACCACCATTGTCTAGAAGAGTCTGCGTGATAATGGAAGGAAGGGCAGCTTCTATGGGTTGCCATCTTTACCACAAGTCAGCCTAAGTACACTGGTAGCAGCTTAGCCCTCTCCATAGAGGGAAGTGCTGGAAATTGCACTATAATGGAAACTGGAAATACCAACTGCCAGGAGGAAAAAGACATTGCCACATGTCCAACCACAGATTCTGAATATCTTAAAACACATCACAAAATACAGTATTCCTTGTATACTGTTTATAACTGCAAATTTATTTTGGATAAATTTAAGTTCTACAAAAGTACTGCACAAATATTAAGGTGGCAGAGAATTTTAAGTTTAAATTAAATGTTGGGGGCACAATTTAGCCAAAGGTATGCACGTTTAAGTGCTTTTCATTTCAAGGGGGAAAATTAAGTATGTGTAACTCAACTATTATAAAAATCACCAATATTTATGTGCTTAAATTTCACAAGACCATACCTCAAGTTTGTGCATGAAAATAGCAATATTTTATTGAACAAGATACTCACTTGTATCTTCAACTAAGTAGTTAATTAGAAACAATTCAGCACCAGTAAACCCATTCATTTTAGACATAAAATGTTCACATGTGTAATATAAAACTATCCTTCAGTAATGTTTATGGATATGGTTTGAAATAGAATACTTATACACTGAAGTTACTAACTGAAATGTGCAGGAATAGAAAACAGGGCTTGAAGCAGTTGCTCTGCTCAAGATTTAAAATGCATGTATTAACATAAATAATGAAACTTGATCATACTAAAAAGTTTTAAAATGTTACTTTTTCAACATCTCTTCCTTTTTCTTATATTGGTCACTTCCTTTTTCAAATGGAAAGCCACTGAACTGGCCCACATTCTTCTTTAATGAAGCAACCTAAAACAGAACACCAATAACATGCATTTTAGAGCGGTATTTGCATTATACCAGGCAGGTCTTGATCCAAAGCAGTTCAACTAGGGCTTAGAACAAGTTTTTGTCGATAGAAAATTCAAGAGAAACAGGATGCAACATTTCCCAAAAACAAACTGAGTCTACCGTCAAATGTGTTGCTTCTCTGACTATTTGCAGCTGCAATGATCACCATTTTTCAGAAGAGTCTTCCAGTTACCTAGGCAACACTTTCCTATCTTTGAAGACCACAGTGCAGTACAGTAAGGAAAGAGAGGAAAGTGACCCTGCATTGTTGAGGCAGTTGTGATCTTCTGACACATGGTAATTATGGAATCAATTCAAAGGTAAAGCTGGAAAGGGTGCTCAGCCAGATAGCACAGTGAACATCAAGTTGCCGCTGAAGGAGCACTGCAAATTTGTAGCCTATAAACAAGGCTACAAGATTAGCACATAAATTTTTGCTCACCTTTGAATATAACTACCTAATTATGTATGAAATAAATAAGAGCAAATGTTAAAATAGCTCATATACCCTTATTTGATAAGGAATTTTTCAGGAAGAACCTCCCTCAATTTCTGTAAGACAGCAAGCTGCTACATGCTGCAAATAATCACATTCATGAGAAACAAAAGGTACACTATTTTTTTTAAAAAAACAACACTAAGTAAAAATATGTACTGAAATATTGGTAAGTTTGTATCGAATATGTTGTATAGAAGCTGTTTTCTATATAGACAGATTTGGATTCAATTGACAAATTATACAGGTAATTAAAGTATCTAAAAAGCAGTTCATAAGGCAATTTTGCTCTTCATAACCAAGATAAGCTTAAGCATTTTACAAATAAAAATGTTAGAATAGTAATAGACAAAGTATATTATAAAGCCTATTATTTCCTATGTATATAACCCTTTCTATGCATGAGAAGAACAAACTTGATTTCAACAAGTTCAATTTCTTCTCTCCCCCTGCATGGCCTTAAAATCTGCTCCAGAGGGTTGGAGGACAACCCAGAGCAGATTTTAGGGGGGTGCAGGAGGGAAGGAAGCTCAAGTGTCCTTGTGGAAGCAGAAGTCCACATGTGCAGTGCTGGATAAAGCCCTTAGCGAAATAATTCTTCTTGTAGATTTTAATGTAGTCAAAATGGTATCATTAATGCCCAAGAGGGAGGTATCAGCAGGCTTGGGAAAACCAAGGTCTACATGCAAACGTGTGTGTGTGTGTGCGCAAAAGCAGACTCCAAAACAACCCAGTAACCATAGAATGCTGACCACTGGGAGGTGTGGTGGTGGAAGAAGAATGCAAATCTGAGGGAGAATAGAATGGAGTTTCCTGGAAAGTGATGTGGCTGCAACCCTGAACAGGAGCACTACACAATGCAATATTTTGTTACAGGGCCACTTGTTTTAGCAGCAATTTCAAACAAAACAAGGATGGAATGTGAGAATCAAAAACAGGCTTAAGACCCTGAGCAAAGACAGGATTGTGCCAGTAACTTCTAGCACCAGCAGACTCTACATTTATCAATCTTAGGATTATTGAGAAAAAAATGAATATGCAAATGGGGTGTGTGGACAAATTAAAGTATAAAGACTCCATTCCAAAGTCAACTGGATAAGATCCAAATGACTACATCTAGCTTTGTAAGGCAAAGAGCTATTTGGATTCACTTTATTTCCACTGTAACAACCACATGGCAAATTGTTTTTGAACAAATGGGAGCTTCAAATACCCTTTGTATAGGGTCAAAAGCTCAAAGAAAAAAGATAATATAATTAATAATTCCAGGAAGCACAAGTAAGGCCTGGAAATGTAGTTTTCACGTAAAGGTAAAGGTAAAGGTACCCCTGCCCGTACAGGCCAGTCGTGTCCAACTCTAGGGTTGTGCGCGCATCTCACTTAAGAGGCTGGGGGCCAGCGATGTCCGGAGACACTTCCGGGTCACGTGGCCAGCGTGACAAAGCTGCTCTGGCGAGCCGGCACCAGCGCAGCACACGGAAACGCCGTTTACCTTCCCGCTATAAAGCAGTACCTATTTATCTACTTGCACTTAATTGTGCTTTCGAGCTGCTAGGTGGGCAGGAGCTGGGACCGAAGACGGGAGCTCACCCTGCCGCGGGGATTTGAACCGCCGACCATACGATCGGCAGGTCCTAGGCACTGAGGTTTTACCCACAGTGCCACCTGCGTCCCTTCACATACAAACCAGCTATTGGAAAGCCCACTCCACTGATTTAAATGGAATTTATTTACATCTTAGGACTTCAAAGAGTCTCAGCCTTCAGAAACAAGGCCATTCTATATTTCATGACATTTTCAAAACAAATTTGATAGTGTTTTCTAAGCTTACTGTGCCTGGTCTGTTGTATAGAAGTTTGTGCAGATTTCGAAGTTCATCTGTTTTCTTCTTGCTTAAAAAGTACTGTATTCTTTCAATTTCACAAAGTTTTTGTCCCTTTCCTGAAAGGGAAAATGTATTACATTAGTCTATTTAACAACATTAATGCTTACTAATAGTTACTAGATTACACTTATGAGGTGGTTATAGTTATCAGTCATATATATTTAAATGATTGGTATTGTTGTATAATTTTTTGACAGGGGCTGTGGATATTTATTGTATGGGTCCTCCTTAAGATTACCTAACATGCTTCTGCTTGAAAGGCAGTCAAGTGTTGAATTAAATTTAGACAATAATTTCAACATTTTGATATAATGGCTCCAATGCAACCCAATCAGATGGGAGGCATATAAATAATAAAATTGATATTATTTTTATTTATAACAAGATGAGTTCTAAGTACTTGCTACTTAAAAACATGTAAAGATAACTCATGTTCAATATACAGTATGCAAAAAATAACTTGCCTGGTGTAATTGTAAAAGGTTCTTTCTGTAATGAAGAAACTTGCATGGTCAATCTTTCTACTTTTTTCTTCTCTCTTTTTCCTTCAACAATGAGACTCTTTTCTGAAATAGACAATTATATATAAAATTTTGAAACACAGTTAGTTACCATATAGAAAAAACAGACCTATAGATCAAAAGTACATATTTAATATTCTAAGAAACATTCTGGGAACACCCAAAACTGTAGCAAATTAGGGTTGGACTACAGATCTGCCATGGAGATCTACAGATCTGCCACCACACCTGTGGCAATTTTCACTCTGAAACCGGGAATTCCAGGCTGGAATATTTCTGAAGGTTCACTAAATGTTGTACTTATTTTACTTGTTAAAATAAATCTACAACAGCCCTTCTCTAGTCACGTAAGAAAACGCAACCTCCCCCAAGCGCTGTGAAGGATTGTAACTGAGAAGCGTTGTAATGGCAACTTATGAACAAGTGTTCAAGCTTGGCTCTGGAAAGGAGACTTTACATACACACCTGACTGACACTACTTCATTCCTCATTCTCCAACTAACAAGAAATATTTGCTAGTTCCCACAGAAAGTATATGTTAATAAAATACGTATTGACCTCAAAAAACTAGTCCCTCTATGAACAAACATGTCTACACAGATTCTAATTAAAATTGAGAAACTAGATAGGAATAGTATCAGCAAGCCGCTCATCATACTTTTCAGTATCTGAACCCTGAAACAAAGGAAGTAACCACCAGAACTGGAATAATGCAAAACACAATGAGGAAGAGAAACAGCCCAGGTCACCTTTATTTATACACAGAACTATTTAAACTCTAATTATCTAAAGCTTACAATCCAGTAATATATACGTATAAAGACTGTAAAATGACTATCAAACCAGATTATTGATTTCCAAATACTAAACTCACCATTTTGCCTAATATACAAGTAAATAAACAAAACATGTAACCTAGGTGCGTTTAAAACCTTACTCACATGCAACATAAAGTTTATACAAACAGATGGCTGTTCCTATATAAAAAGAAGAGCAAGGTGAAGAAGTGCTCATTCTCCACCACCTATACAAAACTGTCCACTTTATCCTACTTGTACTTCTTGGCTCTCCTACCTTTTTTTGAGCCCCAAGCACATCTGTACTCTCTGCAGAGCTGCCCATAACTTATTAATGCTCTAAATTACTAGAGAAAAAGCAACCCAAACATCTTCTCAGAAGGTTACAGTTTGATCTCAGTTAGAAGAGCTATCATTTTTTATTATCATTATTAAAAACTGAGTGCGCATATAATTTTACAGAATACTCTAAGATTGTTTTTAACTAATTTTCCATAAATGCATCCATAAAAATGTTTCATCTCCAGTGTCATCTGATCCTGGACATTGAGGGGAAAGTGCCTTTTCTTTCCAGCTGCAGCTCTTCACATTATGTTGGACTCCATTCTAGAGTGTTTTTGCTTGGATGGGGGCAAGGGACTACATCTGGAGAGCTTTCTAAAATGCCCTGCTGCACATACAGGCTTTTTGATCTTGACCTACATATTTAGCTTAGTGCAAGTTCTAGTGTTCCTTCACATTAGCGTTTTTCTACCTTTTTCCTCCTCCTCCTCGTCCTCCTCCTCTTCTTCACTATCTTCAACTTTGTCCTCAGTTTCCGGTTCTCTTTCTTCTGTTTGTTCAGCAGACAGTGAACCATCTTTTTCAGTTACAGATGACATGGTTGGTTCTTCTGCATGAAAACACAGGGGAAATATAATGTCAATATGACTTTGATATAAAATACCATTTGACCGTGTGCCCTTCCATCATTCTTGCAACATAGAAAGGAATTCTCCTTAACAGCAAGTTCTCATATACCACATTATTAACAGTTGTGTGACTGTTTTACATACGTTTACATCAACTGCCTTATGTATCAGATACAACATATGGCTAATAAATATGCCGCAAAGTAAAAGCTAGGGCTGAAGGACAAATGAAAAAACATTTACGGAAGTTGGGAGTAAGCAACTGCTTCTTCTGAGAAGGAATTTTCCCCCATACAACTTATTATACACAACAGTGTTTAATCCTCTGCAATTTTACAGAAATCTAGCTATAGCCTCCTTTGTTAAAAAGAAACTTTCTAAAAACTAGTTTTAATGACATAAAAATACAGGCAGCATCTGAAGAAGGAAAGAGTCAAGTTCCTGTGATCTGTATGGCTACTTATTCCTCATGGTCTTCGCACGCTTTTACACCCACACTTACTACCTGTAATCCAGTGAAATAGTTCTGGGGGCCAAGTTCAGAAGTATGCAAATATTGGACACTGACTAAAGCATGCAAGCTGAACATGTGCTTGGAAAATAAACTGTATACACTTTGCATAAATTATTTTGAGCTTTGGGTTTCAACATGGATTCCTAGTTATAAAGGTCCCAAGTGACTTAAACAGAACAAGGCATTTCTTTTTAACAAGATTTCACAAAAGGAAGGAGGTAAACAATCCAAACAACTTGGAAATCTGCTATCCTACACGATCACACATTATGTTAATAGTGTGTGGTGCTGGCATAATTTGATGCCCCATAAATAAGGTATGTAGTAGAATGACAACTGTCTTATGTTTCCATGCACCAACACTAACTTGGATCATATCCCCACTTCAACCAAAAATATTTGAAGCCCACCCAGAGGTCAAAACAAAACATGCAGCAGACAGTAACTGTACTGTTTTTCACCCCATTATGTGAAGTTTCTATTTAAACTTTTACATACACCTATAAAAAACCACCAGCACACGGAAACCACTTTATGCACCCGAACATAAACTCATGATGGTCTTTCTAGGACTGCTGTACTTTCTTCTTCCTAAAACAAACTAAAGCAGTGACGTTTTTGGAATAAGGGTTGTTGTTGTTGGGTTTCCGTTGGCTTTTGCTTTAGCACGACAGAAACTCCGAGCAAAACGGAACATTTTGAAAGAATCCCGCTGGCAAAACAAACGTGACTCCATGCTCCAACCATCTCTTCCTTAAGCATTGATAAGCTCCGGGGTTTTCGGGACCGAGGCAGAAGACGACAGAGAAAGAGAGGTAGCCCTCATCCCTCCCCCTCCGTGTTCAATCTGCCCCTCACTATAAGTAAACGGTTAAGCCCCCCACAAGGGCAATAATGTCAGGCGAGAGGATTCCGGCGGGAAACGCTGAAGAGACGTCAAGGCCGGGCGGAGGGAACAGAAATCCTGTCAGGCTCCGAGCAAGGAGGCTCCCTGCCGCCTTAACCGTTTCCACAGAGCGGGCTGCGCGCGGCAAACGTCGCTTCCTGGGCGTTCGAAACCGCCACCCAGGCCGTTAGGACCTCGCCTTCGACCGTTATCCCGGGAGCAACGGAACACCCACCTCGTCGCGAGACGGGCACCTCGGGGCACTTCTGAGAAAGTGGCAGCAGCAGCAGCGATGGCGGACAGCCACGGTATTTCTTAAAAAAGAGAGAGAGAAAAGATAAAAGGAAAAAAAACACACACCACCCCTCAGGTAACAAGAGCAGCGGCTGGTAGAGACTTAAGGAGGAGGGCGGGACCAGACGTGAGGCTGTTGCTCACTCTTCCCCAGGAAAAAAAAATAAAAATCAACAACGTTTCAAAATGGCGGGTTGTCAAAGGGGAAGAAGGAAGCGGGAAATCGCTGGCCAATCGGCGCTCGGGCCGTCTGGCGTGTGAGGCGGGGTTTTGAGAAAGTGACGGGCAGAAAGGAAAGGCCTCGCGCCGCGAACTGGGTGAAAGGGAGGTTTTGTGTTGGGGGGGAAGCTCCATGGCGCATGCGTGCAACTGGGGGTGGGGGCGGTTCGGAAGTTGCCATGGTGGCGCCCTCGAGCATGCTTGCTGCTGTAGTTGGGGGGCCGGTCCGAATGGCTTTTGTTTTTTTTTAAGTGGCCGCAAGATGAAAGCGCATTTGCAACTCCTGAAGGGGAAAGGGACCAGAGTGCAGCCCAATGAGAGCTCTGGTTCTTCTGCCAGCTCAGGCGCGCTAAGCATAGAGAGAAAACCCCGTGTCCATATTGCCACCGATCTGTAAAATCTACCAACAACAACAACAAAAATTTATTATTTATACCCGGCCCATCTGGCTGGGTTTCCCCAGCCACTGGGTGGCTTCCAACAAAATATTAAAAATACATTAAATACTATGCTGCTCCTGCAGCCGCGTTAAGGATTGGAATCAATTATGTATTGTATTTCTTTTTAGATTTGTATACTGCTTTTTTACCAAAATCCCCAGTGTGACTCATAACATTAATAACATATTTCCGTTGAAAACCTTCCAGTTTCAATATTAAAAGACTACAATACAGTGGAACCTCATGTTACATACGCTTTAGGTTACAGACTCCGCTAACCCAGAAATAGTACCTCGGGTTAAGAACTTTGCTTCAGGATGAGAACAAAAATTGTGCTCTGGCAGTGTGGCAGCAGCAGGAGGCCCCACTAGCTAAAGTGGTTCTTCAGGTTAAAAACAGTTTCAGGTTAAGAACAGACCTCCGGAATGAATTAAGTACTTAACCCGAGGTACCACTGTAAATGGACTCTCGAGGAGAGATGGGAGCACAAGAGAGAAAACAGGGTAGAATAGATATAGTATATGGGTAAGTTATTGGGTGAATGAAAGGCAATGCACCTGTGTGCAATGTATGTCACTGAGTGTGTCTGATCTACTTGGGCACATGTGCTTTTGTTTACAGGTATCAAAATGATGCAGTCTTCAATATCCCTGCCTTCGAAAGTAAAATTAGATGGAAGATTCTACAATATGTACAGATGCATGAAATATCCTCAGCAGAATTGTAGGAAGTCTGTAAGAGGTACTGTGGGCTAGTGGTCATGTTAAAAACCATGTTAGTAATTCTTTGTAATATTTATTATTTAAATAATAAAACCTATGAAACTTGGCTCCATTCACACTGTAGTCTGATACCTACTTTCTAGGATTAAGTCCCTCTGAACTACACACCTCTGAATAGGATTGTGCTGTTAGAAACAGTTATTATTTCCATTCATGGTGAATTATGTCTTACAGAGAACAACAGAGATACATTTCTCATTGTTGGAATAAATGTGTTTTGTTTCTATTGACATCCACTAAGTTTATAGAAATGTAATTAAAAATAAATATTACTACTATTGACGGATCAAGCACACACTAGCGAAAATTCCACTGACCTCCAGCTCCTCCTTCCAGTCCAAAGTGCAAAATACACATCAAGATGGGTATGTAAAAAACTAAACTGAAATCTGAAACTGAACTATTCCAGATAGAGGCTGCTGTTATCTTGAATGCCAGCATGCAACTCTGTAAATGGAGCTCTGCCTAAAGTAACAAGGGCAGTTGATAGTGATTAGGTACTGTGGAATAAAAAGCTAAGCTAATAATTATGTTATCACATCTTCAAAGACTGAGGAGTATTGTGATGAAACAAAAGTTTAAAATCACGATACAAAGATAATATATTGTTACATTGCTGGTCTCACATAATAAGACACAAGTCTAGTTCAGTCATAGCTACAAAACATAAGAATGAGCCTGAACAATCTTTGTGTTCGCACACTCCCCCCTTGTCCCTTCCACATGTAAGGGGAAGATCTGGAAGCCTTTGCTTTGGAATTAACCACAGTTTTCCATTATGCCTAAGCTTTGAGAACTGCTTTGTTCTAATGGTTCATTGACGAGCCAGCATATCAAATAATGGATTGCTGTTGCATCTAAAAACGTTAGAATGGTATTTATTTCATTGACTTTGATGGATCGGAAATGCTAACCTCTCTTCCAGGCTGGATTCATACAATGGCATCAGTCTTCATAGCATTTTGAAGTTAATTATGTATTTGTATGGTATATGAATTAAACAAAAAAGTGGCTGGCTTCTTTTATGTTAAAGTTCCTGCAAGCTTTATGCTCTTAATTCTGGGAAAGTTGCCTGTAAAAAATATGTAAACATTTATTTGTATCAAATCACCTGTGAATTGACTACAATAATATTCCTCTGTAAGTCTGGTTATATTTATAAACTACAGACAAAGAATATTTCAGATTTGTTTCTTTTATTTCAGAACAGATATAACTATGTTTTACAGGTCCATTCTGTTTTTCTGTGCAGTTCTTATGAGTACCCATATATTAAATATTTGTTGGATATATATTAAATGCAGTGAGTACACAGGATTCCTTTCTTTTGAGGTTGAGCTTCCTTATTTCACACCCCAACACACAGTAGCTGTGGCAGTCCTTAAGAGACAGACTCTTTCTAACACTCTACTCCTGAAATGCAGAATGAATTTGCCTTTTGTAGGAAGAGGAGGAGGAGGAGGTGGTGCCTTCTGACACAAACTGCCTGTATCAATTGCAGCGAGCAGACCGTTACAGTTGTAAAACCCCTCTTCAGACTAGGCCAGTTGCTGGAGGAGCAATTGCACTATTCACTACCCAAACCAAATATATGTGGCAAAGAAATCCCAGTAATAGGTTGCCTAAGACTGCTGAGGTATGCAGATTCTGAACTGCATCTCCTCTGGAAAATATAGAAGGGTGATAAGTTAGGGTGAAAGGGAGTATAGAAGGCAAACAAGAGTTTAAAAAGGACTATGTAGTTGCAGAAAGAGATTTTTTGAGACGTTACCTGAAGCTGTCATTGGTTTCTTTATCTGCTGCATGGAAGAAATGGCTGCATTTATGAAAGAAGAAGCAAGCTGTAAACAGTGAAAAGAAATCCTGGACTGCTTGCAACTCTATTAACTGCCAAAGCACAGGAGAAAGGTGAGATTCCCCTCTATGCATCTGGACAATGGTAAATATTAGGCTTTTTCCTATATATTGTCATTCATACTGTGGATTTAATCTTCTGTCTCCTGAACATTTCTGCCTGCAAGTTTCCTTCTGAAAACCATCAGCTTTATACCATTATGGCGAGGCATTGCTTTCATACTTGTGGTGATGAGATGTGTGTGTGTGTTAGTTCAACTCTGCATGTTGGGCATGATGCCTTCTAGAGAATCAGTTACTCTTTTACCACAGTTTTCTTGAAGCAGCTACACCCATTAACATAGCATTGCCAGTCTGCAAACACAGTAAAAACTTGTGGTTCAGTTGAAGTTAGTGAAAATTTGCCATTGAGTTAAAGAGATCCAGAAAGTTGTTCATGCAGCCCTAATCAGGACATCATGGATCTCCACAAGTTAAATACATTTTGGAACATTTTCCAGACCAAGCCATCTCCTTGCAAAATATTATCATACCCTAACATCTGACAAAGTAAATGCATACTGTACATTAGTCTTAAATCAGGTTTGTAGTGGGGAAACAAATGACTTCTCTGGAGTGTAATAGCATGTAAGATAATAGTTTCCAAATTTATATTTTGTTGTAGCATGCAAAAATACATGTTCCCGTTTAGCTGTTTATTTTTGTTATGTAGTTCTTGGGTCACACATTTTCAGAATTGTGGAGAAGTTTTCATTTTCATCAGAACTGTTGAGACAAGAATGTTGGTTTCATCGTGGCTAACAGAATGAGATCAGGAATTCCGCACTCAAATCTTGCTCTGCCAAGAACTTGTCTTAGGCAAGCCACTCTTTCTCATCCTAATATTACAGGATTGTTGTAAGGATTAAACTAGATTTATTTCTTATTTATTTGAAGCATTTTTGCACCTCTTCAGTGAAAAATGCACTCAGAGCAGTTTACAGAGATAAGTAATATGGCAGTCCCTGCCTTCAGGTTCAAAATCTAGATGACAATACAAAAGGAAAACTGATGGGGAGGGAGAAGGAAAAAAGCAATTTTGTGCACTATTCATTGGTTACAAAGGTTTAAAGACCAGGTGAAATGGAGACAGTTTAAGGAGAGGAGCAACCAAAAGGTTGCAGCTTGCTCAGCAGGTACACTGGCGGGACTCTGCTTCCTTTCTCTTTGTCCATTCTAGAAATGGAGAGTATGACTGTTGATTCTTCTTGATCTCCCAGCAGCTTGACGGTGGTATCCTTCTGGGGCAAATGTATGAGTTGGGTATTGGGGGTATTGCATTGCAATGACTCCATGTCAACATGATGGCTGGCTCCAGAAGGCAGTTCACGAAACATTACTTGGCTCCATGGGTTCTCCAGTAAAGTTCTGTTCAATTAATTGGACTTTGCTGTATTTTTATTGATAGGCAGATCTTCTGGTATATCTGGTAGGTTGTTCTATAGGCTTCCTATGCTAAAATAGCATCCCCACTCCCTGTATTCATTTGGGTTCCTGCTTTGTGGCTTCTATTCTGTTCACGGCTTTCAATCCAAGCTTCATTCATGTTCCCTTTGCTATTATTCAACTGGGTATTTTTATATTCTTTATTTTTATGTGCAAAATTGAGGCTATTTCCTGTTATTTTTAAAAGGAAGTAATTGAATCGCATGATATGTTTAACAGTCCCACGATATATTTTAACAGTCATTAACAAAAATCCAGTTTTCCACTGCCATTAACAATATTCTTGTTGTGTGGTTGATAAGATGCTAATTTCTTCAGGAAATACAGGATCTGTGGCAAACACAGGCATTGTTCCCTGCAGTTCATAGGGCAAGGTTTTCTCTAATCTCACTGAACCTCTACTTTTGTCCTTATTCTGCTTTATTTATTTTTCAAGGCTCCTATAACTTGCCAAATATTTAACTATCCAGGCTAACTATGGAAGGTATCAAATCCTTTTCCATCTAAAAAAACCAAAGTGAGAATATTTTTCTTTTTGCTATCAAGAGGATATTTAAAGTCCACTGTGGTAAAATTTTGGTCAGGTCAATGACTATTCTCTAATTTTCCTAATTTATTCTTTATTTGTACTGGGTTTACCAGACAAGTCAACACAATCATATGAACGTCCACATGGTGGTGTTGTGTCAGAAAGGAGATCACATATACTTTGGTTCACATGCTTGGTCAGCACAACACAAATGTGAATGAATGAATTGTTTATTGTGGTCACAGGCAAATAAAATTTGGTATGGAAAGAAAACATATAGCTCATTAAAACAATTAAAAACAGACAAATACAAACACACATTTCTCTCTCTCTCTCTGAAGCCAGTACTGTAGAAAGCTTTTCCTAATCTGCACTGAAGTCAGAAATTGTTTTTCCAACCCTCTCAGTAACACTGGAGGAAACATCCCTTAAACAGAATGATACAAAATTAGGACATATTCCCAGGGGAGTTCGGAGTAGAGGGAGAATTAACCTCTCTCACTACACAGGCTACAGTACAGCATAACATGGTCAACAGGTTCTGCTCCAGCTCCACAAATACAACCTGTCAAGAACTGAGATCTTGCTCACTTAACAGTGCAGAATGTAGCACATTAAAATAAGCAAGGATAAATGCTCTCCCATTTGAACGATGGTTATATAGTTTAGGGGTTTGCTAAACAGTAATGAAATGCAGAGTTTGTTACTGTGAAGATGTAAGACGATTAATTGCTGAACAACAAAAAAACTGGGCCTCCTTTGACGTTTAATTGCAGCAAAATTGAGGAGAGAAGCCCAGCCTAAATATCTTCTTCCCATTGACTAATGAAAGAGTATGAGAGTATGAAAGAATATGCTTTGCAGCTACTGAAAAGCATAAATATAACCACCATTTCAGGACATGATCTCAACAATTCAGCTGACTGAATACACACATCCAAATAAATAGCTGTGTTCCCCACACAAGATAGTAAACCCAGTATCTCCTGGAGGAAAGCAGACGGAACTCTTTCCACTTGGGAGTTTAACCCTGAAATCCAAATGGGAATGCTGTAAGTTGGGTCATGGACTTAGATCATAGGCTTGAATAACAGGAGATAAAGGGACACTTTGCATAAGGAAGAACCCTGAAATAACATGCCAGCTAGAACTTCACAATGTGACTGTGATGCTCTTACCATGTGCAGCAGAAGGGTTTTTCCCAGCAGCTTCACTGGGAAGGGCAACATTTGAACCAATCTTCTTTCTTAGAGGAAGTAAGCTGTGCCTTTACCAGCAGCTTGACCAGAAGAAATTTAATAGGTGATTCCCCCCCTCTTCATGGACATAAACAAGGGAAATAGATTCCCCAGTGAAGTCCTTGCATATTACACTATAGGTAAAAGTACTGCAGTAGAGGCAATTAAAAGGATGGCAACTCTGTTGTCTTGAAATAAAGGGATTAGGAAATAAATCTCCTAGTCAGCTTGGTGGATGCAAAACACTCAGTGAACAACTGAGGAGACCTATGGATGTGGCTGGTATTGAAGGAACATCCATTATTTTCAATGACAGCATATGCTGAAGTGATATTCTCACAACATGTCAACCCCTAGGCTTAGCATACCAGCTGTAAGATGGAGTTGCAAATATACAAAACACCTGGCCAGATTCAAGTTGTAGTCGGCATGCTATATGAAGCCCAGAGTCTGTACATGTGAATTTAACCAGCCTGACATAAAATAAGGAATACTGGAAACTCATGGATCCCCATATTTCCTTGTTTTGAGGCGGCCCACATTAGTGAAACCACAACATATTTTCCTCTTGGAATTCCTGACACTCCTTGAGTCTACTGGAATTAAGCAAACAGATCAGATTTTTGTGGCATGGCAGCTTTTTCTGACCTTATTAAAAACCCATGTTAATTCCTTCCATGTCATTTCAGTTTTAAAGGCATGTAGCCTGCGTTAACTAGGATCTTATCTGTGCAGATCATATGCCAAAAGGGCTTGGCATTTTCCTTCCGCAAAAAGGGCCTTGTGTTATTATTATTATTGCAACTTTTAATCCTCATTTGAAGGTCCACAAAAAGTACATCTGTATTACAGCGTAATCCTACACATGTTCACTCAGAAGTCAGCCCCATTAATGTAACTGGCGCTTAAGTGTGTATAGTAAATTTATAGCCTGAGTTAAACTTCCATCACACTTGCTAGTCCTTTTCTGGTGACACGATAGTGTGCTAACATGCTGGGAGGGGTGGATGGGAGTTGAGTGCACTAACATCATCCCCTGTTGTCTTTCTGCTACTTTCAAAGTTGTGGAGGGAGTGGGGAGCCTCATGTGCTCATTTGAGATTTGGGGGTTTTCAGGGTTTAAAATGATTGGTAGCAGGTAGAGAAAGCCCCCAGCTTCACAAGATCTGTGAGTTAGAGGTCGAATGCAAAGACAATGGCATGTGGGTGGCATGAAGTGTGCTAGCCCCTCTCACAGGTTAACTCAACACATTACTCCAAGACTTAAAGAGAAATTTAGTGTTGAGAGATTGCTGGGGCATGCATGACCTGAGTCGGGGGCGGGGCGCAGCAGTCTACATACAGGGAAAAAATGCTTTAAATAAGTCAGAAATTAAATCATTATAAGAAAAGAAAAAAACCCTATGCAAAAACACTCTAGAAAGGTTTTGTGCTCTCTGGCACCATCTGGTGTTGCATGTTTATAATGTATTCAAGTCGCTGCTTTTTTGACTAAAGTAGCTAAGTCCAGGGTCTGCAAGCAAAGGTCTAGCATATTTGCAAAAGGATTTACAGTGTAACCCCACAAGTAATATATATAGGTAGTACACCTCCTGCCAAATACCTTCAGGATTGCTCCTTTGAGTTTGATTGATGACACCACAGAAAGTTGGGCTCTGGAAGTCCCAGTCCCTATTATATCACCAAATGTTCTGTCCCCTGGGAGTTCCACTCTGGAAGATATGATCCAGGAAGCAGAAGTCATGTGTTTCTGAATCTGGACCTTGCCCATCATTCCATGGCAGAGGATGTTTGCGGATTCTCCTTTTAGATATTTGCCAGAAAAGCAAAATCTAGATGTACATTACTTGTGTATCTTAAAGAATCATAATGTGAATAAAAGCCAAATTGATTTGGTCTTACTCTAAAAGCCCTTGCTTCCACTTTCTGCAGCACATTAATCATACTGGATACTAAAACGATGCTCTTACTCTGGTTTTCAGCAATTTTATGTTTATTTTATTCATTTATTCCAAAATATACTGCAATAAAGCAAATTCCGCAAACAAAGCTTTACATAAGAAATACAGAAGCAATATAATACTTGGGTCTTCAAAACAGAAATATTTTAGTGTCCGTTTAGAAATGAACAGCTTTATATAATCTCTGATTTTGCTAATCTAGGAAATAACTCTATTTCACCCAGCGACTTCAGAAGGCGAAGGAAAATGTACATTTAAATAGCAAGTTCTACAGAAACGGCCTGGCATATTTTCAAAAGGGTACAGTGTTACACAAAGACGCAACTGTGAAAGTAGCAAGCTTTCAGACCACTTACTGCAGTTCTCATTTCAAGGAATGGAAAAGTAAACATTAAGCAAAGAAAGTTAAATCTGTATCTAGAATAGCATAATAAACAAAATTTAAGATTGTTGGCTGGCCCATTGCTGTTGTGAATATATTTATTATTGTATAATGGCTAATTTTGCTTGCTTAGCACCTTTTCCCAGTCCCTGCACTGATAATCCAAACAAGTGAATACCATTGTCAGTGTATTAAAAAGAGATTTTGGTCTTGTAAAACAGTTTTAAGAATGCAAATGGCAGTGCAATACAATACGGAAAGTAGTCAACTGATCATGTATGTCTCAATTTCTCTTCTAATTGGCAGACTTTGGTACTTTTGCATCCCCTTCTAGTGAATGGAGTTTTCCCCACTGCTCTTCTGGGCTGTTTGGCTCCACATGGAATCAATATGCAGAAAGGGAAGGGAATCCCATAATTCAGCAGGAGAATGCATTTGCTACCATTTGTCCATGGAACATCCTTGCCCTTTATTGGTGCAAACAGTTTGGATGGCAGTTAGAATATTTTTCATAAATCCTGTCAGGTATGTTTGAATGACTACACACACACCTGGCAGTTGGCAATATACCATAGATAACTGCCATGGTTGTGGGAAAATATATCCACAACTACAAAAGCCTATGGCAATGGATTTTTTAATCTCATGGATCATCCCTAAAACACATTTCCATTCCCCAAAACAAAAACAATCTGTTAATTTATTGTTACTTGGATATAGGCAAACTGTTCTGAGTAGATTTAGATTTAGTAGATTCCATGATTTAGGTTTAGTTATACCTGCTTTGTTGGTCTTATAGAATATATTGGTTAAGTCTGTGCTATGAACTAATAGACTCTGAACACTAGAGGGATTATTTGTATTATAATACAGCAACAGTGACATCTTAATGCTTGGGCTTGTTTACAACTACTCAGTGCTTTTTTTCTAAAACAAAATGTTTAGGGGTACTCTCATTTTCCTACTCATATTGAAATACTGCCCCTCAATGAGGCCAAACTTAGATTCACAAAATGTTTAGGGGTATGCGTCCCCCCAGAAAAAAGCACTGCAACTACTTAAAAGACTGTAATCCTATGCACAGTAGAACCAAGGCCGACTGAACTCAATGGGACTTATGGCACAGTAAGCAATTATAGAATTGTAATGAATCCTTTTGCAAAAAAAAACCCCCATACCAATTTAGTAAAGAATTCAGTGAAGATGCAGTTCACTGCTTGTATTGAAATATAGCAAACATTTCCTCTCTAACCCAGAGCTGGATAGATCTTGTTATTCATTAACCCAGTGGTTCTCAAATTGTTTCTCTGATCCACACTTTCAGTATAAAAATGTGCTCATGCAACACCAGTTTTTTTTACTGAGAAGAAATACATTGTAAAACAAAAATAAGAAACTCCCAGCAGTGCTTGATTTATAACACAGAACACAACTACTTTATTATATGGTCATGTGACATCCAGAAAGTGTAAAACAATGCAGCTACATAAGAACATGTATCATTACCTAAATATAATTATAAACAAGCCTCTTAAGTATGCATACAAAGTCAATGAGCGGTGCGTCCTTGCAGTATCACTTGATGCTCTTGCTCTCATTTTGAAAAGGTATCTATCCATATTCTGCAAATAAAAGAAAAGAAAAATGCTATGCTATGCTACACTTAAACGTTTAAATGTTTCTTTATTGTCCTTGAATCTTCCCGCACACTTGCCACCCTCTCCTGATACACCAGTGTTGTATGCCACACCCTTTGAGAACCATTGCTATAAGCAAATACATTTAGGGAGAACAGAAACCTGCTGTTAGATATTCTAGTTCAATCGAGCTAATCCAGGAGTTCTATGCCATCTCCTGGTTGCTGTGGGTTCCAAGTTTCCTTTGTATCACAGGATGTGTTCATATTACCTACCACCTTTGAGTAGAGTGAGGTTTTTCCAGTGCATTTCACACCTCGCCCTACCCCACCCATATGTTCATGGCTTGATTGGTGTTAAATTCATTTCTGCTTGTGTTTGTACCAGGGGGCATTGACAGGCCAGAGATGACTTTACCTTGCATGGCATGGGAGTGGGACTCATCCTGGCTAATCCTGAAACCTGTCGCTAGCTCTCAAAATAAGTGGTTGGGATGGTTTTCTCTTTCGTGTGGAGTTTCTGCTATAGACAGAGGCCTAATGGATGGGTGGCTGCAATTGCAAGCGCATTGCTAGGACCTTGGGACCCTGTAATTACATTCTGCTGATGGTTCCATGTTAAATTAATGAACCTGCTGTGCACAAATTATTTATCATGCATTAGTTAATGAGCTGTCTCCCTATAAAGAGAGAGAAAGAGACATCCTCACCTCTCTGCGGGTCCCACAGGAGGGTAAACAGAAATGAACTGCTCCTGCTCCAGCCCCATTACTTTCATACACAGAGAGAAGCTTGCTCTCCTTCCACTCATGCCCAAACCTGCAGGAAGGATGTGTATAAGTCCAATTTGCTCACTAATCTTATAATCTCATAATCAGAAACACGAGAAAAATAGAAAGCAGGTACAGAGACCATAACACATTTCTTTTTTATCTGGGGTTGTAATCCTGAGTGCATATCATGGTTCTTTCTTCTGGCTTTGTTTGATTTGCTTCTACTGTCCTCAACTACGTTCATGGATAGAGTGGTGTGATTTAAGGATGCAGCCCTAATCTTGTTTACCTGAGAGTAAGCCCCATCAAACTCAGTAGAACTTATGTTTTGAGTAGTGATGGTTAGGAATTGCTTTGTAACACAGGTGCCAATCAAAGTGCAGCACCTGCAGCATGTAAATCTCAGCAGTGCAACAGATGTGTTCAAAGGGAATCCTCCTGGCAGATTGCCAGTAATACTTGAAGAATTTGTTGGGGGGGGGGGCGGGGAGAGAAAAAGAAACCTACTATTATACCTACCAGCAAGAGTGCAAAGGTTAAAGGAGTTGCATGGAGTTTCACAAGATCAGCATAAAATCCTTAAAAGGTATCTAGAATAATGTATGTTTGTGTGAGGACTAAACAATTCGGTTACAGGTCCGTGACTTTGCCTATACAGTGGTACCTTGGGTTAAGTACTTAATTCGTTCTGGAGGGATGTTCTTAACCTGAAACTGTTCTTAACCTGAAGCTCCACTTTAGCTAATGGGGCCTCCTGCTGCTGCTGCGCCGCCGGAGCAGGATTTCTGTTCTCATCCTGAAGCAAAGTTCTTAACCCGAGGTACTATTTCTGGGTTAGCGGAGTCTGTAACCTGAAGCGTATGTAACCCGAGGTACCACTGTAGTAGAGATGATTCACACTTGGATGCTATTCTCCTCTCCAAAGTCATCTGGTTGCAGGAAGTACAGTATGTGTTGTCATATTAGTGGGGTAGGAGAGCTGAAAAAAAATTCACATCTGGCAACCAATGAGCCCCTTTGGTTTCAGATAGCACATGGGTAGACGAGTCTAAAAAGCCAGGGACACAAATTTTCATGGCCCTCTAGTGGCTATGGTTGCTCATTTACTAGAACTAATGTATTTAAGAATTAGCTCTGGAAGCGTATACACGATTCTGACCAAACTAAGCCTTCTAGACCAAAAGCCTCCTAAAGCAAAAGGGTTTGCATTTTCTCTAATGTGTTCTGTGACTTAATTATGCATTGTGCAAGGAAATACATTTACTTTTCTGTTCGGAATCCTTTTTTCTAGCTAATTGCACTTGATTGATTTTAAGTTCTAGTATTATGACTGTATGAAAATTTCACTGCACCTATCACAATTTTATAAAATTACCATGCTTTCCCTCAGCCATCTTAAAAAAGAAAAGGTTGGACCTTGTCCTGAAAGCCATATTATAAATATTTATTTTATTGCATAAAGTTAATACACTTTTGTCAAACACTTCAAAGTGGCTTACAAAGAGAAAATATAAATAAAATAATATAAAAACTAGTAAGGAAAGCAGAGGCCCTTGCTGGCTCTTAATAATGGGACCACAGTTTCCATTCATCACCCCCCCCCCGAACATTTTTCTTTTATTTGTTTCACTACATTTATATTCCTCCTTCAAGGAACTCAAGACAGCTTTTACGCTGCCTCCCCTTTATTTTTATTTCCAGAGCAACCCTGTAAGGTAGGTGAGGCTGAGAGACAGCAATGTCTGGTCTATGCTCACTCAGTGAGCTTCATGGCAGAGTGAGGATTTGAACTCAAGTCTTCCTGGCTTTCTCATAACATAACTTTTCTTAAAATAACTGAGCAGTAGTATTTTCCATTTATTTGGAATAACACCTTTGCAGTATTAATGGACACCAGGCGAAACACAATGCAATTTGCTTAAACCAGTTCACAGCAGCTACAAAGTTCCCTCAAATGCAACAGTCACATCTCAAAAAGTTGTTCAGGCATCCTTTTAGCAGGTAATAATGTGTTTGATCTTGTTCTTGTCTGGCAGGCTTCTTTGTTAAACCTGTTTGAGTAGTTCCCCAAACCCCTCCCCCCCCCCGGCCCGCAACAATTACGGTAGTTGTCTGTTTATTAAAACAAATCTAGTTTTGCAAATTACAAGGAACTTTCCTAGAATTATAGAACTAGAATGATAAAACTCTACGAGACCACCTTATGTTTATGACTTGAATAGATTAAGCAGATCAGGAGAAATGCTTAAATATATTTAATTTGTATACTGAATTATAAAAGGAAGACACCTTTGTTATGTTTTATAAGAGAGAATCCACAACCCACCATGGCCACAGACGTGAAGAAACTCAAATCCTTGTGTTGTTGTTGTTATTTATATAATATGGGTGAGTCACTACCTCTCATCCTAACCTATTTCACAGTGTTATTGTGGGGATTAATGTGTGCCATCTTAAACTACTTAGAGAAAAAAGGCAGGATATAAACGCAGTAAATAAAGTGGGCTGGGTGTCAGTTTACTACTGCTAATCTGCCCCTTTCAGGGTGGTCGCTTTTGGGGAGGGGCTGAGCTATGTGGATTGCTGGACTTTGGCCCTCATGTCCAGCCATAGCTGCGCCAGTGCTGTAAAATCACCTGTTGCCATTAGCCCCATGTTAGTGTGATTGGGATGCGGGTGGCGCTGTGGTCTAAACCACTGAGCCTCTTGGGCTTGCCGATCAAAAGGTTGGGGGTTTGAATCTGTGCAACAGGGTGAGCTCCTGTTCCTCTGTCCCAGCTACTGCCAACCTAGCAGTTCAATAGATACCTCTGCAGCGGAAAGGTAAATGGTGTTTCCCTGCACTCTGGTTTATGCCATAGTGTTCCACTGTGCCAAAAGCGGTTTAGTCATGCTAGCCACATGACCCAGAAAGCTGTCTGTGGACAAACGCTGTCTCCCTCGGCCTGAAAGCGAGATGAGCGCCGCAACCCCATAGTCGCCTTTGACTGGACTTAACCGTCCCGGGGTCCTTTACCTTTACCTTTTTAGTGTGATTGCTGATCCTGTAGTTCTTTCAGTACTTGCTTCCAACACTGCTTGCACAGGTACTGATTTATAATCCACATTATAGCACCAGTCATGTCCACATGCCTCTTGGAAGATCTGCACATGACAGAATAGTGGGGTCATGCATTCATCTTCTCAAAGCATCTGCACATACCCACTCAGTGTGTTCATACAGTGAAAAATGATCGGGGCTATATATATATTTCATACATCTTCCTACTAGGAGTTCTTTTTCTATGTGGGAAAAATGTTATGTTTTGAAGCGCCCCTGTGTCTTAACAGAAGCTTTCAGATGGAAAACGCTGACATGTAACTAGTACTGACTGCCAAGAAATTACTCACAAGTAAGATTTTGGCATTGTGGGTTGCGATTCCTTCCTGGACTTTGAAATGCAAGGGGTGGTGGTGATTGCATAAATGACATTTAAAGGAATTGGCTTATATCTGAAGAAAAACAACAACCCCAAACAAATCAAGTTATCTATCTCTTTTTTTGTGACCAAATACAAGCACATAACACAGCAGTATGTGTTGAAGAAGTTAGAAATTTTCTCAGTGCGCCCCTCCCACACTGCCCAGTGGTACAGTTGAGACAATGGGGCTGTGGCTTGTGAAACCCTCCCCTGCTTCAGACCAGTGTATATGGTGCAGGAGGGCCTGGTCTGGCCTACTCATGCTTGGCTTGCCTGACCAGGACTCCAGTGGGCATAGCACACCTGCCAAGAGACCCGGAAAAAATGGGACATCCTGGTTTTTTTGCTTGAGATCATGGCAGCCATTTTGGGTGCCACAATATCACATGTTCTCATGCCGTGCTCTCGTTTTTTGTGTTTTTTCTGGACTGCAATCTCATGCAGCTCCCCAAAACATGTGTTTTTTGACACTGCAGAAGATTGCGCTCTGTAAAAGAAATGCTTTGGGGTGGTGGTGGCGCGAGAGTGCTGTGTGAGTCATGTGACTTGCCTGGGAGCACTTCCCTGAAGATGCGTGTCCTGGTTTTCGATCGGAAAAAATAGGACAGTATGGCATAGGTAAGTGGAAACGCTCTGAATCTTGACCCTCTGCAGGCACTCTAGCTGCAGGATTGTGTTACTTTTGGGGAGGAACCATGTGGATTGTCTGCCTCTAGCACGAAAGTGTTTGGGGTCATCTCTGCCTGAAGCAATACAATGCACTCTGCTTATGCTGGATATGTTGCAGCGAGGTTATTTTATCTGTGGATGCCTTAAGCCAGAGCTTTCCAAACTGTGTGTCGTGACAAGTTAGTGTGTTGGTTGCTGTGTGCAGGTGTGTCGTGCGAATGTTCCTCATGCTCCTCCCAGGGCTGGAAAGGGATTAGTTTAACCTCTGGTTTGCTAGTAAAACTGAATTACAGTGGTACCTCGGGTTACATATGCTTCAGGTTACATACGCTTCAGGCTACACACTCTGCTAACCCAGAAATAGTGCTTAAGGTTAAGAACTTTGCTTCAGGATAAGAACAGAAATCGGGCTCCGGTGGTGCAGCGGCAGCAGGAGGCCCCATTAGCTAAAGTGATGCTTCAGGTTAAGAACAGTTTCAGGTTAAGAACGGACCTCCGGAACGAATTAAGTACTTAACCCGAGGTACCACTGTACTGTGTTGCGAAATGATGCAAAACTGAATTACTGTGTCGCAAAATGATGCATGTCTAAAAAGTGTGTCACCAACATGAACAGTTTGGAAAGCTCTGCCTTAAGCAGTGGTCTTAACCACTGCTTTGCAGGTCAAAATATTACTTGTGTTTAGTGCAGGATAGTAAGCAGATGCCAAAAGTAAGCATGCAACTTAAGAAGACTGTACACTGTCCTTTGTAAAACACTGTATCCACAGAGATACAGCGGAACCTGAGCAAAAATTAAGCTGTGGCAGCCAAAGGAAAAGGAAAAGGTCTGTATTTCAGTACAAGTGAAAGTATCTGTGATCTGCTTGTTTTGAATCTGCTATCTTAATCTCAGGAATGTAGCATTTTGGTATTGGGTGTGAGGTACAACATTCCAAAGGGATTATTCTTATTAGGCTTCATCCTTTGCTCTGAACTGCGGAGAAGCAAGTTTGCCACTAATCATTAGCGGAGCTAGGCACTGATACACACCTATATTTTGTACTGCATATCCGTGCAGACCGGAAACTAGATTTTCCACCCAGGAAGCAAATATGTGTTGTGTGAGTATGCAGTGTATGTAGCAAACGCTTCTGTTATGCCCAGTGTAGAGCATGTGGTCAAAATGTGCTGCTTTGCACCCAAATGGTGAAAAGAGTGTTAAGGGGGTATATGTGAAAGGTCTTAAGGCAAAAAACCAAAATGAAGAAATGTTTATTCCTGGGACCATAGTCCGTCCTGAATCAGGGACATACATACATTGGATGTACACAGTGTATGGAACTTGCTTCCACAGGAGGCAGTGATGGCTACCATCTTGGATGGCTTTAAAAGAGGAATAGACAAAAACATGGACGATGGGGCTACCAGTGGCTACTAGCCATGATGGCTATGCACTGCCTCCATAGTCAGAGGCAGTAATGCTTCTAAATAGAAACTGCAGGAGGGGAGAGTGCTCTTGTGCTTGGGTCCTGCTTGCACGTTTCCCACAGGCATCTGATTGACCACTATGCAAACAGGATGCAGGACCACTGGCCAGATCCAGCAGGCTCTTTTTATGTTCTTATGGAGATGTTTAGTGGGCAATGAGCCTCTGTATCATTCCCACCCAAACAGATGGGCAGGGGCTGTAGCTCAGTAGCATAACACATGCTTTTCTTGCAGAAGGTCGCAGGTTCAGTCCTTGGCTTTTTTGGGCCGGGTGGGAAAAGACTTGCCTGAACCTTTGAAGATCTTCTGAACTGGACCGATGACTTAACTCATAAGGCATCTGGCAAAGGAGCTACTAGTAAACTAGCCAGATAGCAAGGAAGCTTCACAGTTAGTAAGCCATCATCTTGACCCTTAGAAGAGCTTCCATGCCAATTTTCCAATGACTTCCAGAAAATTCAACAGGACAAATCAAGCAGATTGCAATCTGGAATACATTTAAGATGGGGCAAAACCTGCCTCTCTCCCTAGCTTCTGAGCTCACCAGGGTCAGATCCAGCCCATACCTCCCAGAGCAGCCCTTTGTATTCTCCATTAAGTGAATAGCTGAGATTCCAAAAAAGAAGAAGAAGAATGAAGGACTGCACTCAAATACAGTCCTGTAGTTGAGCTGAAGTCCATCTACTATCTCTGACATTGAGTTGTTTTGCTTTCATTGTCAGGTACCACAAATAAGTGTAATGAGATTTTTTGAAAATGAGCTATCAGAAATAAAGTGGCAAGATTTTGCTGTTTCCTGGTAGCTATTTTGTGTGTGTGGAGGGGGGTTGTACATTTATGCTGTCAAATGCTGAAAAATAGAACTGCTGAGTGTCAGAGCACCATGACTCACTTGTACCAAAGCTGAAATGCACTGCAAAAGAAAGTACATTTCGGCTCTTCCAAAATAGCTTACATTATTGTTTTCATGAATGGCACCAGGTTCTGGAAGGGTGTATGAAGGGGCTGATGTAGGTCGCCTTTGAACTACCTTTCTCAGGAGGCTCTGTAACATACAGGAACACCCCCTCAATATACCCACCCAGTCCATCCTACTGATGAAAATTATGCCAGTTGGATGTACTACTGAAATATAATCCCCATCATCCCTCATCATTGGCCGGGGTGGCTGATGGGAGTTGGAATCCAAAACATCTGGCTAGCACCAGATGGATAGGCTATCTTAATAGTGTAAGATTATTGTGTCCTGTTACATTATCAGGGGTCCCTAGTCTGTCTAAAATTCTTTTCAGTATGTGACAATTTGCAGGAGTTGTCCAGGCTTAAATTTATATTAGTTCTGTTTGTGCCAAGATATAATAATTGACACAGTTTGAGATACATTCTGAAGTAATATTTAAAAGTTGGGATCAAATCAATGCTCATACTGAAATATGGTCAGCAATATGCATAAAGTTATATTGTAATGTCATTTAGAGAGGTGTAGATGTGTATGTAGGACGCGGGTGGCGCTGTGGGTTAAACCACAGAGCCTAGGACTTGCCGATCAGAAGGTCGGCAGTTTGAATCCCTGTGACGGGGTGAGCTCCCGTTGCTCACTCCCTGCTCCTGCCAACCTAGCAGTTCGAAAGCACGTCAAAGTGCAAGTAGATAAATAGGTACCACTCTGGTGGGAAGGTAAACAGCGTTTCCGTGCGCTGCTCTGGTTCGCCAGAAGCGGCTTAGTCATGCTGGCCACATGACCCAGAAGCTGTACGCCGGCTCCCTCAGCCAGTAAAGCGAGATGAGCGCCGCAACCCCAGAGTCAGCCATGACTGGACCTAATGGTCGGGGTCCCTTTACCTTTTAGATGTGTACTATTTAAATCTGAAGAATGGAGCAAGCAACAAGTGGGAACTCTACTGCATTTTAATGTGAAACTATTTTTACACCCTAGCATTGAAGTGAAGGGACCCGTGCTTAATTCACTTAATTTGAGTGCTGTAATAAAGGGGCAGCAAAAAACATCTGAAGGCATTGGTCCCAAGAAGCTGACATCTGTGATCTGAGAGTATTTCCTCTCCCCTGATTACAGGACTGTGTGTTTGTTCTTTATTACAGTGAAAATGATCTGTTTGCCCAACTCTGTCTTCCTGATCTTCCAGTTTTCAGTGCAATGTGTGCAATGTAACTTGACTGCCTAGAATTGTTGCAACGTTAGGTAGGTCATTAAGGCATGTAATTAATTGTAAAAAGATAGCATCGCTTTTGGCACACAGCCAAAGCCAGAAAGTTATAGGCATATACAGTGGTACCTCGGGTTACATACGCTTCAGGTTACATATGCTTCAGGTTACAGACTCTGCTAACCTAAAAATATTACCTCAGGTTAAGAACTTTGGTTCAGGATGAGAACAGAAATCGCGTGGCGGCGGCGCAGCAGCAGCAGGAGACCCCATTAGCTAAAGTGGTGCTTCAGGTTAAGAACAGTTTCAGTTTAAGAACAGACCTCCGGAACGAATTAAGTACATAACCAGAGGTACCACTGTAATCTGAGGACTATTCAAATTTCTGAACATGTCTAATAATAACCTGTTACGATTTAAACTGCCCAACCCTGATATTGATTCTGCGTCTGTGTGCTTTGCTGTATTCATTTGCCCTTATTCCCAAGAACAATTAGAACTGTAGCCTAATTGTACTGCTGTTTGTACAACCCTTACAGAGATAATTAGCTGCCCTAAATCTGAAACAAAACAAAATGCTAAATGCTTCCATATTGTGCTTTCTGAAACTGAAATGCTTTGGAATGAGTTACAATGGTGTCTAGGAAAAGGTTTTAAGTCCTTTTGAGAACTTACAGTGACCATGTGGAAAGACTTCCTGCACATAATCTGTGAATCTACCACTCCTTTTTCTGTTTGCAAAATACTGAAAAAACACACACACACTGAGAGAAAACATACAGTGATGCACAGGTGGGTTCTCTGTTTCCAGTCAACACATGAGGGAGGGGAAAGAAGAATCACACATCCCTCTTCATGGGTTTATTTATTTTTATTTATGTATTTATATATTATGTATTCAAAGCCATTTCTAAACAGCTTAATGTTTTCAAAATCTCTTTAGTGGTGCATGCTATGTACAATGTAAAAATATCATTGTGACTTGTGTTAAGTGTAGAATAACAATATTTTGAATACGGGTATGAAACTGGGTGTTTGATTTGGAGGTCGTCTTGAAATGTCACAGAAGCCTTCTTCAGAAATAATTAAATAAACACATGAGGAGGATGAGCAGGAGAAGCAGAGATGAGCGAACTAGCTCCTGCCCATAGCTGTTTTTGTTGCCCTCCATCTTGCGGAGGGTAATATCAGCTATATATGTTTTGGAATGAATAGAGAAGACAGCCTGCTGCAGAGGTTTGCTCTCCACTTGGAGCTGCCTTTGCCAGCCTGGTGACTCCAGATGCTTTGAACTAAGGCCAGGGCTGATAGAAACCATAGTTCTAGATATCTGGAGGGCGTCCGGCTGAAGCAGGCGGATTGGAGAAGGGGAATGGTAGCCAGGTGGGAGGGCAGAGCTAGTGTGTTGTCCCTTCTCCCCTTGTGTGCTTGCTTGGCTCTTAATGGTGAGACTTGAAGAGACCTAAAGACATAATGCAATGAGGGTGGTTTTTGTTCAATAAATTGCAAGTTACCCTGCATTTCAGGATCTCTAAGAGGCACCTGTATTGGGGTTTGGGAAGACATATGCAAAATTTGTGTACCTTTTAATTAATAAATAATTTGTAAGGCACATATTTAATTGGCGAAATACCTCTTGATAATAGGCATACAGTTTGACCTGCTTTTGATGTATGAAAGCATTCTATCTCTTTGAAGATGGATGTTAACACCCTTCCTTTCTTGGTCAGCTCTAATTCATGGCTTGAAATGTTCCAAAACCATTAGCTATACCAGTCCGAAATACATCTGAAAGACATACACTTGCATATAGTGATAGAATAAATGCTATATTTAAGGTTTAAGCAATTTGTAGCTAGTATGTCTGGTAAGATCTACACTTTAGAACTATGTGACCTGATTACACAATCATGAATAGAAGGCTTCTCTTTAATCTTTTCTTAGGCTGCAACCCAATATTATACACACCTCCCTGTTTGGTAGAACATCACATTGGCGTTTACTTCTGAACTGACCTTTATAGGATTACACAGTTAGCTGGTTGGATTATATATGTATTCATCTAAAACCAAATTGGATGAGGCTGCTCCCAAGACCAACTTTGTGCTCTTTTTTTTTTTAACCTATCATGTGGCAAGCACCCCCAGAATGACCTGGGTGAATGGTTGCAAGGGATGGACTATTCTTAAATCAGTGTTAATCACTTTACTTTTACAAAGTGATTAAAGGTTCTTAAGTATTTGTACAGCATCTTAAAAAGCAGAGACATCGCCTTGCCAACAAAGGTCCGTATAGTTAAAGCTATGGTTTTCCCAGTAGTGATGTATGGAAGTGAGAGCTGGACCATAAAGAAGGCTGATCGCCAAAGAATTGATGCTTTTGAATTATGGTGCTGGAGGAGACTCTTGAGAGTCCCATGGACTGCAAGAAGATCAAACCTATCCATTCTGAAGGAAATCAGCCCTGAGTGCTCACTGGAAGGACAGATCCTGAAGCTAAGGCTCCAATACTTTGGCCACCTCATGAGAAGAGAAGACTCCCTGGAAAAGACCCTGATGTTGGGAAAGATGGAGGGCACAAGGAGAAGGGGACGACAGAGGACGAGATGGTTGGACAGTGTTCTCGAAGCTACCTGCATGAGTTTGACCAAACTGCGGGAGGCAGTGGAAGACAGGAGTGCCTGGTGTGCTCTGGTCCATGGGGTCATGAAGAGTCGGACACGACTAAATGACTAAACAACAACAAGTATTTGTACAACTATTTTGTGAAATGAATTAGTCAGGCTACTTGATGTGGTTGAGATGGTGCCTGAATCAATCTCTTTGAAGTCCAGAAGCTCAGTATTGAACCTTTTGGGACATCTATTTACAGATTGTTCAATGCCTTCCCACCTATCAGATCTCAGTTTTAACACATGTGGTCAGTGATGGCATTTGACACATAATATATATTTGTTTAAGGGCTATGCTGAGCTAGTTCAGAGCTAACAGAGCTATCTACATTCAGTAGTTCTTTCATTTTCTTCATTGTGTGGACTTCAGCGACACTGGATTGTTCATTTCATTCATCTTAACTATTTTTACTTATATTATTTTATTTCTCTATATCAGATGAAATAAATGTTTAGAGGAGGAAAAACCCACCAGTAACTTCTGTACAGTATTTGTTTCTGGTATGGGAGAATGAGAGATACCTGTGGTGACATGGTCTGTTGCATTCCTTCCCATATTGAAGAGCCCATGTTATCACTGAAGCTTCTTAAAAGAGTTTTATTAAATTCTGTTTGATAGGCTATATTCACAGCTGAACACCTTACATAAGATAGCTTAATTATGGTTTAGCTCAAGGGGATAATTAAAACTTCAAGTCTGCAGTTCAAGACTGATACGTGCATAAAAGTAGACTGATTTTGATTTTTCTGGTAGCAAGCTGAAATGAATCTTATATTTCAGGTGGTATCGGATAGCAAAGCAAGGATATAAAAAAACTGCATATAGAACCCCTGAGTTGTAACACAAAACGCCACTTCTTAATCTTCTTCATTCCTTACAAAAAAAATCACTCTCTTGTCTCCCCATGCCAGTGGCCTCATGCAGCACATACATTCAGCATGAATTCATTTCCTTGTCAGTCCTTAGACTCTCTCTTCTTTCTTCCTTCTCCTTAACCTTCTCCTCACAACCCAACCTACATTCCTCAGGAATTCCCCTTCATGCACAACTTGTAATCTCTTTCCCTTTCTGGCTCCTGGACTCCTTTTACTAGAGTATGCAGCTTGCGGTGGTTGCAAAGGACAAGCCTCTGAGACAGTGTCATAGGTGACACAAAAAAGCTCCTTCAGTCTGGCCCCGTGCTATTCTGCCACTTGCAATTATCGTCAGTCTGGCACAAGATGATGAGAAATTTGCTGTACATTCTAGACAAAAAAATTGATTTGATCCTTACTTTTGTATAGTATAGTAGGTTACATTTTGCCTCTGGCTGCACCAACTACTGCCATCTGGTTCCCACAGAGTTGCCCATGAGGGAATGCTGCCTTATGCTAAACAAAGATTTCCCCACCCTGGGTTTTTAAAAAAAAACCTTATGTGATATAGTAGTATAAACACCGACAATTGGGAAACACTGGCCTGCGAGCGCTCCAATTGGAGAAAAGCCTTTACCAAAGGTGTAATGGACTTTGAAGACACTTGAACTCAGGACGAAAAGGAGAAACGTGCTAATCTTACTCAGCTACGAGTGATTGCCAAAGAAGAATGTGTGTGTGTGTGTGTGTGTGTGTGTGTGTATACATATAACATATCACCACCCCTTTTCCAGTTACAGCCAGATTTGCCCTCCAGTGCCATATTTTTAGGAGTGTACTCTAATTTTTGCCATTATCCAAAGTAGTCCCCCCGCTACTATTCCCAGATTTTGATGCAATTCTTAAAACAGAAGTATTAAAAAAATATTACTACCATATCATATATCTGAAGTGTGCGATCAGTCATTTCCCCCCTGTCTCTGGATAGGGTTGCCACCTTTCCCCCCTGATTGGGTTCCTGTACCTTTAAACAGATCTGTCACAAGCAGAAATCAAACAGGTGCAGACCTTTAAGGCACCGCTGTTGTTTTTCTGCCTATCCTGCAGCTGTTAAAGGCACAGGAGCCTGCTGGAAATGAAAGGTAACAATCCTAAGCCTGCTATACGTGGCTGTCTGCCATATGAACAATATTGGGTGCATCTATCTGTATTTGAATATTTAGCCACACCTAAAACTGGGAGGTTGGGGCGATCACTCTCCTGCGTTTATCCACTCGGAGTTCAGCAAGAAGTTGTTCATTTTAACAGCAAAGGAAGTTGTGCTATCTGGGTTCCTGGAGGGTTAAAAACAATCACCTGCATTTGAAATGAGACTTGGAAGTAGGAAGTGTTGCTGTGGCTTGAGCTTCCTGTATAAATAAGTGTAGCTTTCTTACAGCTACTGCATATGTGCGCGACGTGCATTTTAAGAAATAATGGCAACATGCTCTTAATAGCTGGGAGGAGATTATTCTTCGGAACGAGGAGACGGTTGAGAGATGAGCCCTGCTCCAGACCTATAACGTGTGAAGCTTTCAGATGCTGGGAGAAGGAAGGAAGCGGTGAGAAATGAAACGCGTTTCTTCAGACTCTGAGCTTTTGCTGGCGGTGACATGTCTTGGAGGCACTGAAGTGTGAGTGAAGCTATTGAAAAGTCAAACGTTTGGGAGCGAATCCTGCTCTCTTTTGGCAAGGTATGCTGGAACGATCTGCATTTCTTTATAGCGGGGGCAATTAAGTAAGGGCTGTCATTTTCCTTTCCAGTTCCTAAAGGGCAAAAGGAGGTGAAACCCAATCATTTTGGGTACTTGGTTTTTTTTAACATACACAGCCAGCACTGTAGTTCATCTGAGGCAAAACTGGGTTTCTTAGAAATTAAATGCCAATGTTAGAGCAGTAACTTATGCACTTTCTTCGGTAGGGGTGGTTGGTTTTATCAGTATAGCTTTGCAGAAATAAATGCTCACTTTACTTGTGTGGGGCAAACACTGAAAAGTCTTTAAGATGATTTCAAACCAAGTGATCATTTTAAATTTGTTCACTCCTAATGGAAACTTCAATTCTGTTCTTTAAATAAAAGGATGATCTGAAAGATGTTAAGGAGAGGATCTATTTGAAAAGATACATACTTTGTGTTTGTGTCATGTAATTTGCAGCACAATTCCAGAAATATTTTGCATGGTGGAACTATGTCTGACTATAGAGACAGTTTTTTTTGTTTTCTCTAATTGTTTTTAAACTTCAGGAATAACATACAGAATATACGTATTTTTAGTTCCTATTGTAGTTTTACTATTCTAGGCAGAAAATGAAAGCCACATGCTTATGTGTCTGCATATTTATAGTAATTTTGGATACAGTGTCTTGTTCCACCATCCTAGTGTGAAGTGCCTTTTGCACTTTTCCTGTGAATGGCTGTTGCTTTAAGAGTTTGCTTCACAGAGTGTAAGTCAGTTATAATGCCCTGAACTCCAGTTAAATATCTTGGAAGGTTTAAAGAAATGGTGTAGTATGATTTCTCTGCCTTAATATGTGCCAGATATATTTCTGAAGATGCGGCTTCAGTATCTGTGATTGTGGGGATCTACTATTGTGGAATTTCTGTTCTTCTTTATGCCATGTTCACCTTAGCTGATAAACTGGGAATAAATGCAACACATGGGAAGAGATCGTGCCTGCTGGACTTACACCTGCAGGGACCAGGAGGTCTACACTCATAGGTTCTGAATGTATGATTCCTATTTTCCTTTCCTGCAGGGTACAGGATATGTGTTCATAGTCTATATTAGGGTCCTCAAACTCAGCCCTACAGATGTTTTGAGACTACAGTTCCCATCACCCCTGACCACTGGGATCATGGGAGTTGTAGGCCAAAAACATCTGGAGGGCCGAGTTTGAGGAAGCCTGACCTATGTGCATTGGAGGTATGCTTGTTTGGACTTTTGCACGTAAATCAGTATCGGTGTCTGAGGTTCAGAGGCAGGATCTGCAGGTGTAAGCCCCATCTTGCCTTCCATGTGTACATTTATATTGAGCTTAGACACCTGTACAGGACTCTGAGTGGATGCGGTCATGGAATTATAGAATCGTAGAGTTGGAAGGGACCCCAAGGGTCTCGGCTAAAGCATCCATGAAAGATGGCCATCCAGCATCTGCTTAGAAACCTCCAAGGAAGGAGAGCTCCCAACCTCCTGAGGGAGGGCTTTCCACTGTCGAACACCTCTTACTGTCAGAAAGTTCTGCCTGATGTGTAGTCGGAATCTCCTTTCTTGTAACTTGAAGCCATTGGTTCGAGTCCTACCCCTCCAGAGCAGGAGAAAACAAGCTTGTTCCCTCTTCCATGTGACAGCCCTTTAGATATTTGAAGATGGCTGTTGTATCTCCTCTGTTTCCTCTTTTCCAAGCTCCTTCAACCGTCCCTCATAAGTCATGTTTCTTGTGCAGCAATCCCTTTTTAAGCTGAATGCTGTGGGTTTGGAGTTGTGATGAAGAGCGGCTGTTTCCATTGGGTGGCTTGAGCAAAGTTTGAGCAAATCATGTGGCAAAGTTTCTGCCAGTTATACTTTACAACATATCCAAAAGGTTTTCTAATAGCATCCTCTTTCACTGTCTATTCAGCTCCTTTTTATTCTGCAAGCAACCTAAAGAAAGCTGGGCATGACTTCTGTGATCGCTTCCCCCAAAGTCTTTATTCATCAGGTGAAACCTTCCTTGCTCTGAGCTTGTTTACCTTTGTTTGGTGCTCTGAATAGAGTGGGCATTTCTTGTGGTGCATTTCTGTTCTTCTCATAATCAGATAGCTAGAGTCAGAGGAGCTCTGGTTCTCTATTCTGTCTCCAGAACGACCAGCTTTATGTTCTTCATTTCTAAACTGAGCTCTTGGGGATGTGTCACTTAGTGGGTTTTCCCATTAACTACTTTGGGCAGTGAGTGTCTTGTCTTCTCCTCACCTCAGAATGAACTTCTGGTTTCCTGGAGCCTTGTTTTCAGTGGAAGGATGCCAGAGTTAGTCAGTAGGTACCAAACCACATGTTGACCAGAGTTAAACCACAAGGCGAAGCAACACGATGAAGCCACAAGGTGCAGATACATTAAGGGCTTTAGTACACTCAGAACTGAAACTCTGCCCCTTTCTTGGCAAACAGCATGCTGATATTATGTGGCATGTGAAAGGTGCTGATCTTGGTTCCCAGTCAAGTTAAATGAGCTGGAATTGAGAATTGGATCAGGTTTGCCAATTGTATATATCAGAGCTGGATAGGTTTTCTTTTCTTTCTTTGGTATTGTAATTTTATGTTGTGAACCACCCTGAGATCTATGGGTATACAAACAAACAATTTGTGATGATGGTGAGAAGAGTTCAGCTCTCCCTCTACCTCCCAACTTCTCCAGCAGAATTAAGTTATAGGACGAGTAAAGGGGAACATGGCAGAAGGCCATTGGGAGGACTAGACAAGAATTGCTTCTGGGAGCCACAGAGTAACCATGATAACTGGAAGACATGCCTGGATGCCTGAAATGGTCTGCATCACCTCTCCTGGCTGTGCCCTTTTACAGCCACGAGGGAAACTTGCTCTGTTTTTAAAAAGGAAAGCTGATAGCCTTGTTATTTTTTCTAAAAAAACCCCACCCAGTTCTACTGTTTGCTCTATTGCTTGCTAACCTAGTTTATAAAGTTGCTAGGTTGGTCCTGTATATATGCTTCTGAGCATTGGACTTTGGCATCTTTGGGAGAACATTGTCTACGTTTTGAAAATAAACTGTAGTAGGCAAATAAAGAGAAGCCTGATGCCTTGACCATAGCCAAGAAGGCAGGTGTTCTCAGCAAGCAATGCATCCAGTGGCAACAAGCTCTTAATCTGTACTGGCTGAAATTGAGTAGAACACTAGAGTTTCTGACTGTAAAGATTGACTCCTACTAAAAATGCAATTTTTGAGTGCTATTGAATCACTGGGTTAAGGTTGCAGCATTTACAAATGTTTACTTATCTGCCAGTGCCAAATACCTTTGTTCTGAGCTTTCATTGTCTTTGTGTTGCACATTAGCTGGGCCTTGCATTAACAAGATATAATCATCACCATCATCACAATAATCATTTTAAATTTATACCCCACCTTTTTCCCTGACAGGGACTCAAGGCAGCTTACAGATAGAAAATAATTAAAACATAGGAGGGAAAATCATTAAAAACAATTAAACATAGATAAAATTTAAAACTATCCATCCATCTACACACCGTATAGATATTTACAGTAAAAACCACATTACCAGCTACATAATACGAAATTGATATTGCTGAACATTTCCAGACTTGGGCATACCTGCTTGTTTTTATGTATTCCAATACACACAATTTCTGTGGTTTCATGGGAATAGCTTGATGTGTGTGTGTGTGTGTGTGAGAGAGAGAGAGAGAGAGAGAGCGAGAGAGAGAGAGAAGGCAGCAGCGGCGGCGGGGGGGGGGGGTGTCTCTTCCAAATTTCATGTGATTACTAGGACCCTAAGCTGAAGCTCCAATGACCACAATAAAAACAACCAAGAAATGCAGGAAGGGACCATATAAGCAGAGTAACATGCAAAGTTTAGAGAAACTAAATTCCTTTATTCTGTTTGGGTCCTTTTTCTGTAAACAGGATCTTTAACTGTAGCAGCATTGTTACTTTTTGCTTTCTAGAACAGTAGTTGTATTGGTGTGTTGGACCAAAAAAATCCCTTGTATGCTTACTTGGGAGAGTAAACTCACAAGGGTGGGAAAGACCCCCATCTGAAATCCTGGAGAAGTACTGCCAGTCACTATAGACAGTACTGAGATTGATGAACTAATGGTCTCGTGCAGTATAGAAAGTTGGAAGGGACCCCAAGGGTCATCTGGTCCAACCCCCTACAATGCAAGAATCACAGCTAAGAAATCCCTGGCAGGTGGCCATCCAACATCTGTTTAGGAATCTCCAATGAAGGAGAATCAACTACCTTCTGATGTAGTCCTTCCCACTGTTGAACAGCTCTTACCATCAGAAAGTTCTTCCCAATGTTTAATTGGAATTTCCTTTCTTGTAATTTGAATCCATTGGTTCAAATCTTGCCTTCTGGAGCCGCAGAAGACATGCTTTCTCCATCTTCCACATGACATCCCTTCAGGGATTTGAAGACTGCTATCATATCACCTTTCAATCTTCTCTCTTCCAGGCTAAACATACCAAACCCCTCAACTGTTCCTCATAAGACCCTTGATGATCTTGGTTGTCCTCCTCTGCACGTGTTCTAGCTTGTCAATATCCTCCTTAAACTGTGGTGTCCAGAACTGGACACAGTACAGATAGGGTCCAATCAAGGCCGAATAGAGCAGCACTACTTCCCTTGAGCTGGCCACTAGACGTCTGTTGATGCATCTTAGAATTGCATTAGCTTTTTTCTGCTGCATCACATTCATGTTAAGCTTGTGGTTTACTAAGATCCCTAAATCCTTTTTTTACATCTACTGCAGTCAAGCCAGGTGTCCCTCATCCTATATATGTCTATCAGGTTACCGTATGTCCATCAGATTACTCCTGCCTTACAAATGTAGAACCTTACATTTGTCCCTATTGAAATGCATTTTGTCAGTAGAAGTCAGCTTTATATGTTCTAAATCAAGTAGGGTTTATGTCTAAAATAATATATTTATTCCATATAATTAAATATGTATGCACTGGTACCTCGGTTTAAGAACAGGCCTGTTTCCGAAGTATTCGGTTTAAGACCTCTGCAAAACCAGAAGTAGTGTCCTGGTTTGCGAACTTTACCTCGGTCTAAGAATGGAAGCCGAACAGTGGAAGGGCACCGGCGGTGGGAGAGCCCTTGTTAGGGAAAGCGTGCCTCAGTATAAGAACGGTTTCGGTTTAAGAACGGACTTCCGGAACGGATTAAGTTCATAAACCGAGATACCACTGTACTATGATATATATATTCATGTTATATTTAAATAAATACCTCTAAGAAAATCTACACAGGGTTGGAAATTCTAATTTGCGGTACTCACTGTGGAAAAATTGAAGCAGGGTGGTTGTTATTCCAGATTAGTTAATCCAGAGCACTTTTGTCTCTGTCTCCACACATTGTTGGCTCTTACTCTGCCCACCATTGTCCTGTGACCCTCAACAGAGTATTATTACCCTCAAAAGAATTCAGACCTTGACAGAAAGAACTTTTTGCTCTAAGCTTTTTTTCTGGGGACATTGGATTTTGATATCTGCAAGATTTGGCACTGACAAGTGGATGACCTTGCACATGTTTCTGCCTCCTCACTATGTGTCCTTGCTTTCAGAAAACCTGGTCCTCATGTTATACAATATTTTTTGTTCCATACCCTTCAGTTAGCTCCACTTCTCATTCCACTGAAGTTGCATCAAGGCTCTTTTTAATGGAGGCAAGCTTCCAGATTACTGCGGAGGTCTTTACATGGCTTTTAAGATGACAAAGTAAGGCAGGTTCCTTTGTGCCTTTTTGAGGAAGGAGGAAATGGTGATCAGAGTGAGGCACGACCACAATGCAGCCTTATTTTTTACAAACTAAAAATGAAAGCACTGGCCGTTTGTGCCCACACTTACTCCCACTTAACAGTATTGACTTTTCAATGTTAGGAAGCTGAAGGCTAGTTTTAATGCTTTGCCTCTTTCCTCTGCGGTTGTCATGGGAATAATGAAAAAAAGCATTTATAAGTATATGGTATGAGTCATTGATATGGGAGATGGCAGTCTCTGTGTGAGAGGCATAAACATTTCACTGGAGTAACTTTTCAGCCAGATCAAAATGGAATTGTAAACATGCTCAAGGATCAGGTAAGTGGTCTTGGATGCCCAGGTAGCAATGGTGCCCAGAAGAGGAGCCTTTTACCTTCTTAGTATGCCTTCCGTGTCCTTTTCTGGGTGCAGAAAGGATCTGGCTGTTCCCATATGAACTTGCACAACTGACCTGGTCAGTTTTGTTGAAGGCCCTGCTTTCTGTGTCTTTACTGAAAGAGGTACAGTAGATGAGTATGAAAAGCAGGGCCTTCTCACTGGAATTTTCCAGGCTGGACGTCCCTCCATTAGGAAACTCACCTGACCTTTTCACTCTTAGGAGACTGATTAAGGCTGTTCTTTTGAGGAGATGGAGAACTTAGCTTTGATTCCCCCACCCCACCCCCGCCACTGCTTTTCATAGTTTTTTTGCTGCTCATTTTGTTCCTACTCCAGCGGCTTTGCTGGTGAGTGTGACCTTGATTTTCTTAAAACATAAAACGTATTTAATATCTGTTGCGAAGCACTTTTGTTGCAGAATATTACATGGGTCCAGGTTCTTGGGCACAGTTCTTTGTCAGACCTGCAACCTCAGCTTTCTGGGAAAGATTAGATAAAGTCTGCAAAAGAACTGCAGGAAAGGATGGAGGAGCTGATCATGCAGAGGCCAGGTGTGTGACCCACGTGATCAGAAAAGAACATACTGTATTTTTCGCCCTATAGGACGCACTTTTCCCCCTCCAAAAATGAAGGGGAAATGTGTGTGCGTCCTATGGGGCGAATGCAGGCTTTCGCTGAAGCCTGGAGAGCGAGAGGGGTCGGTGCGCACTTCGCGCCCGCCTCCCGATGGCTGCGCAGAGCTGCCTGCTGTCCCGGGGCGAGCACCACTCTGCGCAGCCATCGGGAGCGGGGCACGAAGTCGCGCCCGCCTCCCGATGGCTGCGCAGAGCTGCCTGCATTCCGAAGCCTGGGCAGACCAGCGCGACTTACCGCTGGCGTCCCTAGGCTTGCAGATAGCAGGCTGTTCTCGGGGCTGGGATTGGGGGAAGCTCGGACTTCCCCCGCGCCTGGGGGGGGGAAATATATATTTTTTCTTTATTCCCCCCCCCCAAAAAAACTAGGTGCGTCCAATGGGGCGGTGCGCCCTATGGGGCGAAAAATACGGTAACTGTGTGCATCCAGGGCCGGGGTAAAGTTATGGCGGCAGAAGGAATCAAGAGTGAAGGGGAGAAAACAATTACAGGAAATCAGCAGGGGGTGACTGAACAGCAGAGCTGTTAGAATGGCCGAGATAAGCTATCATGAATAGAGGAGTGCCAAAGTGCATCAGTATCAGCTATGGCCCTAAAAAATAGACCAAGTTTTATTGTGGCTAAACCCTATATTTTGCTTTGTTTGCTATTCACCTATCTAGAAAATACTTAGATTTTTTATACACAGTTGATGTTCTTAAATGGAAGATAGTGGACTTTATTACAGTAGATGTCTCGATCCTTTTAAAAATGAACATGGGATGAAAGGAAATATGTATCTGGGAGGAAAAATAGATGATCCTGTGACCCACCTGTATGGAACAAATACAGTAATAAAATAATCAGCCGGGTGCCTGAATTAAAAAATGTGGGGCCAAATTCACCCTCCAGCAAGATAGAGCCCCCAGTAGAGTAGTTTGGCAGCAACATTAATGTGAGGATATAGGTTGTTAGACCCTTTTATCCTGCTTGGTTCCATACAATATTTTCCACTTTCTCCCCCTTTGCAATGAACAGACCACACACTGTTAAGTTTAAAATGCTTTACTTACAAAACTTTCCAAAGGTCAGATTTGTGCATTTATCTGAGCAACAGCAAGGAGAACACATGCAGAACATCTTGGGTAGAAAATACAGAAAGATAGTTCCAAACACCTGCTCTAAGCTTGCAGCTTGCTTGGACGCGTCTTTCTTGGTCAGTTACGTGGTGTAGTGGAGTGAGGAACAGGAAGCGAAGGCTTCACTTCCTCTCTTGCTGGAAAAGAGGGGGTGTGACCTAGCTGAGTCTAGGAATCCAGCTCTTTTAAACCCTTCAAGTGCTAACTAGCACTCATGTTTGACTGCACTATCCCACAATATGTGTCCTTTGCTTGGTTGTAAGTTAATACAGTGGTGTATTATGAAGAACCACCATTACCAAATGTGTGGACAAGCGACTCAATAGAACAGTGGCTTTCACATGTTCTGTCTTCAGGATGTGTTTCCATATTTGTTTGTCACAGAACCTCCGCAGCGACTCCCTCAGACATTGAATTCTGTGGCATGCTATAGGAGGCACAATGTAAACTGAATTTGCCCCCCTCAGCACTCTTCTTTTGCATGTAGAAGATGGAAAGCTTTCTTTCTAAAATGAAGCTGGTCTCCCTTTAGATATATTTTTCAGGAACCTGGTGGTTTCTTGGAGTATAGTTTGAAAACCACTTCTATAGACTGAAACTACATACTCTGGCATAGAACAGCTATATATGCTTTGTGAAGCATTATAGCTCTCTTCAGTTAATCAGATGTTGAATTAATAAGAACTGAGTTCTATCTTTTGCTTTTAATGTCATGTGGATGTATCACAACTGTCAATGGGTAATTTTTGTAAGAACCCATTATAGTTGAATGTTAACAAACATCTGCTCAGTTTGCCAAATAAGAGTTTAGCCTCATGAAATGTTAATCTTGATACTCTGTCTTGCATTGGGAAGGGGGGAACTATCCTGTTCAAAACACTGGGAAATGTTATGAATCTTGGCATCCAAAGGAGGGTTTTCTTTTGTCTTGTTGGTTGATTAATTTCACTTCCATGGTTGTTTCTGTCACTTGAAAATATAGGCCTTACTATGCAAAAGTGAACTAGTTCAGTTGCACAAATCTGAACTACATCTGAAACCAATTATCCTAATTTCCAGGTGAACTAAAGATGAATAAAATTCATTTTGAAATAGAATTTTGAACAATTTCTAGTTCATCTTCACATTGATTCTTTCCCATCCACCCCCAGCCAAAGATTCAGATTCTTAGCTTTCATTTTTAAAAAGCAAGTCAATAGCACATATATAAAGAAAGTCAGAAATAAAAGAAGCAGCAGCAAAATTCTAAGGCTTATTAGGCAGATATGGAGGTGCTACTGTTTCCACTGTCACTTAATAATCAGGAATGCAAGGCATTTCCTGCATCTTCCCTGCTGAAGAGATATTCTATCTTCCAACAGGAGTACCTTGCCGCAAGAAGTACTGGTACAGAAACAAAGTGAATCATGCCTTGTGGCTGGCGCATATTAAACTGGGCAAGCCTTTTCTATTATGGAGAAAGTGTCACCTGTTGACATTTTATCTGTCAGATACCTTATTACTCATTTGTGGTCCCTGATTTACTTTTGGACCCTGTAGTTCAACACAGCAGTTTGTAATGTTTGGAATGTTGGGGGGGGATATTGAGGATGAACTTTTAATGAACTTGAACTGAAGTAGTTTGTTTTGTAAAAAGGCAGCCTTGAGATGGAACTAGTTCCTTATTAAACAGAATGAGCTTATACTACAGTTGGTATACACACACACACACACACACACACACACGTCTTGATGGCAAAATAACCTCAACACCTTGTACCATAGCTCCTCTCCCATCTTGGTTCTTTTTCCTGTCACTTGTGTTGAATTGGTTGCGTGCAATATAAAAGCAATCTGTGCATTTGGTTCTTTTAAACAGTTGAAGCACTTGTTTATCTTCCCCACATATTCTATGTTCCGTTGGCAGATTAATCTTTGAACATATTTTCTTAAAGTGTATACGAGATGGTAATAAAAGATTAGAAATCTGTTTGTGGTATAGTGCCATAGATAGACAGGAGAACGTTTAAAAGCAAACAAAGTAAAGGTTTGCTAAGTATGAATACTGTGCTTGCGTGCTCTCTAAAGGTTCCTGGTCTAATAGATTTTAAAGGTTAAGTAAATGTAGTCCAACTTTAGTTTCCCCTCAACATTAGTCTGATATGTTTTTCTCTTGCGAGGTCTAGTTTTCACTTAACATTTGCGGTACTTAGAATTGCACCCAGACAGTAATCTGAAGATGCTTGATATTGTTCTGTCTCTGACATGAAGCTAAGCTGGACTGGTCCAAGTCAACCCCTCATGGGGGACCATCACATAACTCCATATGTACTTGGAGAAAGGGCTGGATATAAATGTTAACAGATTTAAAGTTAAACCAAACTATTCTTATCTAATACCTTTTTCTGAGGAAGAAGATAGGTAGTTAGTCCCTAATGCCTTGATTTGGCCACAAGATGATGATGATGATGATGATGATGATGGCGATTATTATTTGCACATATAGTCTACCTTCTTCTCCAAGAAGTTCAAGTTGGTGTACGTGGTTCCTCATCCTCTTCATTTTATTTGCACAACAACCATGTGTGAGGTAGGTTAGGCTGAGAGGCAATAATTGGCCTAGTGAGTTTCATGGCTGTGTGAGGATTAGAAGTCTATTCTCCCAGGCCCTAGTTCAGTACTCTAACCACTACACCACAACTGGCTCTAAAAAATTGGTAACGGCCAACTAATGTCCCCAATTAATCCTGATTGTGAATTCCACTGTGTCTGGAATAATAGCAAAAATGTATTTAAGCCTCTTTAGTCTGTTGCGTTCCTGGTTAACAGGTTTTTGGATGAAACATCTTTTTGTGTTTGGTGGAGCGTTTGTGTTTTTGTGTGGAAGACTGTGGATTTGCACTGACATGCAGCATGATAACTTTTAAGTGCACTATTAACTTCTTTTTAGTTATTACTTCAATCCCGGGAACCCTAGTTCGTGGTCCTTCAATTATATATTATAGTGTATTATATTACAGCAATCAGGCTTGAGACCCTTCAGGTTATAACTATGTGCCTTTTCATGTTATATCTAGGACAAGGAAAGATCAACAACTTCAGTTGGATGGCAGTTCTCTTAGCAATAAATCCTTGTTTGTTTGAAGAGGCTACTCCCAGTAATGTATTATGCAACCTGAATGTGTGTGAGTGTGAATATTCACTTTAAAAAAATTCTTTCCTTGTTTCTGTGATAGTACTATGAAGTCTCAGGGCTACCTCCCACATCAAGCTTTAAAGATATAGTGGGTGAGAACAGATTCTTACAGGGAGTGCTCTTCGCTCGTTTTGTCAATTGTCTAACATCCTGTTTCCTGCGGCAGCTAGCTGTTATTCCTTGAAACTGCAAGAAAATAATACAATATGGATACTTGGGCCAAGATCCAAAGGAACTGTGCAGCTAGTTTTGTGAGTCCAAAGCAGTTTTGGATTTGTTTTCTGGAATAGCCATCGTCGATAGCACATTGCAAGCCATTTTTTAAATTGAGGGGACATTAAAAGCAACTTATATGGCGCCAGAGCCTGCTTGGAGAGAAGAATAACCCTTCAGGTTTGCAGCAGCATTTGGCTATGCCCAGAATAGATTTTAATCTTATTTTATGAAAGCCTTACTCTGTGTTGTGTCAAAACAGCGGCTTGCAACAGACACGTGGTAGGCATCTTGAAGCCAATTTATGTGGCATCTGACATTATTACGGTTTGGTGGTACACTCAAGGGCTGACTCCATCTTCTATCAAAAGTCTATTTAGATTGAGTCAACTCTGGACATAATTCTGTGTTGTGTTATCGTTTTGCAAAGTCCTGTAGTAATAGTGGATAGCTTTATAATAGCAGACAGGGGAAGAAGAAGAAGAAGAAGAAGAAGAAGAAGAAGAAGAAGAAGAAGAAGAAGAAGAAGAAGAAGAAGAAGAACTTCGTAAGACAGTCTTTTAAAGGATCCTGGTCCTATGCCATTTACTTCCTTCCATGGGTGTGTGGTGCCTTTACATTGATTATTTGTGGTTAGGTGGTGGCTGTTGTAGGGAGGTAGTTTTCTTTGGCCTTTCCAGCTGGGGCTGTTTTCCCAGCCAGTTTAGGCAGCATTGAGACATTCCCAGCCTGCAGCGTTCCCTTTTGTTTTGATGCTGAGAGCCCCTGAATGATGACCTAGTTGTTGTTGACCTTTTGTGGTATAATGTAGTCAAATGGCATTGTCTGAAGGACAGTCCTTTTGCTTCTCCTCTGTGTAAACCCCGAGTGAGCAGAGCATTTCCTGAAAGGAGATAGCCATGTTGGGAAATGAAAGGATCTGTCCCATAAAGGCATATCCTACTCTTTTTACCACCTAGAATTCAGAGATGCCTGGGTTTACTGAGGGCCAAACTGGGCATACAGTGGCAGACGTGTCTCTTTGTTCATGTGTCTCCCTCATTCACACACAAAGCAGTAGGTAGGCGGAACTAGGGGGATATAGGGGACATAACCTGAGCCCCCTCCCTCCCCTGCCTTAACTTCTTCAGGGCTTTTAAAACAGACACCTTCTCTTTCAGCCTGGAATGCTGAGTGAGGCTGGGGGAGAAAAGACTCAGGGATGATGGACTTCAAGGAGGAAAGTGTTCACCTCCCTTCTGTCCCTTTGATAAAATTGAAACCTCCACCTTTTCACTTGAAAAGTGAATGACATGTGGTTGCTGCTGTAGTGTCTAGGCCTCAAGCCTCCCTAAACTTAAGGAGGCTTACTCACACTGAAACGCTCATAGTACAGCCCATCCCGAGCAGAGATGTCTCCTGAATACTGCATTTTTGATACTTGAAATAAATTCCTGTCTATTTGATGCAGGCTGAAAATATTTCTCTGTAAATACTGGAATGCATTATTATTGTGCCTAATTAAATTTGTATCCTGTCCTTCCTCTGAAGATCACAGGGTGGTTCTCAAGATAAAAATGCAAAATGAGAACACAAAATACATAATAAAATAAAAACAAACCAATAACCACCACCCCCAGCCACATTTAAAAGGCCATTGAAGGTTAATCAGCCAAAGGTTACAGAGAAACGTTTTTGCCTGCTGTTTAAATATAAGAAGGTGCCAGGCAAGCCTCCCTGGGAAGAACATTTCACAAACCGGGAGCCACCACAGAAAAGACTCTTTCTCTTGTTGCTACCCTCCAGACCTCTCATGGAAACAGCACACGAAGAAGGGCCTCAGGTGGTGATTGCAGGGTTTGGGTCGGTTCACATGGGGAGAAACACTCCTTGAGATATTGTGGTCCTGAGTCGTTTAATGCTTGTGCCTGATGTGTATCTAGGGAGGTATGCAGAAGGCTCTGCCTTTTAGCCTGGAAAGGAAGCTCTACTACTTCATGCCAAGTATACTAAAAGGGGCCCTAATTACCCAGTGCTTCTTTGGCGATCACTCGTAGCCAAGTAGGATTGCCTTCCATAAACACGGTTTTAACAATGAGTCCGTAAGTGACTGTGGAGGCCAATTCTGGATCCACACGTCCTTCCACAGTGGGGACATTGGTTTCCGTGCGGGAGTTGATCATGGTGTGGATTTGCCAAGTGTGCCTTCCTTGTTTCTCCCTTGTGTCCTGAGTTCGAGTGTCTTCAAAGCCCATGGCACCTTTGGTAAAGGCTGTTCTCCAGTTGGAGCACTCGCAAGTGTTTCCCAATTGTTGGTGTTTATACTACATTTTTAAAAAATTGCCTCAAGACAGTCTTTAAACCTCTTTTGTTGACCATCAGCATTACGCTTTCCATTTTTAAGTTTGGAATAGAGTAGTTGCTTTGGAAGATGATTATCAGGCATCCGCACAACATGACCAGTCCAACGAAGTTGGTGTGGAAGAATCATTGCTTCAACACTGGTGATCTTCCTTCTTCCAGTACACTGGTATTAGTTTGCCTGTCTTCCCAAGTGATGTGTAAAACTTTTCGGAGACACCGTTGAAGGAAACTTTCGAGGAGTTGGAGATGGCGTTTATAAATAGTCCCTGTTTCACAAACATACAGTAAGGTTGGTAGTACAATAGCTTTGTAAACAAGCATTTTGGTTTCCCTGCGAATGTCCCGGTCCTCAGTACCTTGTTTTACTGCAGACTTCTGTTTCATACTTGCCTCAGCCACTAAGAATACTGAAGGGGGGGAGATTTGTAGCTCTTCAGGTTCATGAATGTGTATATAAATGTGTGTGACCACCTATGTTTAGGGCAGGGATAAGAAGGGCTAGTGGACCTGCAGTTGATGTTGCCAAGCCAGCAAGGCCAGTGGTCAGGGATGATGGGGATTGTAGTCCACCAACATCCAGAGGGTTACTCTATCCTTGCTATTGGGCATAAGCAGCACACTTTGGCTGTCTCTGCACCTCCACATTGTCCTGGCATAGCTGTGAGTTGAGTCATAGAATTGTGGAGTTTGAAGGGATTCAAAGGGTTGTCTGGTCCAACCCCCAGTGCACAGCCACCCCACCCAGTTTACATTAATCTGCAGCTCAAGGCCAGATAGTCTATGCCGCCAACTTTGTAGGTGTAGTCCAAGTGGCAAAACATTAAACCCGTTTTGTTGCTGGCAATATACAGAGCTACGTGGGGGAAACTAACCATGTAGCACTTCTTGGCATATGGTGGCAGCAGGACTTTTGTCGCAGTGCAGCTGAAAACAATATGTATATTTATATTCTTAATGTAGCAGATTGAGAAGAAAGGCATAGACGTATGTAAAGGTAGCCCTAGATGCGTCATTGCATTGTTGATGATTCACTGATAACTATAATTGCTGCAGCAATTATGAAACAGCGCACTGTGGGTTCTGACTTCGCTAAAAGATATTGTTCCCAAAGCTTTTGGTAATAGCAGCATATTCCGGCTCTTACCCATAAGGAATTATTTGCTGCTAATGGCATGTCCGGGGTAGATGGTTTCTTTTCATAAGTCCTCAGAAGCAGATGGTTAGTTACCTTCCCGGGAACAGACTGTGCAAGTCGATAACCCTTTGTTGTGTAATTCATTGTTCAGCTGCAGGTTGAAGTGCATGTGTCTTAAAGTGGATGCTTTTATGTGACTGACTGACACCAGAAAATAATCTACAGGGCAAATCTGGAAGAGCCACTTCACTCGTTGCATTTTGGTTACATGAAAATAGTTCACAATGCAGAAGTGTTATGTGTTTTGTCTCCCAGCCATCTTCACATAGGTAGAAAACTGTGACACAGTCCTGACATGATGGATTAAATAACTGAAACTGAACAAGATGCATTTACACCAGTGTGTCCTGTAGAAGAGCAGCTTCTTTGCTCTTGTAGCATTTCCCTGCCTTGGTCCTTTGTCTGACTCCCATACTGTTAGCATCAGAAGAAGCTGTTCCTGCCCTGTTCCCACCTTTCCCCAGATATAGGTGAAGGCTTGATGTCCAGGGTGCATGGCTCTGCCTTGGTGTCAGGCCTTGAGCTCCAAAATTAGTTTGGAACTTAGATGGGTCTCTTGGCAGGTCCAGGCTCATATATTACCTACTAGCATTAGGCTTGCAAATTATTAGGAGCTTTGCATACCAGAGAAATAAGCAGGATTCTGAAAGTAAAACAGCATCAGAAAGTACTATCACACGAAGATTCCATGAATTGATTAAATTGCCCTTTCAGTTCTTTCCCCTTGGAGAGTTGCTTCATCTTCTGGTAGCTGCTACTTCTGCTTCCTCTGATGTTCTGGCTTAGGTAGACTGAAGTGCCTCACCTTGCTTCTCATCAACCAGATGATCCTCAATGCAAATGACACAATTATGTTATAGATACAGGTCATACCTGTGCTAGGCAACTTGCTGCAGCCTATTGTGATCATTCCTATGATCAAGCGATTCAAGATCTTGGTAACAACATGTACTGGTGCTGCTTGTTTAGAGATAAAGTATCCTTTTAAAATCTATCTGCTTCTTATGTTGTGAGCAATTCCTGCAGTTAGAAAAACTCTTAAAACTTAATCTAAATCTGCCTTCCAGTAGTTAAAACCCTGCCACTTGTCAATGGGTAAGATGGTGGGGTTTGCCCTTCTTTTCGATACCTTGCTATTAACTGGAATTTTGTCTAATTTTGTCCAGTTTTCTAATCTTCTGCTTTCCCCCTTCCCCTTCCCTCTAAGTGAAAAATGGAGTCCTTGCACCTAGTCCAGGGTTGCCATCAAATGCAGGTGCCAAGTTTCCTGCTGTGACTATATCTTTGGTTATAACCAACACCTGTCCATCCCTGATCTAGTACATAGCAGAGAATTTGGAGAAAGCAGGAGTATCTAATGCTTGGGGATGGGGAGGAAAGAGAAGGAAAGGCACCTGTCCCCTGTGTGCCTCTGTGCATCAGGTTCTGGAGGAAAGGTGAGTCTTGTAACTAATCTCTTGGGGTTGTAGAGTTGGTTGGAAGCAGAAGTAGTTTCAATGATTCCAAGTACTTCTGAACCTTGGTGGAGAAATTGAGAATTGTGACACCTCCCTGAGGGGTGCCTGAGAACTTAAGGGGAACAAGGGTCATACCACAAATAATTGATGCTTACTATGGCCAGCAAAAGAAGAAAGGGGAAATAAGAATATCCTGGCCTGTTTCTTGTAGTTCTGTTTGATTCCTTCTCTGATAAAATCAGCATTGTGTTTTGATGTCCAGAACTGCACACAGGGCTCCAGGCTGCATGGCATGCGGGCTGACCAGGGGTGATTAATACTACTTCCTGTCTCTTGACAGAGTTCCTGTTAATACATCCAAACATATGTTTGGGTTCGGTTTTGCACCGTGCCCACTAAACTGTAGTGTTCACAATATCGCAATGGCGGTCCTTTGCAAGTTCAGCTAATGTTTATTAGGTATTTTGTACATGCTCATTTTGGTCCTTGTAGTTGTGCTTCATTTTGGTTCTTCCTGTTTGGCTTGATGTCTTGAATGTTTAACTTAACTGCTAAAGATGTTTGCAGGTCCTTCCCAGCTTAATATTGCCCACTAATTTGATAAGCACACTGCCCAAGCCCTCATTCAAGTAATTAAATATACTGAAGAATGCTGCACTCTGCAGTGACCTTTATGGGATATTTATGAATACTTCTAGATAGAAAATGTTCCTTCTCAGCCAGCTCATGTTACTTGTTTCTCTAACATAAGGAGTACAAGTAGTTCTGTTATTTCTCACATACCTGGGTCATCTTCTCATTGTGACTGGCAGGCTACAATGACTGGAAATTATTTATTTATTTATTAAATGAACCAGTGTGGTGTAGTGGTTAAGAGCGGTAGTCTCGTAATCTGGGGAACCAGGTTCGCGTCTCCGCTCCTCCACATGCAGCTGCTGGGTGACCTTGGGCCAGTCACACTTCTCTGAAGTCTCTCAGCCCCACTCACCTCACAGAGTGTTTGTTGTGGGGGAGGAAGGGAAAGGAGAATGTTAGCTGCTTTGAGACTCCTTAAAGGGAGTGAAAGGCGGGTTATCAAATCCAAATCCAAATGTATTTCCTGTACCTTCCTTCAAAGGAGCCCAGGGCAGCAAGCATGTCTATACTAAAACAATTTATTTAATACTTATAAAAAACAGTTAAAAATCCTAAAAAACAATCACCTACTCAAAAAACTAAGAATTTCAGGGTTGCCAGGGACAGAACTTTCAACCATCAAATGCCTGAGAAAAAGAGAATGTTTAAATTTCTCTTAAAAGTTAGTAGTGAACATATATTAGAAGCTAGAGCTTTGCTGAAAGATGGTGACATGAGATTGTTGAAAAGTTCTGTTGTGTTGAACGTCAGAAAGGAGAATTATCCTCACTAGCTTACTCCTGTTTTTATCTTTTGTAGAACTGGTGAGCCTGGTTGAGCTGATGGCATCTGCTGCTGAGATTTGTTATCACACCATGACGACCAGAATATCAGAGGTTGGGGAATTGTCCTTGGAGCCTTTGATTACTTGCAAACTATGCCTGTCTGAATATTCACTGGATAAGATGACGACTCTCCAGGATTGCAGCTGCATCTTTTGTACATCGGTAAGTGTTGACCGTAACTTAAGTAATATTAAGGAACAGTGTTGAGAGCAGTGGTGTTGGAGCAATCTGTTAAAAACAAGTTGCCAACTGAATTTCCTTCCTCCAACTGCTGGACCTCCACCATGGCTAGCTTTTTTGCCTTAGCTCTCTACAATGAAAGTGTCCCTCCCCCAACACAACATGTACACAGCATGTACACCTTATACATAAATAGAAAAGTAAATTGTTTTGCAGTGTACCTTATCTGCATATTCTTCCTGCTGCAGTCCTTTTTTCTGAAGTGGTGTTTGACTTTGTGTGTGCATCTAAATGGTTTGTTTGTTACGCCCAGGTGTAAATATGTATAAAATACACCCATTTCTTAAAGACGCAACAGTCTCTGCTGCGCCTTGACTCCCAACGGAAACATCTGGATAAGCTCCTAGAACCCCCTGGAATCTTGTTACCACTTGGCAGAGATTGGGGGGTGGTGTGCAATCTTCGTAACAGTATTTAAGATGCCCACAGGAATTCATACAATCCAAGACACAAAAGAGAAGCTATCAGCAGGGTGCTAAACTGTCCTTTCCTTATGCCTGAGGTAGGATTACAGTGATACCTTGGTTCTCGAACTTAATCCATTCCGGGAGTCTATTCGACTCCCAAAACCATTCAAAAACCAAGGTGCGGCTTCTGAGTGGCTGCAGGTGCTTCCTGCACTCAAGCAGAAGCCACGTCGGACATTCGGCTTCTGAAAAACATTTGCAAACCGCAACACTTACTTCCGGGTTTGCGGTGTTCGGGAGCCTATTTGTTTGACAACTAAGCCATTTGAGAACCAAGGTACCACTGTAGTTGATACTGAGTTTTAGATTCAAGACAGTGAAACTGTAGTCCTAACCTTACTTACCTGGGAGTAATTGAATTCAGTGGGACTTACTAGACATGGTTAGAGTTGCAGCCAAACATGGCCTCGTGATAGGTCACTGGCCACTTCATTAGCAGTTTTTAAAGTGCCACACTTGGTTGTTTTTACTGTAAAAGACTAACAGGGCTCCCTCTCTGGAAATTCATTAACTTTGAAGGGAGCATCCAGGGAAGGTAATTGATTTGTACATATCTGTTGATGGCTAAGACATGCATGCTGGGATGGCTGTCCTACAGTTTTACAGTATTAACCTTTCTTTAAAGGCTAACTTTTCCACTTTGCAGGGCTAGAGTGAATATTTTTCCTCCATTTTTTTTTAAAGTTCTGGGAACAGGCTCTCCTGCACCACCATGTTACACAGGGATGAAGTACTATGTTAACTATGTTGGGTTTAAGAGCATTGGCACTAATGTCCCTAGTTAGACTCGTTGCTTGGAAAAACACCAGGACATAGTAAATCTATGTCACCAAGTTCAAAAGTCGTTCACTATGCAAGGATAAGCGGGTGCACCATATTGTGGAGACTTTATTGCATCGGGTGTGATGATAAGGATTACTGCAATTTCCCAGAGTGATATAGGTTTGCTGTCTAAAGTACACAGGGCGCTGTTTGTTTTGCTCGGCAAATATTAGTGTACTAACCTTTAGCTTTGTGATTAGGAAGTGGTCTAAGAATAGTTTGTCAGCATCTGTACATTAAGAAAAGAATTTAAATATCAGTAGTTTCCAGTCTCTCTTGCCTACAGTACCAGGGGTGCAAACTTGAATAAGATATTGTGGGTGCCCAGGTAAGCCCCACCTTGCATAATTGATCACTTGACGCAGTGCACACACACCATTTGAATGGGAATGCCCATCAACTTTGTGGGAGCCTGGCCCCCTCAAATATTTTATTGTGGGGGCAGAAGCCCCCATGGCCCCAGGAGTGGTTCCTATGTACAGTACTAATCATCTAACATTGTGACAGAGTCCAGTCTGTACATTCTAGCTCTGAGTGCACTCCATGGCACATATTATACTACCAACTAAGTGACTGGCACCTGCAAGGTATCTGCTGGAAAGTTTGGTGTGGCACCTGTCACTGCATGAAAAGGTGATCAGAGAGAACCTATAATCGGCACTATTTTTCTAGAAAAAGAGGTGCTGGAAGTCACCACGAACACCTCCCTCCCTCTCTCAGAACGGCAATGGAGCCCTCCTGAGTGGTGCCAGAACTGAGTTCCAGCAAGTTCCAGCTAAAAAAAGCCCTGCCTGTAATGCAGGCTCAATGTTAGCAGCATTTCCTACTATTGCTTGAGATTTCGATGCTTTTTCTTTACTCTGTTACTGTGTCTGTGGCTACCTTTTAACCACTCCCCACCAAAACAAACAAACAAAAACAAACACACACACACAAACAGATATCTGATACCATATGATAAAGTTCTGATTACCACATCATTCCTAGTCTTCTTGTCTTTACTCTTCTGCTGAGGAAGAAGAAGAGGAGGAGGAGTTTGGATTTGAAATCCCGCTTTATCACTACCCTAAGGAACGGCTAACAATCTCCTTTCCCTTCCTCCCCCACAACAAACACTCTGAGGTGAGTGAGGTTGAGAGACTTCAGAGAATTGTGACTAGCCCAAGGTCACCCAGCAGCTGCATGTGGAGGAGCGGGGAAGCGAACCCGGTTCACCAGATTACGAGTCTCTACACCACACTGGCTTTAGGAAACTAGGTTGATCTCAGGGTTGCATAGTTTGAGTCAAGCCTTCTTTCTGGGGTTTCCAACATCTCCCTGTAACACCTGTGTGTGAAGTCAGCAAGTGGAACAAAAGCACTGTCCCACATGAGTCATCATATTGTTGCATGCCAGTCTCCAAGCGTTGCAACATTCCAGGCACAGTGGAGACTATGGTGTCTTTATGATATATGGTTTATTTACACATATATGATATGCAACCTGAATTGAGGAGGAAGAGTACAAACATTTATTATTATTATTATTAGTAGTAGTAGTAGTAGTAGTAGTAGTAGTATTAGTAGTAGTACCATTATCTGATTTCTGTGTTTCACTGCCTGTATGCATACTTTAATAATAATAATAATATCCCAGGAAGTGTGCAAGAAATCTGATGGTGGTGGTAATAATAATGTTTGCCCTCTTCCTCTTCCTCCTCATTTCAGATGATTCATTTTTATGTCATATGGACAACTGGGTCTTGATTGGCAGATATTGGGGGTGGGGAGGATGCAGTTTTGGGGCTTTGTAGGTCTGGCCATGGGAGTAGCTGTGGGGGGGCAGTTGCCCCCCTAAATCCTCAAAAACTATTGAAAAGCAACAAAAATACTCAATTAACCTCAGTTTTGCCCCTCCAGCAGAAGCCTGTCCCCCTCAATAAAAGCCTGTCCCCCATAATGCCCTCTTACAGGGGGGATTTTTTACCCATGAGCTCTCCCCAAAAGCTCAACTTTTAGGGGTGATGTCCCCTAAAACAACTTTTTTGGCCCCCCCCCATGGCTCCAGCCCACTGATAACAACACTTAGAACCTTTCTTAGCCCAGGGAAGTATCTTAGAAAATGTTAACCTTGCAATATTTCTCTTCTTTCCCTGGTAGAAATTTCTAGTGTATTTGCAAGTGGGGGTAGCAAGTTACAGCTCAAATCCTCTAATCTTAAAATTGCGTTTGTGAATATGTTTTTAAATACAAATTTTCTGTTTTACAATTTCGAATAAACATATTACAAAGCATTTGTGAATCTGTTTTGATAAAGGTGAGTAATATTTGTCGTTTTCTCCTCACTTGCTTGGTCATCATCCACCAAGTTGTGGGTTTTTACCCCAAGAAAGAAAAGAAAAAAGGAGCCCTTTCTACAGAAAGTTGATGCACGCCATTAGCTTGTGTTTGATGTATTTCCTCCATCTAGGTTTTGTTGTTGTGTTTTGAAGATTGCTTAAGGAAAGCCTTATTTACCACTTCCTGAGGAAATCATTTGCAGAAGTAAAACTGCTGCAACAATATGTGGTTTGGGGTATTGAGACAGCCCCTCGATTGTCACATACTTGAGGGCAATGTGAAGCAAGGCAGTTGGATTTTGTATATCACCAACCGCCTGGTTGTGTAGTTAAAATAGAGGATTAAACTCTGCCCTTCCCATTCCAATGTTTCTGATTTCAGCATGCACATCCCATAATGACAAGGCAGCTGGCATAGGCAGCTCTGCTTTCTTTGAACATATATTTGCTACTTCATACTGTGGTGAGTGGGTCAGTAGTTGTCAGCAAAGGTATTGATATTCAGCCTCATCCTACCATTCCTGGCAACAGTCATTTGTGAGGAGTGGTTGTAGGAATCATTATTAAAATTTGTATATCGCCCTTCACCTGTATATCTCACAGGAGGGGGATTCACAGCATAAAAATACAAGATAAAAACATAAAATGCGTAACTAAAGCAAGAGAACAAACCAAACCAATAACCCCATCCCACAAATGCATTTAAGAGACATAGAATGTTAGTCAGCCAAAGGTCTGGTTGAAGAGGAACATTTTCACCTAGTGCTTAAAGATATGTAATGAGAGCGTCAGGCTAACCTCCCTAGGGGAGTGGCTGGGGAAACCCAGCCAGATGGGCACAGTAATAATAATAATAAATAATACACAAAGGGGGAGACTTCAGAAAAGGCCTGTACTCATGTTGCCACCCTCCAGACATCTGATGGAGGAGGCCCATGGAGAAGGGCCTCACATGATGATCTGAGCGTCTAGGTTGGTTCATATGAATACTCCTTGAGGTATTGCGGTCCTGAGCTGTCTAAGGATCATTGTGGCCGATGGTCAAGGATGACAGAGATTTCCGTCCAGTAACACCTGGAGAGTCAAAGGTTCCCCATTCCTGTTTTTTCAGGCACCTATATGGTCATCTTGAAAGGGAGGCGGGTGGCGCTGTGGGTTAAACCACAGAGCCTAGGACTTGCCGATCAGAAGGTCAGCGGTTCGAATCCCTGCGACGGGGTGAGCTCCCGTTGCTTGGTCCCTGCTCCTGCCAACCTAGCAGTTTGAAAGCACGTCAAAGTGCAAGTAGATAAATAGGTACCGCTCCGGCGGAAAGGTAAATGGCGTTTCCGTGCGCTGCTCTGGTTCGCCAGAAGCGGCTTAGTCATGCTGGCCACATAACCCAGAAGCTGTACGCCAGCTCCCTCGGCCAGTAAAGCTAGATGAGCGCCGCAACCCCAGAGTCGGCCACGACTGGACCTAATGGTCAGGGGTCCCTTTACCTTTACATATATGGTCATCTTACTGATTCCTGCACTCTATGGCTGTTACCAGCAACTAAAAGAACTCCTTTGTACTAGCTGAATCAATGTGATAAACACTCCTCTTGAGTTTGGATCAGCAACGGGGGAGGCAGTCATGGAAAAGTGGCCCTTGCACAACTAGCATAACATTTTTTGAGTGACCTTTTATTATTTTATTATAGAGCCAGAGCCAATTAATTTCATAAGCTGAAGCTTAGAAGTACCATTGGAAAGGATTAACAGCACCCAAGGTGAACAATGAATTGTTTTGCAGCTTGAAAAGTACCGGTACCTGTTGTATCTAGAACTTCATTGAAAATATGATTCCACCTTTCCAATTTAATGAATCTCCAAGGTGGCTTCCAAACTATCATTTAAGATAAGAACATTAAGCAATTAAAATAACAATAGGAATCCTGGGAACAACAAGGAAGAGCACTTACCTAGAATGTGGTTTTTAAAAATACCATTAAAAAGTTTGCACAAATAGTGTGGGCTTGACCAGGTGCCCAAGTGACAGAAATGGTGGCTCCATGTAAATCTTTCCAGTGAAGGAACTCCAGAATCCCACCACAGAGAAGGCACCCTACTCATAGGAGCAGTACTTACACCGTTTCTAATCCCTATATGGGACAAATAGTGGTCTGCAAATCTTACCTGCAAATCCTGAGAAATCTCTACCATATGCAATTTATGTCACTCTTGTATTCCTGTTGAACTGGTGACCTGGCTTGCATGCTAAGGCACCTGAGCCACAAAGTTCCCAGGAGAACAAGAGATCACACTGACATGGAATGTTTGGTTTATGGGTTCAAATAGGCCTCAGCTTTATTGGTTACAGATGTGAGCGGTTTGGCTTAGGCCTTGGGAGAAACCGGACTATATCTTGGCTCCTGTTCATCTGCAGGGAGTCCACAGAAGGGTAAATCACCATTAGTAGGTGCCCTATAACTTACGTCAGATAGTGGCACCCCAAGGACTCCCCGTATGGGCTGTGACATAGCCCTAGCCCACACCCAGGCTTCGGACAGTATTCACATCCCAGATCCCTTTAACAGATTACCATTACTGAGGAGGGGCAGGCAAGGCAGCAACCTCCCTTCCAACCAAACAAAGGCTTACCCAATGCCTAACCTCACAAAAGTTGTGACTATTGCTATTAGGTAGGCGAAAACCAAATGGCCAGTGCCAATTTGCCAAGTGGAAAAAAATCCTACCCTGCTCCAACAACATGGTGACTGACAACTGCCATAGCAAGGTCATATGAAAAGAGGGTGGGTGGGTAGGGTGATCTGATGAAGAGGCACGAAAGAGGGAACCAGCTGGCCACGCCGAAATTACATGGCCCGCGGCCACACCCACTCTGGTCGTAGATTGGCTGGAGCTGTCCCCGGGGCACAGATGATGGCAGCGTACCTCCCCCTACGCTAGAAAACTGTTGAGGCTCGGTTGACTGGCTGCAACGCTGCACACCGGATAAAAGGTGAACGGACTTGCGCATCACTCTAAACCAAACTATGGTTTAGTGCAAACAAGCAAATTCGTGGGTTCCCAGAAAGAGGTTTGCAGCCCCTTTGCTTTTCCTCTGGTCTTGCTGCTGTCAGCTAATCCAAAATTTGGCTTAGCATGTCATTTGAACTTGAACACAAGGTTTGTTTTGCTCCAGATAAACAGCTAGCTGTAATGAAAGGTTCTTCTTTACTGCTTATGGTTTGTCTGGGTGAGACAAAACAATGAGCCTGGATTCAGATGCAGGGTCATGAATTAGCTCAAAGAAGCAGGACCAAAGGTATAGTGAAGCGGCGGTGATCTTCTCCCTGCGAACCTACACATTTGCTTATTCGCACCAAGCCACAGTTTAATTTAGAATTGTGTGTAAGCTGGCCAATTGTTGTGCTGCCTCCTTTCATGCATAAAACAGTAGGCCAGTCTCATAACAAATAGGCAGTGGGTTTATATCTACACGGCAGTGGAATGATTCATCATTTTTGGAATCGTCTGGGTGCAGTAGGATTTTAGAAGGTTGTAAAGTAATTGCAATAGGAAGTGTGGCAAAGAGGCAATTATGGTCAAATTGGTGAATGCATGTTTGTAAAAAAGCATTTCCCCCATTTGCTGAATTTTGCCCACAATTCCTAGATGAAAGCACCATTGAGTTCACAGGAGTTTATTTATCCATGTTTACTCCAGGGATAGCACTGATACTCTGTGGGCGGAGCCACACCATACATTTAAACACATTCAATACATATTTTAAACACATGACTTTCTCCAGAGAATCCTGGGACCTGTAGTTCCCACCTCACAGAGCTACAATTCCTTGCTGTCTTATGTAGGGAAAATTGGATGAACAGGACCATATAAGATTTGACACTGGGTGAATGGTGTATGTAAAAATACCCAAGCCTCTTTCAAACACTGTGGGCCACAGTGCTGTAGTTAACTAATGTAGCAAATATCAAACTACAGCTTGTGGGTGTCGTGTGCTGCTACCTTATAAACAGCCATTGCCATTTGGATAAGCTGTGGAGCTGGCACAACTTTTTATATGAGCATCAGCTTTCATTCAAAAGCTTATGGCAATAATGTCAGTAAAGGAGGGAGAATGCAGTGGAGCACAGCTCTGGGAGTTTTTTCAGAGCAGGAGGAGTGATGACCTCTCTGCTGGAGTGCCAAGGTAATTGGCAAGTGAATGAGGTGGTGAGGCTTTTAAGTTTTGCTGCTGTGACAGATTAGCATAGCAGTTTAAATAGTAACATGTACTTGCAAGATTGTTTTGCATTTCTTATTAAAAGCTAGCAGTTGCATTTCAACTAGCTGATGTTCTGCAGTTAAAAGCTGAGCTTCCTTTCCAATACATCATCGTTTCCTGTTTATTTGTCTTCCACTCACCCACAGAGTTGTGCCCAGAGTGGCTCACAGCAAAATATTGTTCATTTGATAGAAATTCAGAAATGTATTGGGAACCAAATTGAAAGAATCGTAATATCAGTAAGTAAATTTTTTAAAAATTGCTCGATGTAACATTATATAACATAATACAAATAAGGTAGCTTAACAGGGATAACTAAACAGAAGAGAAAATAATACCAACACAACAATAAAATAGAAATAAAATATCACCTTTTTCCAAATAATGCACCTATTTCCTACAGTCTGGACCTACCGTTCAGTCTTCAACCACTCAGAGACCACATCCAGTCTCACTTGTGGTAGTGCAAAGTCCAATCCTGGTTCTCACCCAGAGAAGTGGGAACCCATGCAGTCAGAGGCAAGCCCCACTGGGTTCAGTGGAGTTTATTCCCTGGCATTGAGTTTATTTGAGCAGGAATTGTGGTCATCCTGATGCTCATAAATTGAGTCTTCAGCTATGTAGTGTTTCCCCCCACCTGGCAGAGTTGACTACAGGGGCTGTTATGAAAACTGGTCAACCTGGATAGCCAGGTCTGGCCATAACAGCCTTTCTATTTAGGGACTAAATACCCGATACTTCTGTCTCAGTGCTTGACACAGAGACCACTCTGCAATGTTCCTTATGGGGAAGCCAGCATAGCTTTCCATCCCTGCAGCAAAAGATGATTTAATAGATATCTGTATATGTGTGCATGCAAGGAACAAATGGAACAGAAGCAGGTTGGTACAGTGAGCCAGAGAAATGATGGTACAGTGGTACCTCGGGTTAAGTACTTAATTCGTTCTGGAGGTCCTGAAACTGTTCTTAACCTGAAGCACCACTTTAGCTAATGGGGCCTCCTGCTGCTGCCGAGCCGCCGGAGCCTGATTTCTGTTCTCATCCTGAAGCAAAGTTCTTAACCTGAAGCACTATTTCTGGGTTAGTGGAGTGTGTAACCTGAAGCGTATGTAACCTGAGGTACCACTGTATTGGGAGGAATTCAATATAGCACTATGGCAGTCATTTCCTCAGTTTGCCAGCCAACATGTTGCCTCTCTCCTTCCCTGTGTTGTACTGACACCCCTACCAGCCAGTTTGGAGGGGTATGGGGCAGAGGGAGAGAGGGGGAAGCCCTGATGCCCTAGTAGAAGTCCTTGCACAGCCTTCCACTAGCAGGATTTGCAGAAATCTTTTAAGTCTCCACCCACCTTTCCTTCCAAAGGGAAGCAACCCCAGTTTCAGTCTTTCCGCTTCATGTTACGTTCTTTCAGGTTATGTCCCACGGTGACCCGGAAGTACTGGAAAGGGTTACTTCCGGGTTTTGCCGCTCGCGCATGCACAGACTCGCAAAATGATGTCGCGCATGCACAGAAGTGGCGAATCACAACCCGCGCGTGCGCAGATGCGCTGCTGCGGGTTGCGTTCTTTTCATATTGCGAATGGGCCTCTGGAATGGATCCTGTTCGCAACCAGAGGTACCACTGTACTGATAATTCTTACTGGGGCTAACATTCTAGAAAACGTGTTTAGGTTTGTAGCTAGAGATGGAGGAGCAATTCAATTCAGCTTGCATTTCATCATCATCATCGTCATTTTTAATTTGTATACCGCCTTTCTATCTTACAATACTCAAGGCGGTTTACAAACTGAAGAAACAAAAGATGTGCATCTTATAACAATTTAATGCAATACAAAAATGAGATAATAAAACATAACTTTAAAATAGGCAACCTACATCAAAAAAGTAACATTCAACAACCATTAGAATAGTATAAAATAATAATGTCAACATATAAAAGTTGAACAGAAATCCACTCAACAGTTACAATAAATAATATCTAAACTGTAATCAATAAAACAACGGCAAGCCACAGTACATAAAATAATACAATACACATTGAGAAGCAGAGACTAGAGGGTAGAGCAAGGCAGGTGGAAGGAGGCCTTGCCTGACAAAGTCTCTATCGGGGCAAATCAATTTCTTCCACACTTTCCAAAACAATGTTTAAGCCAAAACTTAGCCAATAAGTAATAATGTTCTGTATAATGGTTTTTCAGAGATCTGAAAGATAGTTTATAAGAGGGGTTTTGCCTGTACTGTGTACACTCAGGTCAGGCCCTCCCTTTTCAAAAGCAGGTTTTACCAGAAGCCTGTTTGTTTGTGTGCGTGCATATGTGTGTGTGTGTGTGTGTGTGTGTGTGTGAGAGAGAGAGAGAGAGAGAGAGAGAGAGAGAGAGAGAAATGAATTAATGTATACCTTGGGAAACCTTGCTTTGTCTTCAACCACTTTCAGCTGTTCAGAAAACATTTTCTTTCATTTCAAACTTCATATGGATACTTTACGTCTGCCCTTGACAAATTTTGGAGAGACATCGAGATAGTAAGAGCTGTAAGTCATAGTGAGCTTTGAGTTTCTTTTGACCTGGTTTGTAAATTGAGAACCTGGAGTGTTTATCGCTGAATTTTCTACAAGCAATAAAAACCTATAAAGTTTTGATTTCCCAGAGACTGCAGAAGTGGCTTGCATGCTACGGGCAGCTTACAGAATGTGAAGAAGTCGCCCTTTTCCTTATTAGTGAAGGTGAAACCAAGAAACGGCTAGGCACCAGTATTTCCTGAAAAACATGCCACCTGGATTCTGGATTAAGTGTGTGGTCTAGGATGGACCCTGTACCTTTTGGAGATGAATAACCTGATTTTTGCGGGGAAAGGTCTCCTTAACGAAGAATGTGCTATTGTCTTGTGCAGACATCTCCTTCCTGACATGTTGATGCAGGAACAAGCAAGAGCTATGCTCCATGTTCCGACTATTGTTTGTTCAAAGAGCTTTCAGGTTAGCCTTGAGGACTTGGCTGATAAGTTGTTTCCTTAGAAACCACTCTTTTGTCCTGAAGATAGCAACAAGACTGAGAGGTGAGGGGGGGGGGGGGAGAAACTAGTCTGAGGAAACATATCTGCAAGGAACTTGCTATGTTTCCACCTGTGCTTACATGGTGGCTTTTCAAATGAAAAATCCTGGTCCACACCAATAACTATACACTGTACTCTCATGTATAATCATAGTGCAATATATGCTTGCATTACTTTGTTACAGATTACAAGTGTGCATGGATGCATAATGTTTCCCTGTGTAGGGAAAACATGTGCAGCTCAAAGCCGTAATGGCACAAACACACTGTCATAATGCTTCAGTGATTTTAAATAAGGCTTATCCCAAATTCTCTCCCCCACCCCCTCACTTTGTTACAGGTAGTCGATTGCCACATTTGGGTAGCTTGAGCTTAGACTTTGTTTTTAAAAATAAAACCTCTCATTTGTAATATGACTTTAACTTGTAAATGTGCATTAGTAACAAGTATAAGGAGCACACCCGTTATATGCTGGCACAAGATCATACTAGTGTTTATGGCCTCATGGAAAGGTGTATTTTTAAGACTTAAAAAAATATGATGGAATTTTGCACTAGTGTGCTTCAAGAAGTTAATTTAATTGTTACTTACCTAGATAGCTATCTTTGATGAACTTGTGTGTGTTCACAAACAAAGGGAAATTCTTCTTGGCCTTTCATGCCGTCTCTGTAGGAGTGGGGCTATTAGGCTATAAGAAGGAAGAAAAGCTCCTTGTGGTCTTTCCGTGTAGAGTCTACCAATGAAGGACCTAGTGATGAAAAATCATTTGAAAAATAGAGGGTGTGGCCTCTGCACTGTCAGTCGATACTCAGTCTAGCAGGGGAGGGCATCCATTTTTTAGCCTTTACAATGTGATAGTTCAGTGAACCAGACCAAATTGTTGGTGAAGTGCAGTCCCCCTCCTCACATGTACCTGAGAGGTCTTTTGCTGGGTTCTCTTGCAGTTTAAAATAATCTCTGCTTAGCATCACATCTTAACTTCGCCTTGTTTACAAATGAGTTGGGAATCCTTTTTACAAACAATGGTTAGTTGCTAAACAAGTAAATTTCACAACCCAGGGTTTGAAGTTCGCTTGTTTAGCAACTAACCATAGCTTGTTATAAGCCAGAATTCCTGGTTTGCACACTATGCTAAACCCAGAGGCTTTGAAACAAAAAGTAAATTTGACAGAAGGCTCTTCCCGACTGCACGTGGGAGTGAAGTAGCCATTGCACATGCTTGCTGACATCCATATAGTGCTAAAACATGCTTTAGAATTGCCTACAAATCAGACCAGTGACTCCTGGTCACCTCACAACTCCCTGTGCATACGCTATGTATTTATAACCACCATTTTGCAGAATTATGTTTAGCATAATGAATACTGATCTGAATCTGGGGGTTAGTAAGCAGTGTAAGGAGAGAGCGATGCTGATGTCTGTTCTTGGAAGCAATGCTATGTGTATGAGAGGGACAGAATCTATTTGGCAAGAATGCTGTGGACCCCTCCATTGTACGCTTAAAGTTGTATACATGTGTAAATAAACCATATAGCATAAAGACACCACAGTCTCTGTTGTGTCTTATTGTCCCAGGGGAAACACAGACGCTGGTTTAAAATGCGTCTCGTACTCCTGGAATCTCACACCGCTGGAGTGTTTTTGGCTAAGGTGGTAGATGAAGTTTGCAGGTGGGATCAAAATTCTTGTTTCAAGTTCTGGTTATCAGAAGATCCCTTCTGTCAAATATACAAATATCAGCTTGATTGACTTTGATTTAAAACAATGTGCCTTGGATTACAATAATGTGCTTTTGTAACATATAACGCTAGACACCCTAGGATATTTGTTTATAGCATGTATTGATTTTCTATTCTTGGCCTATGTTTTACTCAAACTCCCTCTGCCTTTCCTGGTTAAAATCCTGGTCATATTTTTCGTTTTGTCATTTGCTTTCCAAATAATAAGGGTTGCAATTAGTCAGCTGGAAACCTTTTAAAGTATTGAAGTAGAGAAGGTGAAATGGAACGTGTTGAATAAGGAGGGCTGGGCGTCCTTGGGAAAAGCCATGTGCTGTACTGTGATCAGCTTCCTTTGCTTGTGGATGTGGGGAGAGATTATCCACAAGTGGTCTTGAATAATGGCGTGGCCTTGCAGTGAGAGGAGCGCAAGTGCTTCGTTGAGCCATTACCTAGCAACGTGAGATCAGAACAAACTTCTTGACTGGCAAACTATAGAGTGAATTCCCATGTGAATTCCCAAGGCTTGCTGTAATGAAATTTTGAGCAGAAGTGGCAACAATATGTGTCTTAACTCTTTCCTTGACAGCCATTCTTCACACTCTTAAGTAGCTGCCCAATTGCTTTCCCTTCTTGCTTGTAGCATTCCAGATGCATAATAATTCGTGTAAATGTGAACTTGGAACCCCACCAAAGAAAACACAGCTTGGAGAGTGGGGTGGATTTCTGGACAGAAAACAGCTAGCAAGGAAAGCGTTAAGCACTGTTCAGGGGCTCATCCACAGGTGAGCAGGCATCTTGCTCCAGATCCACTGTTCCCCCATTTGAATTTGATCTTAGAACACGCGTCCGCATATGTGTTTGTATTTTAGTTTACGAAACTGCTGCTTCCTGCCCCTAGTTGTGGGCATTTGCATATGCTGGGTCAATTCATGTTGTGCGGTTTTGACTCTACCTTCTAATTTGCTATTTCCACTCCCTTTGTTTGAGCACAAACTGAGCTTGTATGAAGGAAGAACTCAATGAAACAACCCCACTCCCACCGGAGTAAAACAGGGGCTCGCCGAGCCACCTGCCTGGCCGATACGGCCCTTGGCGGGTGGAGAGGAGTACCGGCCCGGGCCAGGCCACGCTGCAGCTGCCTGCTTGGGGGCACCTAGTTCATGCCCCCTCAAAAATTGTGTGCATGGGGACACGGCCCTCTTGGCACCCCCCATGCTACGCCCCTGATTCAGAGTCCTGATGAGTGTGGACCAGACAAGCGCTTGAGAGGGAACACTTCTTCCCTGGTCCACAGCTGGCCTATTGTAAGACCACATAGTCTGCAATGTTGGCAGTGCATTGCCAGTGTGGTCTCTCCCCTCCTGCCACTCCCACACTGCCACAGGACTGAGAAGGATTGTACATCACAATTGGCCTTTGGCGGTCAGGTTTTCCCCCTTCCTCATCTCAGGGGTACATGGATTGATTTCATTTGTTCATTTTGGTCATAACTGTGGCCAGGGAGAGCATAGGGCAGGATCAATAGATAGTGAGGCAATCCCCATAAGGGGTCTTGGGGTGGCACCTGAATGCTTGGGGGACTGGGGCAGGCTGTTGCATGCTCATGTTGAACAGCCTGCGCGGCACTGGTATCAAGAGTCTGGCAGCTGCTTCCTGGGAGTAGGTCCAGTGGGCAGGCTGGGCCTGGCATCAGCCAGCAAGATTTTCTGTCCAACAGATCCTTGCTCTGTGCGGTGCCAAACTCTGATATAGGTAAAGGCAAAGGGACCCCTGACCATTAGCTCCAGTGGTGACCGACTCTGGGGTTGCGGCGCTCATCTCGCTTTATTGGCCAAGGGAGCCGGCGTACAGCTTCTGGGTCATGTGGCCAGCATGACTAAGCTGCTTTTGGCAAACCAGAGCAGCGCACGGAAATGCCGTTTACCTTCCCCCCGGAGTGGTGCCTATTTATCTACTTGCACTTTGACGTGCTTTCGAATTGCTAGGTTGGCAGGAGCAGGGACCGAGCAACAGGAGCTCACCCTGTCGCGGGGATTCGAACCGCTGACCTTCTGATCAGCAAGTCCTAGGCTCTGTGGTTTAACCCACAGCGCCACCCGCGTCCAACTCTGATATATCTGTAACCAATAAAGTTGCAGTTAGTTTTTACCCACACGCTGTTCTCATGTACGTTTGTTGCGCCTGGTTGCTGACTCTGAGCCTGTGTGCTTCTGGGACACAATGAAGGTTTTTGTAGTCAGTTGTTTAATCTTTGCTTTGCAATCGCAATTGCAGTTCTTGGAGTACTGAAGCTCAAAGAGAGCCAATTAAAGAAGTGAAGGTACACTGTTAGTTGAGATACAGTTTGTAATTTATGTTTTCTCCACTTTCTTCTTCTTTTAGTGCCTGAAACAGTATATGCAGCTGGCTATTCGTGAGGGGTGTGGTTCTCCCATCACTTGTCCAGACATGATGTGCCTCAACCATGGGACTGTGCAAGAAACTGAGGTATCTCCATTTGTCACTTCTTTTTCTTTCTAATATTTTTTGTTCATTTACATAATGAATACATTAGAATGTTTCCTCCCCTTAATTACTCTAATGACTACTTGGCAGGAGGCCCACTTGACATGAGAAACTAGAAACAAGCAGATGGTTTTCTTCTTGTTTTTCCTTTCCTGGGGAAATGTTTACTTGGCATCCAGGCGGTCTCAAAATTGTCTGCTTAATAGCCAGAACATCCCCAATCTGAATGTCACCAGCCCTCCTTTAGAAAATGAATGTTGGAATATGTATGGCATTCCAGGTTGTAAAACACAAATCGAAGAGAGTTTTACACATGTCACTTGCTGCTTAAATTGTGAACTGGGGGCAAGTGTGAATAGAAATTAGAAGGTAATCGTTTTCAGGAGAAGTGATGGTACTTATGTATACATATAACGGTGTGTGTGTGTGTGTGTGTTGGTTGGGACACAAGCTACTTATTTTATACTGGCAAGGTTTCTGAAGAAAGGCTGGACAAACAGCAGGTGAAATTAGAGGTGAAAACATGAGCATTGGCGTACCTTGACTACCGAACTTACTCTAGCCTAAGCTTTTGTAGCCTAGACTCCATGATCCCTGTTCACGTAATGTCTTCAAGCATTTTGCAGTCTGCTCCTTTACCTGCCCTGCCCTTCCTCTCTGTCCACCCTTTTCTCCATCTGTGCCTCCCACCACGACATCCCAGCGCTTCCTCCTTAATGCTAGAAGGAACATTTGCCACAACAGCAACTTGTAAGGTGAACTACAACTAACATGCACAGCTGCAACACTGCCAGAGTCTGTTGAACAAGTGTTTGTGGTGAAACTATCATGTGACCACTTTATCACAGGTACAACTATGAACTCTTTCCAGAGGTGGTCACCTCACATTTTTCACCACATCTATGAAAGCACTTAATTCACCAGAATGTATGCCACACAAGAGAGGGACCTGCGATTTCCCGCAAGATTCATATGATTTTTAAGGCTACATTTGAAAATGGTGCGAGTCAGGTATTCAACTTGGATTTCATAATTGGCAAATACGTGTGGGTAAGGCCACTTGGTCTTTTACTCGGATAACATGAGCCTGGAGTATTCATAAGCTTTCACTTTAATGTTTTGTCTTGAGTGTGTGACTTCAAAGTTTGCACGGAAAACACAAAGCAACACTGGAATATGATAGTAGTGCTCATAAAGCTTCTGAAATCTAAAGATCCATTTCAATTAGCTAAGCAAGAGGGCACATGAGGGTATGCATTAATGGGCCATTAATGTTTTCCTCTGTACTCTGAGGGGCAAAGAATTGAATGAATAAACAACGAAGAATATATTTAATGGTCCATGAATGATGGAATGCACTAAATTCTGTTCAGGGTGATTATTCATTACATATTTATGATTTTCACTGAGCATGTAAGGAATAATATCTCCTGAACAGAATAGGAGCAAGGACAAGAAGTGATCTTAATTGCATTAAAGTTTTAACAACCTGATGCCTCTCTTGATTAACATATAGGGCTGCTTCCTACTGCTGCCTATTGCTTTGCCAACAGAGTTCTGATCACATTTCCATGCTAATCTGTCCTTGACTACGTTAAAAAAAACCAAACCAGAACCATGACCTTAATAGTCTGGGTCAGGCTTCCACCTCCTGCCAGGAGCTAGCCAATGATTTTTGGCATATATTGTTCCAGACTGAGTCCCGATATTAACTTAAAAGTGAGATATGTATGTCCTTTTAAGCTGTTTCTATTGTTGGGCTATTTGCTGGGCTACGGTGAATACAAACTCATAAGTGTACTGAAAATCATTGGAATTTCTGGGCTCATCACCTGTTTTCCCATCATGGATCTGTTACCAGTGGTAAGCACCCACTATCTGTGCCAGAATAAATTGGCAATAAAGAATGGGAGTCCCAAACAAGTCTCACTTAAAAGGGCTAAAGCTTCTATTACATACAAGGACATGGTGATGTTACTAATAGCCCACCTACAGATAGCAGGTAAGTTAATGCAACCCACATTTTGGGTAACCTAGAGAGGAAGAGTAACCCAAAGCAAGGAATGACTGGAAGGGGGAATTCAAACTACCTATAACCTGGGTGGCTATTGACCATTCCCAATTGGCAACTGGCCAATGTGCTCAACTCCTTAAGGCCTCTTAATGGTGAGTTTTGGTGAACACACCCTTACTTATCCCCTTAAACCAAGGGTGAGAAACTTGTAGCTTACTCTGATGCTGATGTTGTAACCAGTTCTAATCTAAAAAGATCATGACATTGTATGACGGAGGCTTGATGTGAGGCTGAGAATCTGACAAAAAAACTCTTTGCTGTTGTTTGCCAAGATGATTTCCTGACATTTGCTCTGTCTGAAGATATACCATTATGAGGCATATTGATTCCTTGCCTGGGAGGAATCTGTAATTGAAATGAAGCTAACCTTATTCATGGCAAACAAGGTTGTCTAGGCAACTTCAGGAGGAGAATGACGAGATGTAGAAAATGTTCTGTACACTGTGCATGTATGGAGGAGATACTTGAAGAATCAAATTAATTTATCTGCTGTTTGTAAAAAGGATCTCATATTCATGTGTGTGTGCGCGTGCATAGGATCACCCTGTGCACTGAGGATTTGCTTAGTTTGGTGTATATATATATATAAACATAACTGCCTGTCAGTAATGGAAGCAAGTTCCCATCGTGTAAAAAAAGAAAAAGACAACGTGGGCGCAAACAAGCCGCTGTCTCTTAGCAGAGTAAAAATGTAATTAAATCTGTTTATTTCCCCCCATTTTTCTATCCTCACTTAACACTGAGTCCTAAAAGTCAGTCCAAGAAGGTGGCCTCATTCAGCATGTTCAAAAAGATGTTCAGCCTTGGCCACAATTTGCCATTGGAGTGAGTTGCATAGTGATTCATAGATGGCATCAAAGAGCCACAAATGGAATCTTTTAAAATAAATAGTAATGGGACACATAGGAGGAGGTAGTCTATAAGTGTTTGTGTTTCAGGGTGCTGCATTTCACAAATTAAATTTGAAACTATAAAGTTGTGGTACATGCTTTCTTGTCAACACAACAGTCTCTCTCATTAAATGTTTGGGATTTGTTTGTTTTGTTTTTTTGAACATTGGCCAAATATGTTTACTTTTGAATATATAATCATTTCATTTCTCTCCGCATACATTGCTGTTTTTAATAAAAACCCATAAAGACTTGTTCTAAGTGGCAAGGGAGTTCTTTAATGGAACAAATGAATATTTTATGATGGATATAATGCATAGGCTTTTGTTAGAATAGGGGCGGTAATAATGCGACATGCTATGGAAGCCAAAAGTAGTGGGGATATTGGAGGGAATATAAATTAAATCTGTGCTCTTGATTTATAGAAATGTGTTCCCTGAAACCATCTTCCATTATGTGGTATGCAACATTACTGGCACTTAAATATCTACAGCATGGACTAGGTGAATTATCCATAGACCATATATATATGACAAGCTAAAAAGACTTGAGAAATTATTGTTTTAAACTTGCTGCAATAAAAAATGCATGGTACTATTTTTGTCCCAGAACATTTACTAGCTTTTGTAAGACAGTTCTGTTTGTCATACAATGTACACTATTAGAGTTCACTCAGAAAGCAGGTATCGATAAGCTAACTTATCTGTGTTAGTAGCTGAATAGGTTAATCGAGCCGGAAGACTCTTTCTGAGCTGCATTAAGAGTAACATGTGAGAGGGCTTTCTTTGTGGCTGTGTCCCAGGTGTGGAACTGCAAGCTTCCGTATATGTTGATAATGTTCCTCTTTGCTTGTGTTCCTCTGCAGCAGAGCTGCTGTGCTGGCTTCCCTTCACATGGGTCACTGTTGCTTATCAAGAGGTAGAGGGGGAAGGTATCTGAGAACTCTGTTGTTGTTTAGTTGTTTAGTCGTGTCTGACTCTTCGTGACCCCATGGACCAGAGCACGCCAGGCACTCCTGTCTTCCACTGCCTCCCTCAGTTTGGTCAAACTCATGCTGGTAGCTTCGAGAACACTGTCCAACCATATCGTCCTCTGTCGTCCCCTTCTCCTTGTGCCCTCCATCTTTCCCAACATCAGGGTCTTTTCCAGGGAGTCTTCTCTTCTCATGAGGTGGCCAAAGTATTGGAGCCTCAGCTTCAGGATCTGTCCTTCCAGTGAGCACTCAGGGCTGATTTCCTTCAGAATGGAGAGGTTTGATCTTCTTGCAGTCCATGGGACTCTCAAGAGTCTCCTCCAGCACCATAATTCAAAAGCATCAATTCTTCGACGATCAGCCTTCTTGATGGTCCAGCTCTCACTTCCATACATCACTACTGGGAAAACCATATCTTTTACTATACGGACCTTTGTTGGCAAGGTGATGTCTCTGCTTTTTAGATGCTGTCTAGGTTTGTCATTGCTTTTCTGTCTGAGAACTCAGCACAGTGCAAATGCACCAGCAGAACCAATTCAGGGCTACTGCCAGGGCATTTGTACTGCACCAAATTTTGCAATGCGGTTTTCCAGCCAAGCAATGCATGCCAAAATGCATGTACTCGGGCAAAGTGTGCATAAAAACCCATAGATTAGCAAAATGACATAAAATGCATTATATTACAGAAAGTTGCTTTGCAAAACTGTATATATCAGGCAAAATGGCATACAAATGTTTATGTTAGAAGTGATCAGCACTAAAATGCTGGTGAATTTTCATTCTTTTATTTTGTAAAAATGCAAATGGATGTGGAAAAAGACTAGAAAAAAAGGGAAAACTGAAATTGGCAGATTCATCCATCCTTACTGCTGACTACACAAGGGATTTCTTGTGACTCCTTTTACATTTTTGAGTTCTTAAGTTTATTTTAATAGTTTGGCTTTTCATATGCTATATTTTTCAGCTGCAATGATATGCACTAGTAATTGAACTAGCAGAAAGCCACCCACACCTTTCATTGCTTCTCGTCCCCCAGTTCGTTTATGACAGTTATCATGTTGTATCTGACAAATTAATGAAAGATAGAATGACCTGAGAAAGACTTACTGTTCCACCACCATCTTGACTGATGGCTGGTAAACTGAGTCAAGGGTTTGAAGACAACATGACTGGATCCAACGATCTAGTAGTTTTTGGTGACTGCTCTTGGTTTATTTCCATCTCCAAGACCTGGCAGCGGCATCATTGACATAGGGAACTGGGTGGTTGTGTTTCTGGCGCACAGGGTTAGGAGCAGCAAACAGGATTGGATCAGAGTTGTTTATCCTGCTATTGCCTTACAGCAATCTGTAACCCTCCATTGCAGTGATTTATGATGTGCCAAGATTCTCTGCTTAATTCAGTGTATCTAGCAGTTATGAGCTAATCAATTTCCTAAAAAGAATCATTTGGGTTCATCTTAGGACAAGAGGAGAAAAAATAGGTCTCTTTGGTGCATGCTATTCCTCTATGGCTGTTCAGCCATAAACCTAGTACCTTAAATATGGGAGAGATCCTACAGACATTCCACAACTATTTGTTTATTTATTGAATTTATATCCTTCACTTCCTCTTGAAGGAGCCTGGGATGGCAAACATGTCTCTTTTTTAAAAAAAGAAAGGTATTCTAAAAACAGTTGCAGTTAAACACATTATAAAAACACGCTCTCACTTAAGGATCTCAGGGTTGCCAGGAAAAATGTCCATTTATCAGATGCCTGGATAAACAGGTATGTTTTCATTAATGATGGAGAAAGGCACATTTCACCAGGGAGGGCATTTCACAAATGGTGAACCACCACTAAACAGGCCCTGGCATGAGACAACACCAACCAGAAAGCCCTTGAAAGTGGCACCACCAACATGGTCTCACATGCCATTTGTAGGGTCTGAGATAGTTTACAGTATATTGGGGAAGGTGCTGTTTTAGGTCAATATGTAGAACATGGTTACAGTGAAACTGTTCTTAACCTGAAGCACCACTTTAGCTAATGAGGCCTCCTGCTGCTGCGCCGCCGCCGGAGCACAATTTCTGCTCTCATCCTGAAGCAAAGTTCTTAACCTGAAGCACTATTTCTGGGTTAGCGGAATGTGTAACCTGAAGCGTATGTAACCTGAGGTACCACTGTATTCATAAAGAATGCCTGGCATATGTTTCCTTCCTTTTTTGCATCCTCTTTAAATATTTGAAAAGTGCAAATTTCCCTGTAGCCTAATCTGTTCTTGTAATTTTTCTTTATTAAAAAAATCATCGTCGTAAACCTTTCCTGAATTTCTTATTGGCATCTTTTTGTGAATTGTCTTCTGAAACATCATTCAGCATTTGAAATATGAGCTAGACTGGCTATCTGGAATTAAGTACAATGGTACAAGCACTTTCCAAATAATTTAAAAATATCAACACAAACTTATTAAGTAATATAAACATCAACTTTTTCTGCTACAGAATCATATCGTTGGTTCATGTTCAGTTTATTATCCCATGATCTAGTGAGTCATACTGTCTTCATATTATTTATTTTTGTTTTGTTTTGTTTCCTGTTCTCCCTGTAGTCTATTTTTATTGGTATTGGTCCATTATTATCAAAGTTGCTTGTGAATTCAAAGTTTGTGCAATTGAATGAGGAACACTGCAAACCTGAGATTGTCCTGGATGTACTGAGTGGTGTGAATCTATATAGTAGTGGCAAGAGACTGTAAACTTGGCAGTAAAATTCAAAGAAAGTGCTTTTTAATTTGAGAAACCTAATTCTAATTTACTCTGTGTCAAATCTGGGTATTTGAATAAAGGTTTTATCACAATGGGTTGAAAAGTGGTTTCAGTGATGATATGACAACAATAAAAAAACACACAATTCATTGGAAGGTGGGTTTTTTGTGTGTGATTTTTGAGCATTTCATTGCATTGCCACTGATGCCAAACTTAGTGTGGATGCCTGATCAGCATAGCCCAAAGCAGCTCCAACAAGTTAACACCACTAATTATTCGTTTCAAACTATGCCGGCAGTTGTATGATGAATTGTACCCAAAATTTCTAAGCTTACTCATATTTTTTTAGCAGAATAGAATATTGTTTGCAGTTGAGTTCTTGTAAATACTAACCAGCTTTGGTTTTGGCAGTTTACTTTTTAACATTTGTGTCCCTCTTAAATTGCCAAATGATCTTGAATTCAAAATTGAAGCCTTGTTGTGATTGCTTTCTCTCTTTCCCCCTCTCTGATCTTACGGACCACGGGGGAAATAATGGAAGCAAATGTCATCAGACATTCTTGTTTGACTCATTTTTAGGATTAGTTAATCCCCCACCTTCCATCTTAACATCTTGTCTTCTTCTTTCTTTCAGATCTCCAGGTTGGTACCTGCTGATCAATTTCAGTTATACCAGCGATTGAAATTTGAAAGAGGTGTGGCTTTTACATTGATTTAGGGGGGTTAATACCAGATATACATGTATAATTAAACTCACAAAACAGTTTGAATAATAGGTTGAAGGACTTATTAAACTAAAAAAATGCCTTTAAAAAAAAAGGAAGTGCAGGAATATGAGCACAGCCAATGCTTCTGCATTGAAAAAGAAAGCAATAAAATACCTGTGAATGTTATCAATTATGATGCCTTCATACTTTTATCACAGATGTGGCTCACAGCCCATTGGCTGCATCTTAGCTCCCCTCAAGTTTTTTTTTGTGACTGGCCAAGAACTCCCCTCCTCCAATTTGCCTATGTTAAGAAAAGTGGATCCTCCACTATGATGGTGCCCCCTCATGTTTTTCCTATATAAAAACACATACACCCATTTGGTTGTTGTTGTTTTTTTTAAACCCTTGCTGCTCCTATAGGCCTGCTGCTATGATACTAAAATATTTTTTGTGTCTCCCTATGCTCTCAACCCCCCCGCACTTTTTAAAAAAACTTTAAGAATATCTTCATTTTTAAAATTGGCTGTGATGCTGAAAGGTTTTATATGCCCCCACCAAAGCCTTCAGAATTTGACATTTTGTGGTTTATAATGAGGTTTGTCAGATACTATTGACCACAGCACAGTGAATTGTTTTCTGAAGCCAGTGACAATGGAGGCTGAATATGAATCAACAAATGGCAAACGAAGTACATAATTAAAAATGTTGTGTTTTTGGATTTCTAATAAACATTTTTTAGAAGTGCATTTGGATCCCCTGAGAACCTGGTGTCCTTCTGCTGACTGTCAGTCCGTGTGCCAAATTGAACCAAGTGAATCTGGACTACCCGTGCCTGTAAAATGTCAGGCTTGCTACTTGACGTTCTGTTCATCATGCAAAGAGCCTTGGCATGTGGAGAAGCTATGCCTGGAAAACCATCTTATTGTGGCACCAAGTGAGCAAGGGTAAGAGAAGGATTTGCTGAGGTGCTGCAAATCTTCCATATCATAATCGCAGTAATTTCAGCTTTCCTTTAGTTGAAATTTGTAGGTGTAGAATTAATTCATTGCCAGTTGTCAGGGGTAGGGAAGCATTTTCAATAGATTGCCAGAACATACCTGCACCGTGCTTTGAAAGCACTCTTGCGCCACTTTAAACAGTCATGGTTTCCACCAAAGAATCCTGGGAACTGTAGTTTACCCTTCACAGAGCTACTGTTCCTAGCACCCTTAACAAACTACAGTTCCCAAGATTCTTTGGGGGAATCCATGACTGTTAAAGTGATAAGAGTGCTTTAAATGTTTTGTGTGGCTGTAACCCAGGTGCAGTGGCTTAGTTATAGTGCTAGCTGTCCCCAAAGTATACTGATGTCTGATGCCATAGTAATGTTGCACATGCATGTGTATCTACATGGATTAAGGATGCTCTATGTGCTACTTGCCCAGACGCCACAACATGAACGACAGTGAAATAATCAGGGAACTATTACTATCCTTTGTTTTATTATTATTATTATTATTATTATTATTAAACATTTTCTTGATTTACAAAAGTGTGTGCAATGTCTCTCTCTCGTATCCCCCCCCCCCCCGGTAACATTTTTACAAATCAGTTTCATTTGTTGAGACATTAGGAAGAAAAGGGGGAAAGAGCTGGAGGGGGGGGGGAAGATGGGTGGGGGTGAGGTCGGGTGGCAATGTTTCTATGTTACTATATGTAGGGTTTGGTGTCAGCGTTGCTTGTGCAGGTTTTCTGCTGTTCACTTATGTTCCTTTGGTGGTGAGAGAGGTTGGGGTTGGCCTAGGGTGATCTTTGTTTTCATGTGTGAGTGGGGTGGGTGGGTGTTTTGGATCAGGTTAGCCATATTGATTTGTATGCCGTTGGTGGATTTTTGTCGTTGTCTTGTTGGGCTGTGTGTGTGATAAAGGGGAGCCATATTTGTCCCCATGTCAGTTTCAGTTTATTGGTTAATTTTTCTAGTAAGGCTGTTTCCCATACTATTTGGTACCATTGGTCCATGCTTACTTCTGACAGGTCTCTCCAGATTACTGTCCTTTGTTGAACTACCATCTTTCACAGGGTTTTCCCCCTCTACTTTTCTAGAGTACTTATCAAAACCACCACAGAAGCTCCAATTAAGCAGTGCCCGGTTTGCCGAATCCATATTGAGAGGAATGAAGGCTGTGCTCAAATGATGTGTAAGAACTGCAAGCACACGTTCTGCTGGTACTGTCTGCAAAATCTGGATGTAAGTGACCTGTGCCAAGGGCTTTGGGGTGGGCTTGTCCAGGTTTTTGCCCTCTAGTTCCTTTAAAATGGCTTGTAACTAGGGGAGGGAAACACCTCATTGGGAACTAAGAATTTTAGAAGAGCACTGCTATATCAGATAAAAGATTCACCCAGTCCTGATTCTCGGGTTGCCCATTTAGATGTCTATGCGAATTCTACAGATGGGGCTCAAAGGCCATAGCCTTCCCCTTCTCTTGCTCCCCCAGCAGTTTGGTTTTACCCTGTCCTCCATCTTTACTTGAGTAAATCTCTCTCTAACTGAGGTTAGATTCACTTGTTATGCTACTGTGGTAATTGCAGCTACCACCAGAAATTCTACCTGTCTAAGTTATTGGGTGATGAGCCGTCATTGCCCATTATCTTATTGAGCCGCAGGCTGTCCTCTGTCACATAGTAGCTGTTGCTTAAACAGAACGTGTGCACTCAACAGGGAGTGTCTCTTAATGGCATCAAAGGGGTACTGTGCTAATATGTTTGCCTTGCCTATAGTAGCAATAAACAGATACTGCATGATACGTTTTGGAAGAAACTGTCAATTGAAAAAGTTGCTGATTTAGTGAGGAATCCCCATTCATCACTTAATCTGTCCCTGATTGTTCCTGTTTGGCTACACCCCCCTCCCCCCCGCTATAAAAGTTGGGTTCAAATGTTGCAATTCTGGAGAGTAGTGTTACTGGCCTTCACATAATTTTCATTTTTCATGATCACAAATCTGGTTTCTCTCTCCCTCTTTTTTTGGCATGCCTCAAAGTTATAGATGTAACTCTCTTGTACTGCAACATTTGATCACATTAAGTGGGTTTGCAAATGCTGATGACTCCTTTGTGTTCAGTTTCACTAGCTGACTTTCCACATTTGTGGGTGTGTTTTTCCATGTCCGCTCACATGTCTCCCTTTCTGTAAAGCATACATTTTGTAGAAGAGCAAGAGGTGTCAAATTTTCTGTGGCAATTGCACTTGAGAAATTCCCATTTGCACCAGTGTACTGCTGGAAGAAAAGTCTTGAGAGCCAAAAATACCCACCAGACTTTGCGCTGCTGCATTGCCACCTGGGCACCTATTTCAAGGCAGGCCCAATGTATTCGTGCCAACTACTAAACACACTCTTTTCTTTCTGCTTTCAGAATGATATCTTCCTAAGGCATTATGACAAAGGCCCTTGCCGAAACAAACTGGGTCATTCCCGTGCCTCAGTTATGTGGAACAGAACGCAGGTAATGCGGGTGACGCAAGCTTGAGTCTATATCAGGATTTCCATCTGCTCATACACAGCTTTCCTGTTCCTTATCACATTTCTCCTCCTGCTTTTTTTCAGGTTGTTGGGATCCTTGTGGGCCTGGGTATCATAGCCCTGGTAACATCTCCCTTGCTGCTCCTAGCCTCACCGTGCATCATCTGTTGTGTCTGCAAATCGTGCCGTGGCAAGAAAAAGAAACATGACCCGCCAACAACCTAAAGCTTTTCACCCTATTGGCTGTGAAGACCTGCATCTTGTATGTGATGGAGAAGACATGAAGGCTGACCTCTGGTGCCAATGCTTTCCCAACCAATTCTCCTTCTCTTTGCCAACTTCTGCAAAAAGTGCCTACAGTTTCATGGGACACAGTGTTGTTTGCAAGTTGCCGTTCCGCAGTGGGATAGGTGTCTGTTGTGGTGTTTTCAGTTCAGCTCTGGCTATTTTCTTTTTTTTAAGGAAAAGAGGCAGGGGTTCTAAACATCGTTTCAAAGGTTCTTCAAAACGACCCACCTCTGCTTGGTTCTACAGTATTTTCCAGAGTCTGGATATGTGCCCATTTTTGAGCAACTTTAATTTTGCAGCTCATGGAGCAGTCCTGCAGTTAAGTGAGGGAACACAGGTGAACAATGCAACCCCGTTGTAAGAGATCTTTGGATATTATTGAGTTTTCACTTTCCAGGGGCAGATTTCAGTGTTACTAAAAAGATATCCTGTAAAAAATTTATATACCTGGAAAGGGGAAGGTAGTGGAAATGAAGTACAACTGAAATGGGGTATTGTTAATATACGTTTGCTAAATGCCCAATCAAAACTGGACCAACAACGAGTTGTATCAGCCTTGGTACAGCATCAGAAACAATGATCTGAAGCAGCTGTTGCAGGTACATAGCACTGGCACAATATGCCAAGTAAATCGCTCTACCTGAGCCACTGATTAGGACTGGGTGTGAATTATTGTCAAGCGTTTTTCAAAACATATGTTGCACTGGTGCAAGAAGTAGCAAGTGTAGGGGATATTTGTGGTATGCAACAGGATCCAGTTGGCCTGGTATAATAACAACAACCTCCCCCCCCCGCCCCGAGCATTGTGTTGCAGTGGCACTAGAGTGCTGTGCATCCTTTGGCTTCACTTCTGGCAACTTGTGGTGCACTTGCCAAAAAGGTTGGCCATCATTGATGCAAACTATAATTTTAGGTGAAAATTAGAGGGTTACATGTACACTTAAACACACGCACAAACATACACAGCACCAGCAATTTGTTCAGGTGTATTACACTACACTGGGCAAATACTGCCCAATTACATTATTTCACTGAGTTAGTGAGGAGTTGTAAAAACAGTATAGAGACCTTGAGCAAGTCCTATATAAAAACTTAGCTAATGGCTGCAAACTTTAAGATGAACAGGCCTACTTCCCCCAATAATGAATTCTAGTCTTCTATAAGACAAGCCCATAGCTAGATTGTGACTGAAGGAGCTGCATAATCTGGAAAACAATGGATGAGGTCGAAATAGTGGGATGGTAGGATAACCACTTTATTTAGTGCTGGATTACAAGGCAGCGTAAGAGGAATTGTGGTGAAAAATGGTGTTGCATAACAAACATATAGTAACACTTTCTTGAAATATTATGCTTATATACACCACAGTCTTTAGCTTTGGGCTGAATATCTGGTTGTGGCCTCATGTTGTTCTGTATTGAGTACTTTAGCGGTAGAGTACAAATGTAAATAAATATGATTCTTCAAGGCAAGGTGTGTATGTTTCATGGTATATACTGTGTGTGCGCATTACATTAACACACAAAACAAATATGCATTTGAGCGTGTACTATAGTATAGCCTTTCCCAGCTTGGCTTGTTGGACTCCAACTCCCAGTCAGCAAATCCAGTGGTCAGGGATAATGAGATTTTTAGTCCAGCAACATCTGGAGACTGAAGGTTGGGAACGACTGCTATAGTACATAGTATTTCAGCTAAGCAAATCCATTCCACAACAATCTGAAGTTGTTGGCCCGTCTAGTTTTGAAAGCTTAGAATGCTGCTAAAGGATCCAGCAATATCTGGTTCAAAGTACAATGGAAAGACATCAAGTCAAGTTTATTTTTCTCCTGCCATTTTTAAAAGAAACAAGCTTTCAGGAGGGTGTAACTAAGTAAGTTAAACTTGGGTCCCATTAAAAAAAGTTAATGACTTCTGTTCCGCTGATTTTTGTGGAGCCTAAGTTCAGCTAACTTCATATGGCTACAGCTGTATGGCCTTAAGCAGAGAAATAGAAAGGAGGAGGGGCAGATAGATACTGAAGCAGAAAAGGTAAACAGATTTAATTTAAGGAAGCATAGTTCTCATGAAAAGCTATTGGAAATCAAGCCTGCAAATTTTGTCTTTTCATATATAAAAAACAACAAAAACCTCATACCTAAGAGTTTCTAGTCAACTTGGAGAAACAGCCAGGACACCTGAATTAAGCGCTACAAAATGGACAGCAATGATGGGTGTTTCCTTTTCATATCTGAAAATTGTAGTCCGAAGTGGATCGCAAAATAGCCTCATTGGAGTCAATAATAGGGGTTGGGGTGTCCTAAACTGCCAGCTGAGCCTGTTTAGCTTTGCAATGCAACTGTGCCCTAATACTGTACAGCCTTGTATGCGGTACTCCCCCTGACTGGTGGGAGTTGTCCAAACCCCCTGAAGGGCACCAGGTTGGTGGAGGCTTCTTTAGCACCAGCCAGGGCTGTCACCCAATTAAAAGCCAAAAACCCCCTTGGTTGTATTATTTTCAGTTGACCCAAATCTGCATACATTAGTACTGAAGAAAAAAGAAGTCTTATTTGGGGGTCTGGGTGGAGGAGAAGGAACAACGAAAAGCATTATTTAGCTCTTCTGCAACCAGGATTTTAAACTGTTGCTCATATTCACATAAAGTAAGGTTGTGGATGATGTGGATTTTCATCCCTTTTTGGAAGAGAATGTGTGTGTGTTGGGGAGAAAATGAATGCCTACTTGCCTTCTGCTTCCCTTTCTGGCTGGTTCAGTTCTTAACATACTTTTTACTCCCTGCTGCTCCCTTTGAATGCTGGGTGTGAGCTCCTCAGGGCAATGGCAGGATAAATATGTTTATTAAAAAATCTACCACCCTAATTGCTCAGGGGCACCTTCTTAATCAAACTGATTAGTCAGCTAAACGTTGTAGCTTTGTTTGACCTAACAACCCTCCTTACTTTCACTAGCAAATGGAAGGGAATGATGTATGTCTATGAAGCGCCTTTTGATCTTAGTCTCCCTTTTATGATGGGAAGCCATGCGTGATGATAACGTTGAATTCCGTCCATGTACTTGCCAATAAGAATTTCATATTGTATGTTGATTGTATGAAGGCCATCACCCCCCCCCTTCTGCCAAGGTTGTGTTATTTAAGGTTTGCTGTTTTATTGTACAAACATTTGCTGTATCAGAGTAGAAACCAAATCCTTAATGGACAGTCAATGAGTAGAAACACATGAACTTAACCAGTTTCTCTGTTATCAGATGATCATTGCAGTTTTGAAAATCAGACGTACATGCCCTGTCATGCTTTACCACTGTCTGCTATGAGATCACAAAGAACCAAATTGCACCACTTGGATGTGGTAGTAATAGGCTTGTGCATTTGTGATCTTCCTCGTTAGCTCCACTGACTTGCCAGACAGCCAAATTTACTACTCTTGATTGGCTACAGGAGAAGGATTTGGAATTGTACAGTGGTACCTTGGTTCTCAAACCTAATCCGTTCCGGAAGTCTGTTTCAAAACCAAAGTGTTCCAAAACCAAGGTGCACTTTTCCATAGAAAGTAATGCAAAATGGATTGATCCATTCCAGACTTTTAAAAGCAACCCCTAAAACAGCAATTTAACATGAATTTTACTATCTAATGAGACCATTGATCCATAAAATGAAAGCAATAATCAATGTTCTGTACTATAAAATAAATAATACAGTATTGTAGATTATATATAATTAAATTATTATTTTCCCTTACCTGCACTGATGATAGCCATTGTTTGGATGGAGGGCTTTTATCCATTTCCACAGTCAATCAATCAATCAATCAATCAATCGCTGAACTGCGTTCCACCCAGTCACAAAAACAAATTAACTGAAAAAGCCTCAAAAACAAAAACACAAAAGAAATAGCAAAAACAAAAGCACTAAACTTAATCTGTTCTGGAAGTCTGCTTGACTTTTGAAATGTTCGAAAACCAAGGCGCAGCTTCTAATTGGTGCAGGTGCCCCAGAAACAATAGGCGACAACCACGTCGGACGTTCAGCTTCTGAAAAACATTCAAAAACCAGAACACTTCCGGGTTTTCTATGTTTGAGAACCAAAGCGTTTGAGTACCAAGATGTTTGAGAACCAAGGTACCACTGTAATTCCTTTCGTTATTTTCCATGGCAATTTTTATTGCCATTTATGGTAAGACCATGAAGCATCACTTGGAAGAGGATAGGAAATAATCCATAGATCATTGTATCACTGGAAATGTATTAGAGAAGAACTGTTTTTATTTTGGAGAACTGGAGGAAAACCGAGGCCTCTGAGCCCTATTTACATGCGCCTACGCATTTGATAAGAATTGCACGAGGGGTGGAAGGAGACTGGGCTCAGTGGCTTCACCCCCTTTCTTACAACTCTGTCGGCTTGGCTCTACTACTCTCCATGAATTGGGGCTGAAGGTCTGTGGTCTGCTGCACACGTGTCATTTAGAGCTGATTGCATGATTAAGAATGTGCAAATGGGACTTTAGTACATCTTTCATAAGACTTCAAAATGATGTTGATGTAGGGCTTCAGCTACCCCCTACTCAGGTAGTCAAGGTATTGGATTGTCTACTGGTACTTTTTAAGTTCCTGGTTTTAATTCATTTTCCATGAATACATTTTCTTCACCTCTTTCCTAATACGGTGAAGGGTCAAGGCTGTGATCTTTGTAAGATTTAGTAGAAACTCTTTTCTGTATGTGTTCCAAAGAAAGCAGATGTGTATGAAGAAATTCTAAGTGCTCTTGTAAGTTTTATTTAATGAACCAACATTTGGAAATGTACTTTGCTCTGTCTGTATATATTCATGCAATATATATTTTCAGCCTCTGAGATTTCCTTCTCTTCCCCCGGCTTTCCCTCCTAACATTATAATATGCAACATGTGCAAAATTAAAAATTCAGCAAAAGCAGTTTGTCTCTGTTTGTCTTCAGCAAGTTGCTTTTAAAACAGATTGCGGACGTTTAGTAAAGCTTTGTTACCAACAGAGGACAATTCAAAGCCATATGTCACATTTTTAAGGATCATTGGGGGGCGGGGGGGGGGGGGCGGAAATGGCAGCGGAAAGTCTGCATTCAGTTTTGGATTCTTAGTGGACTTAAATAAAATGATGCTGTTATCATTTTTTTGTACAATGCTTCATAACATCATTTATAAACTCTCATGGAGCCATTCATGACTCTCCACAGCAACAGCAGACTAATAATAAAGGTAAAGGGACCCCTGACCATTAGGTCCAGTAGTGACCGACTCTGGGGTTGCGTGCTCATCTCGCTCTATAGGCCGAAGGAGCCGGCTTTGTCCGCAGACAGCTTCCGGGTCATGTGGCCAGGATGACTAAGCCGCTTCTGGCGAACCAGAGCAGAACACGGAAACGCCGTTTACCTTCCCGCCGGAGCGGTCCCTATTTATCTACTTGCACTTTGACATGCTTTCAAACTGCTAGGTTGGCAAGAGCAGGGACCGAGCAACGGGAGCTCACCCCGTCACAGGGATTCGAACCGCCGACCTTCTGATCGGCAAGTCCTAGGCTCTGTGGTTTAACCCACAGCGCCACCTGTGTCCCTTTCAGACTAATAATAGCACCCTGCAAAAACAGGTAAGTGTTTACCTGGTGTTGAGATGCCAAAGCATCAGCCCCTGTCATGCTTCCAGTAGAAGGTGTTCCATAATTGAGGTGCCACCACAGTGAAGATCCTGCCTTGTGTTGTTACATGACGCATCTCCCCCAGTGGTGGGACCAGAAGGATGGCCTCACCCCTGGATCTAAGAATCTAGGCAAGCTGATAACAGGGAGGAGTGGTTCCTTAGATTCTTGAGACTTGAGTTGTTTGAGGCTTTATATAGGTCAACCCCAACATCTTTAATTCAGCCTGGCAGCATATTAGCAGTTAATTAAAATGTTTCAGGATCAGTGTTGTGTGATCTCTGCCCGCTGTCCCAAACAACACACTGGCAGCTGCATTCTGCACTAATTGTAGCTCCAAGATTGATGTTAAGGATTACCCCACGTAAAGTGCACTGCAGCAATCCAAATGGGACATTGCCAGAACATGGGTCACTGTAGTCAAGTTTTGCTCTCTCTCTCTTTCCAGGAACAGCCATAGCTGGCAAACCAGCCATAGCTGGAAAATAACACTGAGGCCACCTGTGCCTCTAGTGACAATAATGTTGGATTAAGGAGTGCACCCAGACGACACACCTGCTCTTTCAGGTGGATAGCAATAAACAGCAAACCCAATGACTGGATCTGAGAACCACCCATCACCATGGTCGGTGTGGACCATATGGAACTGGTTGGATCCATACAGCTGCTACCAGTCAGTGTGGTCAATTGTGAGTTGGATTTGCAAGCTGGGCTGCCTGTCTGTATCAGCAATAGTGAGTTGGGCTGCTGCCAGACAGTCTTGGCAAAACTGAACTGGGGGATCAGTTCAGCAGCTGCCAGTTAGTGTAGGCAATATTGGGTCGGGTTTGCAGCTGGGCTGCTGCTTGTCAGTGTAGACACTATAAGGCTAGGTGACCTGACTGTATAATGCAGCTCTTTCATTGCACCATCTGGTGGCAAGGTATTGTCACTGCTGTTTGGTTTCCTTGTGATTCAAATTAATCCTCCCATACATTGATAATGCGGGACACGGGACGCGGGTGGCGCTGTGGGTTAAACCACAGAGCCTAGGGCTTGCCAAACAGAAGGTCAGCGGTTCGAATCCCCGGTGACGGGGTGAGATCCCATTGCTCGGTCCCTGCTCCTGTCAACCTAGCAGTTCGAAAGCATGTCAGAGTGCAAGTAGATAAATAGGTACCACTCTGGTGGGAAGGTAAACGGCGTTTCCGTGTGCTGCTCTGGTTCGCCAGAAGTGGTTTAGTCATGCTGGCCACATGACCCGGAAGCTGTACACCGGCTCTCTTGGCCAATAAAGCGAGATGAGCACCACAACCCCAGAGTCGGTCACGACTGGACCTAATGGTCAGGGGTCCCTTTACCTTTACCTACAATGATAATACTACCTGAACAGCAGTTATGCCACGTACCAATCAGCCCAAGCTGTATGTGGAAGGGCACATCCTGCATGCCATTAACAGCACACACGGGCAGGCAGCAAAGCTGCTCTTGCCTAGAATGGCAGAGTCATATCAACCCCACATTTCCATGTCCCCCCTCCTCCCCCCAGATATTATCATTCCTTTTTTCTGCTTTCAGTCTTGGATGGGATGTGCAAAATACCTCAAATGAGAAATGGTGCACACAGGGGCTCTCATCTCACAGTGATGCAATCTTCACTTATCTCGGCAAACAGCAGTTTTGTAACTTTATATGCCATCTGGAAAAGGTCCTGGAAGCCACTGTGCTCCCCAAGCCACAAAAGGCAGTGGAAAGTAAGCTCATTAATTGGTTCCCTCTGCTTTTGGGTGCCCAAATCATGTTTTTGCTGTGCATGACTCAGAAAGGATGACTACCCTTATTTTATCTAGCCCATGAGAAAATCTTGTGATTTTGTTCATTGCGTGACTGAACAACGTTGCTGGTATAGGCCGGTTTCTGAAAATTAAAGCGTTTGATGGCATGCAAGCAGCATCTTAAAAATACAGCAAAATTATCTGAAAGCTCTTGTCTGGGGTGTTTTGTCTGCAATGGCAGTTTCACACATGCAAACCATTCCTTGGTAGCAGAATGATCATGGATTTGGAAACTTGCCCTGAGAGAAGATTTAAAGGGTGGAAGCAATGGGAATGTGGACCCCTCTTTAAAGAGGACCAATGCCTTAGCTTGCATAACCTGTTCCTGAAAGTACAGCCACATTAGGCAGGGTGAGGCAGTGACAGATGAGAGGGCAGAAAATTTCCCACTGATTTCATTAATAGTATATATTTACCACCAGGAGGAAAGGCCATGTGGATTTTCAGCCTCTAGCAACAAGCTGCCTCTGTTTACCGCAGAAACAAAAATGGAATATCTCTGAAGGTCAAATGAGATGCAAGTGCATTTAACCTTTGCATTTGGTGTGCAGTTTTAAAACACACAGAAATATTGACTGGGGGGCAGGGGGGGGGACACAACTCTAATAATTATTGGGATGACAACCCATGTGGACAGAGTGCTTAGCCCTTTGCTTCCCTGCTGCTTCCCTTAAGCAAATCCCTCATTTGAAGCTGGAGGGGGGAATCTAAATGGTGAAGAAGTCCCGGAAACTGCAGTCTCTTGCCCACTCCAAAGCAGGGTGAGATTGTTTCTTTCTTTTCCCACTTTGGCCCATTTGGGGGAAAATGTTCTTTTAGTTTCAAGAGAGTACAGTGCTAGACCTCCTTCTGTGCAGCACATAAAGTCTGCTCTGCAGTTCATGGTGCTTTCATTTCTGGTATCCACTATTAGGGTGAACTGGCAGGATTCTTGTACAGGGTTTGGATGACAGGGATCAAAGTAAGTGCTGAGAAAGTGTACCTGATCAGAAAGATTAGAGCTGATGTAAAAGGTAAAGGGACTCCTGACCATTAGGTCCAGTCGTGACCGACTCTGGGGTTGCGGCGCTCATCTCGCTTTATTGGCCGAGGGAGCCGGCGTACAGCTTCTGGGTCATGTGGCCGGCATGACTAAGCCACTTCTGGCGAACCAGAGCAGCGCACGGAAACACCGTTTACCTTCCCGCCGGAGCGGTACCTATATATCTACTTGCACTTTGACGTGCTTTCGAACTGCTAGGTTGGCAGGAGCGGGGACCGAGCAATGGGAGTTCACCCCATTGCGGGGATTCAAACCACTGAGCTTCTGATCTGCAAGTCCTAGGCTCTGTGGTTTAACCCACAGCGCCACCCGCATCCCTAGACTAATAATAGCACCCTGCAAAAACAGGTAAGTGTTTACCTGGTGCTGAGATGCCAAAGCATCAGCAGCTGTCATGCTTCCAGTAGAAGGTGTTCCATAATTGAGGTGCCACCACAGTGAAGATCCTGCCTTGTGTTGTTACATGACGCATCTCCCCCAACGGTGGGACCAGAAGGAGGGCCTTACCCCTGGATCTAAGAATCTAGGCAAGCTGATAACAGGGAAGAGTGGTTCCTCAGATACTTGAGTCTTGAGTTGTTTGCGGCCTTATATAGGTCAACCCCAACACCTTTAATTCAGCCTGGCAGCATATTAGCAGTTAATTAAAATGTTTCAGGATCAGTGTTGTGTGATCTCTGCCTGCTGTGCAGCTCAGTGCAATGCTGTTTTCTACCAACTGTATTATCAGAGTCGATGGTTTTTATTTCAAATATCTACAGCTAAATTCCTGCTTCCGTTGGAAGTCAATTGATGCCTTCCAGTTTAATTCAAACACAAAGGGCCTCTATTGTTAGATTTGAACACCTGAACATTAGATGTGTAGACCTAAACATGACTACGAGATTAGATAACTGTCACCATAGTGTCTGCAGGATACTGAAGCAAAGTGTGTTTGCATCACCTAGTGGCAGCACTATGGAAAGTCAGACAACTGCATGTTTTTTGTTTTTTTCTGTTTCAATGTACGTACACAGAGGAGTAAGAATCTGGCAGAAGCAGGTTCTCCATAGAACATCAGTAAGCTATATTCATATTAGGTCCATGTACTGTTTCACATTGCCATGTTCAGTAGGATTCCCATCATTTAATGTCTGTAAAAGTAACGGTGTGCTTATATCTCATACACAATTTGGGACGATCTTTTATTACAAAACCAACTTCAGAGCGGATTGCTTGAGCCAAAACATTGTAGACCACCCTTCAGTTTTAACAAAGCTACACTATAGCAAAACAATTCTACAAAGTTTAAGGAATAACAGTGACACCGCAGGCTTGCGTGTGTAACATGAACAGAAGCAAGATCAATACAACCAAGTAACATGCTGGAAGGCCCAGACAAAGGGAAATGTATTTACCCTGG